GCAGGGTAGGGTAAACCATGATAAACCCAATAAAAGCCTAAAGCAATGGTAAAATACAGTAAGGTTACTACTACAGCGATAAACCCAAAGAAATTTTTTTAAGTTGCATGAATCACCCTGCCCATCATAATGCATATTTTATTCCACCCCCCCCAAGATAAAAAATCACCCTCCCCATTACCACCCCTCCCAACCAACGATATTCGGTTGCCCAGCCCACCCCAGCTCTTAAATTTTGATACAACTCTGCCCGGCATCTAGGCTTTGTCATTACAATGCCGCCATAAGAGCGCACCGCCCTTCGATGTAACAAGGGGGGGGGGAGATGAGCGGTAATGTTTCCTCGGCGCCGCGCGGTGCCAGACAGCCGGCATGCCACAAAAAAATTTCGGTACAAGGGTTGGATTACACAAAAAATGGCAATTTTTGAAAACTTTTTTCAGAGATTTTTTGGGCGGGAATCGACATTAATTGTACTCCCCGTAAAAAATTAAAAAAATATTTTTTGGGCGTGGTACTACACCACCTTCCCCCCCCGTTTTCTTTTACACCGCCCGTCACAATCAATTTTTTCAGACACTCCTGATAATTAAACCCCTCACCTATTCACAAAAAACCCTCCTTCTCTAAGTACCCCCAAATCAAGCACCCTACAGTAAAGCTCTACCCCTTCTTCCATCCCCCCCTACCTCTTCCCCTACCTTTCAGGTAATAAAATTGCAATACGCGCTTCTTTTTACATTTGAGAAGGCCATTGCCATTACCAATACGAATGTGAAGCGAGTGCGTAAATTCGAGTGAGAATTGTACGCAAAATGCAAATTCTCCCAACATTACAGGTAACAATGGCGTGCATTCTAATGCGCAGGTAGGGTAGAATTGCAAGACTTACCCCTCCCTATATGACATTAAGTTTTTAGTTTGAAGTTGAGTCTCTCCTACCTTAATTTACCCTTAACCTACCCTACCCTACCCTACCATGCCCTGATCTGCAAAACCCTGTCCTTACGTTATCACCTCAATATGCCAATCCTTATAAATTTCGCGTTTTTCAATCGAAAAAAAGACAATTTTTTGCCAAAATGGCACCTTCAACTGTGTCACTATGGCTTACAGGGATTTACCGCGTCATTCAATGGCCCCATTAAGGTCCAAATGAAATGAGACTCATAAAACGCGTTTTACTGCGCAAATAAATAAAAAAAACAGACGAATCTGGGACATGAATATATGTTTAGATACCTAATGCAAATATACAATAACTAGCTTTATGGAAAAATCTATGGCAAAATTTGGATTTTTTGAATTTCTACAATCTTATATTTCGTTAGAAAGGCCAAAAGTTTGAAGTCAAAAAACGTCATTTTCAGAAAATTCTTAACTTTTGAATCAGTGTCATATTTGCAAAAATGCCATAATCTTTAAGCCAAAATGTCATATTGAATTCAGAAAGGGTCACTTGACAAAAACTTTATTTTTAAGTAAAAAATGTTATATATGTCGTAGATTTTGGATCAAAAAATAACATTTTGTAAAAAATGTCATATTGTGGTATAATAATGTCATATCCAAAGAAAATGTCATAATTTTCGGCTTAGAAAACGCCACTTTACAAAAAATGTCATTTTAAAGTCAAACAATGTCATATTCATAAAAAATGTCATAAGTTTCAAGCTTAAAACCTAACTTTTCAAAAAAAAGTCATATTAAAGTAAAAAAGTGTCATTTTAAAGTAAAATAATGTCATAATCGCGAAAAACGTCATAATTCTTGGCTCAAAAAATGTCACTTTAAAAAAGATCATTTTAATATCGAAAAATGTTAAATTCGGAAAAAATGTCATAATTTTTGAAAACAAAAACGTCAGAAAACCTCATTTTTAGTAGTAAAAGCTATCGTATTTTTTAGCAAAAACACTGTAAATATACTGTCTTTGAAAGCTGGTCGAAAAGCAAGTTTTCGGTGATCGTTGGTCAATAATCGGAGCCTGTACCTCTGATTTCTGGAGTGTAACCAAAGCAAAAAAAAACTGGTCATTATTATGACTTTTTCAGCGTAAATTTGCATATTTTTTCAATTTTTGTTAAAAAAAATTCACAAATTAAAATTGACTTTTAGGTAACAAAATGACACTTTTTCTTAAAAATCAAGCTTTATAAGACCTCAAACATGACATTTTACCAGCCTTATCAAGACGTAAAAATGCAAATATTTTCAAAAATATCAACATTATGACATAATGTCCAAAAATGACATTTTTTCAAATTTATTAAAATTTCAAACCCCTTAGTACAAAAATTCCTTATTAAAATCCCCCCCCCTACCTTGATCCAAAAAAACCCCCCCACCCTACCCTCCCCATCCTTAATTTTAAAACCCAGCAACCAGACCCCCTTAAAAGTGTGCATTTTCTCCCAAAGACGAAAATTCGAAGCCTCGAGGCAACCAATTTAAAAGCTCGATTCGACCGGTCTCTCCGCGAATTCTGTTGTATTTTGGAGCGAATTATTTGAAGAGAAAATTCAAGTGCAAGGAAGGCAGCTGTCGCGATAAATTGGCGAAGTTTTGCGAAATTTGCTGCGACAAAGTTTTGGAAAATTGAAATTTGCATAAAATTTTAAAATATTAAAACTTGCTTTAATATGGGGCGCAGAATTAAGTGAACCAACAAATATAATAGTAAAAACGTAAACTTTATAAATATTGAAGCAGGCGGGTACTTAGAGGTACAAATAGTGTTATTTCAGAGCTAATGGAAGCTTAATTAGGCCTACAGTAAGATAGGGCAGGGTAAGGTAGGGTGAGGTAGAGAAAGGTAGGAGTAGACTAGATAAGGGTAAAGTTATATCAGGGGTAGAATATTGTAGGTTAAGGTACGGTAGGCAGGGCCGGGCGCGAGGGGGGGGGGACGGCGGGGGGTACCCCCCCCAGAAAAAAATTTTCGAAAAAAGTTGAACGTGGTCCCCCCCCTGTGGATTTTCGAAAAAAAAATTTTGCAAAAAATCGGCACAGGTAGCTTACCTGTGCCGATTTTTTGGACCCCTGCCCCCAGACCAAAAGTCCCCGCCCGGCCCTGACGGTAGGGTTGAGTAAAGTAGGGTAAGTAAGCTAGAGTAGAGTGGGATAAAACCATCAAAATTTTTTAAAAAAAATTTCGTATTTTCAAAAAATCTACCGTGCCCCTCATATATCAAGCCTTCTCCTGCCCTAGTATAATATAGCAAAAAACTTTTTAAAAATTCCTTAAAATCCAATAAAAAATTTTGAAAATTCCCCAAAGTCAATCAAAGTTACAAAAGAAAGCATTCAAATCCATCGAAAACGCACTCAAACGATTAAGGGCGGTTGAATGGGGGGAGGCTAGGGTCAACATGGGGCCCAAACAAAACTCTTTAAACTTCCGCGATCTCAACTCGAGTTATGTGAGGAGGAAACTAGAGTTGGCGATGTTGTATCACATTAAAAGTGAAATATTGGGCTTAAAAGCTTAGGCTAAGGCTTAGGGTTAGTAGGCTTAGTAGTCTTACGCTTAGTAGGCTTAGGCTTAGTAGGCTTAGGCTTAGTAAGCTTAGGCTTAGTAGGCTTAGGCTTAGTAGGCTTAGGCTTAGTAGGCTTAGGCTTAGTAGGCTTAGGCTTAGTAGGCTTAGGCTGAGTAGGCTTAGGCTTAGTAGGCTTAGTACTCTTAGGCTTAGTAGGCAGTCTTAGTAGGCTTAGGCTTAAACTTAGAGATGCGCAAGTTCCAGTCCGACCCTACGCTATCCTACCCTATTTTACCGTATCCTACCCCCCCCCCCCCCCTTACCTTGTCCCGGACTTGCCCTAACTTCATCTTGCCCTGCTCTTACTCTAACTATATATTAAACTTGCCTTACCTAACCTTACCTTTCCTTGACCTTACTCTCACTTTAGCTTCTATCCTCTAAAATTACCATCCCACCAACACCAACCCCTCAAATATTGCCACACCCCAAGCAGCCGAAACTCAACGCACCTTGATCGAGATTACACTCGGTTCAGCCAAAAACGCCCGCAGAGTCGAGAAAAAAAAAACTGGCTGTGATGGGAGAGGCCCGAAAATGGCAGTGCCAGTCTCTCCCCCCGCGCCGATTACCCCGCCAATGCGTTGGCATTTGCGCGCGCAACCCCCCAAAACAGTTGGCAAGATCAAAATCACATTGGGCCGAGATTAATGATCGTGCGCATTGATATTGAACACAAATCACTTCGATACGGCATGGTAATCAGTGAAAAATAGAGTTGAGGCAATAAAGGGAGAGATAATGGAAGTTTAGGTAACAAAAGAATAAAAAATAGTATTTGAGGTATCAAAGGATAAAAAATATATAAATCTAGGTAATAAAACATAAAAAAAATAACAGAAAAGTAATAAAAACGCATGAAATTAAAAAAAAATATTGTTACCTAAAAATTTTCAAATATTTTTTGTTACCTAAAATAAAAAAAAATTTACTAAAAGTTACAAAAAAATACCTTTCTATTATCTAAAACTAATTAAAAATCCATTTTTATTACCTATAACAGAAAAAAATCGTTTTTTCAAATTTAAAATTTTAAATATCTTAAATTGTTACCTAAAACTTAGGTTTTAATGAAATTGATTGGTGAAACATTACATACGTCATTTTAAAACCCCCGTTAAATTATTTGAGTACAAACATCCTTAAAATCCACCTAAATTTTAAGTTTTCAACAAATTTATCTTTTAAAAATGAATTTTATGAAAAAGAAAAACTTGGCCCCAAAACTAACGTGTCAAGTTTTCTCTTTTACCTCGAATCATTTTTCTGGCATTTATCTTCTTCCAGGCCTTTGTTCTCGAGGTTCTCACTTTGGATTTCGACGGTTTTTTTAAAATATAGTTGTATTATGATAATTGATATAATATGTAATGTTTTAAAGTTGGTTCAAGTTATTTTGGACTTTTTTCTAACGTGTTATTGCTTTTTAAACAACATTTTTGATGGTTTCTTTTCAGAAAAATGAGTGAAACAGACTCGACAATCGTTCTTCAGGAGCTGAAGGACTCGGACAAGGGTGAAATGACCATAGACAAGCGAATGGATGCTCAGGATGTTCCAAAAGCCGAGATTATTGTAAGTTTTCTTTGTTATCTTGTTTTATGTTTAACAAGATAACAAAGAAAACTTTTTATGTTTTTTTGAAATACTGATTTAGTTAACGTTAAGTTTAGCAACAAAGGTGATAGCCTTCTCAAAAGCAGTAAAATTACTTTTTTTGTTATTAGAGAGGAAAAATCTTGTTTTTTAAATGTGAATTTAGTATAACATTGGTCTTTATGATCAGGAATATTAATGTATCTTTAGGAGGACGTCCCAACTTATTTGAAAGACAAAAATATTGACTTAGACTTGGCTATTACTCAAATAAAGGATCTTTATAAGAAGTATCAGACTGTCGAAGGAGCTATTCAGGAGAGGCGGAGTCGGTAAGAGGTTTCACAAAGTCTATAACTTGATATGCATGGTCTTAGCTGTATTTGTTTATGTATTTTGATGTAATTAGCTAAAAACAAAAAGAATATTATTTTAAGGTTTTATTTTTAGATTGCTGGCAAATCTTCCCGACTTTGAACAATCTTTGAACTACATTGACATGGCTAAAACAGCTAAAGTAAGTTGTTCTACATTATTATAAGTTGGTGTTTAGGAAAAAGGAAAGACGGAGCTGCCATTGTTGTACAAGTTGGACGAGAATGCTTATCAGCGAGCAAAAATTACTGATTTGGATACAGTGACATTACTATTGGGTTCCAACACTTATGCCGAGTTCACATTGGACGAAGCTCGAGACTTGTTGAAGAATAACATTGAAGGAATCAACAAATTGTAAGATTATTGATTGCTTTAGGCTATGAGGACTTAGAAATGTTATAGAAAGTATTTTTTGAAGAGTTATATTATTTTAGATTAAAAATATATTATATTAGGTTCAAAATTTGATGTTGTTGTAGGATGTCAACTTTAAAAGAGGAACTAGACTGGATTCGGGACCAATGCACTACGTGCGAAGTGTCAATGGCTCATCTGTACAACTATGGTGTATCGACCAAGAAGACTCAGGTTAAGGCTTGATTTATCGACCGGTATATCTTGTCTATTATAAACCTTAAAGTTGTTGATGAAATTGTTTGGTTTTACACCATTATTTTTGTATTTCAGTAGTGTTGTTCACAATCTCAGCTTGTTTTTAGTTTTGTTTTTTACAATTTGTTGAAATAAACTTGCTAAAAGATATGAAGGATGAGTTTGAATGTTGTTTTACATCGTATTTCGGAGTTGGACATGAGTTTTTACATTGATTTTTTTAGTTCATAGGTTTTGTCGTTTAAGATATATAGAGTGTTTAAGGTTTAAAGCGTAATATTCAGGCCTTATTTTAGTTATAAGTCTACTACATTACAACTATAAGCTTAAACTTCCATAAAATTTATGTTAAACTTAGCCAGCCTTACATTCCAGATGTTATTGAAGCGAATACCAAGCTCCCAACTAACCAGTTTAATATCAATACGACAATGCAGACTATGTTCAACAACACCAGATGCTTGTTCAACATTAGAACTGCCCAAAACACCCACTTTTCCGACGAAAAAACGTGGCACAGGAGAGCCGTTCAGCTTCGTCGACTATAGACAGGTCTATTGCCAGGCTGGGAACGGTGGAAATGGCAGTGTGAGCTTTTTGAGAGAGAAGTATGTCGAGTTTGGAGGTCCGGACGGTGGAAATGGTGGTAATGGTGGTCATGTTTTGTTTAAAGGTGGGTCTTTGGGTTCAGTTGGTTGGCTCTACTGGCTAGTATAAGTTATGACTTTAGGGACCAGTTCGTTGTTTGTAAGCTTGTTTTTGAAAGGCTTTTGATATGTTTGGGATATTTTTACCTCTCTTTATATATATATAAGCCATAACTTGTACTTTTGTCTCATGATATTGCTTTCAGCTGATGACAAAACCAAGGATTTGTCGCACATAACACGATGTAAAGCAGCAGTAGGAGAGAATGGTCAATCCAAATGTTGTCACGGCAAAAATGCACCACATTTGGAAGTTAAAGTATGTATTTTAGTTTGCTTTTTGGTCGAAAAAAAATTTTAAAAAAATTCACAGGGGGACCAAGCTGAAATTTTAGAAAAAATTTTAAAAAAAATTTTTTTGAAATTTTAAAAATTTTTTCACAATTATCACCTTTTGGATGCCATTACAGTAAATAATGCCTTGCCCTTTTAGGTCCCCCTATACACCCTAGTCAAGCACCCAGAAACCAAAAAGGTAATGCACGAGCTATCTGAACATGGCCAAATCTACTTGGCTGCAAGAGGTGGAGCTGGTGGGCATGGAAATCATTATTACTTATCGAATCAGGTCAGAAAACCCCTGAAGGCAGAATTGGGCGGAGTTGGAGAAATAACACAATACATACTAGAGATGAAGGTCATTGCCACCGCAGGGCTGATTGGGTACCCTAATGCTGGAAAATCGTAAGTTTTTCAAGTTGAGGAGGGTGGGCGGTTAAAACTTGAAAAATTTGTAAGGGGGCGGGGAAAGTAAAAAAGATTGCGGGCGGGGTTAAGAGATTAATTTTTAATGGGCGGGTGAAACGAAAATAAAAAAAATTTAAGGGTGGGGAAAACTTTTAAAAAATTTTACTGGACGGGGCAAAATAATTTTTTTAGTTGGGGGGGGTAAAAAAATTTCATGGCGGGGTTAAAAATCAAAAAAATTTTTTTTGGGTTGGGGGAGGAGATTTAAAAAAATGAGATGGCAGGGCCGAAAAAATGGAAAATGGAATATAATCGTAGTTTAGAACTCTTCTGAGAGCCATGTCACGAGCAAAACCTAAAGTAGCTGCCTACCCATTCACAACACTAAAACCTCACATTGGAATGGTGCACTACGAAGACTATGAACAAGTACCTGGTCAGTTTTACTTACTTTACCCAAAATTTTTGACATTTTTTGCTTTGTAAAGAAAGTTTTTGCGTTTTTTTGAGCTTTGTAATTTTTATAAAAAAAAAATTTTGTTAAATTTAGTTTTTGTGTCATTTTTAACCTACCATTCTTATTTTGATCACCAAAACAAAATATTTTCAGTAGCCGACATCCCCGGCTTAATCGAAGATGCCCATAAGAACGTAGGCCTAGGATTCGAGTTTCTGAAGCACGTAACAAGATGCCATTCTTTATTTTACGTACTCGACTTTACCCTCGGACAATGGAGAGAACAGTACGAGTCATTGAGGAAAGAAGTGGAACTGTACGAACCTGAATTGGCCAAAAAGAAGCGAGTTGTGGTCGTTAATAAGGTGGATCTGGCCAAAAATGATGAGGTTGGTTATACTACCCCTACCCCTACCCCTACCTCTACCCCTACCCCTACCCCTACCCCTACCCCTACCCCTACCCCTACCCCTACCCCTACCTCTACCCCTACCTTTACCTTTGCTTGTAACTTAAGATCAACCTCCTACTCTGCCTCAAATGCCGCTAGTAGAATGCCAAAAAAAAGTTTTGTCGTTTTTTGACGTGAAAATCAATATAAATTGGCGACAAAACTTTTTTTAATAAAAAATTTTTTTAAATTTAAAATAATATTGTTGTAGGACCTAGACGAAGTACGTAAAGATCTAAAAGAGAAGGAAATATTCTTCATATCAGCTAAACATGGACATAACTTACTAGCCTTGATGACTCGCCTACGAGAAGAACATGATGAATATCTGAAGATCAGAGCCGAAGAACAAAAGGAACAGGATCAGTTTGAGTTTGTTTAGGTATATCTTTAACGTTTTATGTAGGGTTCTTATAGTTGTTACATTGTTACTGTTAGAAGAATAAAGCTGTTTTACTGTACAGTAGGTATGGCATTTGTTTTGTAATGGCGTAGGGCTTAGTAAGGTTAGGGTTAGTGGGCTTAGGTTTTGGTTGTTTTGGCTTAGGCGTAGAAAACTTCAGCTTGATAGGCGTAGGCTTAGGCTTTTGCTTTCGTGCCAGTAGGCTTAAGTTTAGGTTTTGGATTGGCAGGGTTAGAATTGGTAAAACTAGGCTTAGTAGGCTCAGGCTTAGTTGGCTTAACTTTAAAAAGCTAAGGCTTAGTAGGCTTAGGCTTAGTAGGCTTAAGCTTAGTAGGCTTAAGCTTAGTAGGCTTAGGCTTAGTAGGCTTAAGCTTAGTAGGCTTAGGCTTAGTAGGCTTAGGCTTAGTAGGCTTAGGCTTAGTAGGCTTAGGCTTAGTAGGCTTAGGCTTAGTAGGTTTATGAGGCTTACGTTTTATATTGTTAGGCCTAGGTCTAAGTTGCATAAAGAAAACATTCTAAAAACTTTTAGACTCACTATCTTACTCTTGACCTAAAATTCGGATCTCTGACGCATAAATTGAAATTTTTTTTTCGGAATTCGAAATGTCAAACGGAAACCTGGCCCTAATTTGGCGGCCGTTCACGCCAACACAAAGCGGTGGCCAAGCGGAAAATAAAAACCCGAGATTTGTGTACTCCTCAACGAGTCTCTGGGGGAATTCTGTAAGTGAGAAGTCGGAGGGGTTCTCCTTCGGATTTGGGTACAAATCTATTCGATTCCACGGATTTAATTGTGTTCGTGGGGCCGGGCCGGCTGCCTGTCCTATAAATTTTCTTAGGCTTTGTTTGGCAATGCACTTTTATATTGAGTTTTTAAAGGAATTTCAATTTAAAGAAAGATTGATGAGTTTTTTAAATTTTTGGTCAGTTATGGTCTTGTCAAGAAAGTTCTCGCCATTTTTTGTTTTGTAAAAAAAGTTTTTGCAATTTTTTATTTTGTAAAGAAAGTTCTTGCCATTTTTCGTTTTGTAAAGAAAGTTTTTGCCATTTTTTGTTTTGTAGAGAAAGTTCTTGCCATTTTTTGTTTTGTAAAGAAAGTTCTTGCCATTTTTAACATAAAAACCAAAACTGAATCTGGTGCAGCCTGCCAGCGACAAGTTATACGCTGTATAAGATTGTTTACCGTGTTAAAGAAAGTTCTTGCCATTTTTTGTTTTGTAAACAAAGTTTTTGCTATTTTCTGTTTTGTAAAGAAAGTTTTTGCTATTTTGTAATTTGTGATTTAATAGGTTCGAATTAGTTTTTTTTTCATTTTTTTTAAACGTGAAGAACACTACGTATAGTGTAAATTACGTAGGCAAAGGGGGATATTTTAGTGATAATAATTTAATTTACCTCTCTATGAATACTTGACGCTGTTTTGCTGCTCCTTTGGTCTTCAGAGTTTTGTTATTCGGAGCTCGGAAGGGAGGGAAATGGCCTAGTATAAGCTAATATCAACTTGTAGTTTTGTTGTAATTAAGCTGTTTTTCGGTATTTCACTAGCTATTATTACATTATTTTCTTACTCTAGGGGTGATTTGGTTAGAGATTTGAAGTTTGGCTTTTAGGTTTTTGGTATTGTGGTTAAGCTTGGAATTGATGGCTTAGGCCTAGGCTTTGGCTTAGGTTTAGGCTTAGGCTTAGGCTTAGGCTTAGGCTTAGGTTTTGGCTTAGGTTTAAGCTTAGGCTTAGGCTTATGCTTAAGTTTAGGTTTAAGCGTAGGCTTAGGCTTAGGCTAAGGCTTAGGCTTTAGCTTAGGTTTAAGCTTAGGCTTATTCTTACGCTTAGGTTTAAGCGTAGGCGTAGGCTCAAACTTAGGTTTAAGCTTAGGCATTAGTTTGTGCTTTGGTTAATCTTTGAATATGCTTGAGTTTGAGCTTATGCTTAGGCTTAAATTTAAGCTTAGGTTAAGGCTAGCCTTAAGTTTTTGTTACATCTAGCTTTAGAATTACAAGGCTGTGGCTTACTAGGATTGGGCTTAGTAAAGTTTGGTTTGGTTTTACAATTAGTAGACGGGAGCATGGTTATGGCAGTAGGATCGAATAAATTACGATATAATTCGTTTAGTAGGGTAGGATTTTTTAAAATGCTTTCTCATCTTGACAAAACAAGCGGTATTCTAATAAGTAGTAAGAACTGACTACAACACGATTGGAATAGCGTGTTTTGAATAATATACGGCAGGTGTAATTACAGGCAGTCGTTTTTTGCTTTTTAAATTTACTATTTTGACTTATTTGTAATCATACTAATGACAATCGAAGTAAAGCTTCTGTAGTGCTGTTATAATGTAGAGTAGGTTAAGGTAGGGTAGGCTAGAAGCAGGGTAGGGCAGATAAGGCTAAGGTAGGGCTAGAGTAGGCTATTTACAGTATAGTACAGGGTTTTATGTCTTTTGTGACACAAACCGATCCTTAATTAAACGGGCTTTAACCCTGCAGCTCAATTAACTTTTTGTCTCATTTTTGGGCCGAATTCCGCGTCCCCCCCCCCTTCGTCTTTTTTTGTTTCAATTTTATGCGTCTTTTAATTTGCGACCTCCCCCCCCTCCCCTCCCACCAGGAATTTATTTAATATTGACAAAAAGACGGAAATATGTCAACATCGCCTGCGGGTCTTCATGGGTTTAATATTCTGGCGGTAATGCATTGTGGCGCGTTAAGTTGGTTTGGGCAATTATCGAAGGGTGGAAGGAGGGGTAGTTTTTTAATTTGTTTTTAGGCTAAGGGGTTGATTGGTTGAATGATAATAAAAAGCTAAAAAATCTTAAATTCCTGGTTAAAGTAAACTTAAGTTTTCCAAATCTAGGCCTATAAGGGTTAGGCTTTTAAGCTTAAGCCTACTAAACATAAGTCTACTAAGCCTTAACCTACTAAGCCTAAGCCTATTAAGTCTAAGCCTAATAAGTCTAAGCCTAAGCCTACTAAGCCTAAGCCTTCTAAGTCTATGCCTACTAAGCCTAAGCCTGCTAAGCCGAAGACTACTAAGCCTACTAAGCCAAATCCTACTATACCGAAGCTTACTAAGCCTAAGCCTACTAAGCCTAAGCTTACTAAGCCTAAGTTTACTAAGCCTAAGTCTACTCAAACTAAGCCTATTAAGCTTAAGCCTACTAAGCCTAAGCTTACTGAACCTAAGCATACCAAGCCTAAGCTTAATAAGCCTAATTTTGCAAATCCCAAGTGCACCAAAAATAAGTGTAATACGTAGATTCTACATTGTAGAAGAAGCCTATAAATCTACTGGTAAATTTACAAAACAGGTTTTTTACAGTAATATTGTAAGTCTATTTACCGTATACCTAAATGTCACCAAAAACAGAAAAACAGTACTAATCTACCTCCAAATTATCTAAATCTTCTACTAATGAGATGGTTTGCTTCTTTTCTTATAATCTATTTGCTTACCAATTTTGGCTTACTATTTCAATATTACCTTTGACTAATTAAGAAATGAGCTTTAAAGCCATTGGACCTGTAAATAACTATTCAGTTATTGGTTTTGCTAAATTATTTGAGCCAAATTTTCTAATTATAAAGCCAAAAATAAACAAAAACGTCATTGTGACATGGCATAAGCTTGTTTAATTAACCGTCAAAGAATTGTGGGTTATCACATCATATTGTATTTGAAATTGTCATCACATCATATTGTACTTGACCTACAAGTTTACTTTGAGCAAGTAGTTTTGAAAAGGGTGCGTGTTAAGTTGTTACGATGACAAAACATTTTGATTAAAACAATGTTGAAGATTAAAAACTTTTTGGTTTTTATTTTTTTGTTTTTTGAACTAGCCCGGTTCAGTAGGTTAAGTAAAAATAATTTATTTAGTAGTCTTAAGCTTCATAAGCACAGGTTTAATAAAATAGATCTAGTTTACTAGGTATAAGCTTGAAAAGCCTGTTTAGTAAGCGTAGGCTTTGTTTTAGGTTTAGAAGGGTATACTTATTAGACTATGGCACAATAGGCTTAAGCTTGAAAAGCTGGTTTAGTATTCTTAGACGCAGGTTTAGCGGGCTTGAGTTAAACTTTTTTAGGTTTAGAAGGCTTTTACTCTTCTTAGACACAGTATACTCACGCTTTGTAAATGAGTTGGACTTAGCACGAGCGCACCCTTTGGGTCCCGCAACGACAACGAACAGCACTTGGCATTCCGCACCGCGTACGTGGACAGCACGATAAAAGGAGAGGACGAAGAAGCAACAGGACAGTCGAGTTTACAGTCGAGTATTGACTCAGTAGTTAGTCAGCGGGCACGTAGGACAGTTGGGACGTCCGAAGGACGTCACACACTTTATACTTGGATCTTAGTTCATATCGGTTTAACATTTATATTATATTATTGAATGTTTAGGAAGGTAAATCATATAACCTTATCTTGTAGGCTTGCATTCTAGCTTATACCTGTAGGGCCTCCTCTTGAGATCCGAATAATGTAGGTTTATAAGCCGATTTGTATTAGAATTAAAAGGTGTTGCCTTAGACGTAGTAGGCTTTTACTTAGTAGAATTATGCTTAACCGACTTTAGCTTAGTATGCTTACGCTTAGCAGGTAGATATTGGCTTAGTAGGTTTAAGCTTGATAATTGTAAATCTACTATATTTAAGCCTATTAAGCTTAAGCCTACTAAGACTAAGCGTACTAAGCCTGAGTCTATTAAGCTTAAGCCTACTAAGCTTAAACCGACTAAGCCTAAGTCTGTTAAGCCTAAGCCTGCTAAGCCTAAGCCTGCTAAGCCTAAGCCTGCTAAGCCTAAGCCTGCTAAGCCTAAGCCTACTTGGCCTAAACCATATAAGCCTAAGCCAATTAAGCCTAAGACTACTAAGCCTAAGCCTACTGAATCTAAGCCAACTAAGCCTAAGACTACTAAACCTAAATCTACTGAGCCTAAGTCTACTAAGCATAAGCCTACTAAGCCTAAGTCCACTAAGTCTAAGATTACTAACCCTAAGCCTACGCTTACTCTAGCCTATCTTTACCAAGAACGAAATGTAGTTGTGATGTATAATATTTATAGCTTTTGCCACTGCTTTTATTATTTGTACCATATCATAATTAATCATTAATTAATCTGTGTTAGTTTCATTTGTTTTTCACTACATTTAATTGTAAAAACATTTTATTACTGTCACGTATGTCAACGTACGTCGTATTCACATACAATTAGATTGTCAAAACAGTTGTTGTTTGAAGGCGCAAACTATTTCTTTTGTTTTTTTGGGTATTATGTGGGTGTTATATGTCTCTGGAAAGGCGCCATTTACTCGCTTTTTCGGCGGAGTTAAAAAGTAATGCCGTGGGAGATTTAATTCATGCAGTATTATTATATTATTTCTTTTATTCGGTATTTGTGTACTTGTGTTCAGTAGGGGCTGGGACCGATACAGTGAAAGCTCTTTAGTATGACTCTTGGTAGTATAGCATCCTTTTTATAATGGCACTTTGCTCTAGTTTTTTATTTGTCATACTAAAGAGGCTTGACTGTACATAAAGCGTAATACAGGGATGATCAAAGGTCGTTTTTTGTGTTGTATTAAAGGGGGGGGGGGGTTAGGCAACGGCAAACGTTGGTAGGTAATCTTAATATAACTCTTAAGCTTATGCACTTAAGCCTAAGTTAAGCCTAAGCCTAAACCTAAGCTTAAGCTTAAACCTAAGCTTAAGTTTAAGTCTAAACCTAAGCTTAAACTTAATCATAAGTCTAAGCCTAAACCTAAGCTTAGGCTTAAGCCTAAGTCTAAGGTTAAGCCTAAGATATGGCTACGCTTAAATCGAATTCTATGTGTAAGCCTAAGAGTAACAAAATTTAATCCCAATAGCTTTAGCCTTGCCTTGGCTTTAGCTCTAGCCTTAGCTCAAGCTCTAGCCCGCTTTAGGTTATACCAGTTTTAAAGTAGTCATACTACCGTAATAGCTTCAAGATACTGTTAGTACGCAGACAGCTCATATGATTCAACTCGTACTTGTGACGGTTTTGTCATGTTTTAATATGTTATGCATAAATTAGAACACAAGCACATTCTTTTGTCGTTCCGTTTTATACTTTTTTCATTTACAAGCTCCTTAACTTCATAAAAACCCATGCCCATTCATATTTCCTCGCCGTAATGTTTATGGGCTCTACATGCATTTTTAAATGGGAATTGTTTACTAATACTATAGTGCTGAAGGTTGGAGGGTAAGGTAGGGTAGGACAGTATAGGTGAGAGCGTAGTGACGTGGTAGAACACGGTATGGTAAAGATAGGCATTGTAAAGTAGGGTATGGTGATAGGGAAGTTATAGAAAAAAGCGTGTCAAGGCAAGGGTAGGGAAGGTTAGGGTATTATAGAGCAGGGCATGATAACGCGGGTCGTGGTAAAGCAAGATAATATGGTAAAGCAGGCCATGGTGAAGCTGTGCATGGTAAGCCAAGCCAAGCCAAGCCAAGCCAAGCCAAGCCAAGCCAAGCCAAGCCAAGCCAAGCCAAGGCAAGCCAAGCCAAGCCAAGCCAAGCCAAGCCAAGCCAAGCCAAGCCAAGCCAAGCCAAGCCAAGCCAAGCCAAGCCAAGCCAAGCCAAGCCAAGCCAAGCCAAGCCAAGCTAAGCTAAGCCACGCCAAAGAAACTGTCTACTGTAATGTACGACAGTCAAAACTGTTTACCGACCGGTTTTCTTTCTATTTTTGAGATTAGTGGGCTCTTTTTCGCCCCTTAAAGTGTTGTGTTTTGACGATGTTTGAATTGCTTAAATAGAAAACAACAAATCCTTTAAGGTGAGCAGGGGAGGGGTGTCGTTTAACGAATTGCCTGGCAATTACGAAGTAATATCGTATTTTATTTTTCATGTTTTTTCTTGTTTTTTGTACGTTTTTATGAAATTGATAGTCGTACTGGTCGGTTTTTTGGGTAGTACCATGTTTTTTGTGTTGTTTGGTAGGTCATGGATTTGTATACAGATTTGATTATGTTTTGAGACTAAGCTAGAAAAGACAGTTTAGTTGGGTCTAGTTGGGTAGGGACGGCAGAAGGTCAAAAAGTGAGGGGAGGAAAAAAAAGAGTAGAGCAGGTGAAAAATTGCATTTTGCAAATCTTCGCATTTTTTACATGGAATTGGAAATTTTTTTAACGCTTAGAGTAAAATTAAGCTTAGGGGGCCTTAGAGTAAGTAACACGGTTCATGGTTTTTTAGAAGCCTAAGTTTAAGCCTAAGCCTAAATTTAAGCCTAAGGTTAGGTAAGTTTATAATTTAAGTTAAAGCTTATGCTTCTTACAATTGTTAGAACTAAGAGTTATCTTAATTTAAGCTTAAGATTAAACCTAAACAGCCGAATTTTAGGCCTAACCAGCTTTCACTCAAACCGATTCTACGCCTATCCTTTAAACGTATATTCAAAAAACTACAAAAAATGTTTACTGTGCTAAAAAACTTCAATTTCGTTCCAAAAATCACATTCCTTACCAATAATATTAGTCTAGACTAATTGCGAATGTTTGCCAAAAGTCCGGATTTTGACGCTATATTAGCGCATCTGAATTGGGCCGTGAAATTCGCACAAACATTTTTTTTGAGACATTTAAATGGCAATTTGAGAAGGCGAATGTTTCTCCCCTCCAACTTTATCTACATTTAATTTACAATGATGTGAGGGTGGGGAAGGGCTGCTGGAATGATGTGAGGGTGGATATAATTTGGAAAATGATGTGAGGTTGGGTAGGAAAGGGAGGGTATAAAGGGGATATAGGGTATTAGATGTTAGTTTTAGCGTACGTCTAAGCCTACCTATAAACCTTTTTTTAAACTTAAAGTGAGCTTAAGCCTGAGCTTGAGCCGAAGCTGGAGCTAGAGCATAAGTTTGATTTTGAGCTATCTTGAGCCTAAGCACGAGTCCGAGGCTGAGCCTGTGTTTGTCTGACCATGAGCTTAAGCCTAGAGGTTAAACTTAACCTTAAGCTTAAGTTGGAGCGCTTGATAAGCTTGATTCTGAACTTGATCTTGAGCTTGATGATGAGCATGAACATAAGCAGAGCATGAACTCTAGCCTTAGCCTTTGTCTTAGCCTTAGCCTTAGCTTTTGCCATATTGTTATAAAACTTCTTTTTTTAATTTTAACTACGCCATTTTACAATTCAATCTCAAGCTATAAAAGTGTTAAGAAAGTTCCGTATGTGCATATTTTTGTTTACGGCACAATTATGGTATTAAGCACACTATGTATATTTAGCCATGTGCAAGATGGGTGACGTTATGAGAAAGCGATTAATTTAAATATGGCTTCTTAAGGCCAACTACATATAACAACACATAAATCTAAAGAGTTTTAGTAAGACGTCGCTTTTTACTTTGAAATGTTGGGGGTAAGATACGACGTGTATGGTTAAGAAGAGATTACTATGTTTATATTAGACAACATAATGTTTTCTGAAAGTAGGGTAGGGTAGAGTTAGAAATGAGGAATTGGCCCTGCCGTGCCTGAGTGTTAGCTAGGTTTAGATCTAAGTTGTGCTTAAAGCCGGTCCGGGTTTTTATTTCCAAGCGGGCATGGCTCAGCGGAAGAGGTTAAGTTAATCACTACCATCCTTCGCTACCTCAAGGGTATGAGGTAGCGAAGGATGGTAGTGATGAGCATGGTTTAACAGGGGTTGTTAAAACTGGGCATGATCTAACAAAGGCTGGTAGGGCTGGGCATGGTTTAACAAAGGCTGGTAGGGCTGGGTATGTTTAAGCTAGAGCTGGTAAGGCTGGGCATGGTTTAACAGGGTATGGTAGGGCTGGTATGGCAAAATAGAGCGAGTAGGGCTGGGCATGACAAAATAGGGCGGGTAGGGCTGGCTATGACAAAATAGGGCGGGATATATGTGGATAAGGTATGGCCGGGGCAGCAAAGTTTACGACCGGGCATTGTTTATGAAGGTTCGGGTAGGGTAGGGTAGGACACGGTAGGGTAGGGCAGCGTATAATAAAAAATTTAAAAAAATTTTTTTTTAATTTTTCAAGTTTGTAGGTAGGGGTGATAAAATATTTTTTTTAAATTTTGCTTTATTATATTGTAGTATGGTTGTCTTTTGGGGTGGATATTGTCATAAGAAGCTTTTCATTTTTTGCATGTAATCACCTTTTGTACATTAAAATGTCACTTCATACGTTTGTAATATTGGCAAAGTGATGCTTTTGGACTGGCATGGGTTTTTTGCAAAAAAAAATTTTTATTTTTTGTAACACTTTATTGCTACCCTCCACCTGCTCTCCCACTGCCATTTGCCTCTAATATTACTAAAAACCCATCCCCCCCCGCCCTTACAACCGATTGTTTTTCTTATTATTCCTGCAGTTTGCACACCATAAAAAGGAAGGAGGAATTGATTAGCACCAAAAGCCACGGCTTAAATGCTACTTTTTGTCGTGTTATTGTGAGCATGTGTAAATGTTTTTATTGTGTTCATGACGTACTCGCGTGCTGCGAATTACACACGTTTGCCTCTTGTCCAAAGACATTGTATAAACATGTCTGTGGTCTAAGATACGTGGTGGGATGGTAGTTGGTCGTGTATTTTTTGGGGTGGGGTAGTTGGTAGGAGTGTATGAGGCTGGAGAGGGGGGGGGGAAGAGTCTTATATTTAGTAAAAAAGGAAAAAGTTGGGGGAGGGAGGGGGGGGATATTGTGTGAAAAATTTTTACATGAAATTTTAAATTTTTTTAGGTTTGCTATCATTAAGCTTATTTTATTTTACACTCAGTTTTTGCTTTAGCCATGACCTTAGCTTCAGGCTCTAGCTTAGGCTCAGTCTGAGGCTTAGGCTCAAGCTCAGGCTCAGACTCAAGCTTAGACTTAGGCTCAGGCTCAGGCTCAAGCTCAGGCTCAAACTCATTATCAGGCTCAGGCTCAACCTTAGGCTCAAGCTCAGTTTTAGGCTTAAGCTTAGGCTTAGAATTAGGTTTAATCGTATGCTTGGGCTAAGGTTTAGGCATAGGTCTAATCTAGGGTTGGACATTTACCGGTAAATGGATTTTTCGGTAATAATTTTACCGGTTTTTACCGGTAAAGGCCCTAATCATAATCATAGTCTTTGTCCTAGTCCAGGTCGTCTTTCTAGCTTCAGTTCGTTATAGTCATAGCCATAGTCTCAGCTTTAGCCTTACATTAGTTTTATCTCTAGTTTTAGTCTCAACTTTAGCTTTGGCTTTAGCTCTAGGCTCACCCTTATTGGTAGCTTCAACCTGAGTCTTAAGTCATATTTTTAATTCTATCTTTAGGTTTAGAACTTAAGATTTTATTTGTGTTCGATTTTATGTTTTAAAATGGTTTTGACCTTCTAAAGTCAATTTTTGAATCTTTTTAAACCTAGCACAGAGCTATATTAATATTTTTTTCAAAGTCAATTCTTGACCCTATCAAATCAAGTGTTTAATTTCGAAAAAAGTGTCGCAAAAGTGTCAAAAAACCCTTCAAACGTGTTTATTTGATTTAAATTCAAAATTTAATTTTGGTTTCTAACAAAACATTGTACTGGAGGGTATTCCGCCGGGATTTGGGCATGGTTTTTTGGCACGTGGCGCGGAACGTTTGAAATATTTTAAATGTCGTTCTGTTTTTAACTCTGCTTTTTATAGGTTCTATGTACGACTGGTCATGTTAGTTGAAAGAAGTGTCACATGGAGCTGGTTGATGAAAGTGGCTGGTGAATTGTGTTGGTGAGTTTATAAAGGAGAATTGTTTTTGAACGTAGGTTAAGGTTAAGGCTATGTCTTAGGTTAAAGCTTAAGCTGAGGATTAATCTAGAGTTAAGGATAGTGTTAGGACTAGGGCTAGAGCTAATGCTAGGGCTAAGACTAGTTATTAGGTTCGAGTTTAGGTTTAGGCTTAATTTAGGATTAGGGCAAGGGTAAGGCTTAGAGTTAGAGCTAAGGCGATTACAAAGCTCTTGACCAGGACCACGGCGGGTGCTAGGACTAAACGTAGAGCTTAGGCATGAGCTAGGGCAACTGTTAGGATAAAAACTAGGCTTAGGGCCAAGGCTAGGATCAAGGCTATGACCAAAGCTAGAGCTAGGGCTAGGGGTTGAGCTAAGGCCAATTAACATGCCCAGTTTCTTCTTTTTATCCCTCCCCCCCCTCCCCCCCCTACCTCTCCTCACCTTTTTTTTTCTTTTTCTGCTTTTTTTTCAAGGGGGATGAATTTCAATTCTTTAAATTTTGAGCTGGAATATTGATATTTCTTATTGCCCTCCCTGACCCGTTTGACCATCCCAAAAGTCGAGGCCCGCCTCTCCTTTGTCCGAATATGAATTTGTGGCCAGTTTTGTTTACTAATTTAAAGCAAATTGAATGGGGCCGGACCGCGAATTCCCAGCGGAACGGCCGCGACACGACAAAACGGGCGGTTAGCAAATCCTAAGGGCGGGGCTGACCTGTCGTTTTATGAATGGCAAAATAATTTCTTGTCCAAATTTGGCCTCACCCCCCTCGCCATCGGTTTTTTTTTGGCGGGCCGTCTTCGGTTGACAGCAAAAATTTGTATGCTTTCCGGTAATTACGTTTTTGGGTTATATTAAGGTATAAGTAGTGCGGAGGGTATGGTGGAGGTATGGTAGATTAGGGATGGATAAGGCAAGGTATTTTAGGGCAAGTTCATGTAGGGCAAAGTGCGGTAGGATATGGTAAGGTAGAGTGGGATAGGACAGAGTAAGGCAATGAAGGGAAAGTAGGGTATGATATGGTAGATTAGGACAGGATAAGGTAGATCAGAATAAGACACGATAAGGTAAGGTGTCTAGGACTATCTTGGAAATGATGGGATACGGTAGGATAGGGTAGATTAGAGCGGGGTAGAATGACGTATTATGAGATAATTATGGTTATGGTAGAGTAGAATAAGGTAGGGTAAATTTTTTTTGATAAGCCGTTTAATGGCTTATAACTTTTTGAACAATTAAATACTATCTTTGATCTTAGAATGCTGCATTTACAGTACTACTGTATGTAACTAACAATACGATTTTAATTTTTAATCTTTTAACTATTTTTTTTCAGAAATGCTCTTAACTCGTGTACCTTCTTCATCATTACGTCGATAGCTTGGACTTGTTGATTTGTGAAATGCAAAGATTCAAACACATTCTTTTGCGCTTTCAACGTATTCACAGGTTGGTTAAAGTCTAATTTTTAAAGGTAAAAGTCAAGAAGGAGGGGGGAAGGGGAAGAGGGGTAAATATTTCTAAGTTTTTTAAAAGCAGAAGGGTGGTCGTTTTTGCACGCCGTACAGCTTTACTTAGCCTTAGCTCTAGGTCTTAGCTCGAGCTCTAGTCTTTGCTCAATCCTAGCCTTAAGTCAAGTTTGAAGCCTGGCTTTATCTTTAACATTGGCCTATTCTAATTTCTAGTCCTGGCCTTGAAATTAACGCTAGTCTAAGCCTTATCTCAAATTTTACCCTACCCTACTTTATTTTAGCCAAAACATAATTTACTTTTATCTTTTTTTACCCAGGCTCATTTTTGTGACATTTTTTCAAAATTTTTTTAACCTGAGCTAGCTAACCCTCCCATATCCAAAAAAAACTTACTCTATACTAATAAACCTGTTCTGCCCGCAAGGTTTGGCCAATTGCGAAACCCAACTTAACAGCCCATTAATAAGCGGCCGAATGTAAGAAAGCAAAGTAATGAGTTGTATTGGGGAACGGCCCGAACATACCACTTATAACACCCATGACGCAAATGACTTTATCATTTTACATTCGACAGGTTTCTCTTCTTTCAACGGCCGCTAATTGCCAGCCGGCTTGATATAATAATAGTTTTATTCGAATTGTCCGGCCAAGTTTTGAGTAAGCGCATCCATTTTTAATGTTAAGTTTGCTTATTTTGGGTAGTTATTATTGTTTTTTAATTTTAAAATTTTTTAGATTAGAGGGTATTGTTATATTATAGATGTGGGGGTATCAACAAATTTATTCCTTTAATTTTAGTAGCCTTAGACTTAAATGAGCTTGAGAGTGAGCTTGGCCTGAGCCTGCGCTTGAGTCTGAGTTTGAGCCTGAGCATGAGCATGAGCCTAAGCCCGAGCTTGAGCCTGAGCGGAAGTCTGAGCCTGAGCTTGAGCCTGAGCCTAATCCTAAGCATAAGCATGGCCTTGAGCTTGAGTATAGGCCTGAGCATAAGTATGAGCATAAGCCTGAGCTTAAGTTTGAGCTTTAGCTTGAGTCTGTGCATAAGCATGAGCTTGAGCCTGACCCTAGCCCTGGCCCTGGCCCTGGCCCTGGCCCTGGCCCTGACCCTGACCTTGACCCTGACTTTGACCCTGACTTTGAGCCAGATCCAGATCCAGAGTCAAAGCCAGAGCCTGAGCCTGAACCTGACGATATTAAAGAATACAAATTTCAGTCCAAATCGATTCGAAGCGGCGGAGTCAGCGCTTCGATGAGTCGCTTCCTTCAAATCCGCGATCAGTACTCCCGAATCTTTGGCCGCCGCTTCCTCAACAGTCAGTTGTCGCTGTACCTCGGGCTGCTCCAGTTGTTGGTCTGCATTTGGGCCTTGTTTCAGCATGTGTACAGTATTGTTAACTTTGATCAGGTAGGTGTATATTTTTATAAGGGGCTATAGAAAAAAAGGAGGGGGGGGGGACAATTTTTGGAGAGAGAAGGCGACCTTACCTACCCTGAGGGGAAGTTTTGTTAAAATTTTTTTTCGTAAAAACTTTGTTTACACGCTAAAATCAAGAATTGTAAAAGCACAAACATTTTTAATGAACTCCTTCGGATGTTTGATTAAAAACAATAACATTAAGCCATTTCTCTGTAATTCAAATGTACCGGATGTCTGGTCACTAAGTCTTTTGGCCCGTGTTCGTCTGAGATTAAAATCTTGACGTTTGGCGGAAGTAATAATTGAAATTGTAGTCAAAACGCATTTTCTTGGTATTTAGTCTTGCTTTAGCCTTGGCCTTAGCCTGAGCCTTAGCCTTATCTTTAGCTTTAGCTTTAGCCTTAGCCTTAGCCTTAGCCTTAGCCTTAGCTTTAGCCTTAGTTTTAGCCTTAGCCTTAGTTTTAGTCTTAGCTTTAGGTTAACCTTAGTCTAAGCCTTAGTCCTAGCTCTAGCTCTAGTTTTAACTCTTTTCTACTGTACCTTACCCTAGATCAATTATAAATTAATCAAATATGTTCAAGTATAAGCCTTAGCTCTAGCTTTAGTCTGAGCGCTACCTCTCATCTACCATTGCTATATCCCTGCGGCACCCGGTTTACCCATTTCTTACTTTTGCTCTACCGCTAGTCTTGTCTTCGTCTTACATTCTGACTATTTATATATAAAGACTATAATAACATTAAAAAAACTGAAACGCCAAGAATTCAAAATTTAAATAAAATTTCACATTGCAATTCACACTGATGTCATTCTCTTCAATTACAGTTATTATCTTCTTCTGCAAACCAAAAATTAAAATTTTACCATGATGTTAAAAATAACAAAAAAAAATAATTAAGAGTATTCACCTTCTTTTCGGGAAAATTAAGGCTTATTTACATTTGAGAGACTGACGTATGTTAATATTAGCTTGGGAAAAGACGACTGAAAAAAGGAGAGTAAGGAGGGGAAAAATTAAAGGCTACAGAATTAAAAAAAAACTAAACTACAAAACTGATTTTTTGCTGCAGTTTTTGTTTTTTTTAAGTTAAGGTACTTTTCACAAAATTTTAATTTTTTATTTGAGAGGGGGGGGAGAAGTGGAATTTTTGAAACAAGTAGAGTTAGATGTGTACAATTAGGTAAGCAGTGTGAAGCGACGGCAGGGTAGGGTACTATTATATTTAGTCCGTCTAATAATAAACACTAATGAATGTCATTCTTTTTATGAGATTGGATTAACCACACCAGCTGGGTCTTTGTAATTGATTTATTATATACAAAAAATGTCATTCATATAAAACAATAGAAACATTTACATTTTTGGCATTATAAAATGACGTTTAATAATTTTAAATTTAAAAATTCAAGAAGAGTTTTAAAATTTCAAAAAAAAACGAAAAAAATTAAACTTATCAAACCCGAGCCTATACCTACTGACAAGTTTAAGTTGATCCCAGCTTATAAAGCCTATGTTTAATGAGCTCAAGCCTCAAAACCTCAATGACGTCATTTAAGCCTGTCGACCTAACTCTAAACCTAACTCTCTCAGCCTAAGGTCTGAAGCTTAAGTCTGTAAGCTTCAGCATACTTAGCCTAATGTAAGCTTACTAAGCCTAATTCTTCAATGACTAAGGTTTAAAGTCTAAGCCAATAGATTTTGGCTTCTAAGCTTAAATCAGGAGCCTAAATTTTTAAATCCCAGGTTTTAAGATTAACTACTAAGCCTAAGCCTCAAGTCTAAAATCTTTAAACTTAAGATTCTAAGCCTAAACTTGTTTAAGTTTTAGCTCATTTAGAGTATGTCTACTAAGCCTATTGTTTCTACGCTCAAGCTTTCTTAAAGCTTAGTCTTAAGGCCTAAACCTAAGCATACTATCTTCTTAAACTATATCCTTCAAAACTTGAGTCTTCTAAGCCTAAGCGTTCTAAATTTAAAACAAAATTTAAAAAATTTAAAATTTAAAAAAATTTTTTTTAATTTAAAATTTAAATTTTCAGATTTTATTCTGCGACTTCACGCCAAACTCTACACTGCCAATGATCTATACGGGTGTGGATGCGATTATATTTGACATTGGTCTGTTCCACTCGTTGTGGGGTATCGATGGCTGTGTAGCGCAGCATCTGGATGGTGGGTATGGTCGTTTCGGGTGGTGTGTCACACATATCGCGGTCTTTTTGTTATGCCTGCCGTTCGCCTTCGTCAACCGTCCACGGCCGTGCTTCCTCTGGCCATTGCTGATTCAGGTAAGGGTGGGGTAGGGGTACAGTACAGTTTTGAAAAAGTAGGGTGGGATGGGGTAGAGTAGGGTAGGGTAGGGTTGAAAATTAAAAAAAATTTTTAATTTTAGCAAAGTATCTACGGAATTGGACTACTGATTCTCAGTCTAGCTGCCCTGCCCAGAATCTTGCCAACCTTTATGGGTGATCTGAATAATGCTCCAATGACGGCCATCTTCACATATGTGATGGGGACGTGTATGAACTTTTTTTTGGTAAGGACTTTCTTTACAAAACAAAAAATGGCAAGAACTTTCTTTACAAAATGAAAAAGCATGTTTGTCGTATAACGTGTCACCCGCAGGCTGTACAAAGCTGTTTGCTCGTTTTCAACGGGATATGGAAGAAACTTTCTTTACAATACATAAGAACGTATTTTTCGTATAAGTTGTCACCCGCAGGCTGCACAAAGCTAACTTTGCTTGTTTTCAACGGGAAATGGCAAGAACTTTCTTTACAATACCAAGAGCTACCATAGTAAGCTAATTTCTAAGCTTACTCCCACTAACCCAAACCCTATTTCAGCTGTACGTCTATTGGCACTGGTACTGGCACGTTGAGGAGGAATGGGACTCGGCACGAAAGCTGCGGAACGGCGAGGTAATACCAAACAGTACCAAGCGTACCAGTCCGTCAAAACGTAAACATCCGATTGTGAATCAGCCCTCGCGGACGGTTGGGAATGGATACACCACCGATCGTTTGATTCTGGTGGACGATGATAGTCAGGCTCCAGAGTTGGAGACTAAGCTTCGCAATGGCTATGGGGTGAATGGTACTAATGGCGCTAAGTTTGGTCAAAATGATACTAATGGTGCTAATTTTGGTCAAATTGGTACTAATGGTGCTAAACTGGGAATTGTTACTGATGGTGGTACATTTGGTGAACATGGTACTAATGGTACTAAAATGGGACTCGATAACACAAACTTGCGTGAAAATGGTACTGTGTCAGTACTGAGTAGTACTAATGGTACCAAACTAGGAAATGGCTTCAAAAACGGCAATGGTCATGTAGGTAATGGCAAAATCAGCGACAACATGATGAATCGACGCGTTTCATTAATGAAAAACGATGACAAATCAGCTACAGTAATCTGGGATGACCGTAATACTAAAGATTTTGCAAAACATTACAGTAGGCCACCGTATGACCAAACTATAGTAGATGAAGAAGGCGTGGACCAACTCAATGAACATAATGTATATCAACATAACCATCGTTCTCATCAACTTGGAATAGATGGTGATAGTGGGTACCGTGGTACGGTAGAGGGGTATCACGGTGCTGTAGATGTGTATGGTGGTACGGTAGATCCTTACCATAGTAAAGTACAAAATGACACTGCATATCATCATAGTACTGTAGACCCCTACCATAGTACTATCAATACCCAAGAAAAAGATCATCCCAGAAACCCATCGTTCCTCACGGACAAACGTCTACCGTACTACCTAAAATCAGAATCCCCCGGCTCCACAGCCTCGTCATGTAGCTCCATTATGGCTCGACGGAAGCTACCACAACATGGCAACAGTAGACTAGTCCAAAACACATATCATCGACAACAAACCCTACCGGTCGGTTCATCACCGTCCCAGGATTCCAGCATCAGCGTGACGATTCTGAATACACCGTTGAATAACGAGAGTGTAGCCAGCTACGGTACTGAAGGGACTTTGTTGACAGGTTACGGTACTGATGGGACGTTGTTGAGTGCTACGGGGCATGGTAGACTTCATGGGGAGGGTAAAGGTTACGTTAATCTTCATGGAGATAATCAAGGTTACAGTAATCAACATAGTAGTGATAAAGACTACAGTACTCACTATAGTAAAGAAAAACCGATAGTACCAAACACAACTCCAGTACTACGACCAGCACATAGTCATACACCAATAAGCCTCAGTGCTCGAAAATTGTATTATACTGAAAAAGGACCAGCTTCAGAGTACGATACACGATACAGTAGACTCAATTCGACTGGTAAACAACATACGATACTATACAATCCCAAGTACAGCTCGACCGTATCTAATGAGATACTGAAACAGCACGAAGCTATGAAAAACGCTCAAGGTAGTAGTACTAATTTTTCTAGTACCGTACTTAGTAGTACTAAAGACCCTCAAGGTGGTACTGCTTTAAGTACTGGTCAGAATAATACGAAAAATGTGCAAAATTGCACCAAAACTGATGTCCTACCTCGTACTCTAGCACAGTCGAGAATGCGACTATTGAGAAAGTACCAGTCTACTGAACAGTACATGTCCCCAGTACCACAAGTACAACGTCCGTACTCCCACAGTCTGCACAGTAGTTTTGCCGAAGAGAATGAGTACGATACTGTACATACTCCAGACATTGACATTCATAACCGACTGTTTGATACTCAACAACAAAGTACCAGTGGTATGTACAGTACTGTAACACATGGTCGTCCTACTGTAGGTCAGGGTAATCATACTGTAAGTCAGATACATCATACTGTATTAGACAGTTATCCTACAGTACCTCAGAATCACTCTAATACAGTAACTAAAAATTACCCTACAGTAGGTCACGGTCAACATACTGTAGCCCAAGGTTATCCTACTGGGCCAAATTATCAAAGTACTGTACAAAGTTATCAACCTACTGTACCAGGCAGTCATTCGAAAAATCTGCATTCCACAGTACCCAGTCAGTATCATACCGTAATCGACAGTAGACGCCCTACAGTAAACGATCATAGACACCCTACAGCCATTGAAACAGCACTAAACGAGATACCGTACTTTGGCCATACAGTACGAAAACCATCAGCACAGTCTTCAGTATATTCATATACTAAGACTAGTTCACCAAACTTTAGTCCAGCTATGAGTCTATACAGCTCGGTTAAGTATCCTAGTCCAGAAGAAGGGAATGAATATACTACTACCTACGAGGCTTACGGTACTGATAGGGTCAAGTACGGTAGTGATAGAGAACACAACAAGTATGACACTAATCAACAGTACAACAAGTACGGTACTGATAAACAGTACGATACTATCCAAGAATACCCACTAAACATAAACTACAATACCTACAACGATATGCAAGGTACTGTACCTTTACCAACCTATGAGTCGTATAAAACAGCCCCTGGCCCTATACCAGAACCAGCCCCCACACCAAGCCAGAAACCAACCCTCACCCCAACCGACAGCCCCACCTTCCTCGAGCGATTCAACTACCAAACGGGTCTCTAACGGCAAAGAATTCGGGAAATCAATTGCTCAATTTCATCGTATATTGCTATAGCTATCTGAATTCATCTTATTATAGTTATTAATTTTTAAAAATTTTTAATTTAAAAAAAATTTTTTTTAAATTTGAATTTTGTGAAATCTCGGTGAAACCTAATAACTCTAAAATACTCTTTCAGTTTTGAAACTTTTTGTTTTATACCTAATCTTATCTTATACTCTTTAAACTTGTTATTTACACTGTATAACTTGTACCACAATTTATCATGAATTACCGGTTGAAAATAAATAAAAATATAAAATAATGTCCTTTTCGGTACATATTTCAACTAAAAAATAAGCTCTACGTGCAGCTCTAGCCTTAGCCATAAAACGAGTCTAAGCTCTCATCGTAATTTAAGCCTTAGCCTAAGCTCTAACCTAAGCCATACACTTATGTTAGTTAGTTAGACTCTGAAAGAAACCTTAGCTTAATCTCTAGCCAAAACCCTAACCTTAGCCATAGCTCTCATTCAAGATATATCTCTGGTCCTAATCGTAGCCCTAGTCGCTGAACTAGCTTCAGGCCTATCTTCAGCCGTAATCCTAGCCCCAGCTTTAGCCTTAACCTTATCTTAAAGCTTTACCATAGCCGAAACTTTAACATAAGCCCTAGACTTTGCTCCTGCCTTGGTTTCCATTATGATAATCGCCCAAACCCTAGCCTAACTGTTAGTCTTAACCTGAGTTTTAACCAAAACCCGAACCATAGGTCTCATTCGAGCTCTAGCCCTCATCCTAGCCCTAGCTACAGTTTAATAATTGCTTTCGCTGATCACAATACTTTCTATTAAAAACATAAACTATAACAATTTTTAAAAAAATTAAATTAAAGTGCTTTAATTCAATAATTTTTATAATATATATCAACATATGTATAGTATATAGTATATATATAATAGAAAAAACGAAAAGTCAAGCGCCAACGAAAGAATTCGAAACAGATTCAGCAATGACTTGTCGTTCTCTGCTTGTCACTAGCTCCTCTCTTTCCAGTAATGCCTAAACAGCCACGTTACTACAGAAAAAATCAAGTTACTGTAGCCATATTCAAAATTTTTACAGTAACCGTATACTGAATTTTTTCCAGTAGCCATATGATGTATACTTACAGTAACCATATATTTATGCTCAAATTACAGCAAGATTCTAATTATGTTCAAAGCATAGTAATATAACAATATATTCCTACCTGCTCAGCCTCTCTAATCCTGCCCAGTTCCTCCTCCACCATCCTCAACTTATCCCTCACATTCTTCACCTTTTCTTCGTAATTTAAAATCAATTTCCGTAGCATTTCAATGTGCTTTATCAATGACTTCACTGCCTCTTCTCTAGTCATTAATCTTTTACTGACCAGCCCATCATCTACTGTAACGTCACGGTTTGGCGTAGGTTTGGACTGAAGCCTTACAACCGGTACATAATCGATTTCTGGTTCAGCCGGTGCACTTTCAATGTGATAAACCTCTTGAACTGTAGAGTGTTGTTCCTCACGGTATTCGGCTAGGAATCGACCGTCTGATAACTTTTGTTGACGTTCTTGTAGCCGCTGGAATTTAAAAACGTTACTTTTTAGGCAATTGTAAGATAACAGGCTGCATCTAAACCTAAGTTTTATAAGTCTAGACCTATGACAATGACCAGAGCTTAAGCTGAAGCTTAGACTAGAATTTAAGTCGAAGATAAGGTTTAGACTAGGGCTAAGGCTTGTACTATGGTAAAGGCTAGAGCTAGGGTTTAAACTAGAGCTTAGACTAGGGCTTAGGCTAGGGCTTAGGCTAGGATTTAGGCTAGGGCTTAGGCTAGGGCTTAGGCCAGCAATTGACTTACCTCTTCTCTCTGATCCAATTCTAAGTTCAATTCCTTGATCTTATCGATGAGATTCGAACACTTATCAGCTTCAGATCTATATGTATGAGACAAATCTCTGAATTTGTTCAAGGTTTCTTCAAAGATGGCCGTCAGTTGTTTTACTAAAACATTTTAATTAAGTAAAAATTTAAAAATAAAAAACAGAAAAAAATCTATCTTATTCTACCTTACCCTACCCTACTCTGCTCTATCACACCCTGCCCTACCATACATTCCACTACCCTATCATGCCCCGCTTTGCCCTAAACTTTTAAACTTTTCATTGCATTGTCCCACTCGCAGTAATTTGTTGGGTCGTTTTACATCGAGGCAAATATGACATAAACCATCAATATTATGTAAGAAAACGTTGCGCAACACACATTCTTGCAATTTCTCTAAGGCTATCTTCTTGTATCATAAAGTTAGGTAAGTGCGCAAATATGTTGTGTAATGTCATAAAGAAAAGGCTAGTTCAGCTTGCCTTTACTTTAAATCCTAGCCTTACCCCAGAGCCCTAGCACCGGTCCCACGCCCAGCACCCTAGTCCCAAGTCCTAGCCCCAAGCCTTACCCCGAGCCCTAGCCTCGAGCCCTAGCTTTAGCCTTAGCCCTAGCCTAACCCTAGTCCTAGCACAAGCCATGACCCTAGCTCTAGCTTTAGCTTCAGCCCTATCATAGCTTTATTACTAGCGCTAGTTTATATCATATCCCTTAAACTCCTAATACCTGTACTTCTAAGATAAAATCATTTTTAAAACCAACTTACTGAACATTTAAAAAAATTTCATTTCGTAAAACAACCAATTAAAACTTACATTCAAGTCCATGTAAATCGCTAGTGTCTACATCAGGTAAGGCAGCTATTAACGAACAAAGTTCAGAATTGGCTAACACTTGATCCATGAGAAAAGAGCTCAAGGGCAAGCGAAATAAAAGAAAAATTGAAAAAAAGCATTTTTAACAAAAAACAAAGCTCAAATCGCTCAAACTTGGCCACATGACGTTGGCTATGTAAAAGGCTAATATATGGTCAGTATTGGGAGCGGGTTTTGGCTTAAGGAAGGGTTAAAACCGGTTTTTTCGCCAAGAAATGCTTGCTTTTTAAAAAAATTTTTACCCTGCCCTATCATACCTTGAGCTGTTCAGCCTTCTATTGTCTTGAATTGCCTTACCTTCCATACCCAACTCCTCCTTACCCTTCATTATCTAGTCTTACCCTGTCCTACTTTACACTACCCCGTCTATTATTGCCTTGCTCTACCCTACTCTACCCTGCCTTGCATTGCCCTATACAACCCTGTCTTACCCTACTATGTCTTACCTTTTTTGACCCTAACCTATCTTATTATGCCCTAACATAACATGCTCTACCCTAACCTGCCCAGGTCTACCATACCTTGCCTTACCCTACTATGCCAATCAAAAGACAACTCTATTTTCAAATTTTAAGACACAGACAATTCAAAATGACATCAAACATAAACAATGAAACCCAGACATTATTCCACAACACTATTACAATACAACCCCAAAATCAGATCAAGTTCATTGAGTAAAACCCAAAGTGGCATAAAAATCAGTTTGATTCAATTGTCCCTGTCTTTGAGGTTGATCATCTTGTAGTTGCATCCTTGTTTGTATGAGAATTTGGGGATCAGATCGTCTCTGCTTACCCACTTCTTATGCTCAAAGGCCAGGACCTGCACCATACTCGGAGGACTCTTCAGGGCAGTATTTCGGTCCACTGCGCCTTTTTCTTTGCGAAGGAGGGCGGCTGAAATTTAAAAATCTTTTAAATTTCAAAAGATAAAAAAAATCGAAAAATTCAAAAAATTTCAAAAAATCCAAAAAAATTCAAAAAAAATTAAAAAATTTTAAAATTTCAAAAAATTTCAAAACCTCACAAATGTTCTGAAGCACAGTGGGTGTAGCAACAATGGCGGTAACTCTAGTCAGCGGCTCTCGGCGGTGCATATCATTCAAAACGCCTTTCAGTCTCACGAACATATCACTCGGACTTTCTTTGTCCTTAGGAAGAGGCCCTTTCACAGGTTCGTATTTCATGTTCACCTTCAGATTCACATCTGTGGCTTCTTTCGGGGTGAAGAACACTGGCTGAAATTTTAGTTTTTAGAGTTTTACAGTACCCCAAGATATCATAGCATACTGTCTTACTCTTTTCTAGCCTAGCGTACTTTACCCTACCGTACCCTACCCTACTCTGTCCTACCCTACATTAACCGATCCTACTTTACCCTTATACTACCATTGCAAAAACCCTACCACATTACAAACCTACCACATCAGGGAAGTTGACATACTCAGTAAGACCAGGCTCAATGTTGAACCCAGCTACCCCTTCTTCCAATAGCTCAGAGAAACAAGTAGCAGTCTCCATGCATCGCAAGAAAGGTGAAGTGTAGATGGCATGGAGCGCAACATCATCATTTTTAAGTTGCTTGCAAATGGCACGGGCGGTTCTAAAAGTCAAAATTTTAAAATTTAAAAATTTTGAAATTTCGTATTTTAGGTCATTGAAAGGCCAAAAAAGGCTAAAAACGGCTAGTTGGGTCATAAAAGGCTAGCCAAACAAAAGAAAACTAAAATAAACTTTTCTAAAATACAAAAAAGTCTTGTCGTTTTTTACCTAACAAATACATGTAAATTGACGACAAGACTTTTTAAAGCTTCACAAAGACAATTATTTTCAAAACTAAGGCTTTGTATGCTATATTGACCTAAATTAACACCCAAAAAATTTTTTTATTACCTTTTTTGTTACCTAAATTTTTTTTCATTGACACAAATTTTTTTCGAACAAGGTTATTTACCAAAAAATGCCTAAAACCTTACAATTTTCCCATTTCACTAAGTGGCGGATCCTTGTCAAACTCATTAATGTTCCTTTTCGGAATGGCATTAGGCAAGTTCACATCGTCCAGGTTGTAGACCACCTTATCCTTCCTATCAGGCGCTTCCTCAAAACAATCACGAGTCCAATTGGGAAACACATTCTTGATCGACTCACCAGTACGAATCAGATAGAGCACGTTGCTTGGACGATGGGTACCATCACGGATTAACGGTTTGCTTCGAGGGAAAACTGGTAGACCGTCGTTCCAGCAGTTATTGTCTTTTCTCAATGGCATAAACACATCTCTTCTGAAAGTATAGGTTTTAGTAGAGTTCATCGTCTCCTTTTTTATTACTTTAGTTATTTTCTAAAATATAACCGAGTTTAAACTTGATTTACCGCCTTTTTCGACCAAGAACTTGAAATTCTACCACAAACGTAAATTTTATGGACAAAAGACGTGAAATTATATGCACTTCGAGTTTCATCGAAGAAACGTGAATATTATGGATCAAAAACGTGAAATATTATGCATTTCTGTCCAACCTTGGTCACAAACACTTATAATGATTTTAGCTTAATTATTGTTGATAATAATTTTAGCTTAATTATTGTTGATAAGTAAAAAATAAAACTCTTTTTTATTTTTTTAATTTACATTTTTGAAAAATTGGAGTGTGCACCTGATTTACAGGCTTTTGGATTAAAAACGGCACAATTTCGCTGAAACGTGAATTTTATGAACAAAAAACGTGAAATTATATGCACAGTTTCACCGTAGAAACGTGAATTTTATGGACGAAAAACGTGAAATTATATGCATTTCTTTCGGGATATTATCCTGAACTTTTCAACAAAGTTCGAACGAAAAAAGGCATGAATTTGAACTTTTTTGGTTATCTTAGGTTCTTTTTAGACTAAAGTTATTTTTTCGGCCATAATTCGGCATGTGCAGGCAATAATTTTTAAGTTTGTGCGAAAACATCTACTACAATATCGGGAAAGTTGAACTTACTCCTTCCCGTCCTTGCATTTGAAATTTCTTATAATGCGACCAGGGATCTTGGGATTCTGGACGTTTTGAATTTGCATCCTGCCGACTTTGGGGTTTTGGTTTGATCAAAATGGTTCATAGTTCGAAATTTCAAAAATTTCAAAAAAAATTTTTTTTTTAAAACATTTTTTGGATTAAAAATTTAGAAAAATATTGAAAGATCAAAAAACATTTCATTTCCAAGTGATTTTTAAAATTTAAAAATTTAAAAATCACCTTATTTGTTGGTCGGTCGAAGATGACCGGTCTCTTACTGATTGGAGTTGTATTGTTGGGCTGGTTACTGGGGTCGGATGCGCGGGATTGCAAGTCCTTACCGGATGGTATGTTCGACAATTACTTTCGTATTTGGAGTGCGTTGCTGTACGATCACAATGGTACACAGATAAACACGACCGTGCTGGTGGGGCAGTTCATTTGTGAGTTTTTTTTTGAAATTTTGTTAAATTTAGTGATTAAGGGGCGGATACTGCTTGTAGCGTAGGATAGGCTAATCCAAAAGCTAATTTCAATGATTTTAGCGAACAAGGTACCTTCTAAAACTGGCATTTCGATTTCCTTCTACAATGTTCCCCAAGCCCGCTTGATGAACATGGACTTCTCTGTGAGTGTACAACCAAACTACTCTCAACGAAATTATGACAATTCGGTCATTTTCTCGGATGGTACTAACTTATACAGGGTGTTTGACGAGTAGGTTTTACAATTTTTTAAATGTACTCTACCTTACACTACAGTACTTTACCGTACTCTATCTTACATTACATTACCCTACCTCACCGTACCCTACAATACATTACCCTACCGTACCCTACCTTACACTACATTACCCTACCCTACCTTACTGTACTCTACCTACCCTTACACTACAGTACCCTATTTCAGCCAATCCCTGGTAGTGCCATTCCAAGGGGATCTGCCTTTAAATCGCCTCTTCTTCTACAAGAATTTGCTGGTACTGAACAGGACTCATGTGATCCGTCTCTCCCACATCATCACCTCCAGTGATCATACCGTGTTGAACAACTTCTACGAAAGTATGTTGTCTTTGCTTCACATTGCGTTCCACAATGAAACGGAGATCAAACAGATTGCCAATTGCATGGATCCGGAAGGCCGACCTTGTGTTTGGGACACGAAAGCACCGAATGGTACACTGGTGGAGACTTTGCAACAAAAGTTTGAGCCGACCGATTCGTCGGTTATCACTTTCAATGGATTTTCGTTTACTTTGTGAGTTTGTTTTTGAATTTTTTAAGTTTACGCTTAGCCGTTTAGGCTTAGTGGCACAGTTCAGGTTGCTTAAGTTTGGTTTTAGAATTAGGCTTTGTCACTTAGGCTTAACCGCTTAGGTTTACGTTGTTCAGGCTTAGCTTTGGCTCTTCTGGTTTAGGCTTAGCCGATCACGCTTGATCGCTTAGACTTTGCTGCTTAGGCTTAACAGTTTAGGTTTAGGCTTTCTTTGTTCGTTGTTTCAAGCTCAGGTTGAGTTAAGTTGCTTAGCCTTAGTGGCTTAGGCTTTGTTTCTTAAGTTTAGCCGTTCAGGTTTAGGGATAGCCGATTATGTTTAGTTTCTTAGACTTAGCGGGTCGGCTTTGCTGCTTTGGCTTAGTCGATAAAGTTTAGGCTCAGGCTGTGTCGTTTAAGCTCAGGTTGGTTTGCTTATGTTTAATTGCTTAGGCTTGGAAATTAAGTCTTAGCCGCCCTTGGTTTAGCCTTAGCCGGTTTAGCTCAGTTTGAGTCGCTTAGGCCTAGTCGTTTACTTTAAGCCGCTGAGATTCAGTATTAGCCGATCACGTTTAGACTTACAAATTGTTAGCGGCTTAAGCTCAGTTCTAGTCACACAAGTTTAGTCGCATAGACTTGGAATCAAAAACCTTGTCTGCCTATGACATACCTTTCGAAGTATGTACATATTATGCAAATTTTGAATGAAAATTTTTGTTTATTATAAAAAACTTTTAGAAATGGATTTTCCAAGTACACGATCATCTCCACCACGGACCCGGACAATTGTTTCAGTGGAGATCCGAACGCTTTGTTCAAGGACACTAAGGGACCTGAAGGATACCAGAATCTTACGCTGATGACCACCATTCCCCTCTTCAACCGGTACGACAAGTTTTTCAAGGATCGTAAGTGCATTTTTTCTATTTTAAAATTTTTTTTTTATTTTAAAAATTTAAAATTGGAAAAAAATTTAATTTCAAATGTTTCAGACTCCAACATCTTCAATTGGGATTCGTCTCCAGTAAGCAGCACGCTCGGTACTGGTCCAACAATCACTTCGATTTTCATTCTTTGTATTATGTTCATGGCTTTCGTTTACTAATCTTTGACACAATTTACTGATTTTATGAGTAAACTGACTTGAAATGTTTTTTGATTGATCTTCCCTACCCTACTCGTACTGCCCCTACCCCTATCCCTACTTCTACCCCTACCTCTACCCCTTACACTACCCCTACTCCTGTCCCTATCCTTACTCCTACTTCTGCCCCTGCCTCTTAATTTTACCCCTACCAACTTTTCTACCCCTATATCTACCCTTATCTTTTATTATAATTTTTTACCCTACCTTACTATACGCTATATCACCTTATCTTACCCCACTTTGCTCTTAGCCATGCCTCACCGTACCCTTCCTAACTTGCCCTTAGCTCTGCCCTATCCTGTCTATTACAACCCAAAGTCAACTCGAAATGTCACATCGACTACTACGACTCAACCTCAATGTCACATCTGCCATTACAAAAGTGTCATATCTATCATTACACCTCCAATGTCCACTCAAAATGTCATATCTATTATCACACCCCAATGTCAACTGGAAATGTCACATCTGCCATTACAACCCAATTAGGCAGTTATTTTTTAACTTATCTGCGTGTTTTTACCTTTTAATCCGTCACCACGACAACCGCATCACATTACTCTGGCCAAATATCTCCACCGATTGCTATTAATATCGTATTTACAACAATTTGAAAGTCAATACGGTTCTGCTTTAGAATTTTATTACTGCTATAGCAATGTCAGATTGAGGGTTGTATTGACAAGGTGAAGTTATGTTTAGTTTGTACCTAAAGTCGTGCTGAATTGTAGGTTTAAGTAGTAATTGTAGTCGAATTGTAGGTTTATTTAGGTATGAAATGTGTTTGATTCGCGTGCTTTTGAGTCGTTTTGTATTTGGGTTTGGGATTGGTATGTCGAAAGCTACGTGAAAGTTTTTACTGTAGGCAGTGCTGTGTTTTACATAGATAGATTTTGACCTAGGAAATATGAGGGGAAGAAGGGAGGAAGTTGAGTGATTTTTGAAAAGGTGGGAGCAGTGTTTTGCCGGACCGGTCCGGATGAGAATTTTTTCGGTCCGGACCAAAAAGGTCAGGTCCGGTCCGGTCCGGAAAAAATTTTTTTTTATTTTTAAAAAGAGCCAGGAGCGCTCAAACTGCTTTCTTTACGTTTAAAAGGTTAGGGTAGGCTAGGCTTGGTTTAAATTTTGCAAAAACCACCCCCAAAACCCTTTTTTTGAAAAAAAAATTAACTTTTACCTCTCTTACAATATTTTTTTTCAAAAAAAAAATGGCCTTACCCCACCCCTAACTATCCTTTTTTTTAAGCTCAAATTAACTGCCCGGAATTTTTAGAGAAATATTTTTTTACCTTGCTCTACCCTACCTACTCTACCTTGCTTTACCCTAACCCTTCCTTATTCTAACCCTTACTTCACCGCTACCCATTCCTTGCTTAGGCTGGTATCACCTGCCCAATCTTTTTTAAGAAATATGTTCTTTGTCTCACCATGCCCTATTCTATTGTGCCCTATTCTACCTTACAATACATTGTTTTTTTATCTTATTTGCCGGATCCTACCTCACCCTACCTTTTCCTTATTATAACCCATGGATCCACCCCCCCCATAGCGAAAAAAACTGATCTTTGTCTCTATTATTCACTCAATATCCTTTCAAAAACTGACATTATTATACCAAAAAGACGTCGTCTTCTGAGAAGTAACTAAAGAAGTTACTAAAAGACGACATTCCACTAAAACCAAGATGTTTATCTACCCAAAACATAATATTACCCATTGTCCACCATGTCGTGTTTTCCTTCCACCATATCAAAAACAGCGGCCCAGTTCCTGACGAATGTCCCTAACAATGCATTCAAAATCTTGGGCTAAAAATACTTTGACAATGTACGAAACGAGCGGATTAAAACGACCAAGACGCCTCCTAAAACAACTCTCGGGATAGCGCGGGAGGTTGACGTCAAATCGTGTTTTTCCAAGTTTTAATTTCTCTAAAACAAAAGGTTTCACACTTTGCGAGGCGAGGTTGTTTAAATTTTTAAATTTAAAAAAAATTTTTTTGGAATGTCAAAATTTTTAAAATTTTTTAAAAATCTACCAAATTTTTGAATTCTCCTACCCCTGAAACATTTCTAATCTACCATATACTACCTTTTTTGAAATCTTAAAATTTTTTGAATTTAAAGAAAAATTAAATAATTTTTTAAATTTTAAAATTTTTCGAAATTTTTTCAAAATCCCAAAACATGCTTTTACATATTCTATGACACGTATAATAACCTAAAACACATTTTTAGTTGCTTTTGGATAAAAATGCTTTTGTGATTAAAACCTCAAAAAAGTCTTGTCGTTTATTTCCCGCAAACCAATGTATATTAACGACAAGACTTTTTAAAACCCTCATAATTCTTGAATTTTGCCCCAATTTAAGTGTTTTAGCATGAAAGTTAAAAAATAAACATGCTAAAGCCAAAAGTTATATAAAATAAGTTAACTTTTCACTTTAAAACAAGTTTAAAATTCATGTTTATTTATGAACTTTTACTATAAATACTTTGAACCCGCTCTTTTTTAGCATGTTTTATGCTTTAAACTCGCACTTTTTTAGGCCCTATGGTAAAAAATAGTCCTCTGTTTAAATTTTTAGTCCATTTTTACGTAAAATTCGAGATTAAAGCCAATTTACCGCTTTTTTCGACCAAAAACTTGCAGTTCCCTCAAAAAACGTAAATTTTATGGAAGAAAACGTGAAATTTTATGCATTTTTTTGCAGAAATTATTTGGAACATTTTCGCTTGAATTCAAAGTAAAAAGGTATAGATTTATAGTTGTTTTTAGTTAATTTAGACTGTTTAAAAATTAAATTGATAGTTTTAATTGTTATTGGTTTTATAATGACGATTTTGATGATGTATTGTTAAATTTATTCTGTTTAGATCAATTATTCATGAGAGATGTTATTATGATGTGGTTTTTGAGTTAATTTTTGAGCTGAGAATCTGGATTTTTTTAGAATAGTTTATGCTTTTTATTTACTTTTTTAAGGTCAGGTGCAAAATTTTAGGGTTTTTCAATGTTAATATAGGTAGCAAGTATAACCTTAAGATAGAGAAGAATATAATTTTAAATTTAAAGGTAGATGTATTTTAAGCTTGTAAATAGGCTGATAATGGTTAACAGATCAAGAAAGTAGGTTTTTTCGTTGTAGAGTATATAAAAATTTTAAAAAGCATATAGCTATCTACAATAATATCCAGTCTCTCATTTTACTGCCTAGTAATAATCTTTAAATATATTTTACTAAATATTATGGATATTCAGTATAATATAGGTTAGAAGAGACGAAGTTTGTTGTTGGTATAGATCTATTGTGTAAAGGTTTATCTTGCCGTCGACGAGCTTGTTGACCGATTTTTCGTTTATTCAACTGGTTTTCCGATCGAATTTCGCGTTTCTTCGTATGTTAATGAGCCGGTTTTATGGCGTTCGATACGATTTTACAATACTTTTTTACTATTTTATTGTTTTTGATACATCGCACGATATAAACCTCGGTTTTAGTTGTGTTACGATGTTTATTAAGATAGCAAGAAATACTTGTCGTTTTTATGATAATAGTCTCTGTCAACTGACGACAAGACTTTTTTGAACGTTTGATTTGATATTTATGACTTTCTTGATTTTTTAGAGAACAAATAAGATGTCTATTACCTGAAAATGGTTTTTAGGTAACAAATATAATGTTTATATTTTCAGTTGGGTCCCCAGCATAAATGCGGATTGAGGTGTATCCGAGATATACAATATATCTGCAGTTTCATGAGTTCTTCGCCATAGATCTGGTTCATGGCTTCTATCAGGTATGACATTTCTTTTTTTGTTCTGATTTTAGGTATCTACGATAAAAGCGGTTGATTATAGGTAAAGCTGATATATGATATACATTTTACTAATGGCTAGTACAAAAGTCTTGTCGTCAATTTACATGGGTTTTCATGTTGAAAAACGACAAAACTTTTTTGAGGATCTAAAATATTGTTTTATAGTTAAATTTTTTTTTCTATCTTTTCTATTGTTAATTTATCTTATCTTTCGTTTTTTTTTCTTATTCTTAGTGGAACTATACTACTAGGAAAAAATTATGATACCTAAAAGCTATGTTATTCATGCTTTGTTGCCCATTTTCTAACAAAGCCTTTATTAATACCTAATCTACTTAATTCCTAACTTTAAGGTATGTTTTCGCCTCCGTTCTGACTTAGAATACGAGTTTGATGAAGCCGACAAGGAGAACAACAAGACCTACGATCAGCACGGCGTGTCACGCTACGTGAAGGTGGCATTTAATGAGCAGAATGTTGAGTTAAAGAGCTCTTTTTGTATCAGGATCAAGGGGAAGAAGAGATTCGAGAAGTGTGATGCTTTTTTTGTGAACTTGCAGGTAAGAAATGACTTTTTTGGGGGGTGGATAATGTGGTATTATTTGATTTTAGGGGTGGAGATTGAGGGCTTTGAAGGGTTTTTGGGCTAAAAATAGTGTTTTCATGTGATTTTAGGTCTATATCTTTAATGTTTTTAAGGATTCTAATGTAGATATTGAGATATAAGTTGTGTTATAGGTATACCTATTGGTAGATATCAACTTTTCATATTAATTTTTATCACCAATCTTATTATAGGTCGAGTTATGGTACGCAGATCCAGAGCAGAAGCCCCATCGGAATAGTTTTCAGTTCATGTCGAAGCGACAAGTCAGTGTACGTCTGAATGCCAACAAATCCACACATTGTCATAGGGCGGTGTTCTTCGAGTATTTTAGCTTTTCGGCGGTTTCAATGACTATCCATGCCGTAGTAACTGGTCTGGAAGCTGTTTTGACCAAGAATACTCCTCAACCGGTAAAATTTTTGTTTTTTTGTTGGTTTTTAGGTATCAATTTGAGATGAGAATAGTAGCTATCACATAAGAAGGATGAATTTGAGCTGGGCGTAGAGGGAAGAGTAGAAAAATATTATTAAAAATTTTCTATGGCTCATTACTTTTTGAACACTTTAATAATGTTCTATGGACTGACGTTATCTTAATGTTCTGTAGACTGTAAAAACGTTATATTGATGTTCTTTAGGCAGTAATGACCGACAAACTAAGAAGATATCATCGACAAGTCTGCATGAATCTACTTGACTGTACTTTGTCACTACAGACCTTTATCAAAACATACGAAGCGTTACTTTCTTCTCCGATTTCTATGGGTATGTCACTATGTTGGCAGGTCATTAAATAAATTTTTTTTATTAAAAAAGTGCTTTTAATGTAAATACTTGATGCTTTAAAGCTTTCTTGTTTAAATTTTTTTGAATTTTGAAAAAAAAATTTTTTTTGAAATTTTGTTTTTTACAAAAATTTTTTATTTTTCGAATTTCAGGCGCAATTGACACAGAAAAAGAGCTAGAACAACTAAATGCCAAAATGGCCACATCGACCGCCCCATGGAACACATTCACAGTCAATGTCAAGTTCCTAACCCAACGTCTCAACCGTATCTTCGAACAACTGATCCAGCTCTTCGGAGAATGTCGCAAACTTCACATCGAAATGCTGGAGAAGTCGGACCAACAACGAATGAAACGCTTCGCCGAAGGCTTCTACTTCATCGAAGAAGCCGTCCATTCCCTACTCGATTTCGAACTCAACACAGCACATCGTATCTTCGACTTGGTACGGAAAGACGGCTACCTCACTCAACTACCCACCGTGCCGGTCACGGTGGACGGAACGGACGTGGAAGGCCAAAATGTAACTCTAATTGTGGAGCGACGATACCTACCTCAAGGTGCCACACAATTCTCGCGTGCGATCCCAATAGGTATCCACTCGACCAGTTGTCTACCAGCCCTGGCAGAAGGAAAAGGCTCACAATCGGCCAGAGATCCGCCCAAACCGACAAAAAAAATAAGGTCGAGGAATGCATCGATGGAGAAACTGAATCTTGTGGGCTTCTGCTTCCCAGTCACACGACAAAAACCGACAGATGATGATGAAGCTTACGGTGCGGCGTTAAAGATACCTAATGATCGGCTAGCGAAGAGAAGGATGACCGATCCTGGAGAGATTCATCAGCTTTTGAGGCATGATGATCATATGGATCAGATTGCTCAGGATTATACGACAAAGACACTGAAGAGCTATTCTGTGGCCGAGATTCGGCCGAATACGGTGAGGATTTTTTTTGGTTGAATACAGTGAAGAAAATTTGAATTTTTGGCCGAATACTGTAAGAAACTTAGAGTTTTTGGTCAAATACATTAAGAAAATTTGAATTTTTTGTCAATTACAGTAACAAAATTAGGATTTATTGGCTGAAAAGTAAGAAAACTTAAACTTTTGACCTCGTACTGTAAGAAAATTTGAGTTTTTTGCCGATTACAGAAAGAAAAGTGGTTGATTGTACTCATTTTTACACTCACTTCAAACCCACTTTCCAGGCCAACGAAGGCACCACCTTCCCCTCAACCTCAAACTCCTCATCCGACAGTCTAGCCAAAACTGCTCGAGGCGAGATCCACGAATCCGTCCAAATGCGCCTTCTGGACAAGGAGCGAATCTACTTCATGGAAGCGAAAGAATGTTTCAAACAACGTCTACATCACTTCGGCTTCAGTGGCAACCTCTACAGCGATCAGAACTACTTCACAGATCACAAGGCCTACTTCAGTGACAACTTCAGCAAAGCCGTGGAACAACGAAGCTTCGAGAACCTCCATCTGGTCGTGCTGGTTCACGGCCTCGAAGGCACCTCGGAGGACCTCACCACCTACAAGAATTACCTTCAAATCGCTCTGCCTTCCCAGAATATGACATTTCTATTGTCGGAGGTGAATCAAACCGAAACCTGGAGTGATTTGAACAAAATGGGCGCGAATCTACTCACTGAGATATCAAATTATGTGGAGAGATTACCACGCCTTCCGGAGAAAATATCGTAAGGTTTTGTTTGTGAACGAATAATGGCAAGAAATTTCTTTAAAAAACAAAAAATAGCATGAACTTTCTTTACAAAACAAAAAATGGCAAGAAATTTCTTTACAAAACAAAAAATAGCAAGAACTTTCTTTACAAAACAAAAAATGGCAAGAACTTTGTTTACAAAGCGAAAAATGGCAAAAACTTTCTTTACAAAACAAAAAATGGCAAGAACTTTCTTTACGAAACAAAAAATGGCGAAAACTTTTTTTACATAATAAAAAATGGCAAGAACTTTCTTTACAAAAAGAAAAATGTCAAGAATTTTTTTTACAATATAAAAAATAGCAAGAACTTTCTTTCCAAAACAGAAAATGGCAAAAAATTTCTTTACAAACCATAAAATGGCAAGAACTTTCTTTACAAAACGAAAAATGACAAGAACTTTCTTTACACATTATAAAATTGAAAGAACTGTCTTTATAATACTAAATTTTTTTATTTTACGTCTAACCCTACAATCATGTTGATTCCAGATTGATAGCTCATTCGATGGGTGGGTTGATCGTGAGAGCGATGTGTGGTCTACCGGAAATGCAAAGATACGAAAGTCGACTACACACCTTACTAACGTTGAACTCACCTCACTGCGGATTACTGTATAATCAGCGGGCGGCCAGTTTGGGTATGTTTTCAGTATTCAATTCTTTTGGGGCGAATTTTTATATATTTTTGAGGCGGGGTAATTTTTTTAAAAGGGAGAGGGACTTTTATTTTGCTTTGGAGGGCAGGGTAAAATTCTTATATTGGACAGGGGGTGGATTTTTATTTTTTTTTCGGCGGGATGGATTTTTATTTTTTGGGCGGGGTGGATCTTGTTTTATATGGACGATGTTAGTATTTTAATTTTTTGAGAGCGGTATTTGTGTTTTTAAAGGGCGGGGTAAATTTTAAACTTTTTAAGCGGGGCAGATTTTTTGACAAAAATTTTTTTTGGAAGGGGTAGATTTTTTGACCGGTAGAAGTTCCAAATTTTTTCAGCATTTTCTGTTTTACAATATGAACTTGCCAACCATAAAAACATAAAATATAACGTTTTTCACTTCAGGCGTCTCCCTTTTACAATGGTGGAAACAGTCCGTCTCCCTGGAGCAACTCACAATGCGCGACGCCCGCAACCTCAAAGACACATTCCTCTATCAACTCGGTCAAAACAAAGCTTTCGGCATGTTCAAGTATGTCTTACTGGTCGGATCCTACCTCGACCTCTACGTACCACTACACTCTGCTCTGGTGGAGAACTGCAAGGCGGCGGCGGTGGATTCGTCACATCAAGGCAACGCCTTCAGCGAAATGATCGGCCATATCAATGAGAGTGTGATCGAGTCCAAAAAGCACACGGTCATGATTAAGTACACGGTCTCTCATAGTCTGGCCAATGTTTCCAAGGCTCAGCAAATGACTGGACGGCCAAGTAAGGGATTTTTGGCTTGGCGGGGGATTTTTTTAAAAAAACGGTAGTGGTGGAGGTCCCTACATCAGTAGTGATGGTAGTAGGATTGGAGGTAGGAGGTGGGGGTATGGGTGAAGATATGGTTAGGAGCCGTCGCGGGGGTGGTGGTAGGGGTAGCACTGGAGGTAGGAGTAGGAATGAAGGTAGGAGTAGGGGTGCAGATAGGGGGGGGAGTTAGGTCAAAAAAATTTTTAACCAGGACAGAGGTACATATTTAAAAAAAATGTTTTTAAGTTTTTTTTCTGTTATCCCTGCCCCCCCCCTCCTTTCTCCGATAAAAATTACCCCGCCTAACGGGGAGGATCTTTGAATTTTTAATGTCAATTTTAATATGAATAACGATTTTAAAAAACTCGTTTTCAGTGCACATCGCCGTCGTGGACGATGACACATTCGTGGAGAAGCTGGTGATGATATCCGCATCGAACTACTTTAAGTAACTTATTCATAGAGCTTACAATAATGCCATAACGGGTGCTATACATGGTTAAAACGACATTGTTCTGGTTTGTAGTAACCGATTTACTTTACTTACAAGTCTTATTTATTAATGCGACAAAACGTTTATTTATTTCTCGTTAATGTGACGAAACTTTTGTTTATGGCTGTCTAAAGTGACATAACTTTCATTTATGACATAAATTTCTTAACTAACTATGGTTAATATAACGTCCACTTTCATTCTAATGTTATTACCTTAACTTATTGTGACCAACCTATACGCGTAATCGCATTTACCTTCATGTGTAAATATACTGTGTAAATTATTTTATGTTGTAATAAGTAAACTATGACAAAAGTATTATCCTTAAACACATATTATGTAGGCACATAGTAAAACAAATACAAAATTTAAAAATACGAATTATGCCATAACTTTTTAGTAGCTTCAAAAACAATCCTGCCACTCTTTTTGATGAGTTTATTGGAATATAAATTAAGAGGAAACAATGATTATTATTAAGAGTGACGATCATTTGGAGAGGGATACGATACTGTGAAACTATAAGCACGTTAGTAACATACAGTAATGAAATATTGTTGAGACGGTGAATTGGTATAGGAGTGGTTAAGTTACTGTGCTTCATCAGGTAATCATATAGCCATTCAGTTTGGCATAAGATATTTCGAACTGTTTGAAAAATTCTATTATTCATGCCTTTAGGTACCACAAAATAATGTTTAGAAAGTTAAAAAAGTCAATACCTATTTTACACCTGCCTAACTACAGAATTACCTTCAAAAACTACTGTAACTCAACCAGAACATTCAACAATTAATAGGGGTTGAAGCCGCCGCCTCTTGGAGCGCCAGTGCCTCGTCTCATTGGTCCGCCTGGTCCTCCGCGACCTCTGCCTGGTGGTCCACCTCGTCCCATGCCATTGCCTCGTGGTGCTCCGCGGAACCCGCCACCACCTCTTGGTGCACCGTTACCTCCAGTCTTCGGCTGAGGTTTTAGTCCTTTTATCTTGTCCTCATCGTCCTCTTCGCCACTGCCGTTCTTTTCATCGTTCTTGTCGTCGCCGCCTTCTCCCATGGTGGTGATGCCTGGGATGTGCGTGTCCTTGACCTGAAAATGGAAATTTAGTAGTTTAAGATCATTTATGACTACATTATAGTTCATCAAACTAATCTATAGCGTTTTAAAAAATCCTTATTTTACAAGGGAAGTGTCTCACCTCATTCCGGAGATATGAAACGGGACTAAGCTCATTTGAAAGCCTACTTGAATACAAATTTAACAAAAAAAAATTCAGCTGCCGAATAAGCCCCTAAGGCAAGTTATGACGGTTTAAAAATTTGCAGTGCGTTCCTTTGTTTGAGTTTGAAAACGATTGGGAGCGAGAAAGAAAACAAGGGGAACCAATGATTCGGTAGTTCAGTGGTTAGGTGTTGGGTATAGGGGTGAAAGGAGAAGGGTTCGATCCCTGCCAATTCGTTTTGCTTCAACAGCTTCTAAAAAAATTTTTTTTTTGTTTTTTATACTATACAACAGTCAATAGACTAGTTTTAATCATTTGAATACAAAAATTAAGCAATTTGACAAATTATTAAACTTTAAAATTTTTTGGAAATTTTTCATGTTCTGGAAAAAAGTTGAGCAACCTTGCTTAATTTTTGTATTTAACTGATTAAAACTACTCTATTTAATGCTATATAATACAAAAAAACAAAAAAAATTTTTTTTGGAAGCTGTTAAAAGCAAAACGAATTGGCAGGGATCGAACCCTTCTCCTTTCACCCCTAAACCCAACACCTAAACACTGAACTACCGAATCATTGGTTCCCCTTGTTTTCTTTCTCGCTCCCAATCGTTTTCAAACCCAAACCAAGAAAAGCACTGCAAATTTTTAAACCGTCATAACTTGCCTTAGGGGCTTATTCGGCAGCTAAATTTTTTTTGTTAAATTTGTATTCAAGTAGGCTTTCAAATGAGCCTAGTCCCGTTTCATATCTCCGGAATGAGGTGAGACACTTCCCTTGTTAGGTACAATGTCATACATACTCTTTTTAGATTTTTTAATCAAAACCATTATCAAAAGTAGACCAAATCCACTATTTTTGACCCATACGAACACCTACTATAATATAATTTATAAAAAACTTCAGAACCATAAATATATCGGCCATTCTTTTCAAAAAAACCTAAAATTATAAAAACTCAAAAAATATTAAATATCTTACCGGCTGCAACAGCTGCCTAAGAACATCCAGAACGTTGGCGACACGTTGATAGGCCAAGGCTGGTGGTGCATTGGTCTCAATCTTAACATGCAATGGTCCAGCATAGTGAGCGTAGGCCGGATCTCCAGAATTCAAGAGTTCTTCTTCCTGCTTTCTGTCACGAGTAGAGCCTCTTCCCAGTACGTAGACGTGGCACTTGTACTGTTTGGCAATGTTTTGCAAAGTGGTACCTTTGGGGCCCAAAACCTTGCCGACATAGTTGAAACGTGGGTGGCGGAAAGTAGGGATGAGGACCTTTCTGATTAGGCGGATCGGCTTTTCGACGTCAACTTCCAACCATTCTGGATCAATGTTGTTCTCGAGACGTTCCACTTCTGCAAAGAACATGGTTTATATATGAAAAATAGTAAAAGTTGGGGTTTTATTTCATTATCGGTGACTCTAGTTTATAGAGATGTTCAAAAAACTTTTTCTAAAACCTCAAAAATCGACCATAACCCTTACCAGTGACCAACAATCTTCTAGCGTTCTTAAACTGTTCTCCATACTCTCCTCCTTGATCCAGCAGTCCAATCTCTTGATGCATTTCCCTCGTCACAATCTCCACTTCCGCATCCAGTGGGCTTTGCTCGTAGGGTTGTTGTTGCTGTTGTTGATAACCTTGGTTGTAGCCTTGATCATAGGCCGAAGCGCCGCCGTAGCCGGCTGGAGGGCGTTGTCCTGGATGTCCGCCTCCTCTTGGTGGTCCACCACGTGCACCACGGCCGGCACCGCGTGGTGCTGGTCCTCCACGAGTGGGTGGCATTCCACCTCGTGGTGGCATCACCGGAGCTCCGTAACCGTAGTTGGAGTAGTCCTGGGGTGGAGCGGAGCCGCCGTAGGATTCCTAAAAGATTTTGTGGTTTAACGATAGTCATATTATTATTAGATTTCATCCATTTTAAATTCAAATATATCAAGAAAATAAATTTTGGTAACAAAACATAACTTACATCATATCCAGCAGAGTAATCCATTATTCAAGTAGTATTTCGATTCAGTTAACCTAAAATGAACCAAATTACTAACTTTCAAGAAACTTCATATATTAATCAAGAAAAAACCTAAATATATAGCTTTGTAAGTCGTATATAAAACTTTTTCAAACAGTACTAGTTTCGGCCGTAAATTTTTACAATTTTGACATTTTTTTATTTTAAAATTCCTTTTTTTTAATTTTTTAAAATTTTGTTTTTACATTTTTTCTTTTATCCCACAAATTTTAATTTTTTTACACTTTTGATAAATTAAATTTGAATTTTTCATTTTTGAACCGAAACTAGTCTGCCAAGTTTACAAATTATATTATACAGTCACCACAATATGTTTAAACCTTTACCTTTTTTAATAATAAGCAAGTTTTAACGTCAAATTGAACGACGAGCGTTTTTTGAAGTTTTAGACGATTTTTAAAGGATTTATACTTTTAATATAACACCTAAATTTATGATTTTAAAGTTTTAAATTTTCACATTTACAAAAATAATTTACAACACGATGATCAATTTTTCGCGAATTTAAAAGAAAGTAGATATTACACTAGAATTTTAACAAAAATTTAATTTTTTTCAATTTTGATTATAAAAAGGTAATGACATAAATGATTCTCAGCATCGAAAAAAACTCTTGTATTTTAGAAACCAAAATTATATTTTCAAAAATTTTTAATTAATACCTAAAAATTAGCAAATTATACATAAAAATCATATTTTTTATCATTAAAACACGATATAAATTACGCGAAATTTAAAAACCAAATTTAAAATTACCCAAAATATTCACTTTTTTCAAAATAAAACCCATTTTTAAGTTTTTTTGCCGACTAAAAATTTCATTAAATAACAAATTTTTCCCCAACTTTTGAAATTTTTTACCAACCCACGATAAAAATAAATCACCCTGCCCAACCCTCTCCCTTGTCCCAGCACTGGGTTTTCCAGTTAAAAAAATAGTTTGATTGTAGCTTTTGTTCTTCGTATTTCAGCTTGGTAATTTTCAAGATTTTAAATCTGAATGATTTTGACCTGAAACAAATATTAAAATTAAAGTTTAAAAAATACAGACAAATTATGTTTTTTATCAATTTTTTGAACTTTTCAGCCATTATTAATCCAAAAAATTAATATAGATGCCCAAAAATATATATTTCTTTTCACAAAATTCAATATAATTTCCTATTTGTAACATAAAAACCATATATTATCTCAATATTTTTTGGTATTTTAAGGTTTTAAAACCGTAAGCTTTGTTTCCATCTTTCATTGACGATTTGTAGAGAAAATTTTTATTTGTAACACGATTATTAATAAAATTATTACCAAAACAAATATCTCTATCAATCTATGAAATAGATCATGAAACCATTCGAAAAAAACCTATACCAAAACAGAGCTTTTGAAAAATCATTATCAAAAAAGTTCTTGTAAAGTCAATAATATGGACAGATCTCGTAGAATTACCAACAAAACAGATCTTATATCATTATTAATCTTAGAGATTCTTTCTTCTTTCAATTATTATCTTCTTGGAACAAATCCTCCGCGTCCTCTGCCATTTCCTCGAGGCACAAATCCTCCACCACGCGACGCTCCCCGACCTCGACCACCGCGACCTCCTCTTCCCGATCCCCGACCTCCAGTACTGCCACGATCCGAATCACGATCGCGGGAACGTTCACGGCTGAATTCCGGCTCGTCCCGTCTTGAACGACTACTTTCCGAATCTTGCCTTGGTCTTGTACCGCGAGTACTTCTGTCTCTGGATCGATCATCGTGATCTCCTTTATATGATTTGTATTTTCCGTCACTTTCACGGCGCTTTCCGTACGACTCGAATCGAATTCCATTGTACTCAAAAGGCTCGTCCTGTAATTTCATTCTTTCATATTTGATTTTTTATTTTATGGACATTATAAATATACTTTTACTAGCTCAAAAAATGTACGGCAGTGGCATATCCTTATAGAAATATACTTTTTAAGCTTTATTTTCAATCTGACGAAAATAAAAGCTTAAAATTTCAGATTCATACTTCAAAAAAATACGCCCTATGCCACACATAATGAACCTAATATATTCACGATGTCCATATATATTTTTTACTAATGTTTCTTTTAATTCTTTGCTAATTGCATTATTCGCTTTTTGCCTCACAGTCATCGTAAGCTTGTTTTTGTCAAAAAAAGTTGGTATTGACATTGAAAGTCATCATTACCAACCGCATTAACATTATTCCTTCTCTTAATTATCTTCTAGTAATGACGCTTTACAGTTGTTTTAAACTTTTAGTAGCAAAATCTCCATTTTCGTAATTTCTTTTGGTTTCTAAAAACAAAGCAGCAGCTTAAACCTTCTTCTATGTTACTTTTCCAGGTATTTTTTTTGTTCTTTTCTTCTGTTCTACATCTTGGTTTTGAAAATTGTAAGTTTTCTATCGTTTCTTATATAAAATTTGCCAGTGTTTTGCAAGCAAATCCGAAGCTTTCTTTTATACACTCTAGCTCATGTTTCGGATTTGTCCGAGCAGAATGATAGTTCAATCTAGCATCAATTGACATATCACTCCGCTAAACACATCGTTTTGCTTATGTGACAGCATTTTTGAGTCTTTTATTGCTTTTTAAAGTTGTTTTAAGTTAAAAATTCAAAATCAATCAATTTCTTTCTTGTCATTTGTATTATAAAAATTTCTTTCTCCAAGTTATATCGTTACTTTTCTCTTTAGTAAAAACTTTTTTTTCTAGGTACTCTTTAGTGTCTTTTTCGATATTACTGAAAGCTGGTGTCTCTTTTTTAGTTTATAATAAAGTTTATATTTATTATTCCATCTTCTGGTCTTTAGGCTATGGTAATCATCCTTCATATTGTTTTAATTCTTTGTTTTCTATTCTTTTAATTCTTGAATATATTTCTAACCAATCTTTAATGATTTTCGCATTTCAAAAAGCCTTTAAAAGCTGTTGTTATAAAGTTTTGCGAAAGTCACCTTCTATAGCATAAACATTATACTTCAAAAATATTGGGGAAAGCAAACTTAATATTAAAATGCAGTGCAATTTTTTAAATGTTTATTTTAACCTTGATGGCAATACCTTTTTGTACTCATGCATAGAAATGAAAAACGAACTGGGCTTCAAAGTTAGACCCAGTCCGTTCCCCGTGTCAAGCAGCTCCTTTTAAACATTGTTAATGCGATATTACCGCTAGATATTGTCATATCATAGTAATACTGCCATGTATAACAGCATATTTCATAGTTTAAAAGTGCTAACAACTAAACACATCAAACACACACAAAAGCTTACCGTAGTGCAGCACAAATGCAAAATAGTCAACACATCAGCCACTCTACTGTAGGCCAAATGTGGCGGACCTGTAGTCGTGATTTCAGCATGCAGAGGGAAGTTCAGATGTTGATATTGAGGATCACCGGTTTGCAACAAACGTTCCTCATCTTTGGGGTCTTTTCTCGACCCAGCTCCACAAACTGAGATCGCGGTCTTATACTTGGTACAGATCAACTTCAAGGTGCTTCCGCCTGCGCCCATAATCTTTCCCACTACGTTGGAGCCCTAAATACGATTTTATTTATAGTTTTAAACAAACCACAAATAATACTAGTATCTTCTTATTAACATAAAATAGTAAAAATAAGCTTTTGATGTGGCATTATCAAAAACAATATCCTTTAAGATCAAAAATTCTATGCGAAAGATTCCTAAAGCAATATAAACTTACAGGAATGCGACTGGAAGGTAACAGCACTCTCTTGTATACTCTAATATTAAACTTGTCTGATTCGACGTCCAACCAGTCCACATTTGTATTGCTGGTAATGTTTTCAACTTCTAAAACAACAAAAAATATTATAAATCCAGCTTTATCTAGCATTATAATTAACAGCCCTCTTGCCAAAACTTTTCTACGCTTTTTAGCCTATACGGAATAAATTTAGGTAATCCTTGCCTAAAACACAACAATATAACTCTTCCTCAATGATCAAAACTATATTAAACTTCGAAAAAAATTTGAGTCGTTCCTAAACATAAATAAAAAAAGACAAATAACATACCTTCTCTAACAATCCGATGAGTGTGCGGCAAACTTCTTATTTCTGGCGACTGTTCAATAACAGCTAATTCTTGGCTAATTTCGGACAAACATCTTCTGGTTTCCTCTTGTAACAGTTGAGATCCTCCTTGAGCGGCGCTGAAACGCCCATCGTCCATTCGTGGAAACTTCTTCGTGTAGAACGAAGGCTCTTTTCCAGCAGAATCATAGGTCTATAACAATAGCATAAAAAACCTTGTTTCAAAGAATTAAATCAAAGGTACCTAAAAGCACAAGAATAGTTAAAAAGAGCCCTTACTCGTTTTCTATCACTATAATCACGTTCTTCCCGGAACGATTGAGTTCTTGGTGGACTGGTTCTGCTGTAGTCGTAGTCCAAACGAGGTCTAGTTTCATATTCATCACGTGACTGTCTATAATCAACTTCACGCAAATCCCTGCCATAACTTGGGTCTTCACGATAAGATGAAGCACTGCGACCCCAAGAGCCGGGTAAAGGATCGCTGTAGTCCTAAAGTTAAGGGTTATAATAAAATACATTGAAGTTTTATAATAAAACATTAATGTTTTATATTAGCCGTGTTTATAAATAGGTTTTAACTAAAAACAATTGAGGAATATGTTCATGTGCTACGTTTGAAGTCTAATATACAAAAAAACTGCACAATTACTGGACTTTTAACAATTTTAGGTAAGAAAAAAATATTTACCTTCATTTCGCCAGATGGCCGCCAAGATTCAGATTGTTTCGGTGAGGAAAACAGCTTGAAAGCTAGAGTGAAACAGATCAAAAATACCTAAAAATCCTCGCACAAAAACCCGTTTGTTTTCGCAAAAGAACGCCAAAACAAGCCAAATCAATAGGAGTTCGCGCGGCCGCGCCCTGTCTTGCTTCCTTTTTATACGAAAGGCTGCGGTGTTTTATGCAAAACGAAGAGTTGTTTTGGGGCTTTAACGCAGTTAAAAGGAGAAAATAGGTAAAGATGAATAAGTTTAAGATTTTACTGATAAAATTTGACAATTTTAGTGTTTTCATTAGTCAACGCACTTTATATTGGTAGAGCAATGAAGTATCACAAAAAACCGATAAGATTGTGACACTTCGTCTAACAAAAAGATGACAAAATTTTGTCGGAAATTATTTTATTTTTTCGACGAATTTCTTACCAAAACTATGTTTTTTCAACCAAATTTTAGCTGTATTCTTGAAATGTTTATTGATTTTAATTTTTTCGCGATTTTTATACTTTTTTTTGCTTTTCAAACTCATTTATTGGTTGTTTTTTAGTCGATATAAACGATGGCTCCTCCAGCACTTGTAGCTCCTCAGCCAGTGGCAACGGCCGCCGAGAATTCTCTCAAATCTTACTACAAGACCAAGATTGAGGATTTGCAGCAAAGACTACACGAAAAATCACAGAATGTTCGTCGTCTTCAAGCACAGAGAAACGAGCTCAATTCTAAAGTTAGATCGTTGAAGGAGGAGTTGATGCAGCTTCATGAGCAAGGCAGTTATGTTGGAGAGGTGTCGAAGGCGATGGACAAGAAAAAGGTTTTGGTTAAAGTGGGTTATTTTAGTTTTTTGTTGGTTTTTAGGTATTGCTGTCGTTTTTGAAGTTTTTCATATTTGTGGAAGCAAATGATATTTTTTGCTATAAAAGGCTAATATAGATGTCCGTAAATTTGTTATTTACTATTTTGCATGTTTTACAGCCTTTATTGGTTGAAAAATGGCACTGTTTTGCATATGAACCATCTTTTCGCGCATTTCGTCGCGTGTCTGCGTAGTGTAGTGGTAGTGGGTTTGTCCTTTGGTTCTAAAGTAGCGGGGTTCGGGGAAACATGAGTGAAGTCAAAGTAATCTTGTTCTTTGATATTAATTAGTTTCCCCAAAGCATCCATCCCGTTATAGTTGCCGTATACTTCTTCATTGGGTATTGCGGTAGTCTTTCAACGGTTATATTTACCTAATTTTGGCTTTTTTAAGTTTTGCTTGCACTAGGGGAGGGTATATTTATCATTTTAGGTATATTTCATTATAATTTTTGTGTTTACATTGTCTTTTTACGTTTTGGTTTTAAAAGTAGTATTTTAGGTACATCCAGAAGGCAAATACGTAGTAGACATTGACAAAAGCATCGACATCAATCAAGTCAACACTGGAGCACGTGTAGCCCTTCGCGCCGACTCCTATGCTCTTCACAAAGTCCTTCCAAACAAAGTGGACCCTCTGGTCAGTTTGATGATGGTCGAAAAGGTCCCCGACTCAACCTACGAAATGATTGGAGGTCTGGATACTCAAATCAAGGAAATCAAAGAAGTTATCGAGTTGCCAGTTAAGCATCCAGAACTGTTTGAAGCTTTGGGTATTGCTCAACCCAAGGGAGTGTTGTTGTATGGTCCTCCCGGTACAGGAAAAACCCTGTTGGCTAGAGCTGTGGCTCATCATACTGCTTGCACGTTCATCAGAGTATCTGGTTCTGAATTGGTGCAAAAGTTTATTGGTGAAGGTGCTAGGATGGTGAGAGAGCTGTTCGTCATGGCTAGGTGGGTATTTATGTATTTTAAATAATTTATGACATTTTTATTTAAATTAGTTTTATGTTGTAGTTCTAGGTGGAATATTAAGGTAAATAAACGGTTTATGCTTGACTAACGGTCACTTTATACTAATTTTGTATTTTAGAGAACACGCCCCATCAATTATCTTCATGGACGAAATCGATTCTATTGGTTCATCTCGTGTTGAAGGTCATTCCGGTGGAGATTCAGAAGTCCAACGTACCATGTTAGAACTCTTAAATCAGCTGGACGGCTTCGAAGCCACAAAGAACATTAAGGTCATTATGGCCACTAACAGAATCGACATCCTGGACCCCGCCCTCCTCCGTCCAGGTCGTATCGATCGTAAAATTGAATTCCCAGCTCCAGACGAGAAGGCCCGTGCTGATATCCTCAAGATTCACTCGAGAAAGATGAATCTGATGAGAGGAATCAACATGCGCAAGATAGCCGAAGCCATCCCCGGAGCGTCGGGAGCCGAAGTCAAGGCCGTCTGTACCGAAGCCGGCATGTTCGCCCTAAGGGAACGTCGTATTCACGTCACGCAGGAGGACTTTGAAATGGCCGTGGGCAAGGTGATGCAAAAGGACTCGGAGAAGAACATGTCGATCAAGAAGTTGCTGAAGTAAAGGATCTAACTTGTACAATCACTAAATATATTTTATTCGGTTTATTTGGAATAAACTTAATTTCAGAGGTTTGAGAGAGGTTTGGCTGGGTGTTAAGGACTTTGTATGTTAAGGTAAAAGTTTTTTGAGCTTGTATTGGTTTAAAATTTGGCGAAATGGTGGTTTAAAAGCTATTATTGGAAGAGAAATTGATGGAAAACTTAAGGTTTTGGCTTTTTTTGAAAAATTTTGATTTTTTTTTATTTTAAAAATTCGAAAGAAGAATAACAAGATAAAAAATTAAAAGCACTTTTTGGATCACCAAAAATTTGCATAGAACAAAAAATATGCTCAGTTCGGCCTCATTTCCGCGACTCATCCACATTCCGTACGGTCGAACACTCCCGGAAGCGGTTGAATCTACTTCTTTCCAAGAACAAGGACTTGAACGGATTCGAATGTAAGTTCTGGATATCGTTTTGGATTGTTTTAGGTTTCTTGGAGCTAGGTTTGGCCAATTTGCTATTTTATTTTAAGATTTGTGGAGGATTTTGGGCTTAAAAGTTGAGTTTAAAAGCTATTTTTGATGTTGTTGTAGGCTGTTTTGTGCTGTTTTTGGTAAAATAGAGCTTGATAACGCAATCTCTTTGTGAATTTTACAATATTAACATTGAAAAATTATATACCTTCGTATTTTTTGCTGTAACAACCCCTAAAAACAACATCTCCTTAAAGATCTTGCTGTATTACCCTCAAAAACCTACATCAATATCTTGTATCCCATTTCCAGTTAAACTATGGCGTCCGACACCGAATCCTCCTTTTCCGAAGATTTCGAACACGCCTTCAGTAGCGGGATGAGCGAGCTCAGCGAAGCCATGGATCAGATATCGCGAAGCTTTGAACTTAACAGCACCACCACCAGTGCCACCGCCACCTCGACCAGTCTGGAGGAGGAGGGAGCGATTACCGATGGCATCTTCGTCCAATGCGAAGGACCGTGCAAGAAGAAGGTCAACCCGAAGAGGGCCAAGGTGTTCGGCAAGTGTGATCACGTTGTGTGCGAGACTTGTGTCAACACTGAGCCACGGGCTTATCATATTGTCGGTAAGGGTTTTTGTAGGTTTGAGGGCTTTTTTGAGACTTTTTGGAATTTCTTTTAATTTTTAAAATTTTTTAGTTTTAAAATTTTTTAAAATTTTTAAAATTAAAAAAAATTTAAATTTAAAACAAACCTACGAAGCTGGGCCGCCTTCCAAGCCGTAGCCAAACAACAAACGCTATATTAAAGTACAGCTGATTTAGCGCCCGAGCTTGGCTGTCCGAATCGTCGTTGTCTGTTGGACAGTTTGGTGGAGACCTCGATGAATGAGAAGGAACGCAAAGCCCTGATCGAGGCCTCGCTTCATTGCAAGGATTCGCCGGAAATGATTCAGGATGGTAGTGAAGAGGTGGGTCATTTTTGATTATATTGGGGGGGGGGAGGATTTTTTTGGTTTTTTTGGGGGGGGGGGAGTGGAATAAAAAGCCTTTGGTTACTTTTACCCCGCCTCCATTACCCCTTACCTCTACTTCTCACCCCTACCTCTGCCCCAATTCCCCACCTTTACCTCCTCTACCCCTACTCTACCCTTCCCCCTACCTTTACCTTTACTCTTACCTGTTTTCTACTTCTACTTCTAGTCTACCTTCTACCCTTACTTCTACCATTTTCAGATTCGATTGATCTACGTGCAGTTTGCGTTCCTGTCAGCGAAGGGGGAGGTGAAGGATTGCTGGTCGGTCGAGTGCCAATCCAACCAAACCATCAAAGAGACGCTGGACTATGGCATAACGGACTCGAGCTTCAACGCCAAAACCTTTGACACGTATTTTATGCGCGGCAATCACGAAGAGATACCCGGCCACGACCAATGGGTCAAGCTCACCGAACACCAAGACTCGGACAATTTGAAGCAGATTGTGGACAACGACGACAACACCTTGATCATATTTCAAGAGAAATGAAGTTAGGGCTTGTTTGTAGCATGGCTGTTCCTATTTGTAAAGAGTAAATATGTTATGAAGATTGGTCGATTTTTATTTTATTTACAACTTAATAAGAGCCGACATAAAGAACCTGCCAAATTTTGATGTAATTTCCTTTAAAAAATGGCGGGTTATTTATGTCGGCACCTAATATTAAGCCATTGCTGTCCACTATTCACATTTAACACTCTCCACGCTAACTCCACTGTCGCTGGGCACAGAAAACGAAAACTTGGACATTCCATTGCACGCTGCCGAATAGTCACCGTTCTTGGTCGCTACAATAATGGCGCCGAAGAAGTTGGGGTAGTACTGTTTTATTCGCAAAATTGCGGTTTGGGCCGCTTTTCGAGGTGACAAGCCGTTTCTCAATTGTTCTACGGCGATGGCACTGGAATTTTAAAGTATATTTTTACTATGCCCTTCTACTCTATCACGGTAGCCTATTCTTCTAGCCTATCCTTCTAATTTGTCCCTCGACCCCTCCCCTAGACATGAAAAACAGACCGGGCCCATTTTTTAAGCCCGGTCCGATCTAAATGTTGCTTAGGTTCGGCTAGGCCCTATTTTTTAACGTGTAAACCAACCAGGCTATTTCGGCCGGGCCGTACCTTAATTTTCAAGCCCGGTCTGTTATGCAAAAGCCGAACCGTTCCATTCCTCATATCTAACCCTACCCCTCCATTATACCCGTATACCCTACTTCTTTACCCAACCTTACCGTACCTTTCTACCCTACCTCTCTCGTCTGCCTTACCCCTTTACTTCACTTGTCTATCCTATCACTCTACCCAACCTATACTCTATCTTTTTACTCTACCCTTCTTCCCTAACCTATAGAAAGGGCCCTACTTACCTTGGTAAAAACCTCATCATTTGATCACCATCACCAGTAGCAGCTGCTCCACCCACATCGTTGTCAACGTATGCTCCAGCCCCTGGGATTGGTGAGTCACCAATTCGTCTAAAATTATATTGTAGTTACCAGACTATTATAAAGCTAATCCTCCCAGTCCCCCCCCTCCTTTCAAATTATTGATGAGAACAAACAATCTTTCACAGTAAAGTTCCTCTTACCCCGGAATTTTATGTCCAGCCCCATTAGTGGAAGTGCCAACGGAGATGTCACCATTCTCATCTACAACTACCATACCAATAGTGTCATGACTAGTTTGGGAGTAGTGTTCCAGCTCTTGAATCAACGTTCTTTGTACTTGAGTCTTCAAGTTCAACCTTCTGATGGGTTTGTATGGTCCACAAGTCCTTTTACTGTTTGGCTCAACGTTCTTCCAGAAGTTTGGCTGACAGTTTTGAGATATCCAGGCTTTCTGAGATTGAACCGAGTCATTTGTTGTCAAGTTTTCCAACTTGTAACCCATTTGAACCGCAAATTTTGTTGCTGGAAAAATTATTATTATTTTTTGATGATAAGTTTAAAAAGTAAGAGAATGTTAGGTAAGGTAAAGAAGGCTTAAATTCGAAATTTTGGTTAAAGTTATAAAAAACAAGAATAAGCTTGAACTGTAATCAAAGTAAAATAATGTTAAAATTAGACAGGCTACAGACTGGTTGAGATAAAGCAAAGGCAGTAGAACAGGGTAGGGTAAGGTGCATAGGAAAAAAGAGTGGGGTAGAGCAAAGTAGGGTAAGGAATTGCAAACAATTTTAGAGTAGCAAGGTTTTTAGGATAGCTAGGGTAAAGCAAGGTTAGGTACGGTAGGGTAGGATAAAGTAGAGTAGGGTAGGTAAGGGTAGGGTAGGGTAGGGTAGGGTAGGGTAGGATAGGGTAGGGTAGGGTAGGGGTAGGGTAGGATAGGGTAGGGTAGGATAGGGTAGGGTAGGGTAGGGTAGGTAAGGGTAGGGTAGGGTAGGGTAAAAAATCTTTAAAAAAATAAAATTGTACCTTGATCTCCAGCAATGAATGAATGAGTAGTATAATTCATGACACTCCAAGCCACTCTAGCTGCTGTTTTAACATTCCTCAAGTCTCCCACAGCACCCATTTCATGTCTAGGGCCATCCATAATCAATGCATCAAGTGTCGTTTCTCCACTTTCATCCGGAGATCCACCGTATCCTACAGTACGATCACACCGTAACTGTTCACATGTCTCTAGACCTTGCACCAAAGATTCTAGTCTAGACTGGCCTGATCTTAAGGCTTGCCATGCGTTTTCGGAAGCTTGGCTAAAGCCGGATGTAGCCCAGGTTGAGATGATAAATGGGCCGGCGGTGTAGGCTGGGGTGGATATTAAAGATAATGTATAGAGTTGTAGTAGAGGATTCATACTAAAATGTTTTACAATATTAAATCAAAAAATTTTTTAATAAAAAAAAATAACATCGTATTTTACTTTTTAACCTACCTACCCAGTGCCACCCTTTCCTACTCAATACTATTTTACCTCGCTTTTGCCAGTCTAACTCTCCTTACCGTGGCTTGTTTTACGCTAGTCTATTCAGTTCTAATTTGCCTTACTTTAACCTACCCTATCTTAACTAGTCTTACGCTGTCTTACCCAACCTTATCGATTCGATCAACCTCTACGTTGCCTTTTCTTACCCTGTTCTACCCAGTCTAACCCTACTCACTTCTACTCTACCCTACCTGCCATCCTACCCTACTCAGTCTTACTCTACCTTTCCTTACCCAGTCTGATACTCTTTCCCGTGGCTTTTCCTACTCTACCCTACCCAGTCTTAATTTACTCCATACTTTCCAATCCTACCTTACCGTACTCAGCCCTAACATGCCCTACCCTAACTAGTTGTGCTCTGCTCCAACTAGTCTTAGTCGGCTTTACCAAGATCTACGCCGTTTTGTGCTAACCTACCCATTTCAACTGTACGCTGCCCTGTTCTATCCTATTTTACACAGTTTTATCCCACCCAACCATCACTCAAAGTTACCATACCCAAAAAAAAATTTTTTTTAAATTTGGTTATTTAATCCCCCCCCCTTTACCCTAATTTTGATTACAAAAAAAAGTTAAGCAAACTTAATAAAGCCTAAGCAGATAAATTAATTGTCTTTTATAAGTTTGTTTGAGACAGCTGACTGACCTTTCTCGTCGTCCATTGTCTGCTTTATCGCGTATTCAATCTCCAGAATGGACTTAAAAGGTTCCGTGGAGCATTAAAATGTTATTGTATTTGTTTTGTGAACAGTTATTGTTGCATAAATTATCGGTTTTACGAAAAATAGCAGGAACTTCCCTTACAAAACAGAAAACGGCAAGAACTTTCTTTACAAAACAAAAATGGCAAGAACTTTCTTTACAAAACAAAAATGGCAAGAACTTTCTTTACAAATCAGATGGCAAAAATTTTCTTTACCAAACAAAAAATGGCAAGAACTTTGTTTACAGAATCGAATATGACAAGGACTTTCTTTACAAATCATAAAACAGCAGGAACTTTCTTTACAGTATACAAAGTGACAAGAACTTTCTTTACATAGCGGAAAATTTTGTTTATCGTATAACTTGTCACCTGCAAGCTTCACCAGCTTTAGTTTTGGCTTTTAATGTAAAAATAGCAAGAACTTTCTTTACAAATCAAATGGCAAAAATTTTCTTTACCAAACAAAAAATGGCAAGAACTTTGTTTACAAAGCGAAAAATGGCAAAAACTTTCTTTACAAAACAAAAAATTGCAAGCACTTTCTTTACAAAACAGAAAACGACAAGAACTTTTTTTACAAAACATAAAATGACAAGAACTTTCTTTACAAAATCAAAAATGGCATGAACTTTCTTTAAAAAGCAAAAAATAGCAAAAACTTTCTTTACAAACCTCAAAAAATATTACTTTTATTAGTTGTTGTCTATTTACACCAAATAACTTGTTATATCTTATATACAGCTGGAGATGAGTGTGAGTTCTGGCGAGACTGTGGAGAAGCTATCGGCGTGGACGTTGAGTTCGGAACCCCAACAGAGTCACGAGTCGAAATCGACAGACTTTGATTGGAAGGCGTGGGTGCGTTGTAGGCTTCTTCTTGTCGGCGGACAAAGTCTCGGACTTGGGCCTGAACGTGGTTAATGTGAATTTAATAAAAGAAGGTCGATCTGAGTTTTGGGTTAGAAGTATAATAGAATTTTTTTGTTTAGAGGAGGGTTTGCGTAAATGGTAGGGCTTCATTAGAGGTAAGTAGACTTAAAAAGGAGCACGCCTTGGTTTGGTTTGAGTTTCGGCTCTAGGGCTGATATGCGCTGGCCCAGTTTTTTAAGTTTTTTTGAGACCGGCCTAAGCATATTGGGCCTTTTTTCAGACCTAGAGTTTAGTTTTAGATAACGTTAGGGCTTCGGTATAGACTAGGCCCACTAGAAACTAAAGTACTGTAAAGTAGAGTAGGGTAGAGTACGGTAAGGTAGAGTTGAGTAGAATAGAGTAGAGTAAATCAGGGTAGGGTAGGGTAGGTAGGGTAGGGTAGGGTAGGGTAGGGTAGGGTAGGGTAGGGTAGGGTAGGGTAGGGTAGGGTAGGGTAGGGTAGGGTAAGGTAGGGTCTAAAATACAACATTAAAAACCAATAACTTACTCTAAGTTCTGGAGACAGTTCCTTGGAAGGGTTGATGACTTCACTAACGTATCTGAAGCCTCTGTATGCCACCTTGAGTAGGTAGCAAGTGATGATCATCAAAATTGTTGTGACTGCAATGGCTAGTGAATGCCGAATGTAGAAGATACGGCCAATATGTTTGTAGTATGCTACTTGTTCTGGAGGCATGTCAGGTGGGAATACTGTATCATAAGCTTCTTTCATTTGAAGTGAGAGTAAGACAATGAAGGTTAGGTAGCCAAGGAGGTATAGGGACTAAAATTATTTATCAACTTAATAAAGAATAAAAAAAAATCAAAAATTTTAAAAATTAAAAAAATAAAATTTCTGAAAAATTTTTTAAGCCTAATTAAAAAATAAGTCTAATATCAACCACAACTTACATTAATAATCAAATGTGGCCAATACAATCCAACCTTTTCCTTCTTCTGTCCTAACATCAACAATAGGTATGATACGACGCTTGGTGCTGATAGAGCCATCATTTCCCAGCTGTCAGTGTCGAAACAGATGTAAACAAAGTAAAGTAATGTTATGATGGCTCCAACTAGACCAACAATAAATGAGCCTTTCTGAAAGTCACGGAATTCAGAAGCGGTTACGGATGAGGATGACATTATATTATAGTAGAGTATATTTTAGGGTGTATGGTGCTACTTAGGCTTCAAAGTAGCATTTAACAATTTTTTGTTTAGGGGGTTTAACTATGTTAATTACAGTTGGTAAAAGCAAGAATGTAGTAAGATAATGTAGGGTAGAGCAGGGTAAAGTAGAATAAAGTAGGATATGTTAGAGTAGAGTATGGTAAAGTAAAATAGTATAAGACAAGATAAAATAAAGTAAAGTAAGATAAAGTAAGGCTAGATAGAGTATGATAATGTAAGTTAAAGTAGAACAAGGCCGGGTATGGTAGGGTAAACCAGAGTAAAAGTAAAGTAGGTTAAGGCAAGATACGATATAATAAAGTAAAGCTGAGTAGAATAAGGTAAGGTACAGTAGAGAAAAATAATGTACAATAAAGTAGCGTAGCTTAAAGTAAAGCTAGATTCACGTGCCTTTTAAAATTTAAGGTAGCAAATAAGTTACAGGGTAAAAACACCCTTACTATAGCAAATACGTAAACTGCTTCAACATAAAAATAGAAAACTTGAGTTGAACTGCCTGATCACAGCTTGATATTCGATAAAGTCACTTACATGCACGTGGGTTTTACATAAACAAAACCAAAAGTCGGGAGGTAGATCGGTAATAACTTTGTCTTTCTTGGGCTTTGGTGGCACATTGTATGTTAATGGATTGTCCATTCTGAAATATATGGCATTATTAATTTAATTTTACTATAATTTCAAAAAAAGTTCATTTAAAAAAAATATTTTTATTTCGCAATAACATGTTACCTACCCTACCCTAAGGTCAATTAGAGCAAGGTAGGGTAGGTTAATGTAGGACACGATAAGACAGAGAAGAGTTACGTAATGTAGGGTAGGGTAATGTAGGGTTGGGTAGAGTAGGGTGGGGTAGGGTAGGGTAGGGTAGGGTAGGGTAGGGTAGGATAGGGTAGGGTAGGGTAGGGTAGGGTAGGGTAGGGTAGGGTAGGGTAGGGTAGGGTGGGGGTAGGGTAGGGTAGGGTAGGATAGGGTAGGGTAGGGTAGGGTAGGGTAGGGTAGGGTAGGGTAGGGTAGGGTAGGGTAGGGTAGGGTAGGGTAGGGTAGGGTAAGGTAAGATAAAAAAAAGAAAGTAAGTTCAAAAAAGTCTTATCATTTTTTTACCTTCTACTCAATGTAAAATTACGACAAAACTTTTTTCAAAATTTCAAAAGTAAAAATTTCAATTTTTAAAAAAAATTTAAAAAAAAAAACAAAAAAATTTTAAAAACTCAAAAAATTTCTTAACAAAAACTTTGTTTCCAAAAGTATAACACCACGTTACCGCACAATTTAATGGTTACAAAACATTCTCTGCGCTTCAAGGAAGAAATCACTCAAAACAGTGTAATAATCATACTTGAAAATATTTTTTAGGTTACTCGATTAGAAAGCAACTGTTAAACGATTCGTAGTTTAAAATTGAAAAATTAACATTTTGAAATATAAAAGTGCAAATGGCAGCAAGATTTTTAAGTTTTCTTCAAGACCACCACCAACATGAATCTTACTTTAATTAGGATTCCCCATCGTACTACCTAAAGCAAGGGTAGGGTAAAGCCAAGGAAGTACTAGAATGAGGCTAAGAGTAAAGCTAAGATAAGATATAGATAAAACCATGATTGGACTAGGAGAAGGGGTTAGGACGTAGCTAGGATAAGGCATGTGAAAAACCAAGATTCTCACCCTTAAATGTAAGACTAGATTTAGGTTAGGGCTATATCTGTATCTTACCAATATAAGGTAAGATACAGCATAAATTTGGGGTTATACTAGGAGAGGGGGCTATAATGGGGATAAGAAACCCAAGAGAAGAGCTAGAGTTACGCTAAGACTCTAGCCTTAACTTAGTTTGGCCTTATTGATGGTTAAGATTATTCTAAACTTTTATCTCATTTCTCACCGTTTTTTAATAAAAATAAGTTGCTTTATCTAACCTACTCAACCTCAGCGAGTAAAGGGTTTACGTTTAACAATGAGGTCAAAAAATCGACTTGAATATCGCTGTTACATTTTAAAATTTTTGTCGAAATTTAAGAAAAGAGATCACTTTCAACTTTTGAATTTTTCTGTTCTTTCTTCTTCCGTTCGCGACTGTCTGTCTACCTTATTTCGATATTAGCTCTATATACTTTTTTCTACATCATTACTTTAGACTAACGTAAAGTTCTTAATTTAAAGTTAAGTTTTAAACTCTTTTATAATTTTACTCTAACTTTCTCTATTCTAGCCTAAAGTCCTAACCTATTCTAGCTAATCATCTCTAGATATAAAGAACGGGCTGGGCTTGAACAAATTTTTTAATAATATCTATCCTAGTCTAAAGGCTAACTCTAGCCTAGCTAACAAACTTAATTTTAGCTTATAGGCCGGCTTTATCGTAGCCAAAAGGCCAACTCTACTCTAGCTAACTATCCCCATCCTAGCCTACAAACCCACTCTATCCTAGCTACTCAACCCTATTCCAGCACAAAGACCTTAGTCTACCAATGTAATAATAATATATATTATAGAAGAAAGAACGTTGACCAAAATTATAAACAAGAACTACTTGAATAAAAAGTAAATCATCATTAACAGACTTTCACAACCGTTACGAAACGACAAATTGATTATACTTTAAAAAGTTGTTTGTTCTGTGTATCGTATAACGAAACAGCTCGATCAAGTTAATATTAGGTTGTAATGAATGGTAAAGATGGTAAACAGACAGAAACGGATTAGCGACAATTAGGTATTAGTACTGTTGTGACGTTTTAAAAAGAGTGATGCTTAGTGGGTGATGTCTAGTGTTATGGTTTTAATGAAAGCAGGGGTATTAAGGTTTAATTATTATATAGCTAGAAATAGTACAGTAACTCTTAATGACAAAAGTATAATTGGTTTGACTTGGCTTGGCTTGGCTTGGCTTGGCTTGGCTTGGCTTGGCTTGGCTTGGCTTGGCTTGGCTGGCTTGGCTTGGCCTGCTCTTCCTATATCTTGCTCTGCCATACTGTGCCTTGCCCTATCATACCGTGCCTTGTTTCACCTTGTTCGGCCTTGCCCTGCCCTGCTTTTCCCTTCCTTCCCTATGTTGCCTTGCCGTACTGCTCCCTGCCCTATCATACCGTGCCTTGCCCTATCTTGTTCGGGCCTGCTTTGATTTGTCTTGCCTTGCCCTCTCTTGCCCTATATTGGCCTACCTGCTTTTACCTTTCAATCAATATCCAACCCTTCCTTCCCCTCTAACTATTTTTCCCCCTTCCTCTTCTACCCTTCCCCCCTCGCCCTCTCTTTCTCCTCACTTCTTGTCACCCTTTCCACTAATAGCTGCCATAACTTAATATAAAGAACAAAAACAAATAGTAGGCGCAAAGTCTTAACAATTAACAACAAGGTCGACAAAATAGCGGTAATCAAGGGTTGTGAAACTTCCTTTTTCCATTTTCGGAGTTCAGAAAGCAATTGCGCAAAAAGTGAACTGTCAGCGGGCTTGGAATTAATGACAATTTTTTAAATGAAAAGATATATTAAAGTTAAATCGGGTTCGCTTTTGGTTCGAAAATCCTTGGATTTTGAAAAGCGAAGGTGTCACGTGCTTATCAGATGGCAATCTGAATTCTTAAAATTTGAAACAGTTTAGCCTTAGCCTTAGCCTTAGCCTTAGACTTAGCCTTAGCCTTAGCCTTATTAGCCTTAGCCTTAGCCTTATTAGCCTTAGCCTTAGCTTTAGCCTTATTAGCCTTAGCCTTAGCCTTAGCCTTAGCCCTAGCCTTAGCCTTAGCCTTAGCCTTTGCCTTTGCCTTAGCCCTAGCCTTAGCCTTAGCCTTAGCCTTAGCCTTAGCCTTAGCCTTAGCCTTAGCCTTAGCCTTAGCCTTAGCTTTAGCCTTAGCCTTATTAGCCTTAGCCTTAGCCTTAGCTTATGCCCCAGCCTTCGGCTTTCGGCTCTCGGCTCTAGCTCTTGGCTCCTAGCTCTTGACCTTAACCCTAGCCTTAGCTCTAGCCTTAGTTTTAACCTTATTTTAAAAAAAACTTATTTTAGGTGTCAAATTGTTAAAAATGATTAACCTTTCCAGAAACTACTCTACATTACTACCAAAAACGTAAAAGTAATTTAAAAAAGACGAATGGACGCGTATTCTTTCCATAAACAGAAAAAGTGCAAATAATAACCGTATTGTAGACAACGTGCTGTTAGCGCGCTATTGTGTCTACAAGCCATAAAATGAAAATAGATCTTCTACAATATGCATTGTTGTGCACTTTTAAATATCCATAAGGTTTAGATATTGGTTTAGGGTTAAAAATGATAAAGTTATACAGTGCCGCGTGGGCACTTCTGGTCTGAAGCCGGGGTAAAAAAATTCACAGGGGGGACCACGTTGAACTTTTTTAAATTTTTTTAAAAATAATATAATTTTTTTTAAATAAAACAGCTAAAACTATAGTTTTTAAAACTTTATTCACAAATATTATCGATAATGCACCGAATTGTTAAAACTCTCGAGTAACAAAAATATACCAGTAAAATATCTGGAAAAACTGTTTTTTTTGAAATTATCAGCATACGATATCAAGGCCAGGAAATGAGGGTCTGCCTTAAGAAATGAGAGGAAAGGAGGGTTGAAAGGGGAAGTTGAGGGAAGGGGGGTGAAGAGGGAAGGGAAAATGAAGGGGGAGGGGAGGGGTGAAGAAGAATCATTTTGAGGGGAACAGAGGAAGAGGGGAGAAGAAAAGATAAAAAATTTTTTAAAAAAGCTAGCCCTAAAAAAAATTCTTTACTTTATGTACCATCCCCCGCTCCTCCCCATCATTTGCTTTTTGGCTTGACCACCCTAAAAAAATATTTTTACCTCCACCCTTCTCTAAAAAAACCTTATAAATGAAAGAAACACAGCTTCCTCTTTAACAAATATTTTTTAATTTACTACCCTATACTTCCATCCCCCCCCCCTTAATTAACCCCTACCTCCCTCAACAACCCTCAACTCCCCAGCCCCAACACCGTATCTTATAGCATAAACAATGGCACTCGGAATAGTTTGGGATCCAGCCCCAGAGATCCTTTCACTTTGGCATCCTGAATCTGAAGCCAGTGATAGCGTCGCTCGTCGTAGATGGTCGAATTTACAGCCGACTTCTTGTGCATACACAGTATGCGCAATTTCAGGCCATGGTGAATACTGTCCATGGACTCGGGCCAACACCAGGTTTTGAGGATGGCCGTTGGTGCTTTGATCACGTTTTGACCGTCTTCGATTAGGTGCTGAAAATTTTTATTTAAAAAATATTTGAAAAATAAAGCACTTTTTTATTATTGCTTTGGCTTGGTCCAGCCCTTCGCAAGTCCGAGCCAAGACTACGCCAAGCCTAATCATTTTTTTAAGTCTAGTTAAAAAATTATAAAATTTTTAGGCTTACTCGATAGCACTTTGAAACAACAACTGGAAAAAAGTATTCGAATCCAAATTCAACCAGAGGAAAGACTTCTTTGTTGTCATCTAGTAGTTCATCTTCTGATTCTATTGAAGTGTGTACCAGTACTTCTGTACGATCACTGAAAAGTGCATTTTTAAAAGCTTAATGCAAGAAATCCAAAAAGAAATTAATATTATACTCCCCCCCCATAACCATTGCCCAACCAGTGTGGTAAGCCTAAAAATTATATGCTAAAACAAAAAGTTGTATTATAAGCCTAAGAATTACCCAATAAATGAGAAAATTTAGCGCCAAGCCTAAATTCCTTAATTAAGCCAAAAAATCAACATCTTAAAAATAAAAAACCTGTGTTAAGCCTAAAATGCTTCGTTAAGCCTAATAATTTACTGCTAAACATAAAATTTTATTTTAGTAACGATTTTTTTTGATAAGCCTAAACCAAGACAATAAACCTAAAAATATTGTTCTAATCCTGAGCGTCGTATGTCAAGCCTAATACTCAAAGGTTAAGCAAAAAATTTCAGTTATAAGCCTATAATCGTTTGCTTAGTCTAAAAAAAATTGTGCTAAGCCTAAGCTTTTTTGCTAAGCTAAAAAATTTGCTGCGAAGCTAAAAAAACTACACTTTATATTCAAAGCGAAAGACTCCTTTGATAAGCCTAAAAATTGTGTTCAAAGCCTTACCTCACACTACCTTGCTTCACAATGACAAACTCTATAAATAAGCCCGGTTGAACTTTATCCACATTCAAAACTGGCATAGGATTCGGTACATCTGCCATTTTGCGCCATTTGTCATACTTCTGGGCCTCGTTGACAATTCGAAAAAAGTCATTTCCTCGTAAATCCACCCTGCCACCTTTAATGTCATCAACATTGAACCAGCCGGCTGCCAAACTCTCTAAGTCCGGCTCGGTTTTGAGTTGACCGCCGGTGATTTGGCACCAATAAGCCATGCGGTACCATCCGGACCCTTTTACCTCAGTTGTTATCATGCTCTCCACCTGACATTCAAAGCCGGTTTCTTCTCGAACTTCACGTTGTACACCTTGTTCAATGGTCTCGCCTGGCTCCACGTGTCCTGCGGGCATGTACCATTTCCCTCGACACTTCTTCTTAGCTTCTTGGATCAATAACATCTGGGTTTGGCCGTTGTGTTCCCTGAATATTACACCTACTACTATGTAGGTTACATTGTCGTAGACTCGAACCCATGGGCATCCTGAAAGTAGTAAGGTGGCTATAGCATTGTTTAGTATATTGTAGGGTATGGTAGGACAAGGCAAAACAGGGCAGAAAATGAAAAGACAGTACGGGGCAGGGCATGTAGAATAGGAAGGATGAGATGTAGCAAGACCAGATCGAGTAGGGCAAGGCAAGGCAAGGCAAGGCAAGGCAAGGCAAGGCAAGGCAAGGCAAGGCAAGGCAAGGCAAGGCAAGGCAAGGCAAGGCAAGGCAAGGCAAGGCAAGGCAAGGCAAAGGCAAAGGCAAGGCAAGGCAAAGGCAAAGGCAAAGGCAAAGGCAAAGCCGGACTGGCTTGGAGAAGAATGTTCAGAATCAGGCAAGGTAGGGCAGGAGCAAAAATGCCGTTTTGTAACGTTATTTTTCCAAAATTTTTTAAAAATTTTTTGGAAAAAAACCGTTTTTTATGAGATATTGTGCTGTCAGTTGGTCTAGTTTTTAACTGTTTTCCTGAAGCCGGAATCAGCCTATGGGTAATTAAATTTTAGGGTTGTTGTTTATTTTCGTCTGGTCTTCTTTTCATAAACGTATCCGAAAAAACCGTTTGCAAACGGTTTTTGGACATTACTCTGCATATTTTGCTTGGTATATTATTGCAGGGTAAAGTAAGTAAAAATTGACTCGTCATCTGATAGTATTAAAAATTGTCGGCCAATTCGTTCGTACATAACAATTCACTTTCATATGCATTTGAAAAGCTGTGGGCGCGAAAATATCAAAAAATTTGAAAAGTAAAAAAAGTAATATTAAAAAGTGGAGTCGAGTCGTACAATTTTTATACTGATGCTCTTTGGTTTTACAATTTTTTTTGGGGGAAGGGGGGGGGGTTTAAATTTTTTTAAGGCAAGGCAAGGCAAGGCAAGGCAAGGCAAGGCAAGGCAAGACAAGGCAAGGCAAGGCAAGGCAAGACAAGGCAAGGCAAGGCAATAAAACTTACTGCCAAGTTGCATATCAGGTGTCGGTCGATTTTTCGGTCGCTGTGTCTTCGGTGACAGTGCTGGTGGCCCAGACGAACAGCTTTCTGATTGACTGTCTGTGGTTGAAACGTTTAGCTGACTAGAGTTGTTTGACGATCCAGCTGATTCTCTTAACGGGGCTTCATCGTACGTCATGCTGAAAGTACAAAACCTTACATTTCGTATTTTAAAACAAGTTTTTGAAAAAAAGTTTAAGTAGTACTTCATAGGCATGGCAAAATCAAAATAAAAAAAATTAAAAATTTTTTAAAAATTTCCCCCCCCCCTCCCATTTTATATATTTACCACCCCCTATCCTAGCCGTATCCATTCCCCAATGATCCTCAGTCTAAATTGTCCTAATACCAAAGAAATGTCCAAGAATAAGACAACAAAGCAAAAGAAAAAAACAAATTTATATAAAACGCGTTCGGCCGCCAAAAAATGGGTAATAAACTCAGCTGCGTCTTTACGAGTCATCAGAGGGCCTTTAAACAAACCGCCATACATATACAACATAATATCTGTCTGGAATGGGGGATATATGAGAAAAAGTTAGGGCGGGTTTAGTGTAGGGTACGATTTTTTGAAAGGGGGGGGGGAGGAGGGAGGGGGACAGCAAGTAAGGGGGGGGCGGAGGAAAGGGGGACGTGGAATCCACCCGAAGAAAATTTTTGAGTTAAAAATATAAATTTGTGCCGCAGGCTATTAAATTTTTCTACTTTCTGTTTTATACCAAACCCTCCCTCCCCCCCCTCCCCCCCCAAAAAAAAATTTTTTTTTGAATAAAATTTGACATAGTCTCCTCATGCTGAAATACAAATTTTAAAAAAAAATTTTTTTACATTTTTCTTTTCCCTTCCTCTCCCCCCCCTCTTCCTCCCCCCCCTCAATTCACCCCTCCCAAAAACCAAAATCATACGCCCAGCTAAACAAAATGCCATTCCAAAGTTTAGACTCAAAAAACTAACATAATATATAACAGAGCTAAAGACCATAACATCTATCAAAGATAAAGAAACTAACATAACATTCATCAAGGATAACGAAAAAATATGCCCTCGGGTGTTGTTTTTGCATTCTTTTCAAACTCTTAAGCCCAGTTATTTTTTCTGTGAATGGGAGGAAGTAAAGAAAAGAATGGCCAGACGTTTTTAGCCGGCTTTAGCAACTTGAAATTGCTAAAAGCTGAAAGTCGAAGGGGGGGGATGTTTCGTTACATATCTATTTAAAAAATAAATTTAAAAAAAAAATTTTTTTTGAATGTAAGGAAAAACCTCGTCATAAAATCCAAAAAAAAATGTAAAAATGAAGGGTGAGTACTTAACAATTTTTTGAATTTTTATTAACAATAAAAAAAAAGTTTTTTTACCTTGCTCTGCCTTACCTTACCTTTTTATATACTAGCTAACGCCATAGCCAGGCATTATCTAGTATATAAAAAGTAAAAAAAATCGAAAAAAGTTGAACGTGGTCTCCCCTGTAAATGCTTGAAAAAAATTTTTGGCCATAGCTAAAAATATTTTTTTTAGTTTGCTCTGACCTCCTCTAAAATTCTATCTTGGTTTGCCCTGCCCTACCCTCTTCTACCTTACCGTACTTTTTCATGTACTAGGAAAAGGCATAGCAAAAAATTTTTTTCTGATCTTTTCCCTGTTTTAAAAAATGTTTTTGTAGACTTTCTTAACCTAGCAGAGACGGCCTCCCTAACACAGCCTCTGTTTTTCTTTCGTTTTACGTTAAAAAACTCTGCTCAGCTGGAAAAATTGAACTCAATGTAAAACAGAATACCCTACCTTACCCATCTTGCCATAATACCCACCCCACTCACGCTACCCCACCATACCATACCCCACCATGCCATACCCTATCCTACACTAGCAAAACTAAACTTGAGCTAAAAATGCCAAAAGTTTAAAAATTTAAACCCCCCCCTTCCCCCAAAAAATTGTAAAACCAAAGAGCATCAGTATAAAAATTGTACGACTCGACTCCACTTTTTAATATTACTTTTTTTACTTTTCAAATTTTTTGATATTTTCGCGCCCACAGCTTTTCAAATGCATATGAAAGTGAATTGTTATGTACGAACGAATTGGCCGACAATTTTTAATACTATCAGATGACGAGTCAATTTTTACTTACTTTACCCTACAATAATATACCAAGCAAAATATGCAGAGTAATGTCCAAAAACCGTTTGCAAACGGTTTTTTCGGATACGTTTATGAAAAGAAGACCAGACGAAAATAAACAACAACCCTAAAATTTAATTACCCATAGGCTGATTCCGGCTTCAGGAAAACAGTTAAAAACTAGACCAACTGACAGCACAATATCTCATAAAAAACGGTTTTTTTTCCCAAAAAAATTTTTTAAAAAATTTTGGAAAAATAACGTTACAAAACGGCATTTTTGCTCCTGCCCTACCTTGCCTGATTCTGAACATTCTTCTCCAAGCCAGTCCGGCTTTGCCTTTGCCTTTGCCTTTGCCTTTGCCTTTGCCTTTGCCTTTGCCTTTGCCTTTGCCTTTGCCTTTGCCTTTGCCTTTGCCTTTGCCTTGCCTTGCCTTTGCCTTTGCCTTGCCTTGCCTTGCCTTGCCTTGCCTTGCCTTGCCTTGCCTTGCCTTGCCTTGCCTTGCCTTGCCTTGCCTTGCCTTGCCTTGCCTTGCCCTACTCGATCTGGTCTTGCTACATCTCATCCTTCCTATTCTACATGCCCTGCCCCGTACTGTCTTTTCATTTTCTGCCCTGTTTTGCCTTGTCCTACCATACCCTACAATATACTAAACAATGCTATAGCCAAAAGTTATAAAGCCAAAATTGCAGTTTGTCTTTGGTGCAATTTAACTATTCTTTCCTCATTCTCGAAAGCATCATTCAGAGTCATTTGTAGAAAAAAACAAGACATAAACGGTTCTCCGGCTATTTAAAAATAGCAAATTCTACGAAAGAATAGACTGCCTAGGAAACAACAGCATCGTCATACACCATGTTATAGTGGTACAAATGAACAACTGGGGCATGAGGACAAAAAAAATTAAAAAAAAAGGGGGGGGAAAGGTAGAAAGGTGGCGGGGGGAGGGGGGGGTAAATACCCTGTGATAATAAACTAAAAATTTTATTTGTCTCGTTTTTCTCCTCCCCCCCCCAAAAATTTACCCCGCCCAAAAAATAATATAGAAAATTATACCCGCCTTTCTTTCCCCTTTGCAAACTGTAGGAAAAATTGGATTTCTTTGCAAAAAACGGCCGAAAATAGCCATGGTCTTTGGTATAAACATAATTTCTATCTGTTTTCCGGAAATGTCATCCCGAAAGACGCCTTTGGGTTATAACTTTTTATGGCTTCTTTGTTACCCTTGGCACAATGTGTCTTGATAATAAAAGTCCCAATTTTATAAAAATTTCATTTTTTCAACCGTCCTTCATTTGCCCTTGCCTAGACTTGGCTTCTTGGCCATACTGGACCAAAAACTCCAGCGGAGCCTAAGACCGGAATGTTCAAGCCCGGACCGCCTAATTAGGCTTATGCCAGGCTTGACCGGCATAAACCGTGTGCCAGGCCAACCTAGGACTCAAATCTACTTTAGCCCAAACAAAAATTGTTCGATTAGGTCTTGCCCTGCCTCTTCTGCCCTATCTTGCTCTATTCTGCTCTGCTCTGCCCATCCTTCACAAATAAGTATTTTTTACCCCTTTCTTCATTCCTCCTGCCCTAAACCTGAAATTTTGGCCGGATCGGGCCAAAAACACAGCTGGCCTTGCAAGCCTAAACCTTACGCCCGGCTCGCTTAAATTTTGCTCAAGCCCAACTTGGCCCTGCGAAAGCTGCAGACCGGACCGACCCAAGAGCCAGATCTACCCCGCCCAAACAAAACTTGCCCTATTGCACCTTCATACCATTCTATACACTCCGTATGTCATAATACAGATATAAACGTATAGAATATTATGTATTTTATACACTTATGCCATAATATACTATATACACTTTATACTATATTAAAAAACTAATCTGGTTTCGAATCGTACGAACGAAGGAATCGTAGTGCCCAAGGGAAAATAATTTTATTTTTTAAAAATCAGTTTAAATGTCTGATTGATGGCTTTATGGCCACGCTTATGACAACAAGTGAGAGAAAACTGTTTTTGTGACAAGTGATGAGTCGTGGTCATCAAAAGCTCCGGATTCAAAGTTTTGACAGTAACGCCATGTACCAGTCGGCTAGGAGAAGGGATTAGTGATAAAAAATGGTAATGGTTTTAAAATTTTAAAATTACTTTGCCTTACCATACCTTTCTGTTCCCAACTTTACCAACTTAACGCTACTCGCTCTACCAAGACACAAAATTTTTAAAAAGTCATGGTACTACAGTACCTACTACAGTATTGTGCCAATATAAAATGTCTGTATAAATAATGTTCTTCAGTTTAAAAAAAACCCAAAAATAAGATAACCGAGCAAGTTTTCAAAACAAGATTGAGTTACACATGCTATTCTACGAGTGACCGGAAGTATTTTTTACGCTGTTAGCTTCTGCCACAAGCTTTAAACTTTAAACCGCGCCTCTAAGCCTAGCCGTATTTTACACGTCTTACCATAACCGTGCCTTAGTCTTGCCCCACTCTATTTTACCAAACCTTATTCTGCTCTAACCGACCCCTATCCTAGCTTTACTTTAGGTTTTTAATCAGATATCAGTTTAGGTACACCAACTTTAAAAAATTGTAACTTGGTAGACTTAACCTTAGTAAACAGTAAACTTAACCTTAACTAATAGGCACAGTAATCATAGGATTGGTAACCCAGAAGGTTTCAATTATGGCAAGTAGGTTATGCTTTCGCAGAAACTTTGAGTTAGGTTTAATCATCCACTAAATTACTGTCATAGTGCTCGGAGAAATTCAAAGCCAAATCCCAGCACTCGCAGTAATTTGTTGGGTCGTTTTACATCGAGGCAAATGTGATATAAAACCGTAACATTACATAAGAAAAAGTTGCGCAATTGCATTTCTTGCAATTTCTCTAAGGCTATCTTGTTATATCATAAAATTAGGTAGTACCGCACGAAACTACAATTACTATGCGTAAGACTTAATAAAATTTCTTAAATTATGCCCTGCCCTGCCCTGCCCTGCCTTGCCCTGCCCTGCCCTGCCCTGCCCTGCCCTGCCCTGCCCTGCCCTGCCCTGCCCTGCCCTGCCCTGCCCTGCCCTGCTCTGCCCTGCCTTGCCTTGCCCTTAATACTGTAATTCCTAATCTTACTTTCCTTACCCTACCCTTGCCCACCATGCCCTATCCTACTCTACCCTCTATAAGTCTACCAATTTCAAAACAACGCCAGTCAAAGTAGGCACCATTAATCCAAACCCGCCGCCGAAAAATGATGTTCAAATAGAACGAAGATGAATTTATTGAACGCATGAGATTCTTGACCACGATAAGACCTCAAATCCCCTAAAGAATCATACAGACTTTGCGAAAACAAAACATAATTGCTCAAACTATTCGAATACTGAGGTCTTATATAACGTTTTTTAAAAACATCAACATTTTAAGTCTCCCTTACACAAAAATTCTACCCTGCCCTATTTTTACAAAAAAGTTGAGCGTATTCTTCTGTGTTTATTATACATATATAATATGGCTAAAAAATTGAAAAAAATGTTATGCACTTCCTTCTTCGTAAATTTAATTTAACCCGCCCGACACTGCTTTCGTTCTAGTTTAGCCCTTACACATTAACTTTTACGTTAAAAGCTTAAAAATTTAAAAAAAAACGAAAAAAGTCAATAGCCTCAGGATCAACTCGAAAAGTTCCTCAAACTTTAAAATCTCTAAACTCTCGACTAAACTTTTTTCGATCTCTCAAAAACGAACCAACACTCCTAATTTCCGTTCCATCTGTTTTCAAATGGCTCTTTCTTAACGAAGAGTGTTATAAATAAACAAACAGTCAAGGAGTATAACTTGCAAGCTTATTGTACTTTAAATAAGTTGTGTTTACTACACCTGTAGAGGAGTTGATGTGGATTTAATGTTTTGACGTAGCCCAGCCCATTTAACGTTTTTTTAAGTTCAACCCGGTCAAGCTTAGTGAGCCACTTTTCAGGGCTAGTGATTACATTTCTATTGTACTTTAAAAATTTAAGGGCTAAATGTAAAAAGCTTTCCATAATCTAAAAGCAAGCCGAGACGCAAGGAATTGTAAATTTTTCAAAAAAATTTTTTTTGCTTTGTTTCCTGATAGTAGTTGCTCTGAACAGAAAATAAGGAATAATAGGCTAGCTTTGTGCCCACGCCTGCTTTAAAATCAAGATTCTAAATCAAAATTGGACAAACAAACCAAATTGTAAATACGGAAAACAAAAAGAAAAAATTATAAAAATTTTAGCCAAAAAACTGTAATACAATCATTAAAAAATTAAAAACCAGCTGTATGCTTTACCTTTCTACTGCCATTTTAGGTCTGTAGTTGAAAGTATAGGACGAGTTAGTCAAGAATTGGTCAAGGAAAACTTATTTTTCTCTTTACTACCTTACTACCCTAAAAATTTACTTTTTGATTACTGTAGAGAAGCATACTGTTGAATATATAAGAATATTGAATGCACTGTAACTCGCTTGCCAAGGAATATTTGTTGTAATTATCTGGAAAAGAAGCCTGTCACGGCAATTTCAAATTTTGATTTTTTTTAAATTTCGCTTAAAAACCGTTATTTTAAATTGTAAGTTAATATGAAATTCAAGTTTTTTAGAACAACTCGACAAAATAATCAAATTTAAAAACTTTCCAATAAAAATTTACTTTTTATGTTACAGTACAACCATACTTTTATATTTACTCACACACACTGCTTATCAATCTCACAGTTTACACCTCTTGAAATGTTGTTTTCTCATTGAGCTTTCGTGTCGCCAAGTGCTTCTAAATGCGGATTTGGCGACGTTTTATCATGAGTGTGTTGTTTACAACATGTACATATGCAAACCCACCTCATTACGAGCTCTCTTTTTGAAACATGTTGAAGAGAGGAGAAGAACGGTGTGCTCGGCCGTACCATGCCGTTGTTTATAGGCGTTCGGGGTGTGCCCGTATGTTTCCATGTTGACTTTGTTTCCTGGAGCGAAATAAAGACAACATACAGAAAGTAATTGGGTTACGAATTTGTCGTTTAATAAGGAATATGAAATTATAGTGGTAGATATGGCATTTTTTCTATCTTTTTGGGTTTTACCTTGGTTTTGATGTAAGAAGGTACTGTAGTTTTTATACCACTTACAGTATTGTACTGGGGCATTAGCGGAAGGGGGGGGGGAGGGGGGGGATGAAGAGGAAGGAGGGGGGGGGGTTGATACGGGTGAAACATTTTTTTAAAATTTTCATAAAAAAAAGTGAGTAAAAAGATTGCTCTACCTCCAGCCTCTTTGACCCTACTCTTAAACCCAATTTATACCCTACCCTCGCTTTGTCATTACCTTACCATTGCCTTACTCTGGACCCAACCTTCGATTCTACTATGCTTTACCTATGTTCTTGCTTCGACCTTCTTTTCCCTACCCTCGCTTTGCCATTGCCCTACCACTGCCTTACTCTTGGCCCTACTTTCGACCCCCTTCTGGTCTACCCGCTACTGTTTGTTTAATAGATAAAGTATGATAAATTAAGTTGTAGTAGCTTATACAAGTAACACTGTCAAAGCTTAAAATTGCATTAGAACATTAGTTATTAATAAGCAAGCCACAGCATAAAACCATAAAAAGTCTAAATATTCAGTACTGTGCATTATACAACAAAATATCTTTTGCTCTTTATTTGTGTTTGAAAATGTAATTTGTGTTATAGATATGTCAAGGCTGTTTATTTTTGTGTTGATTTATCTAACCATTAAAAAAGTTTTAATTTTAAGCTTTTATATACATATACATTGGCCATACTTCCACCGTACCAAGTTTGGTATTTCAGCCATCACTCAAAGATGAATTACAAATTTTTAAAATCCTGCAAATTTCTTGGGACACCCTGTAATTTTTTTATTTTTTTTTTAACCTTATAAGTTCTAAAATATTTATTTTTAGTATGATGCTCAACCCTAGTGATTCACGTCAACTACCACTTAGAACAAAGAAACCACCAAAAAGTGTAAAACAAGTAAAAGATAGTTGCAAAAGAGCTCGGCCGATCAATCGAGAGCAAAAACAAATCTTTCAAGAATGGCTAACTGAGCACTCAAATCACCTGTACCCAAATGAAGAAGATAAGAAGGAGTTGGCCGTTAAAATGGACGCTAATCCACAACAGGTAAGCTTTGGCTTGGCTTGGATTGGCTTGGCTTGGCTTGGCTTGGCTTGGCTTGGCTTGGCTTGGCTTGGCTTAACTTATCCTGTTCCGTTCTGTCCTGCCTTTCATACTATGTTACTTACTTTGCTCTGCTCAACTTCAATCATAACAGCCCAATAACTCTACTTTACTATTCCAGATCAATCGCCTATTAACCAAATATCGCCAACGAATAAACCAAGAGATTCAAGAGAACCAGCTCAAGTACAAAGCTGATGTAGCTGTAGTAAAACATGAAAAAGTGGCCATCAACAATATCATATCTGAAATTGTAAAAGATGTTGCTTTAGACAATCGAGATCAAAGAAGAATATACGAAGAAAGAAAGGCCAAGTACATGCTTTATTTAAAGGAGAACAACATGCTAGATGAAGATGATGATGACTTGCAGGTTATATGGGAAGGTAAACATGTTGCTACTGATTTGAATGTTAGGAATGATAGTAATGATAGCCCTGGGCAGCAGAAGGAGGTTAGTACAACTACTGACAATGAGAACAACAATGCTAATTTTAAAAACATGGAAAATCAAAGCAATACTGGTGAGTGTAATACTACTTCTTTAAAACATTTTTAAAAATTTATTTTATAATTTTGAAGTTTTGGTAAAAAAAACGGTAAAAATAAGTGTAAACTTGTGTTTTGACGTAATGAAAAACTTATAATGATAGGTATGATCATTTATATATAATTATAAGTCTCACTCTTGCAAAACGAATAGGCTTTGGTAGCATAGCAACTGTACAGGTTTACTGTTCTTGTATTAATACTTATATATTATTATACTTCTCGTTTTTACATTATTGGGCTTATCAAAGTTTGAGAGCTCAAAAATACATACAACTTTGTAGTAAAGGCTGAGTAGATCTGTAAAAAGGCCAAGCCAAACCCAATTTTTCAGCCAAGTTTGGCATTGTTTTCAAATTCGCTTCGACTCGGCCTTTTTCAAGTTTGTTTCTGTCTGGGCTAGGCTTGACGGACCTAGTGGGGCTTCCTTCAAGTGTAGGGATGAGCAATATGAGTTATAAGGTACTTTCAATTTCTTTTAGTTTAAAAGTGCAAAAAATATTTTATGTCTTCTGTTCAAGACTAGAACGGCTAGTCTAGTGCTTTCTAGCACAAGTCGTTTCTTAAGTTTTAAAACTTTTTTGAAAAAAAAAATTTTTATTAAGATTTCAGATCAAGCCGTATCAACACAACCTGAAAATTGTGATCTCGCCAATAAAAATAATATACCAGTAGAAAGATCTCTTCAAGATAATACAGAACTGCTGCCTCAAAAAGATATAGAAGTTGCTGAAGTTGTTGAAATTGCAGAAGTTGCTTCAAGGGATCAAGTGAGTTTACTTACTATCAGCTTTCATTTTAAAAACGTTTGCATTTTTAATAACTAGATTAGGCTTTGTCAAATAGCCTGTGGTCAATAGCCTCAGTCTAATATTTTCTTTAAAAACAATTTTTTTTATTAAACATTTTTTTAAATTTTTTAAAAAATATTTAAATCACTTATCTAATAGTTTCTAATTTCAAATGAATCACAAACGCATGATCGATAGACAAAATTAAACACAGTTTGAGAGTGTTATAAAGCAGTCACTTTTCATTTTTTATTCTTCAAACATTGGTGCACTTTTATAAAAAGTCTGTCGAGAAAATCATGTAGTCAAAGGGAGCAAAAACCTCGTGAGAGTCTGGGCTTTTTCAATGTTGCGATTGATAAAGAACTAGTTTTGTTGGTTTTTATACTATTCAAGTGCAAAAAATGATATTTTAGGGATGTAATAGGGTTGGGTAATGTAGGTTGGAGTATAAAAAATTTTTTTAAATTTTTTTAAATTTTGAAATTTCAATTACTAACTTAAAATCATCAAGTAGCCTCATTGCTTTTGAGTAAGAGCTCTTCCTTAAATTGCGAAATGGCATTTCCTACGCAAAAAGCCATTTCGAAATTTTGCGAAATTTGAAAAGAGCTGCAGGCTTTTCATACGATGTTTGTTACATACTCTACGTAGCTATAGAACATTGTTGTTGTTTAGGAAGGGACAAAGCTTTTAAAAACGTGGCTACTACGCTATTACGTCTTTTTGAACTTGGTTTACCCCGCTCCTTTAGGGTAGAGCACGGCAGGGTAAAACCGAAAGAAATAGAAATTTAACAAGGGGTACCAAAATAAATTAAAAAAAATTTTTTTTTTTTTTTTTTAAATTTGAGCATGTTCCCCCCTTCCCTTCTCTTCGTAATTTTCAAAAATTTACAAAAAAAAAATTTTTTTTGGTCTTTCCCCTTCCCCAATTTCAAAACCAAAATTACCCGCCTGACACCACTTGTTCACAAAACATCACTTTCTATTATACTACATGAAAACATGTATATGTAGCCTAAGCATCACTCCTCTTTCATGTTGTGGTTTTAATCTTTAGTTGTTTATGCTTGTTTCTATTCCCAAAAGGCCTTCGGGCTGGCGTTCGTTCCAATTCCATTTGAATTATTTACAAGAAACAACCCCAGCCAGTTTTTCGAGAAATTTGTTTTATATGTCTGGTTTGGAAACATGTGCTTCGTTTTTGGTTTATCTGAGTATAATTTATTTATCCTGGTACATACGAAGCATCAAAGTAAAATTGAAGTTATTTTTCTTAAGCCAGTGAGAGCGGGTATTTTGGATCTGAGTGCTAGAAGAGTATGTAAAGTAGGGTAGGGCAGAATCAGTTAAAGATGGGTAAGGTAGCCAACAGTTAAGTGAAACAAATTTATTTGCCAGCATAAGCCTGAACTTAAATTTCAAGTCTTTTTCTAAGTTTAAGTTAAGGCGTAAGCCTAAGGCAGTCTAATAAAACCTCAAACAAAAGGTTAAGTCTAAGCCCGAGCCTGAGTTTGTGCCTGAGCGTGAGCCTGAGTGTGAGCCTGAGCGTAAGCGTTGTGCTTGTGCTTGTGCTTGCGCTTGTGCTTGACTTTGAGCTTGAGCTTGAGCTGAAGCCTGAGTTTGAGTATGAGTATGAGTCTGAGCTTGAGCCTGAGCCTTAGCCTGAACTTGAGTCTAAGCTTGAGCCTAACCTTAGGCCTGAGCCTGAGGTTGAGCCTAAGCCTAAGCCTAAGCCTAAGCCTAAGCTTAAGCCTAAGCCTAAGCCTAAGCTTAAGCCTAAAGATGAGCCTAAACCGAAGCAGTAGTGTAAGCCTAAGCAAAAATCTAAGCTTAATCCTAAACCTAAGCTCGAGTTTTTTTTCTGCTTTTTCTTTCCCTTATCTTCCTTATCTTATTCTACCCTATCCTCCCGCCTCTACCCCGTCTCCTTCTTCCTCTACTATTCACCACTATTTCAAAACAGTAAACTTTCGAAACGTTCCAAAAGCAACGTCACTACCCAACTTTGCTTTTGTTTATCCAAATTCTTGCATGTTTTTGGAACACTGCCTGCGGCCCTCTGCGATTTCGAACATTTTCTTCAAAAAACAGTAAAGTCGAGTTCTTCTTTAGTATAGTCGGGGGCTTGTTTTATATTCTAGTATAGCCTTTTTTTACTTTATATACGACCGCCATTCGTCTCATTTACATTTTTGACACTTTTTTACGGTTCAAAAGGGAAGTAGCTTTACATGTGTTATTGACTGCTTTACTAACGCGCTTTTTTGGAATTGGGTAGTCAACGTGGTTTATATATTTAATATTTTTAATTTTGAAAGGTTGTGGGCAATTTTAGTAGGGTAAGGAAAGGTGGAGTACTGGAAGATTTAGTAAGGGAAGGTTGAGTAAGGGAAGACGAAGCTAAGAAAGGTGGAGCAAGGGAAGGTGGAGTTAAGGAAGGTGGTGTAAGGGAAGGTAGAGTTAAATAAGGTGGAGTATGAGAAAGCGGTGTAAGGAAAGGTGGAGCTAAAGAAAGTGGAGTTAAGGAAGGTAGGGTAGGGTAGGGTAGGGTAGGGCAGGGTAGGGTGAGGTAGGGTAGGGTAGGGTAGGGTAGGGTAGGGTGGTTCACTTTTAATTTTAAAAAAAATTAAATTTTAAATTTCATTTCAAAATTTTTTTTCGAAATTTCCCCTCCAATTTTAATATTGATACTCTCGCTTTTGGTCGCTGTTTTTGCTCGTAACAAAAAGAAAACAAAATAGAGAATAGCAGGAACCAAACACATTGTTTTGGCGCCGTTCCTGGCACGGCGGCCGGCACGCTCGCATGGAACGAAGAAAGATTGTAGTGATGAAAATCGTGCGTTTAAAAGTCGCAAACTTTGTCGTTTTAGGTCATGATCAAAGTTTGTTTTGCACGGTTTTAAAGGTTTTTAAAAATTTTTGAACTTTTTTTTAATTTTGACTTTTTTCGAAAAAAAAGCTTTTTTAAAAGAACGATGCTAGGGTAAGTTTTAATAAACAAAGGGGAGGGAAAAAAACGAAAAAAAATTTTTTTTTAAATTTTTGTTTAAAAATCAACAGCCCCAAGTTCAAATTTTCAAAAAAAAAATTTTTTTGAGGTAAGGGTGGGGAGGGGTTGATTTGTGATTTTTGGCAAAAGTTACTCATTATGATAAAATTTTTTCAAGTTTTAAAAAATTTCAAAAATTTAAAATTTTTGAAAAATGTTTATTTTAAAATCAACAGGGGGGACCACGTTCAACTTTTTTTTGAAAAAAAATTTTTTTGATGTGGGGGTGGGGAGGGGAGGGGGTGATTTTTGATTTTTAGCATAAAATACTGATTATGATAAAAATTTTCAATATTTAAAAATGTTTGAAAATTTAAAATTTTTTAAAAATTTTGTCTTTAAACCAACAGGGGGACCACGTTCAACCTTTCTAAAAAAAATTTTTTTTGAGAAGGGGGGAGGGTGATTTTCAATTTTTAGCAAAAATTACTGATTATGACAAAAATTTTTTCAATATTTAAAAAATTTCGAAAATTTAAAATTTTTTTGAATTGCTCACTCCGAACTTTAATCCCATTACTCAACCTTTAGTTTCTAAAACTTAAGACAAACTTGTAAGTCTTTTTTCGACTTAAAAGTTTGTCTCCAACTTGACGTTATACTTGGAAATTTGGTTGGGAAAAGAGCCTCGTACCAGTCGCGGACATTGTCGGAAACATGTTTTGTTTTTGTTCGCAAAACAGCCGACTTCCACGCGGCTGTTTATCGTTTCACGTAAATTCGCCTCGCAGATTAAAAAAAACTTTCGAAAAAGCTGAAGGTCAGCATAATACGGTATTCTCTTTGTTGTAAAGTACAACGAATTCGAGGGGATTGAGGCGATTTCTAAAGGTATTCGAGGGTTGTTATTCTAAAGAATTTTTTGAAATGGTTGTGTGCTTTTTTTAATGCTGGGGCTAAACAGACTTGGACGTAGGGTCGGGCATAGCATATGCATAGGATGTTATTTCAATATCCAATTTTAATGTTTTGTTAACAGGGCAGCGCTGGGAAAGGACTGATAAAAATATACAGTGGAACTCTTGTATAACAAATCGCTGTGGATTTTAAAATTGTTTGTTATGAGTTTTGTTATAGAAGAGGCCATCTTACAATTTTTATACTTGATAATATTAAGTTGAACCAAAAGTAGCGGGATACGTTTCATTTATTGATCAACTAAAGAGTGTCCCACTACTTTTGGTTCAACCCAATAAAAAGCCCAAATTTTTTTGATTTTTTAAAATCGACAGGAAGATTACGTTCAACTTTCCCTTAAGTATTATAATTGTAGATTTTTGTTTTTTATGCTTTGCCACACTTGACAGGACTTCGCCAGCCCCTTCTATATCCATTTTCGGAGCTAAAAATAAGTAGATAAAGCTGTGCTGCGTAAGTTGAATTCTTGGCTGTTATGAACATTACTAAAGGTTTTCTGTCTGACATTAAAACAAGGTTTTTTTAACTGGGAAAGAGGGAGAATAGGGTTTTGACTTTTTAAACAAGCTAACAAAAAGTTCAGGCTCAGGATTAAGTTCACGCTCGAACTTAGGCTTAAGCTCAAACTTATGTTTAGGTTCAGGCTCAAGCTCTAGCACAAGCTTAGGCTACGACTCAGACGCGTGTTCACGCTCATTGTAATACTCAGACTTAGGCTCAGGCTTACGTTTAAGCTGATGCTCATTCTTGGGCTCATGCTTAGGTTTAGGCTCAGGCTCAGGCTTAGGCTCAGGCTCAGGCTCAGGCTCAGGCTCAAGCTTAGACTCAAGTTCAGGCTTAGGCTCAGGCTCAGGCTCAGACTCATACTCATACTCAAACTCAGGCTTCAGCTCAAGCTCAAGCTCAAAGTCAAGCACAAGCGCAAGCACAAGCACAAGCACAACGCTCAAGCTCAGGCTCAGGTTCATGCTCAAGCTCAAGCTTAAGCTCAGGCTCAGGCTTGGGATACGGTTAGCTGCGACTTAAAAGACTGTACCGGATCCTAGTGATAAGCTTTATGATTAACACCTGAGTAAAAGCGACTAGCTTGTTGTCCCTCGTTCTATGATATCAGTTTTCGACAATTTGGGCTTGTTAAGTGTTTACGCTTTTTTTGGCGTTCACGCCTTTTTAGAGCTAGTTAGTGCCAGAAAAATGCCTGAGAGTTGGTTACCACTTTTTGGCGGGGTAACGTGTTGGCGCGTTAAATTTGTCTAACTTTCGCGCGACATAAAAGTTTAAATGGGTTTTTAAAGAGTCAGACTTTTTAACTAAAATTGACTTATCTTCAAGGCTATCTTAGCTTTGTTTAACCTAGATTAAGGTAGTTTTTAAAGTATGAAAATTTTTTTTTCGTTTTTTTTACTACAGGCTAGTCGTATCTTAAGCTTTGAGGGGGTGTGATTGAGGAGTGGTAAAAATCTTTTTTTTTTAGTTTTGGGGTAGATATTAATTTATTTTTTTTGATTTTGGGGTGAATATTACAAAAAATTTTTTTTGTGGCTTGAGGGTAAATTTAAAAAAAAATTTTTTTTTGAGTTTTAGGGTAGCTAAAAATTTTTTTTTTATTTTGGGGTGGATTTTACAAAACAATTTTTTGTGGTTTTAGGGTAGATATATGAAAAACAGCTTTTCAAAGTAAAATTATGTTTGCTTTCATATGTCATTCCACCTATGACACTTCTATTCAAAACATTTTGTCAAAGTTATAATTTGTCTCTTTTGAATATTTAACGTTCCCAAGCCGACAGAATCCTGGCCTCGTTCTCGGCGCCACCAAAACAGTTTTTTTCAAAGAAATAATATTTTCCAAAAAAAAATAATTTTTGAGTCGTTTGCCGGAGGGCACAAGAGTTTTTTTTTCAAATTAACTGCCTTGTTTTTGTCTTGGACAACACTTTTTTTAATTGGGAGGGTATATGTGTGGCATGGCATTGTTCTGGATTAACTGGAAGTTAAGTATTTGGGTGGCTGAAAAGTATTGTCGTTTTTTAATGTTGAAGATAGCGTAAATTGGTGACAAAACTTTTTTAATGTTTTATTTTTAAAGTTTTTTAATTTGCTTTAGCCTTGGCAGGGGTCTTAGCTTGAGCCTTATCATTAGCCTTAGTTTTAGCATTAGTCTTAGCCTTAGCCTTAAACTGAGCCATAGCTTCAGCTCAGATTTGGCCTTACGTTAGCCTTTGTTTTAGCCTGAGCATTAGTTTTAGCCTTAGTCTTAGCTTTAGACTGAGCTTTAACCTGAGCCATAGCTTCAGCATTAGTCTCAGCTTAAGCCTTACGTTAGCCTTGGTCTTAGTCTTAGCCTTATGTTAACTTCAGAAGCCTTATGATAGCGTTAGACGTATTAGATTTTCCGAAAATGAATGAGCTAAAATTTTTACAGTTGGCGCTTTGAATGGCTCATCCATATTCGGACAATCTGATACATAGAGCTGGGGTTGTTAAATTGTAGCCAGGGGACAGTTATTTTAATTTTTTTGTTAAAATTGACTTGGGATGAAAGCCTTAGGCTAAAACTAAGGCTAAGACTTTGTTTTACAACTTTTTGGCCAAAGGTGACCCTCAAAGTTAATAAGCCAAAAAACATGTTGTAATATGTGTTTTCTAAATCTAAATTTGTATTTTCGAGCAGACACTGTATATTAGGTTTGTTTATGCTTAATCACAACGCCCCCCCCCCCACCATCTCATTATATTTTCGCTTTTTTTGTTTTTGGCTGCGAATTCATTAAAATACGCTCTCATCTTGTCGAATGCTCTCTAATTCTCCAAAACACTGCCATTCTCAATAATACGAGGAATACCACAGCCTTTTTTGATTATAAATGTCTCTCACAGTCAGTATTTTGGACGTGAAAGAGACAAAAAAAGGGGGGGGGGGGTATGGCAACAGACAAAACGAGGGCTCTGCAGTAATTTGACGAGCGTGTTGTTGTTTACCAGCAGTCGGCCGAGTTAATTACGAATACTCGCGTGGGTACGTAGTGTTCAGACGGCTTTTCGCTCTTTGTTACTTTTCAAATTTCGAAATTTGTTATTATTTTGCTTTAGGTAAGGGTGAGATTACGTGAAATGGCAAAAATTTCTTTTTGGTAGAGTAAGGTAGGACGGACAAGAGCAGAATAGGCTAAGGTAGGGCAGAATAAAGCTAATGTAAAAATATGGCTAGACTAAGGATATTCTTGGACTGGACTTAGACAACTTAGGCTAGGGTTCGGACTAAGACTACAGCTTAGACTAAAACTTAGGCTAAGATTTGGACTAAGAACAAGCCTATGGCTAAGATCAAATCTATGGCTAAGAACAAGCTTATAGCTAAGCCCAAGCCTATGCCTAAGACTAAGTCTATGGCTAAGGCCAAGCCTACGGATAAGACTAAGCTTATGGTTAAGACCAAGCCTATAGCTAAGCCCAAGTCTATGCCTAAGACTAAGTCTATGGCTAAGGCCAAGCCTACGGATAAGACCAAACCTATGGCTAAAATTAAGCCTATGATTAAGACCAAGCCTATAGCTAAGCCCAAGCCTATGCCTAAGACTAAGTCTATGGCTAAGGCCAAGCCTACGGATAAGAGTAAGCTTATGGTTAAGACCAAGCCTATAGCTAAGCCCAAGTCTATGCCTAAGACTAAGTCTATGGCTAAGGCCAAGCCTACGGATAAGACCAAACCTATGGCTAAAATTAAGCCTATGATTAAGACCAAGCCTATAGCTAAGCTCAAGCCTATGCCTAAGACTAAGTCTATGGCTAAGGCCAAGCCTACGGATAAGAGTAAGCTTATGGTTAAGACCAAGCCTATAGCTAAGCCCAAGTCTATGCCTAAGACTAAGTCTATGGCTAAGACCAAGCCTATAGCTAAGACCAAGCATAAGGTTGGGCTTAGGCTTAAGTTTAAGTGCAAGCCCACGCCTAAGTTTAACTTTAAGGCAAATTCTAAGCCTAAGCATAAGTCTAAGCGTACATCTAAAGGTATAGCCAAGCCTTTCTTTTTCTCTGCTCTTTTCTTTTTGCTTCTTTCCTTCCCATTAGTCTAGCTTTTACTAAAATGACATAAAATCTAAAATACCGCAAATTCTAGCCAAAAAACGATTTTTCTAAAGACAAATATCGAAATACGTGATGACTAATTTGTGAACTTTGAATCTACAGACGGAACATATGTTCTTTATAAAACAGTTGATTCCGTGAGGCAAAAAGAATCCAACATGATTTGTCAGAGTCATAAGGCTTTCGTGGGAATGTGTTTTTGTCTTATTGTCATCATTACCTTTGACCCTCGGTTTGTGATTACTAATGTTGTTATTTATCAGCGTTAAGGTGTTAGGTAGGGTTGGGCAAGAACGCTTAATTAAAAATTTTTAAAAGTTTGGGACTATCAAGTTAACTTTGGCTAAGAAAATTGCTTTTGTGGCACGGACAGGGTTAGACACAGAGCATGTTTAAACACAGGGCATGGTTGATCACAGAGCAGGGCACGTAACTGAAATGGCAGGTACCGGGCTGGCTTAGCAGAGTACAAAGCAGGGCATGGAAAGTGGTAATCGTCGATACCTTTCTATGTGTTGAAGCCTGGGCATGGCAAAGCATCATTTTTAAACGGGAGGGAGGGGGTAAAAATTTTTTTGAAAATTTTTACAGTGCAGTGCAATAAAAAAAGTGATAGCAACAGTAAACCTCCCCGAACCTTGTTGTATGTGTTTGTACTTCCTCAGACGTTATTACCCAAACGATCGTTTTTCAATCGGTAGGGAAAGACGACGACGTCTAAAAGTTCGCTCATAAAACGTCTGGGTGCGCAGTTTTTTTTTTATTTTTTTGTCTGAATTTCTTTTCATCTCCCCCCCCCCCCTGCCCCGTGAATTATACTTCTCCTTGTCCTTCCTCTTTGCGCACTTTCAACGATTTCTCAATTTTTGGTTGGTTTTACTTTAAATTCGTCTACAATATTTCGAAATGTTGTAAGGTTTTGAGGGTTTGTAGGGCTAGTTTGATGAGATTTTGATTTGGGAGGGGGTGGTTTTTGTTAAGAAAGGGTGTTTTTTGAAAAATAGGTAGTTTTGGGCAGATTATGTTGAAAGAACCAAAGGTTTTTAGCTTAGAATCAATTTTTTATGATAAGAAAGAACAAAATGAGGGGGGGGGGAGGGGGTGGGAGAAAAGTTTTTTTTGTGTCATGAGAATAATTTTAGTCTTATGAGGGGTATGGTAAAACAATTTAAAAAATTTTTTTTTGAATTTTAACAGGGGAGATCACGTTCATTTTTTTCCTTGTTTTATTAGGTGCCGACATAAAGAACTTGCCATACCATGCCTGTAATTTCCTGTAAAAAATGGCGGGTTCTTTATGTCGGCACCTAATACCTTACCCAAATCCCGATATAAGTTAGGGCATTGACGATTCTTTGTGCTTTGCTTTGCTCTAGCCTGATCTACCAAGCCTTACCTTGATCTGATCTTTCTTGCCCTTCCCTACTTTGCCCTGCCTTTTCTTGCCCTGCCCTGTCCTACGTCAAACTTTGTTCATACTCCCCATACCCAAAGTACTACATCTTTACTTCTTCGTCTCCTTGACAGTCACCCCTAGTTGTACAGCTTTAAGACCTGCTTCCCTTCCCTCTTCTCCTCCGAATCTCTCCTTCTCTTCTCTCTTAGGTTTAATGCAGGTTTGGATTCAGCAAGGGGTTTGAATGGGTTTTTGCGATTTTCGATTCCTTTTCTTCCCCGCTGGATTTTGGTGTGATGAATACTGCTGGATTTTGGGTTTGTTTGAGCAGCTGAAATGCGTTTTCGATTAGTTAGGGGTAGGGTTGGGTTGAGTAGGGTGGTTAAATTAGAGTTGAGTAGGGTGGGTAAGTTTGAGTTGTGTAGGGTGGAGTGTGTGTTTGATAGGGTGTGGCTGCGAGTTAAGAAGAGGGGTAAAGTTGGGTTGGGCTGAACAAGAAGGGGTGTGAGCCGGGTAGGGTAAGGTATGAGTTAAGTAGGGTGGAGTTTGTTTAGGGTAGTTTTAAGGTTTGGAATGGTCATATTAAGTTTTAAAACTTAAAATTATAACTTTTGTGCAACTTTTTTCAAAAAAAAATTTTCTTTGTGATTTCCTTCCCTTTGTATGCGGTTTTAAAAACGTCTGTCGCGGCTTTTCTGCACACACAAAACGATGGTTTGTTTTGTCCCGAATGTCTGCGTTTATAGTACATGTTCGGTGCATGGGGAGAGAACAGGCAGATGGAGGGGGTTTTGCGCGCAACATTAGAGGAACAAATGTTTAGGTAATAATGGTTAGGTAATAGAAAGGTCTAGGTAATGGAAATTTTTTGGGTGTAGAAAGGTCTGGGGAAAAGAAAGGCTTAGGCCATAGAAAGGACTGGTTAAGAAATAGGTTTAAGCTATATAAAGGACTGGTTAAGAGAAAGGTTTAAGCTATAGGAAGGTCTAGGTAAGAAAAAAAGTTTTGTTATAGAAACGTCTAGGTAATAGCAAGGCTTAGGCTACAAAAAGGTTTAGTTAAAAGAACGGTTTGTTCTACCTAAAGGTCTAGTTAAGAGACAGGTCTAAGCCAAAGAAAAGTCTAGGTGATAGAAAAGTTTAGCTAAGACAAATGTTTAGGTAATGCTCGGCTTTTGCTATTATATAAAGTGAAGTGTAACAATGGTTTAAGGAGGATTAGCGTTAGGTAAGGATATAAGAAAGGCATAAGAATAAAAGACACAAGACTATAAGTAAAGGGTAAGGCAAAAGGTAAAAACAGGTAACATTAGATCAGAACGTAGTATTTAAAATGAGGTCTGGTTACGAATGGCAAACTTGGATGGAATGCGTTATGGCACGGCGCTTTTTTAACTTTTTTCTTTAGCTTTAGCTTGTTTAAAGGTTAAGGCCTAATTTTATATACAGCTTTGTTTATATTGCTTTGAAGTACAATATATAGATTTTGAAAAAAATTTTCCAATAAAAAATTTTTTTGTCCCCCCCCTCCCCCCCCACATTTTTCTTTCTTTTTTTACCATGCCCATCACATAGTCCCTTTTTAAACCCACCCTTTCCTCTTTTTTGTTATCACAAGTGCTCTTTCCTACCCAAACTTATATAGCAAAGTATGATGACTTCTTTTGATATATAGTAGTTTAGGATTGGCAGACAGTTGTTATACTTCGCAAAGGTCAAGTTCAGTTTTCTTATCAGCTCAAGGTTGAATTGTGTTATTGATGGGGGTGGCGTTTGTCATAGATTTGTTAATCTTTCAGCTGGTTTGCGGAAGCTTTAAGGGGGTTAGTTTAAAATGTAAAAATTTTTTTTAAAATTAAAAAAAAAAATTTTTGATTTGGCACGGGTAGATTTTTCTGAAGGTCAAAAATATTTTTTTTTCAAAAACTAAAAAAATCTATTTCAGCCCCTAATTATCATATGTCCTCCCCCCTTCTTCGAATATTTCCGGCTGTCTGGCGGTGTTATCATGCCAACCTCTTAATTATGATCGCATCGTCTTATCATCTATTCCAAGGCGAGAAAAGTGAATTAAAGACATTTTAAATGGCTACACAGTTGGTGATTCACATTCTGATTCAGCATTTTGTTTTTTAAACAGTTGTTGGCTTTGGTTTTATTTGCTTTCTGCATTTGGAGGGGGTATTTGTGGATTCAATATGGTGAGACATAGGGTTGATGGGGGGGGACGGGGGGGGGCTTGGAAAAAAGAGGGAGGGGGAGAGAGAGAGGGTTAAAAAAATGTTGTTTAGAGGTACACATGCATTTATTTTTTATAAAAAAAAATTAAAAAAATTTTTTTTCAGTTTAAAAAAAGTTCACAGGGGGGACTACGTTCGGTTTTTTTTGAATTTTTTGGGCGGTGAAGAAAGGGCAAAGGTATGAGAGTAATAATATTAAAAAATTCTACAGGGGGGGGCCATGTTCAACTTTTTTTCAAAAATTTTAAAATAAGTTTTTTAAAAAATCTCTAAAAAAGTTTTTTGAAAGATTTTTTTGCTATTTAAACTCTAAAACCGAACATTTTGCACAAAACAACCCTTCCTCCCCATTTGATGTTTGTAACTTGAAAAATTCCATTGAAAAGCAACTTAACGGTTGTTTATTACATTTCGAAAGAATTGGAAAACAACTTTTTTAATATGATTGTAGTTTCTCTTCCGATAAAAGTAGTTTTTTTATTTTGTAATACTTTATTACATGCCTTTTCTAACTGATAATGGTCTTAGTCCCGCCAGAAGTTAGTCTTGACGAGAGTTGTAAGCAACATGTTGTGGTTGATAGGGGTTTGAAGGAGAGGTTGAAAGAGGCGGAGAAAAAACGTTTTATTAGGGGGTGGTGAATGGGTGGGGTAAAAAAAACTTTTGTATACACAAGGGATGACAACATTAATCAATTTTAAAATTTTTTTTTCAAAAAAAATTTTTTGAGTTCATATCAAAAATAAAAAGGAAGACTTGACACATACAAATTCAAGCTTACACGCCCATACAACACATTTCAAAATACCTCTCAACCACAAAATGTAACCATAATCACCTGTTTTTGGAACCCCCCTCCCTTTTGTAGACGTGTTTTGACACTTGTGACAATTGACATTGACAGGTATTAATAAAAGGGTCACACGACGTGTCTTTTTGTGATAAAGCATAGCGCTTCGTTATTTTGTTTCATCACCAAACAATTAGTCATTTGTGGTGGGGTTGGCGGTTTTTGATGATTTAGGTTTAGCGTATTAGCATGGTTTTGGAGGAGTTTTGGAAATATTTTTTTGGAGAATAGTTGATTGGTCTCCCCTGTTGATTTTTTTATAGTGGGGACTAAAATTAAAAAATGTTTTTTTTTGTGTTATAAGGGTGGAAGAGGGGAGAGGAGATGCTTAAAATTTCATTTTTAAGATAATGCATATCACTCTAATCAGCAAAGCGTTAAATTTTTTTTTTCTAAAAATTATTTTTTTGAAAAAAAAGTTGAGCTTGGTCCCCCCCCTGTTGATTTAAAAAAATCGAAATTTCTCAAAAATTTTTTTTAAAATTTTTTAAATTATAAATCCAAAAATACTCTGCTTTTTTTTGATGATTTGCTAAAGAAATAATATTTTTCTAACCGATAAGCGATAGTTCTATATCATTTTTTATCAATTTACGCATTTATTCGCTCTCGACATGTTGTAATGGCTGGCGGTTGAGAAATCATTTCTATCAGTCGGCGGTGTTATGATGCTTTTACTTTGGTTTTGGGTGGTGATTGGGTCATATTTGAACAGATAGTGATTTTTTTTTAATTTTGCAGTAATTTTAAAAAATTTTTAAATTTCAAAACTTTTTTTTTAATTTTTAAAATTTTTTATAGCTTGTGTCTTTACCATGTAAAATGTGTCAAAACATAAAAACATAAATTGTAAAAACTACATTTTTTCAACTTTATTTGTATTGATACGCTATATTTTTTACTATCGTACGATAACTTGTACACTATGGTACAAAGGTAGCTATGCTATATTGACTGTTTTGTAGTTTTTTATCTTGTTTACTACAAATTCTATGGCTTTTTATGTTCAAAGTTATCATACAGTTACAGTTACATTACTTTTTACTTGTTTTTGATAAGTTTGAAATGGCAAAAAAAGTCTTGTCGTCAATTTGTTATGGTTTGCATTGTGAAAAACGACAAGACTTTTTAAAAGCGTTTATACTTTACTTTTTGTATTGTTTATATTAGTGTAGAACCCGCGAACGATTTAAAAATTTATCCTTTCAAAAATTTAAAAATTTAAGTTTTTGTTACCTAAACACAACTCATTTCTCCAATTTCAGGCGCTTGGTACGTCGGAAACTTTGTCTAACCAGTTGGACTCGACCAGTATGTTATTTCCAACCGCTATGCCTCAGAACATGCCTATGGTGCAATCATCAAGCCAACAACAGTTGAGCAACATCCCAGCCACCCTGGCTCTATTACAACATCATCAACAACTCCAACATCAGCAGCAACTTCAGCAACAAAAAGTTGCGAATCCAATGCAAAAGCAACCGTTTTTCAATGAGTTGCAGCATTTGCTGCAACAAGAAGTGCATCGGCAACATTTCCAGCAGTTGCTCGAGTTGCAACAGAAGCAACAAATGATCGCGGCGGCGGTGCAATCGAGCACGGCCAGTACTGTTTCTGGGGGTGCTATTGGTCAGATGAGGGCTAATTTGTTGACTCCTGACCATTTGGAGGAGAACAAATTTCATGGCAATGATACGGTGAGTATTTTTTTGGGTAGAGGAGAGTAGAATGGGCAGGGTAAAAAAAATTTAAAAAAAATTTTTTTAATATTTAAAATTTAAATTAACTTTTAAAATTTCAGACCGACTCCCGAAACCACTGGATGTCGCCTCCAGTAGCTCCACTGACGCCAGCTTCATCTGGATCCCCGATTCAGTGTCATATCGAAGAAGCGAAGGCGACTTCATCCGACCGTGATACGGGATTCAGCGATGGTTCGTCGATGGAAGCCGAAACCCCGCCTCCAAAGGTCTTTAACTCCGCTGAAAGGCTGGGTCTTGGTACTGAGAGGCTTGGACTTGGTACTGAGAGGCTGGGTCTCGGTACTGAGAGACTAGGTTTTGGTGCTGAAAGACTTGGTCTCACTGGTACTGACAGAATGAACTTGACTAACCCTGATGTTAATGAAAAACAGTCATTTGAAGCCCTGAAACTATCAGAAACAGTACGAACATTAGAAGCCCTGAAGCAGTCTTCAGAAGCCTTAAAGCCATCTGAAACCTTGAAGACTTTAGAATCCCAAAAGCAGCCCCAAAAGTCATCAGAAGCGGCCGAACTTCTGGATTTAACGAAGGCCAAGAAGTCAGAAAAGAAGGCAAAAAAACGGCTAGCCACGACGCCACGAAAGGTCAGTCCAAAGAAGGCCAAAGTGATGGAGATGCTACTGAATGGAAGTCGTGACCAGCTCCCGAAGAAGTTCCGCGACCTGACTGAAAGCGAAGGCATAGCTGTGGCTGTTCTGGCCGGTCTGGCTGGTGGCCGCTAATTTTTTGTTTTAAAATTTAATTTTTTTTTAAATTTGTATTTTTAATTTTAAAATTTAAAAAATTTTATTTCAAAGCCAGTCTGAAAAGTCTTGTCGTTTTTTAACCTTAATCACCATGTAAATAAACGACAAGACTTTTTTTGCAAATTTAAAATCTTTTTTTTTCTAATTTCACTGTTTGTACGGTCTTATATTACTTGTAATGTAAAATCTGAAAAAGGTCGTATATTTTTATAAACCACTTTTAAAAAATTTTAAAATTTTTTGTAAAATCAAAAAAAAATTAAAATCGGTGCAAAAATAATGTTTTCGTGTATCAAACAATGTTATGTGTATAGTACTACATCTTTGTAATACTCTTTTTGTACTAAATTTTTGTTTTTATCTTTTTGATATTGTACTAGCGTTGAAAAAAGTTTTTTCGTTATTTAGCATTGAAGGTAATGTAAATTGACGACAAGACTTTTTTGCCACTTTTAATGTTACTCTTTCTCACAATTTTGAGTTTGCTTTGACTTTTTACTGTTTTATTATTTACTTGTATTCTTACTGTAACTTCTTACTTGTACCCTTACTGTACTTTTTACTTGTACTCTTACTGTACCTTTTACTTGTACTCTGTATCTTTTACCTTCACGACGAGATTCGTATCTTACTCTTGTTGTATATATCCTACATGTATATTGTGAATGATCTCTGTTGTTGTTCTTCTCAAAAATGTTATCCAATGGGTTTTCTTACATTTTATTTTTTTATTGTTACATCCGATATTTACCAACAATTTTTTAAATTAAAAAATAAATAATTTTTATAAAAAATCGAATTTTGAAATTTTTTGAATTTTTAAAATATTAAGCGTTAGATTTAGGCCCAGCCATAACCGTTGTGACTTTCTAAGCCTACCCAAAATCAAAAAAAGCCTCACCCTAGCCACGCTGATGGTCCTACGCAGTATTTTGCCGGACCTTTCCGGATTGAGGTTTGGCCAAGTACGGTCCAAAAAAATTGCAACCGGACCAAAAAAAACCATATCCAGACCGGTCCAGCAAAATACGGGTCCTAGACTGTTGATTATAGTTTTTACGCCCTGAGGAGCAACTTCTTTTGAATGAGCTGCTTCCCTCTCTTCTCTAATCCGTTTTTGGTGCCTATTCGACAGCCCAAACCATGACGATGAGTATCCGACTACTGGAGTTGAGATATGTTGTTGTCGTGCCGTGCTTGATCACAATTGACTAGTCTGTTAATTTAACATCGACTGACTTGGTTGATTAATTTTGGTCAGCTTGCTTTAGTCCTAGCCCTACCCTACCCTACTCTACCTACACTGCCTTACCTTAACTAACCCTACCGTACCGTAAAGTACCGTATCTTACCGTACCTTGCTTTATTTTGTCCTACCTTACCCTACCATACCCTACCAACATTTGTAAAAAAAATTTTTTTAATCAAATTTAAAATTTTTATTTTCAAATTGATTTTCAACATTTCAATCATTTTCTTTCCAATTTCGCTAAAGATGGTTGTATTGGATGGCATAAAATATATTCATTCGCAGCATCATTCTGACGATTGGACCTACACTTATGCCAACCCTACCTTACCCTTAGTGGCCTGTGGTGTTTGGGCTGTGATTGTAAGTGTGGTTAATACTATTTTTATAATTAGCAAAGTAAAAAACGGGGGTATACATTTTTTCTTAAAGAAAATTTTTTGATTTTTACCTACATACCTTATCCTACCCTACATTACTCTACCCTACTCTAATCTACCCTACCCTCCTACCCTACCTTACCCTACTTTACCCTACCGTATCCTACCCTACCCTCCTACCCTACCTTACCCTGCACTACCTTACGCTACAAATACAATCTTAGGTAATGATTACCACAATATTAACCACCATGATCCGTATGGGACGTTTCGACCAACAAATCTTGAACTCAAAACACTTCCAGAAGATGTTCAACATGATCGACTTCACAGCTATGGAAAAGGAAGTAGACGGCGAATGGCTGGAGGAGCTCTTACCTTTGGAGTAAGCGTTCCTTTTCTATTTTTACCTACCCTGCCCTTTAATAATTTATTTTAATTTTAAAAGGCTTTTTTATCTAAAAATGATCTTTTAGCTCATATTAAATCAACATAAAAGTTTTGTCGCCAATTTACATGGCTTTTGAACGTAAAAAACGACAAAACTTTTTTAAACAAAATTTTTGAAACTTTTTGAAAAGTTTCGAATTCCTGTTAATCAAACGTCAATTTTCAGTAACAAAGTGACCAAAATTCAAATGCCAGCGTCACCAGGTGCGACCCCAACGAAGAAACCTGGAAAGTGAACCATGGGCCTTGATATTGTTCATCGTTTACTCCTTGGGTTACTTCTACTATGTCTGGTTATGGTTTATCTTTTGAACGTGAATAAATATTTAATCATTATACGAATATACGGTGTAGATAATAAGTGCTGTAAAATAGTACTAGCTTCTGACTTTTTTGCTTTGTATTATATTATACTTGCCTTCCCCTACCAAAGCATTACACGGCCTTACTCCTACCTTACCTTGCCTTACCTTACCGATTTCTACCCTATAGTTCCCTACCCTTCCCTAAAAGTTGAACCGGACTAGAATAAGCCAAGACTAGACTAAATAAAGTATAGAGCAAGCCATGACAAAACTACAAGAAGTTAAAGCTTAAGCTTAATAAGCTTAAAGTTAATAAGCTTATTGAAAATTCAAGCATACGCAATTTCGTGATAAAACAGAACAAATGATAACATCTAACGCTCTCATTCTGTCCGTTAATACCTCAACATTGCTAAAATGCTTCGAATAAAACTGTCAATTTTGATCTTTACTTGTCTACACGTCGGTTTCTGCGCTGATTCTGTAAGTTCTTAATTTGAATTTTCAAAATTTTTTAAAATTAAATTTTAAAAAATTTAAAAATTAAAATTTTTTTTTATTTTCAAAAATAAAAAATTTTTCGAAAAAAAAAGTTTTCAGTACAGAAACTGTCGAGACTACCAAGAAGCTGGTGACAAAGAAACTGGCAGTATAAGACCCATAGCCATTGATCACAAGAAGTACGAAGTCATTTGTGATCAAGATACCTATGAAGGAGGCTGGACTATAATCCAACAACGAGTGGATGGAACTGAACCTTTTTGGAATCGGACTTGGAAAGAGTACAAACATGGGTTTGGGACGCTTGATATGGTAAGTATAGTACTCAAGTTGGTCTTAGCTTCAACTGAACATAGGCAGAGGGCCATTTCTATCCTATACCCCCCAAAATTTTTAAAATTTTTGGTGACTTTTAATCATAAAACAACATTTTAGAGCTCCAGCTTCTATGCTGGCAATGATCTGATTCATGACTTATCAACTCAGTACGATGGTTATGTTACACTACGTATTGAACTATATGGAGATCAAAAACCTCGTAGTCTTCACGCTAATGACTTTTATTTTCAGCATTACAACTTTTCTGTAAGTAATAACTGCCCTGCCTTACCCTACTCAACCCTACCTTACCTAATCCTACCCTATCTCACACTCCCCTACCCTACCACACACAACTCTCCTGTACCTACCCTACCCTACTCTATCTTACCCTACCCTACCATAATAACAACCACACATCTTTCAGATCGAATCAGAAGAAGAGTTTTACAAAATGAAAATATGGCTAGACTGGGCAGTTATAGTAGGTAACGCCAGCTCAGGTTGGTACGACATTACCTACAGCAACAATGTGCCATTCTCAACATTAGATCGAATTTATGACCCAAACCCAAATTGTGAATACACTTTTAAAATGGGGTAAACATTTTAAATTAAATTAATCTTCTTATTAACAACTCAAAAAAGTTTTGTCGCTTTTTAACGTTCAAAGCAATGCAAAATGACGACAAGACTTTCTTCACTGTTAAAAAATCAAAAAAAATAATAAGACTCACGTTTCAGAGGTTGGTGGACCCATTACTGTGGTGTAGCATCTCTAAATGGTCAATACACTCCACAGAATGGTAACTTTGGCAATGGATATGGCATGTTCTACACCATCCAGGGACTTTACACCATCAACCCGATCAGGACCAGGATGTTGATCAAAGACAATAGACAAAGTGAAACGCCTGACGAAAAAGTTTTAAAATTTAAAATTTTTAGAAGAGTTTGGACCTTTTTTTAGATAATAAAACAAGTTATTGGCAAGATTTTTCTATTTTTTATTCCGCGCTACAATATTGTTTTGGTCCTACGACGAAAACGAAGAATGCAAAAAGCTTGTGGCATTCCGTTTGATTCGCAAAAATATTATAATTTCTTGCTTTGAATTGTTATTCTGTGAAATATTGGCTAGTAAAATTAGTTGTAGCTTTAGATACCAAAAAAATCAAATAGTTGTTATACTACTAAGTAAAACAGTTTTGCTAACAAAAATTGTTTTATTGGCTCAATTTGAGCAGTTTAGCTAACTTATTGTGTTATTTATATAACTTTTGGTGTTTATTAATTTGTTTTCTATAATTTGTTATCTATATATTGTTATTTACTTTAATGGACAGTTCAGTTGACTTTCTTGATGTTAGACAAGCAGTTTCGGCACTTGTGGCTCGTCCTGAAGAGCTGATAAAGCTTTTACGTGGCCAACCATCGGCTTTGTAAGTTCAACTTTTATATTTTAACGTTATTGGCTTCAAATTTACATTTTTAGTGATGGAATTAAAAACGAAGCATCATTAGTGGCTATTGAATGCCTGAAGAAGTTTTACAAGAACTTAAGGAAGGAAATTGTGGTTAACAATGGAGTATTGGTCAAGGATTCTGATTGTTTATGTTTCTTGGACTACAAAGCTGGAGAAACATGTGATCAACTGATTGATAGGAAAAGTAAGTATCTTTATTTTATGTTTTTATTCTTTAGTGGCCAAATATGGCGATCGACATTCGAAAAAGGATCGAAAGATGAGGAACAAGAAGGGAAAAGATGGTTTGAAAGTTTATGGAGGAGAAAGATATGTTAATGGAGGTATAACTTATGGAGGAGATGCTGATGAAGGTGTAGAACATCAAAGAAAGATTGATACAGCTATAGAACGAAGAAAACATGTTGAGGAAGGTATGAAACATAGAAGAAACCTTATTAAACCTCTAAAACAAGGAAAAGACGTTAAATTAGGTACAAGCTTAGTTGAGAAAGCAGGAGAAGAAAATGAGGAAGAGTTTCGTGAGGAATCTTCTGATAGTAGCAGCGTTACAATCACAATAAGTGGAAAAGATGGTTCTAGCAGTCCTAGTACTCGAACATCAAGAAGATCTTCTGAAAATCAACGAAAATTAGTTTTGGTAAGTTATAATAAACTATTTTTAATTTTAGTTTTTTTAATTCTGAAGGTTTAAAACAATATTTCAGAGTCCTTTATCCTCAAAAAGAAATCCTCAACCACTTCTTGTTCATTCAAAAGATCTCATAGATATTGACCAAGAGTCTGATGTCAGAAATAATCAATTTGAAAAGCAGAACGAGAGTGTTCATGTTGATCGAGCTTGCAGTCCAATCAATGAATATTCACCATCATATCAAGAAAGTTCAAGACGAGGTTTTTATTCAGGAGTAAGGGCGGATAAGAAGGCAATACATTCTATTCAAGTTCAAACAGAGGTTCAGCAGGTAAGGTTTTGGCGCTTTTTGAGGATTTGACGAGGGGTGGGTGCGGTGGTTTCCTGAAAGTTGCTACTGACTATGTTAAGGTTTAGAGAGGACGGTTCTTAAGACGGGAGGGGTAAAAAAATGATTTAGAAGAGGGGCCGTCAAATGTAAAAAAAAGTTAGGGCGGGGTAAAAGTTTTTTTTTAATTTTGGGCAGGGTAAAAAATTTAGGGCGGGGTTAAAAAAATTTTTTTTTCACGGCTGTTTTTTTTTACCAATAACATTTGCAGGTCGAAGCCTACACAGTAATATCCCACCAAGCAGTCCAAACCTCATTGACCAGTACCAGTACTCCAATATCCTCCTTCTCTTCCTCCAAGACCAGCACATCCTTTATATCATCGGAAAGTTCGGTTGGTCAAGTGTCACTGCGAAGAATAATCGAAACTAGAAGGCGGTTCAACGTTCTTACAGTTGGGACAGATGGAGTTGTGCAAACCAATGGGTTTTCGGGTTCTAGTACGCCAGTTAGGAGTGGCATCAGACGGAGATTAAGTGGTGATGCTGCTAGCGATGTGAGTTTGGATGGCTTATTTAGGTCGAAAAAAAATTTTTGTGGAAGTTATTGTACATAATTGGGTACACTGCCATATGAAAACATTGAATAATGGTTTGAATTCTTTTCAAACTTCTATTTTTTGATTTTCACCTACTATAATATTATATAAACAATATTACTTCAGGACACAAACCGAACAAAAATAGTGGAATCAGCGTTGCATATACAGCTACCAAGTCATACCGAAACTCCACTAGTGGCTTCAGAAGAATCGATACGAAGTGATTCGGTTAGACGACCGCGAATCATCGAAATCGACCAAGAAGTTGATGTAGATAGTGATAATGATGAGATTAATGGCGAGATAGAACAATTAAAGTTGAGTAGCAGAGAAGAGGACGAAGATGTAAGCACTCTGAATCAAATATCACCTTTACCTACTACTGGTTGAGGTTTTTTCGTCGAGAAACTTAGGCCTAATGATGATTATGGTGTTAGGCTTAGTGATAAGAATGGTGATGCTTCAGCTTACTGACAACACTAATGTTGTATATAATGATTAAAATTGCAATAATATTGAACAATAACGAAGTTACAGTAATTTAAAATTTTCAAAAAAGTCTTGGCGTTTTTTGTATTACGTTCAACGTATATTGACGACAAGACTTTTTTAACACGATAATAATATAAATAACGGTCACAATCATAATGTAAAGCATGATTAAGCTAATAAAGTACAAGAATTATGCAAATAATGTTGAAAATTAGACGTTATCAACCAACAGACATCAATATTATGTTAGATAAATACGTCTTTCGCTTTAAACTCGAACCTTTTTTGGAGCTCTACACTTTTCAAGTTTGCGAAAAGGTAACTCTGAAGGTCGGACGGCTGTCTGTGAAGGTAAAAACCGAATATCTACTTCAATATGTGTTCTTTTTGCTTCTGGGGTTATATTATAGTAGATTTTGATTGTTCGGCTTATATTATAGTAGACTTCGGGACGTTATGCTTGTGTTTAGGATGTTGAGGATGTGAATGTTAGTTGTTGAGGTAATGAAATGATAAATGAAGGTAATCACTAAGTTTTTAAGGCAATATAAGGCTGCCAAAAAAGTCTTGGCGTCAATTTATTAAGCTTTTCAGGTTAAAAAACGACAAAACTTTTTTGACCCCTTTGTATTGTTCGAAAGTAATAAAAGTTGTATTGAAATGAACAATAATGCCCAGTTTAAGCAAAAAAACTAATCATAACTATGTTAACCATGAATAAGGCTGTTCAAAGTGTCTACCCTTGTTATTCTGTCTGTTATGTTCGGTTTGTTTGTTTAAAACAGAAGGCTTTTATAACTTGAAGCATTACTTCAAGTGCAAACACAATTCCCTTTGGCTCATATTCATGTTTTTATATTGGGGGAATGAGGGGGATTAGGAGGTATATTTAAAATGGATTTTTTAAATTGAGAATTATGTTGGGAGGGGTATTTTTTAAGGGTTTAGGGATGGGCGTGGTAAAAAATTATGTTTGATGGTCATTTTTAAAGCTTTAGGGAAGAGTAGGATGGTAGAAAGTTTTGTCCGGAGGGGCATTTTTATAGCGTTAGGTAGAGGGAGTGATTTTTTTAGTAGGGGGTGGAAAAAATAAAAAATGTAAAAAAAATTATTATAATACGTTACTTTATAAAAAGTTTTAAAAAACAGCGGCTATGTCAAATTTTTCAGTGGGATGTTCGCAAATATTTTTTATATTTTTTTGGTTTTTAAAATACATTTTGATAAACTTGAAGGCCATGGGGGCCGTAGCTTTTGTACTCCTGTCTTACCTCTCTTCCGGAGGCTTGAAAAGGTTGTCCTTACCTAATTTAAAAACTTTTTTTAATTTGAAAAAAGAATTTTGAAAAATTTTATATTTCAAAAATGTTTTTGAATTTCAAAAAACATTTAGTTTTACACTTTACATCCCAAACAGTTGTTTTTGTTTGTGGCCGAAAAAGAATGGCCCGTTTTCTCTCTTTTTGTGCCGCTTTTTCGTGGCCAGATGACGTCACGAGAGAAGACAGCCGTTTGAAAAGAAAGAAATGGAATTCGTTTTAATTTATTGACTCAACTAATTTCTCCAGTCTTTTTTTGGGATCAGGGGTGGGTATTTAAAATTTTTAAGGATGTGTAAGGTACATAAAGTGGCTTTTTTTGTGTGGGGTGTGGGTTATTCTTTTTTTTGGGATGAGGGTAGAAGAACTTTCTTTTAAAAGCAAAAAATGGCAAGAACTTTCTTTACAAAGCATAAAATGGCAAGAACTTTCTTTACAAAACATAAATGGCAACGACTTTCTTTACAAAACTCAAAATGGCAAGAACTTTCTTTACAGTGAATTTTTTTGTGTCTTTTACAAATATTCTATTAAAATTGTCGGGAAATTTAAATATTTTTAAATATAAATCTGTTTTATTTCAAAAAAATGACCTGATAATGTAATTTGTTTTTAGATGCGCCTATAGCAGTAGTACAATATAATTAGAGAAGAGTGTGTGGCTCAACAATGGCAGTAGAATTGGCCACGACTTCTGGCAATTTGGAACATGAAGAAGATGAGCAAGAACAACTTTTAGAAGAAGAAGAATGCGAAGAAAGTCCTCATGAGACCAATTGTGGGGTTGTAAAGTAAGTTTTTGCCGTTTCTTTGTTTTGTAAAGAAAGTTTTTGTAACTTTTGGTTTTGTAAAGAAAGTTCTTACTAGTTTTAGTTTTGTAAAGAAAGTTCTTGCTATTTTTTTAAAAAAAAACGTTTTCAGTCCATACATGAACCCTAGGGCGCAACATGGCGAAGCCTACGAGCCAACTCGCCTGGAGCACTTGGCTAACACCTTCACTCATGGAATTGCCATAATACCATCACTGGTCATCACGAGGATATTGATTGATGCTGCTTACAGGGAACTCCAACAACATCTCATGGTCATGTACGGGTTTTTTACTACTGTAAGTTTGGTTATGTACTTGTACATAGTGGTTACTTTGGTTAAATGAACCTACCCCTACCCCTACCCCTACCCCTACCCCTACCCCTACCCCTACCCCTACCCCTACCCCTACCCCTACCCCTACCCCTACCCCTACCCCTACCCCTACCCCTACCCCTACCCCTACCCCTACCCCTACCCCTACCCCTACCCCTACCCCTACCCCTACCCCTACCTCTACCCCTACCCCTACCCCTATTCCTATCCCTACCCCTTACTATAGCTCACTTTACTCTAAACTACAGTACCCTAACTTTCAGTTACTCTTTACTGCCTCCACCGCCTATCACTTTTGCGAATTGCTATTCCGACCAGACAAACGAACATTACGGTACTATCTTCACATCACCGACCGTATCACCATCTACTTCTTCATAGCCTCCTCAGCTACACCGTGGCTAACCCTACGCCATGCCGACACGATAGGAGCCCATCTGAAGTGGATCATCTGGGTGATAGCACTAATAGGCATAGCCTACCAACTCAAGTACCACGAGCGCTACAAAACCATAGAGACGTGCTTCTATGTTGTAGTAGCCTCGATCCCATATGTTGGTATCATCACGATGAACGACCGAAACGGAATGCCACTAATGATTCTGGGCGGGTTGGTTTATGTGGTTGGTACTGTATTCTTTAAAATGGATGGAATTGTACCGTTCGCTCATGCTATCTGGCATCTTCATGTTGTTGTAGGTAAGTCTGGGGTTGATTTTTTGAAAGGATGGATGGGCGGGGGTGAGGAGTGAGGGAGGGTTTTTGATTTTAGAATGGGTAGTGCGGTGAGAGGGGTTTGATTTAAAAGAAGTAGGGCTTATATTTTTGGGTGAGGGCGGGGGAAAGTGAAAAAAGTTTTGATTTGGGCAGGGTAAATTTTTTTGTTGTAAGGCAGGGTAAATTTTTTTTTGTTGGGTAGGTTTAAAAGGTTTTGTCTAAAGAGGAGGGGTAAAAAAAATTTTTTGCGGGGTGGATAAAAAAATTTTTTTGTAGAGTTAGGTAGGGTGGGGTAAAAAATATTTTTTGGTGGGTAGGAGTTGGAAATATTTTGCTTTTGGCGGGTAGGGTAATAATGTTTTTTTGGAGTAGGAGGGGTGGAGCAAAAAAATTTTTTTTGTGATGAGGGCGGGGTAAAAAAAATTATTTCTTACAATTTTAGGAGCATCAATTCACACGTACGCGGTATACACAAGTCTTATTGGTCCCGACCCGAACAATCCCATGCCTCCAGTTGAATTTTAACGATGATTACAACAGCAATATAGTATAGTTATCGACCATTATTATCGACCGTTTTTATTTATTTTTTAGGGTTTATTGATCTCTATGGTACTAAAAATAGTATGTCAAAGCTATGAAATTACATTGATCATTAGTTTTTAATTATCTATGAGTATTCTTGGTTTTATTTAACATCATCTACTGTATTATTAAATTAGGTAGTATTAGTCTTTTTCTAACATTATACTAGGTATTATTGGTCTTGTTTTAAACGGGTGAAAGAACTTACAAATAAACAGATATACGTTTATCAATTTGTGATGAAATTATAAATAGTAGAGTGGTAAAAAAAGTCTTGTCGTTTTTAGACGTAGAAAACATAGCAAATTGGCGACAAGACTTATTTATTACTGTAATACTTGAAGTAAAATGAGTTTTTTGTGACTACAATGTAAAAATAGAATGAAAGAGACGTATTGTTTTTTAAATATTGGAATCAGTGCCGGGCGGGGTGAATTTATTTTTTTGGGGAGGGTCAAAAAATTTTTTTTTGAATTTGGTGAACGGAATAAATCAGTTCAAAAAATTTGATGCGATGATTTTTTTCTACCCCTCTCAGTCAGGGACTTCGCTGACCTTGCTCCCATCACTACACAGGGAGATTTGGCCGAGCCGTGACAGGCTTGAGAAAAAATCTAGCAGGTCAAGCTTGGAAATCGGCCCGGCCCTTTTTTCATGTCTACGCACCACCCGGCCTGATTGTGAGGATAAATGACATAAGTGCTAACATAAAATACGATCCATGGCGACATAAAACGTTTCAACATCATTGATGGTTCGGACTGGCCATACGCATAGGTTTAACTGAAAAATTATGTTTAATGTTATCATAGTTTTGCCTTTTTTAATCTATTTTATCATTGAAATCAAAAAAAGTCTTGTCGTCAATTAACTATGGCTTTCACGACGAAAGACGACAAGACTTTTTATAGGTCAAAATTAGGAAATATAAATACAATAAGAATATATATGCCTTACCAACTTAGCCGCATTAATAGTCTCCACATTAGCACTAATGATCAAAATATGCTCCTTTTTAAACCGTTGTACAATCTTATCCAGTATCACCGTCCGATCGTTCCGTGCTGTACTATAAACGTTCTCCACCGGCACCAATTCGGCCGCTCGATTCAGAAGTAATCGTGCCAATCCACAAGGCAGCGTTTCTCTCCCAATCACAACATTAGTAAACAAAGTCGTGTCTGTAGACCTCTCAATGGCTAGCTTTAGGCATTTCTTGTAGCATCGACGAGAATCCATGGCTTCGACAGAGTCGAACCAGTTCAACACTTGATTGTCTCCGACTAACACTGAAAAGGGAGGAAGATTATTTGTTTTGGGCCTGATTAGGCTTTGGACGGCCTCGGCCTGGTAAAAGCGAATTTATTAGGTTGTTGCAAAAAGAAAGGCCGGCCTGAAACTCAGGCTAAGGCTCAAGCTTAGGCTGAGGCTGAGGCTTAAGCTCAGGCTTAAGCTCAGGTTATGTTGTACGCGTGGGGGGGGAGTTAAAACAAAATGGTTTTTAAAATTTGTGAAACAGGAAGGAAAAGACATGCTTTTTTTAGAAAGGAGGGGGAAAAAGAGATAAAAAAAGAGTAAAGGGCGGTGCAAAACAAAACGCGTTTTTAAAATTTAACGGGTAGGGAGGGCAGAATAAAACGTTTTTTTGTCATGAGGGGAAGAGGAAGATAAAAGAAAGTTAAAGAGATGAGAGAGATACACATAAGCTAACCTTACTTGATATACTACTCTTGTACTGATTGTAAATCCTTTTCATATTCTGTTGCTTCTGAGCGATTTTCTGAAAAAAAAATTTTTAAAATTAAAAATTTTTTTCGAAGAATTTGTCTTCATCTATGCCAAAATTGATAAACCAATTATTAAAAAACTTTGCTAAAACCAACCCCTGCCTTAAAATCCTGTAAAACACCATCAAAAGTTCCTACCTTCAAATTATCGACCGCCGTATTACTAGTCCCAGCCACACTAGTCGAGCTCTGGACATGGCTCGAGCTGACATCAGTCTTATCTTCTGAGCTCGTAAAACTGTCAGAACTGTTGTACACAGAAGCACCATCGTTCAGAATCTCTTCCAATGGACCGTCCTCAATGTTAATATGATCGTATTCTTGAGCTTCGTATGTTGTCAGATCGAAGTAACTCTTGAGTAACTGTTCGATCAGTTTGTTTAGCTGTGTGTGCATGGCTGGTGGTACAATGGTCGTGTTACAGAGTTCGTCAATTTCCCACACGTAAACGCGTTTGAAGTTGGGCTGGTTTTCTGTTAAAGGCATGGGCTTTTTTCGTTTTCGGCTTTCTAAAAAATTAATAAAAGTACAGCTTTAAGTTGGTTACTATTAGTATAAGGTCGGACAGGTTAGGAAAGGCTAGTGTGCTAGTAAGGGGCAAAGCAAGCTACCTAATACGGCTATCCTTGGGCTAGATAATGTAAAGCAAATCAAAGTTATCACATAGTGAGGGCTTGAGTTACGGCTAAGGCTTAGACTAAGGCTCAGGCTTGGGCTCACGCTTAGGATCAAGCTCGGGCTCAGGCTCAGGCTCATGCTCAGGCTCATGCTCAGGCTCATGCTCAGACTCAGGCTCAACCTCAGGCTCATGCTCAGGCTCAGGCTCAGGTTTAGGTTTAGGTTTAGGTTTAGGTTCAGGTTTAGGTTCAGGTTCAGGTTCAGGTTCAGGTTCAGGCTCAGGCTCAGGCTCAGGCTCAGGCTCAGGCTCAGGCTCAGGCTCAGGCTCAGGTTCAAGTTCAGGCTCACGCTCAAGCTCACGCTCAGGCTCAGGCTCAGGTTCAGGTTCAGGTTCAGGCTCAAGCTCAGGCTCAGGCTCAGGCTCAGGCTCAGACTCATGCTTAGGCTTGGGTTTAGGCTTAGGATAAGGCTAAAGATAAGGCTCAAGCTTAGACTTAAGCTTAGAATCAAGTGTTCTGGCTTGGCCTCAAGCTAATTTAAAGTTAAAGGTAAGTCTATGGCTAAACCAAAAACTGAGAGTGAAGTTATGGTAATACTAAAACTAAGAATCAAAAACAAAGTTATGGTTAGAAGAAAATAATACTTACTGCTTTTATCATTTTTTGTAGTAGAAGTTACAGTAGGATCGAAGGCCTGGCTTGTATTTGGACTCAAATTCATTGAAAATGGATTATTTGTGACTAAGTTGCGCTAAAAGACATTAAAATAGATAAAAATCAATGCTTACTCTATAATTTTGCTGTATACTTGAGATCGGACTAGTACGAGAAGCGGAGTTGTTCAAGTAGTTCATGCCGTAGCTAGCGTAATTGTAGTCAAATGTTGTTGGGTAGGATGTTCCGGCTAAAATTTTTTTAAATAAGCCTAAGCTTAAATTCACAATTCATAAGCCTAAAACTTTTTTTAGAAAAACAAAATTTCTGGTATGAATATCAAAATTAGAGTATAAAATAATACAGTACAGTACAGTACAGTACACTACTCCACTTACCATACAACCCAGAGTTGCCCAAGTACAGTCCATTCCGAATGTTATTGTAGTACTGTGGGTTATACAAATTGTACGCTTGTGGAGTGTATGTGGTGGTACTGTAGTTTGGTAGTGGAAACTCTTGAGTCATGGCTGGAACGGCAGGGTCAGAGTTTTCAGTCCAGTCCACTTTTGGCTCAGCTGGCATCTATAATAATATAAGATTAGACAGTAGAATTGGCATGATTAAACAAATAATCGGTTGTTCAAATAATTCTGTGCTCCTTTAGAAACTAATGTTTGGAATTATAAAGCACAGAATTATTTGAACTACTTAAAATAACAAAAAAAAATTTTTTTAAACTCAAGATCCCCCCCACCCATCTTTAGAAAAAATACAAGAAAGATATAAAGCTAACACTACAGTAACCACAATCTCGATCATGCTCTCGAAATGCCAAAATTGACCCAATAAGCGAAATATTTTGGGACCTCTAATTAAGGCGCTTCAAAAGCGACAAAATCCGAAATGAAATTTGAGAAACGCGCAATAATTTCTCTGGATGGGAACACTTCGGAAGGGGGCGGGGCTTGAATACAGTACGACAAACATTTATAATTCAAATATTTTGGTATTAATCTTACCCTACCCTACCCTACCACCCTACTCTGCCCTACCACCCTACCCTACCCTACCCTACCCTAAACTATCTTAACCTACTCTACTTCATATTATACTAGCTCATGATGAGGCTCAAGCTTAGACTCAGTCTCCATTTTATGATATAGCTCATGCCCATCCTTATGCTCCACCCAATTCTACCTTACTCTACAATATACTAGTTTAACTTGCCTTGCCTTGGCTTATCTTGCCCTACCTTATCTTACACTGCCCTACCTTACCGTACCTAACTCTATACTCAGGGCCGGGCGCGAGGGGGGGGGGAGGGGGACCCCCCCCCCCGAGTAGAAAAAAAATTTTTTTGAAAAAAAAATTGAACGTGGTCCCCCCTGTGGATTTTCGGAAAAAAAATTACGCAAAAAATCGGCACAGGACCTGTGCCGATTTTTTAGACCCCCGCCCCCAGACCAAAAGTCCCCGCCCGGCCCTGTCTATACTACTTTCATTTACTCTAATTCTCTCTAAATTGTCTTATATAACCTTATCCTATCCCCCACGCAATATAAATCGTTTTTTGTTTAAGATATTCAAATTACAGTACCGCAAAAGCGAATCTCTCTAATCCGTTAATGAAGCGGAAGTTAAGCGTTAACGGAATGCTTAGAGCCAAGTTGCGTAAGAGTCGGTCACACCTGGCCAAAGAGATTGCCATAATTTGTGGCGGCGCATCTTTAGTTCCGAGCCATTCAATCGCAACAAGTTCAAGTTGGATAAACAAAACGAGGGTATGGGCATGGGTATACAAATATAAATAAAAATATAGTTGTTTTAAGGGCGGGAGGGGATTTTTCGTAGCAAAAAAAATTAAAAAAATGTATTTTTATAAAACAAATTTTTGGGCGGGGTAAAATTTTTTTGGAGGGGGGAGGGAGAGGGGTGGGGAGTCCCTTCCCTCCCCCCCCATCCCAATTTAAAATTACGTAACCCCAACCCTTCTTCCGATTGACCTCACCCGTGCCAAACATAATCGACCGTCTCTACATTTTGCCTGTTCTTTTGTCCCCAAAAACTTTATCGTCAAAGTTGATCAAACTACATAATAAACTGGTTTAAACCGGTAATTATATAATGTTAATGAAAACATCTACACCTGTTGAGGAACAATAATAATATCCCGCATTGAGGACAACAGGAATTTAGAATGGCATGGATTGGTCAAGTTTTGTCTTATTACCCCACTTTACTATATCTTACCCTAGCTTACTCTATCTTACTCTATCTTACTCTACCTTACCCTATCTTACCCCACCTTTATCTTATCTTACCTTCACTTACCCTACCTATGGTCAAGATAAAAGTTTTTTTCGTATACCACACCCTTCGCTGAAAAATATAATATTTTACCACGCCTAATTTTGTAAAAAATTATGTTTTATTCCTTTTCAAATGTAAAAGAAATCTTATTTTGTTAATATCTCCTCCCACTCAAACAAAATTTACCACGCCCAAAATTTTTTTTCTAAAAAAACCATTTTCACGTGATTTTGGTTGATAAATGTAAAACTTTTTTTGGCGCTCATCCAGAATAGCCCCCCCCACCCATACCATTTCAAGCACCCACCGATCTTATCCAGAACATACCCCCAAAGACTCATTTCCAAAAAGCAGATTGAAAGTTTCTTTTTTTTCTCTTGCGATTTCTCACATAAGTTTCAATTTGCAGAAAATTTTGAACCCCCACTGTAGATCGCACCCCCACCCATTGTAGGTCGCACCCCAACCCATTGTAGATCGCACCCCCACCCACTGTAGATCACACCCCCACCATTGTATTTCACACCCCCAGAAAATGAAATTTACAACCGGCACGTAAAAAGTCAAAAATTCTTCATTTTTTAAATTGACCTTTACGAAATCAATGAAAATGGGTATAAAAGGCATCAGATTTTGCAAATTCTTCATTCTGCTCCTCCGTTCACCGCCCTGGCCAGTCAGTAGACCAGCACTCTCTCGCGCGACCCTCAACCCCCAACTTCGGACATTACCGATATGGTTCGGCCAAGTGGGATCGACCTGGAGTTGGAGATTGGGGGTTTCACTGGGGGTGCGAACTGGCGGTTGGGGGTGTGAAACGGAATGGGGGGGGGGCTGTTCTAGATGAGCCCCCTTTTTTTTATTTTTTTAAAAGCACGCTTCCCCCCCCTCCCCCTCCCCCCCCTACCGACTCAAAAAATTTTTTTACCCTGCCCAAAAAAAAATTTTTTTAAGTTTGTTATTGACCTGTACTTTTCATTTTTTCACCTTCTCTCTTTCCCATCACCCTTCCTCACTATCTTTTCAAAACGTCTCTTCCCCTCCTCCCCCCGTTCCAATCATTACCTACAATAATCAAACCCCCCCCCTTTCTCAAGAAAATTTAAATAATTCACAACTTTTGAAAAAAAAACCAAAAAGGCTGTGCGGACGTAAAATACTTTTTTCTCAGCATTCCCTCTCACCACCAAAAGTGTCTGCCCCGCCCTCTTCAATCAACGTGCTATTCGGGCGTCGGCCGGAAATTCGAGCCCATCCTAGAAAGCATCAGGTTACCTGAGGGCTGAAAGGAAAAGAGAAGTTTGCATGGCCAAGGGCGTTGGAAATTTACATACAGCTGCATGGGGCGGGGGATTCTTAAAAGGTTTTTTAGAAGGAAGCGCGGGGGAGAGAGAAATAAGGGGGAATGGTAAAATTGAAAGTTTCTTCTGAAAGAGAGGAGTGAAGTTTTTGTTGAAAGGAGGTGGAGATAGGGTACTTTCTTTTTATTATGGTTCCTCTAGAACTCCATTTTAAAAAAAATTGTTTGTTTTCCTCCCCCCCCCTTGCTAAAAAAAATTTTTACTACGCCCAATTTTTTTTACAATTTTTTTCTGTTTTTCTTTCCCTAATCTCCCTAAAAAGTTTTTTTTGCTCCCCCTGTCCTTCCAAAAAAATTTTTTACCCTGCCCAAATTTAAAAAAAATTTTTTTTTTCCTTTTCCAGCCTTCTTAAAAAGCGCTTTTTTTTGCTTGCTCCCCGTCCTACCCTTTCAAAAAATTTTTTTATCCCGCCCAAATTCTTTTTTCAAAATTTTTTTTTAATTTTTAACAACTTTGAAATAGAATATTAAAACTTTATTGAAAATGGCAGGTATGTAGATAAACATGCATAATACAAAATAAAAAAAAGTTATTTGTACTGAAAATGAATTTCATCAAAAGCTGTAAAGAAAGTTTTTACAATAGACTAGTATGTTATGAGATTAGTTAAATGCAAGATTTAAAAAAAATTTCAAAAACTAAAATATTATGACAAATTTAAAAAACAATTACAATAAGCTTCAAAATGCAAAAAAAAAAATAAAAAATTTTAAAAAATTTTAAAATTTAAATTTCAAAAAAAAATTTTTTTTAAATTTTAAATTGAAATCAAACATTGTTGATCAAAAGGCGCATCGTATGGGTAGATATCTCCGGCATCCGGACCTCCACCATACGCTTTGTCGTTCTCTGGAGCGATGTACCAGTCATTGGCGTTGTAGGCAGCACCTCCTAGTCTGAAGTCGCGTTTTTGTTCTTCTAGTTGTTTGTAGGCTTTCAGGTGTCTGAAAATGTAATTCTCTTAGTATCACAGTATGTAATGTTGCTTTTTTTAAAACTAAAACTAGCTTTATATGGCCTTAAAGTATAATATTATGGCACAAAAGTCTTGGCGATAACTAGGCTTGAAAGGGGACCCACTGGGCTTGGCCTGGCCTTTATAACAAGTAGGAGCGTTCTTTTTGAATGCGTGTGAGAAAAAGGAGTACAAAAGAGCCCCCCTTAGACTTAAAAAAAAGGCCCACTAGGTCCGGTCCGGGCTAGACCATGCCGCGCAAAAAGACTCAGGCTAGACCTAGACATAAGAAACGAGCCGGGTCTTAAAAATGAGCCGCACCCGGCCCGTTTCCACGTAAAAAAATTTAGGCTCGAGCCTGAGCAATATTTTGATCCGGTCGGGACTAACATTCAGGTTCGGTCCGTTTCTTATGTCTAGCTAGACCAGGCCGCCCAAAATCAAATTTGATAGAAACCAAGTTAATGCTAAGCTGAAGGCTTATACTTTTCTTGTCTAAAACTCAGAAAAACTAAATTATAATCAAAAATGGCTTACTTGTAGAGCTTCCAAATGATATACAAAAAGAAGATTTCCAGAATGGCTACAGCCAAATAAACGATGATGATCAAGATTCCAAGTGCACGGGTAGCTAAAATTATTTTTAATTATACAAAAATAATTTACGTCTTGCCTTACAAAAAATTTTTTACTATACCCTCCCCCCCCATCCACAAAAATTTTTTTTTGAAATACCACCCCTTTTAAAAAAATTCATATTTTACTCATTTTGACTAAAAAAATTTTTTTTTACCCATACTCCCCTAACCCCTCCCCTCCCAAAATTTTTACTTTTTTACCCCGCTCAAAAAAAATTTGATATCTCACCCGCCCTCCTCTAAAAAATCTCTTAAAACCCCTTTCCTTTCTCAACTTACAAGAATCACTCATATAGAATCCACCATGCCCGATCAGCCTTCTGATTCCCTGATACGCTCCCAAAGCCAATAAAATCGCCGTAACTAATGCCACAATGAACAAGAACAAGATCAAGAAGATCTGGGCACTCAAATGAGGTAACAACCAACGAGGATTCTCTTTCTTAATCGCATAGAACAGTACGGCGATGGCAATCAGAATGATGATGATACTGATAATGCCCACGACAAACCAAAAGAAATAGGACATTCCGAAGAGATGGAAGTTGCGGAACAGTCCGTACACTGCTAGGATGCATAGTAGGATCTCGACTAGTCCTACTACGTAGCCGGCTGTCTGAAATGAGATTATTTGCTTTGAAATCTGGATTATGTCTTAACAAAGTTGTGGTTAAAGCAAGGCAGGGTAGAGTAAGCAAAGTAAAGTGTAGTAAGATAGGGTGGGATAGTAAAAGGTGAGACAAGGTAGGGTAAAGCAAAGTAGGTTAGAGCAAAGTACAATAAGTTAAGACAATGTAGGGTAAGATAAGGTAGGATAGAATAAGAGTAGTAGGGTAAAATAGGGTAGAGGGGGAAGGGGGTAGAATTAAAAACCTTACTTTCAAATTACAACAGCATATCCGGTTTGGCTGTTCAGCGGGCTGCTGCTCCTTTTGAGTTTTGGCTTTATTTTTAGCTGCTACCATGCTGGGCAACTTAAATTATTAAAATTATACTGTAGAATTCGTGTATCTCAAAACTTCTTTATAACGAACAAATTTAAAAACCCCTGAGCGATTCCGTATACAGCTGTTTTACTGTACTATGAACGATTAATCATACAGTCATTCAGTAATTCATATACAAGAGTTTTACTGCAATATAAACAATAGATTATATAGTCATTCAGTAATGTAATCGCCGGCAAAATTCGGTGTGAGATATCCCCCCCCTCTCTCTTTTCATTAAGAAGTTAAAAAACACTATACTAGCCTTTTACGCTTTGCACATACAGTCGAACCTCTATAGCATGACACTCCAGAAACTGGAACTAAATGCCATTATAACCAAAGTGTCACACTATCTAGGTAATTTTTGATAATACTTTTGTCAAATTACAAACGGCGCTCAGAAAGCTGTCACTATAGAGAGGGAGTTATATTAGGAGCATACCCAGCCTTACCCATCCTGCCAAAATATCCACTCTACTCACACTAGACAACCTAAACTCACTCTAACTTAACCTACCCCAGCAAAACTTAACTATTCAATTCCGACATAAAGAACCCGCCATACCTTTCCTTTAATTTCCTGTAAAAATGGCTGGTTCTTTACGTCGGCACCTAATACAATCGCTTGTTACAAAAGAACAAGTTTATTTTTAAAAAACGTTATGTGTTTTGAATTGTCTTGCCCTCCTCTCTTTACCCCTTCCTTCTTCCCGGCTCTGTAAACCCAGTTTCTATTAAAAAATTTTTGTAATTTTAAAAATTTCTTAAAAATTTAAATATCAAAAAATCAATTTATCAATTTATCAAATCCAACTCGACCACTTGATCTCTTGCCCCAATAAATTTTTATCGACCATCTTCGCAAACGACCAAAACACGAAAAGTGAAAAAAATAAACGTAATATCAATAATAACAATAAAAAAAGCGACGGAATTCTTGGAACTGAAGCAAAATCATTTCAGAAAAGAAAAAAGCAAAAGCATTCATGCCCTAAGGGCCTGTTCAGCCTCCCACCAGCCGATTTTTTCGTGCCAAATGTTTTTGAATGAACGGAATCAGGGGGGGCTTTTGTTTTAGATGCTATTTGATAGAATCAAATACTACCTAAAACAAGGGCCGGCCAGTTGATTGGAGTCGCAAAGTTGGCTTTTAAACAGATTTTAAAAAGTAAAATGAAAAATGCCTTGAGCAATTAGCTTTTGAAAAAAAGTTTAGGCTGAAATGTCACAGAAGCTTCAAAAAGTCACCCCTCTCCTGCCTGGTCACAAAATAGCAAGAACTTCCTTTACAAAAAAAATAGCAAGGACTTTCTTTACAAGACACAAAATGGCTAGAACTTTCTTTACAGAATTTGAAATAGCAAAAACTTTCTTTACAAACAAAAAATGGCAAGAACTTTCTTTACCAAATAAAAAATGGTTGAAAAAGTCTTGTCGCTTATACGTAATTAACTCCCCTTTAAAAAACGACAAAACTTTTAGCCCTAATTGACAATTAAAAACAAAAAAAAATTTTTTTTAAATCCAAAAAAGCTAAAGCAGATTAAGAGCTGATAGCATGTGCTTAAATGTCAAAAACTTGTGGTTAAATGGAAATCATGGAAAAACGAATTTTGTGTAATAAAACGGCTCAATTTCTTGCACTCGAGGCCAGAAATGATTTGTCATTCAAAAGAAGGAAGACGCTTTCTTATTAGCAGTTAGTAATAAACAATTAAAAGAAGCCTTAGCTTTAGCCTTAGCCTTAGCCTTAGCCTTAGCCTTAGCCTTAGCCTTAGCCTTAGCCTTAGCCTTAGCCTTAGCCTTAGCTTTTATGTTAGTCTGTATTATATTAAACTTTGTATGCATTAATTTCATTTTATTAATTAGTCAGCTAACTGTAATAACAGCCGTTCCAATTGTAAACCAAAAACAGCTAGGAAGTTGCGCAATCAGCGATATTGTTCTTTAAGGATTGTTTGAACCCGTTTTCGTTCTTTTTACTGCTAACGTCGAGATGAAAAAACAATTACTTAAAAACACACAATGCTACCCTCAAACAAAGTAAGTCACGGCGCAAAGGTCAAGGTAATAAGTCAAGAATGTTTTGATAAAGAACAAATGAGATCAAGATATTGTGATTTATGACTCAAGTTGGTACTAGTTCGATTACAAGAAAGTTGATTAACATGAAATGAACAATACAAAATACAATATTAGTTTAAAATACGATAGAGTAGGATTACAGTAAATGTATGATAAAGAAAAAATATCATTGATAAGTTAAGGGAAAAGTGAGGCTAAGGTAAAGTTCCTATGTAGAGTAAGGAACAAGGTAAAATACGGCGGGATGATCCAGGTTTATTTACTATAATGTTCGTAAAACTTTGTTTACATTTTTGCTGTTTTACTATGTTGATACCACGATAATGGTTTGCATTTTTATAAATTTTCCCTGAAAGGTTAGATATAAGGAAGGGCAGGGTGAAGAGTACAGTGAAAATCAGGATCAAAAAGGTATATAGAGTGCAAGGTAGAGTATAGAGTAAGGTATTGTAGGATGTAATGAATGAAAGGCTAAAGAGTAAGGTAAAGAATAAAGGCTAAAGTAAAAAATAAGGTAAAAAGTTGAATGAAATTTAAGACGTAGAGTAGAATCAAGATGGGGATGAAGAGCAAGGTGTAAGATAAGGTAAAGGATGAAGTAAAAGATAGAGTAAAGAATGGAGTTGTACGATGAAGAGCAGAGTGGATGGTAGAGTAAGGATAGGGTAGTATTAGTGTTCTCGGAGGGGGGAGGGAGAATCCCCCCCCTGCGGGGATAAAAAAACGCCGTCCGCCGGGAACACTAGGTAGTATAGAGAGTAGAGTGAAGACTAGGGTAAAGAATAAGGAAAAAAGTACATACTGTGTAAGATAGGATGAAGTTAGGACAATAGTATGGTGAAAAGAATTAGTTTTTTTGTATTTAAACTTATTTAAAATAATGTTATTCTATGACCATAATCAATTAATACTTCCTTTGATTAATCAACAAATTGATCCACAAACTTTTTTCTGATAATCCATAAAACCTCAAGGTCGAATGCGCATGAAAAGTCGAAGAGCGGGGGGAGGGCGGGATTGTCCCTCAATTACAAATTGAGCTCATTTCACTTTCACCTTTTGTTTTCGGTCGCAGTTCGTCGATGAAAATTATCTCGGGGTTAAGGATTTTGTAGGGTTACTTCGGTTTTGGGTTATTAAACGAGTGGAACGTTTAGCCAATTTACAGTTGTTGGGAGAGGAAAAAGTTACAGTAGGGTACAGAGTAGAAAAAAGTGTTACAGTAGGCTACAGATTAGGAAAAGTTACAGTAGGTTACGCCAGTTGTAGTAAAAATTTTTTTTAATTTTTTTCTTAATTTTGCTACTGTAACGTTGAGACAATTTACAATAACAAATAGAAAAAAGTGTTACAGTAGGCTGTGCTGGTTACAATTAAAATTTTTGAAATTTTAAATTTTGAAAATTTTTTTATTAAAAATTTTAAAATACGAAATTTCAGCTCAAGATGGGGCTGACGTCAATAAAACTGCCATTATTATTGGTAAGTAATACTTTAGAATCAATATAAAGCCTATTATAGCGTCAGAAAAATCTTGTCGTTTTTGACCGTGCAAGTCAATGTAAATTGGCGACAAGACTTTTTTACACTTTTTTAAAACTAATAATGAAAAATTTGAAATGAATTTTAAAGTAATTTTAAATTTAATATTTTACAGGCCACCTTACTGTGTCACATCTCAATCACAGCAGCGCATTACGCTCAACAATCAGCCTATGGTCCAGCCGTGCCTCAACAGTCCCCAGTGACTTATAACCTACAGCCTGTATACCAACAACCTCAAGCTTATCAACCTTCACAAGGCTACTCACAGATAGTTCAACCTTATGGTGCTGGTGGTGCACTATCACAAGCAGGTGGATCATTTGGACAAGCTGGTTCTGTCGGGCAAGGCGGATCATTTGGGCAAAGCGGTTCATTCGGACAACCAGCACTGAACGGTGAAGCTAATATTGTAAATGCAGCTGGCGTATCTGGTGGATCATCTTCAGCTCTAGCAGGAGGTATACCTGGTGGACCTGGAATTCGTTTCAGAGTCAACAAACCTGCCTTCAGATATGCTGGAGAGATGATTGCACCTATCTTGAGTAATCAGATCAGAAATGCTAGGATTCCTGGGATTCATCAGTGCTTGCCACAGGTTAGTTGGGTTAGAATTTTAGGATATGGTTGAGGAAAAGTAAAATACGATGTATCTGTCTATGTTTTTTCTATCGTAACAAGCAACACAATTTTAATAGTTTAGGTCGATGGCTGTATCCGCGTTGACAATATCTTCATTTCAAACTACCAATGTCCAGAAAGAATTCAGATTCGTCCAGCAGCACCAAACCAAGTCCTTATTGTTGTGAAGAACGCCAACTTCCAGTAGGTTTTGTATATTTTAAACCTTAAGTAGGACCGGGTTATAATGTGGAGGTGAAGTTCAGGGTATACTTGTAAAGGGGATGACCTAAGCTCAAATTTTGGCTTTGGATCTTAGACGTAGTGGGCCTCTTTTCAAGTATAGCTCACGTAGAGTGGGCTGTATAGGTATAGCTCAGGTAGAGAAGGGTATAGTAGAGTAATTAGGAGGAGGGATATAGAAAAAATTTTTTTGACAAAGAAAAAAAGTGAAAATCGTTTTTAATTTATCAAATTTATTATTTTGTTACCTAAAATGTAACTTTTAATATTTCTTTTCAGAGTTACGGGTAACCTCGCCGGCAAAGTCACGGTATTGGCTCCGCTAGCTCTTGGTGGCCAATTTGTAGCTACTGCTCAAGGAGTAAGTTTGAAAACTCAATAATTTGTTTAAATTTAAAATTTTCAGCAAAAAGGTCTAAAATTTTCAAAAAAAATTTTTTTTTAATTTTTTAAATTTTTTTAATTTTTGAAAATTCAAATAAATGATATTTTTTAAATTTAAAAATTTCGAAATTGTAGATTTCAATTTCCGTTGGTTTGACAGTCCAAAGATCTGCAACAGGAGGCCTCAACGTCGCCATTTCATCGTGCCATGCTACAGTCGGCTACATTGGCCTTCAAATCATCAATGGAGGAACTTTGGGAGAGTTGGCTAGCAGCCCAACCTTTTCTGTGAGTTTGTCTCAAGGCCATATTTAAACTTTTTAACAAAATTTAAAAGTAAAAAAAAATTTTGGCTAAATTTTTACCCTAAGCCAAGATTTTTTTAGTTTATCTAGAGTAAGGTATGGTGGCATAAACTAGTTTTTTTTAGCTAAAACAAGAAATTTTAGCAAAAAATCTCGCGAGCGATGAAGAAGATCCTCCCTCCTCGAGTATGTGCTCAACTTCCACAAATCCTGAACCAGCAAGTCAACAGTCGTCTTGGCAACATCCCGATGAGCATCCCCTTGACCAAGATCCTTGAAGTCGCTGGTGGAGCATTGAAAACCGTCCTCGGTGACGATTCAGCTCCAAAAGCTGAATGTCCAGCTGAATGTAAGGAAGGTGCTTCCAGCTCAAGTGATGCTGGAACTAGTTCAAATGATGCTGGAGTTGAAGGAGGAAGCTCGAGTGATGTTAACAGTCAGTTGAGTGCTTCACCGCCTCCAGCTGATCCTCCAAGTAGAGGGTATGGAAGCGCCAGAGCGTCGAAGACTCATAAGACAAGAGTCAGCCGGGTGACTGGACGAGTAGTAAGTTGAGAAGTTGTGGAAGGGTGGGGTAATCTACAAAAAAATGGATTGTTCAAATAATTCTGCGTCCTCCCCACCTCCGAAAATGTGTTTTGAGAGGGGGCGCAGAACTATTCGAACATTCTAAAAATTTTTTTTAATTTTTTTAAAATTCAAAAAATTAAAAAAACCTTATTCAGAAGCCACGTTCCCCACGCACTGCTACTCAGCTTCAACGTCCTTTGAGAGCTTCTCCTCGCTCCTCCACCTTATCTCGTCATGTTATCCAGGCCGCTCAAACAGTTAAACGTCAAGTTGATTGTACACCATGTAACGGAGGCGGAGGTGGTGACACTGCTTCATTCTTGACTACTTTCACCAAGTCTTTGGATATGGTAAGGTTAACTGAAGTAAAAAATGCATTTGTTACCTAAAAGTCATTTTTTGTAAATTTTGTTACCTAAAATTCGGATTTTATACATTTTGTTACCTAAAAATAATTTTTTTCCTAAATTTTATTACCTAAAAATCATTTTTTTTAAATTTTGTCACTTAAAAAATCTTTTTTTTTTAAATTTGTTACCTAAAAATCATTTTTTTTGAAACTTTATTACCTAAACTTCCATTTCCAGTCCAAACTCAACGATCTCCAACTCTCATTGGGACTTCTGAACACGTACGCTTCGTCGCAAGACTTTGTAGCCGACTTGCAAGGTGAATTCTCTCCAAATGCTGTTGGTGGTACACCATTCTCGCCATTCCCACTTCAATTCCCAGCTCCACAAGGGCCACCAAGAATGGTCGAGGGTTTGGTCAGCGACTACACCATCAACTCGTTGTTGTACTGGCTTCATCAAAAGCAATTTATCAATATTAGGATTGGTAGGTTGATTTTAATGAGTTTTAAGTTAGAAAAGGAGGGAAAAACTTAATTTTTAGGTAATAAAATTTAAAAAAAGGTTTTTAGGTAACAAAATCTCAAAAAATAGTTTTTTAGGTAACAAAATTTTAACAAAAGTCATTTTTAGGTAACTGACTTTCAAAAAATTATATTCTAGGTATGAAAATCTCAAAAAAATTGATTTTTAGGTAACAAAATTTGAAAAAAATAGTTTTTCAGTTAACAAAATCTCAAAAAATTATTTTTTAGGTAACAAAATTTTAAGAAAAGTCATTTTTAGGTAAAGAAATTTCAAAAAATTAGATTTTAGGTAACAAATTCTCAAAAACTTATCTTTCAGGTCCCGACACCCCCAAAATCGGTGACATCTTGAAGACCACCTGCTCCGACGACGAAGACGAAGGCCTAGAAGATCACGGTGTTGAACTAGACGACGGAACCGGTAGCTCAACTGATATTGCACTTCGAAAAGTCCGAGCCAAACGTCAAGATGATGATGGAGGAAGTCTGGCTGATCTTGGCATCTGTCTTGGTGACATTCTTCCAGCAGTTCGTGAGGAACATCCCAATGAGAAGATCGAGATTGTGGTGAAGAGTAGCGAAGCTCCAACTGTCGTGTTGAGCGATGGTAAAGCTCGAGTTACCTTGAAGATTGATGCTGACCTTTATATCCAAAGCTCTCAAGAGAAGGTTGGGACTATTGCAGTCAATCTGATTGCTGACGTTGAGGCTTCTACTGCTAGTAAGTTTGGTTTTGTAGCTCATCGTTTACTGTTTCCTACCTTACTCTACCATATCTTACTTTATCCCACCTTACTCTACCTTATCCTAGCTTACCTAACCTACCCTGCCCTAAAAATTAAAAATTTTTAGACGGCAGACTCTCAGGTACCGCCACCATCGACACACTCGACCTGAAGGACAAGGAACAAACTCTAGGCTTGACCCAAGAAGCCTTGGACAATTTGGCTGGACTGGGCAAGGACTTTGTTGAGAAAGCCATCAATGACGCCTTAAGCAAGGGAATCTCATTGAACATACCACCTGGAATTGGTGGACTGCCAGTCAGTTTCCAGAACCCTGACTTCAGAATCATCGACCATGCTTTGTACGTAGCCGCCGACTTGTCTGTGGATCCGGCTGGACTTGCACCGCTTTTGGCTCAACAAGGTCTTTCTTTGACTCCTGATCAGTGTGGATCTCGGAATGGTCGAAAATAAGGCTTGTAACGGTCGAAAATGAGACTTGTAATGGTTGCAAATAGGTCGAAATTAAGCCTTATAATGGCTTAAATTAGAAATCTTTTTGAATTTTGTTGAAATGAGCAATATCTTGTGCAAGTAGCTTCTTTGTAGCTATCAACTGATGTCATTGTCTGTACATGTTGTTTACTTATTGTTTGTATATATAGTTTTTTACATTTTTTACTTTAGTTTCTGTAGTACATTTATTGTTGGTACTATTTGTGTATAAGGAAAATGTTTGTCTTCTGCCATATTATCACAGAAAATAAAATGAAATTATATTGTTGGAGTTACTATGCAAATTTTAATTGTTAAAGACAATTATATACATGTGATATTATCGATAGCACAAAGGGCCGGGCAGAGACTTTTGGTCTGAGGGGTCGAAAAAATCCACAGCGGGGGGGGGGCCACGTTCAACTCTTTTCAATTTTTTTTTTGAGAAGTGGGGGGGGGGTGTTCCCCGTGCTCTGCCCTACCCTTCTCTGCTTTGCCCTGACTTGGCCTAATCTGTCTTGTTTTGCCCTGCTTTGTTCTCTCCCCCCCCTACTCTACCTTACTCTACTCTACCATACTCTACTATATGTACATTAAGGTTGTTCTAGTTGTTCTTTTTGGTAATTTATATATTTTTTTTAAAACATGTATCTTTTCAGTTGCTTCGAGGTTTAAAACGCCTCCGGGCATAAAACAGTTTATGTGAAATTTTAGGATTTCAGTTGCTCGGTGACAGGTCTCCATTGACTTCCATGCATTTCGAGATTCTTTCTTCTTTTTACTATAATGAAAGTTTTCGAAATTTGGATTATTGTCGCATAAATATTGCCATTTTGTCATTTATTCTAAAATTACTGAAAAAATTATAAAATATAAAAAATATTATTCTAATTGTTACCTAAAGTAATATCCGATGGGAAATTGTGCTAGTCAGTTTGAGAGTGCAAAGGTGAGTGGCTTTACTTTAGGCTTAGAAAATAAAATTTAAATTTGACTTTTAGACTTAAAAAATTAAATTTAAAATTGAGTTTAGACTTATATCTATGTATATACAGGGTGCGCCAAAAGTTCTGTTACAAAGCTTTAAATGTAAAAAGTTATTTTACTTTGTTTTAGGCCAAGCTCCAAGGGTTGAATGCGCTAAACGATGGAAAGAAGAAGGAATCAGATATGGCAGCGGCCAACAAAGTTAAGGAGAAGAAGGCCAAGATAGCTGTGGATAAGATTGCGCTCACCGAAGATGTTGTTCAGGTAATTTCGTTTTGATAACATACAGTTTAACTTTTCATATAAAATTTTCAGTTAATATTTGTTTATTTATGTAGAAGTTTAAAAATAATTGTTTAGGAGTACATTGAACTAGAGAAGCAAATATACAGATTCGAGTACAAGAACGTGCTGAAGAAGTATGAAAGCAAAACTATTTTTGCTGATGAAATTAAAAAGACCGTGGATCAACTTGAAGCAACTTTCAAGGAATTGAAAAAACAAACGTGAGTTTTATTTTTGGTTTTAAATTTAATTTTTTGAAAAAATTGTTTTTACTTTTAAAAAATTAATTTTTTTAATCTTTATGTTAGTACTTTCATTTTAAAATTTTAATAATTAGACCAAATTACAGTGAAAAAGAGAGAGCAGATGTAGAGAACATGGAACAACCTTCAGTTAAGTCATTTCTGAAACAACAAGGAACATGGGATGAGAGGGTCGAGAAGGAGAAGCAGGAGTACATGAATGCTTTGAATAAACAAGAAGTGGCTGAGAAGGTGAGTACATTAACGCAATAACTCTCTTTCTCTACTATGTTGTACCACTTTATCGTTTACTTAATCTAATTACCATAACTTACTGACCCTGCTTTGACGTTTCCCTTGATCTTTCGTTGCCCTACCTTGTTGTATCCAAGTCTTTATCTTGTCGTACTCCTTTATCTACTTGGTATGTACTCTTTTATTTCTTACCCTACTAACTCTAGCTTACAGTACCTTTTCACATTCTACCTTACTGTAAGGCCCAAGTTTCTATATTAGAATTGGGTTTGAAAAACTATTTATATATGTTATGTGAACCCTCGCAGTAATCTAGAATTACATTGCTGTACTCGCAGTAATTTGTTGGGTCGTTTTACATCGAGGCAAATGTTATGTAAAACTATAATATTACATCAGAAAACGTTGCGCAATAACATTTCTTGCAGTTTCTCTAAGGCTATCTTGTTGTATCATAAAATTAGGTAATATCGCCCGAAATTATACAATGTTATTGTGCGTAAGTCTTCGTAATGACGGAAATTGCTGAAGCTACACTCTATTTTACCCTACTCTACCCTACCCTATCCTATATTATCTTACCTTGCTCTACCTCACTTACTTTCTAGGAACTAAAAGGCGCTCGACTACAGTACGAACGTGCCGCCAAGATAGCCGATATCTACAAAAGCCAAGTTGATCAACTGAATGAGCTTTATGACAAACAAGATCGTATGTTGATTGGCATTTTCGGCCCAAATTACGCGTCGGACAAGGAGAACACATTGGAAGCAGAATTGGACGATGCTATGGAATGGCAGCAAAGAGTCTCTTTGGCTAAATTTAAATGGACTAATGGGAGAGTGTTGTTGGTACATGCTAGTACTCAAATGGCTTTTGGTATTACGAGGTGGAAGGAGTTGGAGGAGATTGAAACTGGGTGAGGGTTCGAGGCTGGGTTGGGCTGTTTTTAATTTTTAAAAATTTTTTGAAATTTTCATAACTTTTTAAAAAACTTGATGATTTATCCACTATATAACATATATATATGCTTTTTGAAGGAACACAAGAATGCGCTACTTTGCGGCCGCTGAAGCACGAAATAACTTTATCGCTGCTAGCCAGAATGTCCAGTCTTGTCGGGTTTACCTTGGTAAGTTGCGTCATAGTTATTATAATAGAGTAGGGTAGGGTAGGGTAGGGTAGGGTAGGGTACGGTAGGGTACGGTAAGGTAAAGTACGGTAAAGTACGGTAGGGCATGAAAATGCACGTTAGGGTACGGTAAAGTACGGCAAAGTGCGGCAAAGCGCGTTAGAGTAAGGTGAGGTCAGTTTTTCCTTAAAACTCTAATTTCAGGCCGCGTACGCTTCCCCTACGCCACGGAGGAAGAGATGAATTTGATGGAACAGACCATTCACACTTCTTTCAGTGATATTCAGTCTAACGCTAGCCTAAAACGAGCTCTTACTGTCTACCAAAACACACATAAGAAGGTAGCTGCGTTGATTCAATGGTTTGACAAAGTCATCAATGACACTATTTTGAAGGACTTGGAGAAGGCCAATACAAATGTGAGTTTATTTTTGTGGGGTGGTGATTATGGTCTTGAAGGGGGGTTTAAAGTGGTAAGAAAAGGGGGGGGGGTCAGGAAGTTAAAAAAATTTTTTTTTGAAATTTATGATATTTAAAAATATTTAAAAAAATATTTTAGGTCGGAAAGAAGCAGAAGCAACTCCGTGAAGAACGGTTGAACTTGATGAAGCTCAAGTACAAAGAAGAGTTCAATAAAGAATTGAAAGTTGATTATGATAAGAACATTCACGATGAAACAGACGAGGAATTACTGTCATTAGAAGCTGAACAAGTCAAAGATCAACAAGAATTGCCTGGGGAGGATCTTAAAGTAAAACTTGGTTTTTATGCAAAAATTGAAAATTTTATTGACGAGCGTGATTCTCAAGATTTTGTGCTATTTTAATTAGTATACTATTTAGGCTAGTATATATGTTTTTTCAATTTTTTACTTGTAGGACATCTTGAACTTGTCGCAACCAGAAGGTAAAAACCCAACACCTCTTCCGCTTACCAAGCTGGCTCCTATTCCAACTAAAGATGCCTTGTTTGGTAAGTTTACCATCGTGATTATATTTATATTCAGCACTGTCGAATATTCGACAGCACTCGCAGCTAGATTTGATAGGTGGTTCATAAGTCCGAGTCAGGTCGCGTCAAATTTCTAAGTGGCCACCAGAGCCGGGCGGGGACTTTTGATCTGAGGGCGGGGGTCGAAAAAAATAGGCACAGGTAGATTTTTAACAAAAAAATTTTTTCAAAAATTCACAGGGAGGACCACTTTCAACTTTTTTTTCGAAATTTTTTTTCTGAGGAGTGACTCAAGTGCCGGGCTTAATTCAAGGCTCGGCTCGTGCACCAAGTCGAAAAATTTGGACCTTTACAAGTCTAGGGCCAAGTAAAAATCTTTGAAAAAATTGAATTTTGCCCTTCTGTTTAATTACCAAAAAAATTTTTTTTTCTTGCCTAGCTTTTTAAAAAAGCAAATTTGGCTATATACTACCCAAAATTATACATACAAAGAAGACTTTTTGCATAATATATACACCAATACAATTTATGATGATTTAAATCTTTTAAAACTAAAATATGTTGTTACAGGCGATGTAAAAAAGAAAATGAGTGAACTAGACCAGACTAGAAGCTCAATCCAACAGAGAAACAATGCCATGAAGGAGAAGACTGAATTGGCTTTACAGGTAAAATACGTTTTTTTTTGTTTTATGAAAAATTTATTGTTGCATAGTAGTTGTAATCAGAGTATTCAAAATTAAAAGTTGTTGCTCTGGTTCTAGCTTTTTAAAGCTTTTAAAAATCAATTTTCATAAAATTCAGGAAAAACTGAAGCTTCGACAACAACAAGGACGACGCACAAGACCTCAACGTGCTAACGCCGTTATCGTTCCATTGCCATCGTTAAGCGATCAAGCTGATGCTAATGTGGATGGAGATAAGGCAAAGAAGAAAAAGAAGCCAAAGAATGAAGAACCAAAGAATACTTGAAGCAATACGATACTACGGTTGTCATTAACTTATAACGGTTTTTTGATTGTTTTTTGAATATTTATGTTTATATATGTTACAGCGACGTTTATATAATGTTATATACATGTTTTAACAGTAATATACATAATGATAGTACATAACAACTTGATAGTTTATAAGTTATTATAAATATTAGGTGCCAACATAAAAAACCCGCCATTTTTTACAGAGAATTACAGAGAAAGTATGGCGGGTTCTTTATGTCGGCACTTAATACATATACAACATTTTACTGCAGTTACTGTATTTTTCTATACAAAATGTCTACAGTACATACTTTGTTCATAACCTACATAATTATATACATGTATATACCTATATTCTTCAATATATGCAAAACACCTTTTCGAATATGAGCCTTGTTGTCTGGTCAGTCCTCCTCGATCACTTTACACTCTGGATGGGCCGCTTCTTTTTTCGAAACAGCTCGGGGAAACGACCATAAAAACGTTGAATTGGGGTTTGGGGCTGGCCCAGCAATTCGTTGGCCAAACTTTCTAGGCCGGATGTCAAGCCGGATCCGATTTCAACGGCGCACATGCCGGTGGGTTCAGGGCAGGGTTGGGCTGAAATTTTATGGGGTTATTAAGGTTCATATTGTTGATGGTTTTGTTTAGGGCTTGTCTTTTTGGTTTAAGAAGATGGAGAGGGGGGGGCACAGAGAGGGGGGGGGGATAGAGAAGGGGGGGGACAGAGGGAGGGGGGGGCAGAGAGGGGCGGAAGGGAGAAGGACAGAGGGCAGAGGTTTAATTTTTTAGTTAAAACTTTTTACTTTTATAAAAGCATCTACCCCCACCCATTTTATTTTTTACATTTCACCTGCCCTCCTCCCCCCTCCCCTCCCCCCCCTACTTTAAAAATTTTTATCACTTCCTTTTTTTGGGGGAGCTTTAAAAGCCTCTATCTCTCCCTACTCTCTACCCCCCCCTTACTTTAAAAACCTGTACCCCTTCACTCACTCACTCTCACCCCCCCCCTTTTTTTGCCCCTAAAATATAGTAAAAAATGCTTCTTACCCACGCCATCACTCCCTTCATCTCGACCAAACTTCTTTGACCGACAAGACTTCAATGATCCAGGTCGACTTTGTCTTATACTGTCAGCTCGTTGTAGCCATCCATTCAGCATTGACTTTGTAATATGAAACTGCTTACATGTACGGTATTTGTTTCGACCATTACTGTAAAAGTAGCTGATTACTAGAAGCTTGAACTCTCGAGGATATGAGATTCGTCTGGCTTGAAGTTTTTGAGTTGTGACTTCTGGAGATGAACATTCTAGGGGCGGTGGGTTTCCTTGGTCTTCTGTTTTATTAGGTTGAGGTTGGCATGGGTTATAGGTTGATAGTCTTCGCAGATCTTGCAGATTGTCGTAGGGTATTGTAGATGGAGTTGCTGATAAAGAAAGTTTATTTACAAGAGCTTCAGGGCTAACGAAAGGCTTATTTACAAAACCTTTAGTGCTAGTTACAAGCCTTTTAAGCCCAGTAGAACACTCTAATGTTGATGTAGATTCAAATAAACTCTCTGATACATTGTGCGTATTCAAGCTATCGTAAGTATCCTTCTTGGATATTAAAGAACATTCTACAGCTTTATATGGGAAATCAAAGACATTTTTTGTAGCGGCATGTGGAAGCTGATTTATAGCCTTCTCGTCATGTTGTAGTTGATACAAAAGTAAGATTTCGCTCCACAACTTTTTTACTATGTAGTTAAGACGAATCGCTTCGTAGGTCAAATTACCATGGCTTTTTGGGTTATCAGTATTAATAATATGTTGGTTATAAGGATTGGCACAATTTCGATTACTAGGCTTAGAAATATATTGATCATTAGTAGTGGTAGGAGTTATTGTAAGATCTTGTGATAATACATCAGTAATACCCACTTTATTCGTAGAATGAAGGTATGGAAGCATAGTGATGTTAGAAATGTAAATAGTTAAATATATTTTACTATAGTATATTTTACCGTCCAATAAACCCCTATAAAGGTCAATAAGTAGGTATATATAGGCCCGTAGTTAGGTATACCTTCCAAACAAACCTTCTCCAAAACTTTTGCCAATAACTCAACAACCCCACACAACTTTAAATTATCTTCAATTTCAACCCGCCCCCGTTCCCTTTCGTTTTTACTGTGCCATCATATTGTAGCTGGCACTAAACGCCACATTTCCATTTTGTTATTTCCAACCAAGGTCATTCTCAAATAACATCCGAAACAAAATTACAAATACTGTTACAAAAACAAGTGGGGTTTTAAAAACACCACATATGATCTTGTGATTGTGCAAAGCCGCAAAAGGTCAATTTAAATTTAGTCGACCTTGGCGAGAAAACCTTGCAACATCTGTTATCAGGAACTATATTTTCAAAAATAATTTTGGAATATTTAAAAAAAATCAATTTTAAAATATTTTCTTTAAAATTTTGAATTACAAGCTTAGAATTTACTTTTTTACGCGATAAAAAGTAACAAAAATAAATAACATCTTAACTTTGCTTTGGTCTCGCAGCGAAAACGAACGCTGCTATTTTCCTTGGCTTTCTAATATATTTCTTTTGCAGAATTTTTTCGCAAAATGTCAATAATACTATTCGAATGATATGACTTGAATCCTGGCCGCTAAAATGGACGTTGTTACGTTTAATTCGCTGATTGTAAAGGCGATGAACTTTCCATTGGATTGTTCACCTACAGATCAGGTGTTTGAAGAAGTTTCGGCACTTTTTGAAGATCTAGCCAATTGTTGTAGAGAGGAGATTGATGAATACAGGTAGGTATTTTATTTCTTTTGTCTTTGTTTAGGTTTTGAATAGGATCAAGGTTATTTTAATTTGGTTTCACAGTTTTTTGGATGTAGCTACTATAATATAATTAATTTTTTTATTAAAATCAGTATATCTTTACTAAACCTTAATTTTAACTCCTAAAACTTCTGTTTTAGGTTACCACGATATCTGGAACTATTAAAGAATACAAAGACGGTATTTGTACGGGTTTTGTCGATGAGAAAACTCTTGGAGTCTAATGTGAAGATGGAGTTTGATGAAGAATATAGGGAAACACACAATGCTATTTGGAAGATCTTGAAAATGAGTTTTGAAGAGGATATTCGAAGAGTTCAAGCTAATTTAGGTAATAATTTTATGTTTTTTATTGGATTTTAGATGCAAGATGATGTTGTGGTAGATGGGAGATGTCAAAATGATATTGTAGTAGGTGAAAGACCTAAAAATGATTATTACTTATTTTTCGACCTTATCAGAAGAAAGGTCGAAAAATGATGTATTAGTGGATGAAAGTCATAAAAATTTAAATTTTAGGTCTGGTCGCGGCTGTAGGTGAATTACTGATATTGTATGTACATATATATGGCATTAAGAAGGATAAGGTATATACTGACACTGTTCGAGCGATTGGTAATCTATTGACCAACTTAACATTTGGGAATAGTCAAAGCAAGAAGCGATTATGTGCTCATTATGGGTTTCTGGAGACTGTTACTCATATTATTGATGAAGTTCCGGAAATGACTCAAGTAAATTTTTATTTTTATTGGAAATTTAGGTACGATTTAACTTGGAATGGCAGATTAATTGTAAAATACGAGCTTTTTTAGATCGACATGTAATTTTTGAAGCTTAAAACGTCACTAAAGCTTTTTTAGGCTTACACCATTCTTTACATTATTGTTTTAGGCGTATGGAGCTCTAGTACGCAACTTATCGTGGAACGCAGATATGGGTATGATGTTAGCCTTACAAAAAACTGTCCGGCCTTTTGCCGCTGCCTCAGTTCAACTGTATCAACAACGATTGGAGCGTAACACACAAGAAGAATACAAATGCCTTCATTCAACTTTTGCTGCCTTATGGAATCTAGCAGGTCATTCTAGCGAAAACAAACTAGCCATTTGTGAAACAGACCTCTTCATTCCATCTTTGATTTCCCAGCTTAATACTGAGCCAGAAAATACAGCTTTCATGGAGAATGCCTCAGGAGTTTTAAAGTACATTTCGGTCATAATAGCTTCATCTCCATCGTTATTAAAAGTTGCACACGAGGCCAAGATAGTTCGACATCTGGTTGATCTCCTTAACTCTTCTTCTTTCACTGTTATAATCAATGCCTTGGGGGCATTATGCCATTTGGTAGCGAAGGATGAAAAGAGCCAGTTGAGGATCTTTAACAGTGAACAAGCTGGAATTGTTCTCGAAAGTCTAAAGAACTCGGCACGAGAGGATGTGAGGAACGCCGTGAAGACCGTTCTCACTCATCTCAACAGCTCGCACATTGCTGAATATGCCTTGTCGTTACCTAGAAATGCTAATTTTGGGCATTATAATAGTTTAACTGCTAATTCTAGCCACGGCTTCAGAGGTATGAGCTCTTCGTATGGTGGAGATGATGTTAACATTACTCAAAGAAGTCTGCTTCAACGAAGAATGCTCGGCAAACAGAACACGTTACCTAGAAGGAATGATGTTTGTTCATTTCGAGCTCGAGAAAACAGCCCAAAATTGGCTATGACAACTCATGGACATACGATGGGCGGGGATATGAACTTTGATTTGAATACAAATGGTTTGGCATCGGATTCAGCGAATTTAAATAATGATTCACGAGGTTTTTTGAATTTAAACACGAATTCGCAGGCTTCTGGAGCTTTGAATTTAAATTCACAGCCTTCTGGCGCAACATATACAGACTCACGGTCTTCTGGAGCCCCACCAACAGACTCACAAGCTTCTACTAATCAACATACAGACTCAGACAACCATGACCTAGTACTCCAAGCAGGCCTAGGCTTAAGTGAAAGTACTTTAGCCACAAGGAACGGCAGTTTTCAATCAATTTCTGGTGATGTCCCTACGAATTGGAAGAGTAACATGACTACAACAAGAAACAGTGGCAACCAGTCTCCGTCTTCATTATCAGAACTACCTGATAGTCCTAGTCACTACTCCAAGCTAAGCGATCATGAAGACTTTGATGATGAACAAGTCGGCAAAGACAAACATCTGTTACATTCAGCTATTGCTTCTGCTTTGCCTAAGCCTAGTAGGCTTAGGAAAGGGAATGAAAAACAAAATGACGGCTTAAAACACAATGAAAGCCCAAGGTTTAATGAAAGTATGAAACTAAATGACGGCTTAAAACAACATCAAAACGGTACGAACGAAAGGATTCTGGACAAATGTATTGCTCGTGTGATTCCGAAGCCAAAAAGGAATTTGAAGTTTGGTGAAAATGGGTCCAGTAGGATGAAAAAGTAAGAAAATTTGTTTAGATATTGACTAAATACGGGATATTATAGTAGGTGTAAGCATGAGGTTCTTTTGCAGATCAAACAAAGAAGTGATATAGTTTAAAAATATATTGTAGTAGCTCAAAAAGCTATATTATAGTAGGTTAACCAAAACGTTTTAATAAAACTAACTATAAACCTATTATTTTAGCAGCTCAATCCTAGTACATCCAAACACTACAGAAAAGGTTCGCGACGCATCGAATTTGAATGTGAACGTCGAGGACAGTGAGTTCGGGGAAGACAACTTCCACATGATCGACTTGCCAAACGGATCCTTCCACCAACTACCAGCTGACGTTGATGCTGAATTGAGTGCGGATCGATTGGTTATTGACTGCTTGAACTTGTCATCAACTTCTAACAAAGCCAAGAAGTATGTTGTTTTTATATTGGGGGATTAAAAAAGTTTTGTCGTCGGTTTTTACTGATTTTAACGGTGGAAAACGACAAGACTTTTTTTGAGTTGTTTATAATATTAGATAACTGGGATTGCAAGAGGTGGGATGGGAAGGGGTTGTCAGGTATGTTGTGGAGTGGGGGGGGATGGGTAAGTATGTTGGGCAGGGTATTTTTTTTGAGATGAGGGTGGGCAGGTCAAAAATTTTTTAAAAAATTTTTCTAAATAAAAATGATGACAAATTTAATTTTTTTGAATTAAAAAATGTTTTTTCTTAATTACAAATGTGTTTTTCAGTTACGGACGCCTCCCAGAACCAAAGCGAATCAACGTACCCAAATCGGCCGCTCGTGTACCTCCTTTCAACTACAAAGTCTCACCTCAAAAACCCGTGGAAAAGCCAGCACGTCAGAAAATGAGCACCAAGTTTGGCGAATTTACTTTGACAAATTTGTAATTTTATTACATATATTTGAAAGTTGTGGTACCAGGGACTTTGCTAAACGGGGGAGGGGGGGTAATATGGACTAAAAAAATTTTTTGGGCTTACTATTACCTCTTCTTCAGGAAAACATCTGTAGCCACGTTTCTAACGCTATTTAAAATTTTTTAAAGATTAGTGCTAAAATTAGTACTATAATATGGTTTTTGTATAGTTGGTGCTACAGTTACTTTCTGCCATATTTTTTAAAACTTTTTTGTTTTTAATAGCTAAATATTGTAAATAAAACGGCCTTATTCAAAGAACAGCTTTGATTTACAATTTTTTTAAAATTTTTTAACCATTGGAGGCTTAAAAAAGTCCTGTCGGCAATTTACGTTATTTTTCATAGTAAAAAACGACAAGACTTTTTTTATCAAATTAAAGGTGACAAATTTGTGTTTTTTGACATTCTGATCAACAAAACCTTACAAAAAAAATTTGAAGGTTAGTTTAGGTAAGACAAAGATAAAAATTTACAGAATAATAACTTCAATATGACACCTAATTTCGACTCTCAAAATAATGTAGACCTTGGAACCAAAATAATTGTTTTATAGCCAATTACTCTCACTTTTGTTTGCTGCGCTTATTAAGGTAGCTCTTCTCCTAAAAGCTCCGTTAATGATGTAGTCCAGCGGATGAAAGCTTGATTCTTCAAGGTGTTAGGTTAAAAACAACACATTTGGGTTAGATTAAGGTAGTTTACTGTCTTTTGTTTTACTTTGTGGGTTTTGATATAATATTTATGGTATTGTAGGGAAGGGTAGGGTAAGATAGAGTAGGGTAGAGTAAGTCAGAATAGGGTAGGGTAGAGCAAAGTATAGTAGGTTTGATTACTGTAGGGCAGCGTAGAGCAGCTTAGAGTAGGGTAGGTTAGGGTGGAGTAAAATAAATGAAAGTAGGGGGAAAGTAAGGTAGATTAGGGTAGGGCAGGTGCTAGTAAAAATGAATTTGAATCTTATAATAGATACGAAAAACAGGAATGAGCTTGACTCTCGTTTGTATTTTTTGGCGCTTCTGATAAGGATCAGCGTTCAAAGAATGTGGTTTTCACTTTTCAATGTTGCTGGCAAAAAGTTTTATTACTTTTTTACAGAAATTCTGCTTTTTAATTATTTTAATAAATACTTTTTTTGATTTTAAAAAATTTTTTGTTTCTTTATTAGATTAGATGAAGGGGACAGTGTAGGCCTGGAGAAGAGAGTAAGAGTTTTTCAATTTTTTATCAATTTAAGAGGAGAGCAAATTTTGTTTCTAAAAAATGGACTTTTATTTCAAATATTTTTTTTGGGGTGGATAAGCCAAAAATTTTAAATTTTCGATTTTACATTGTTTTTATCATATATATGTTTACAAGAATTTAAACGATTATTTTCTCTCACTTACTCACTCCCTTCCACCACAAAGGGATTTCGACTACAAAGCGAATTTGCATATTTAGTGTTTTAAATCCGCAAATTCGGAATATGTTTTCCTTCGTCTGAATCGACGCGTGACAAGACTGGAATGTGATTTTTTCTCCGTTTAATTTGCTTTATTTAGATTGCACGCCAATTTTATCTCGAGGTTTTAAAGTTTTCGAAATTTTTGAATAAGCTTTGAACTTGAGAAGGGGGGGGGGTACCTTTTAAACTTTGTGCGAAAGGAGAGAGGGGGGGGGGTGTATCTTGAAAGCTCTGTGCAAAGAAAGAGGGGGGGGGGAGGAACTACATCTTTTTTAGTTATATTTGTTGTTAAAATAAGTATTTGATTAAAAAACAGTGTAACAGAACATTTGGCGCACTTTGGAATTTTTTTTAATTTTGGAAAGGGGGGGGGGAGGGGTAGAGCAGGAACAAATTTTATTTTTTATGAAATGGGGAGGAGAATGAGGCGTGTATGTTAAATTTTTACAGATTGTTGCCCTTTATTAGTCCAAAAAAGTCTTGTCGCCATTTCCCATGTAATCAAAGGTAAAAAAACGACAATAGTTTTTTCTGTCATTTCAAATGGACATTCCAATCAATATTTTCTAAAAACCTTTAAAGAACATATCATTTGCCCTTTCATAAACGCTTTAATGTATGTTCAAATCGAATGACCGCATGCCTTCGCAATTCGAAGAATTTGAAGATGACTCAGCAATAAGAATGTTTTGTCGGATGGTCAAATTTTGCTTCGGCTATAAAATTTTTATCGCAAATAATTGTGTTATTCACGTTTGGTTATGGTTTTCATATTTTTGAGTTTAAACTTGAATATTATAAGACTTGAAAAAAGTCTTGTCGTTTTTGAGCGTGTAAGCCAGTGTTAATTAGCGACAAGACTTTATTAACGACTAAAGATAGAAAAATTCGCTTTTTCAAAACTTAAAAATAACGAAAAATTTTAATTTTAAGATTCATATCAAGCACTCAAAAAAGTCTTGTTGTTTCTTCATCTTCAAACCAATGTAAATTGACGACAAGACTTTTTTTTAACGATTAAAAATGACTTTTTTTTCAATTATAAGGTTATAAAGCCAATGTTCCTCATATCCCAAATGTTTTTTTTGTATTTTTTCGTCCGAAAACCTTTGAAATGAGGTCAGCCTGCAATTACCTTGCTCAGTCATTCCTATTCATGCGCGAGAGTTCGATTCGGTTTTGAGCTTTGTAAGGCTTTGAAAGTGTGAAATTAGGTTTTTTGAGATTTAGAATGCAAATTGAGAGGATGTGAGAAAATTACATTATACTAATATAAAAAAATTCTTGGCGTCAATTTACGTGGGTTTGCACGGTCAAAAACGACAACACTTTTTTAAGTGTCTTGAAGGTGAAAATTGAAAAAAAGCATTAAAAATTGAATTAAAATAAGTTGATAGCTCAAGTATTAGCTCTTGCAATACCTGTAATGAAGAGGTGTATCAGTATTGGCATGTGAAAAAAGTTTTGTCGTTTTTCAAAGTATAACTATATATGAAATGACGACAAAACTTTTTATTATTTTTTTTAAAATTATTTTTCAAAAAAATATTGTTTTACCCTTTCTCTTTTTTTACAAAAATTCCCCCCCCCCCCCCCCCTAGCTAAAAGCTTTGCCTAGCCCTTTCATTCTAAAGCTTGTGGTACCCCTCCCCTCTGCCCAATATTGCTCTCCCTACCCTTAATACTAACTTTGTCAACCCTTGATAGCAGTTAACCCTTAATAGCAGTCAACCCTTAATAGCAAGTGTAAAGAACAGAATAAATTAACTCAGGTTTAGTGCATACAGATTTGCTATAAACGGAGCAAGCAAACAGTTCAGACCCTCAGGTATGTACTCTTCTATTCTTTTCGCGACAAAACTTTTCGGGGCTCTTACTTTGCGAATCGAGAAATTCTGTTTGCTAGGGGAATATTTTTTATGAGTTATAGTCGTTTTCCGCATCCAAGTTTTGTATTTTCGAGAATTTCATAAAGAGGCGTGGGGTAGGATTTGCGAGTATCGCGGTCGGGTAAAATTTAAAATTTTTCTTTATTTTTTTTGTTGGCGGGTAGGGGTGAGGAGAGGGGGGGAAGAGAGGGGAGAGGGGATAAAGAATGAAAAAAAGTAGGATGTAGATTGAAGAATAGAGGGTAGGGTAAAATATTTTTTCAGTTAACCGTGGTAGCTGGTAGGATGAGAAAGTGAGAGGAAGAATGGAGGGTAGGGTAAAATTATTTTTTTGTTTTTACGGGGTAGGGGTAAGTGATGAGGAGAATTAGGTATAGATGGGACAGTGTAGGGAAAGATAAAAAAGTTTTAAGCTAAATTTACTTTTTATGAATTTGAGCGGGTAGGGTAAAATAAAGCACCGAGCTAAAACATTTTTTTTGCATTGAGGGGGCGGGGTAGAAGAGTAAAAAACAAAAAGGTTAGTTTTAATATAAAAAATTTCGTTAAAGTGAGCCGTTTGTCTTTAAATTTTTTTTGTTTTACTTTATCTTACCTACACTAATGTATTGCCCTTCTATTTTATATGCCTGGTTCTCAAACCTTTTTGGCTTACGGGTTGGGCTGGACTAGGCTTGACCAAAATTCTGGCATGTTTTGCCAGGTTCAAACGTTTTGGCCTTGCCCGGAATTTGAGCCATTTCTATTCATCTACACGCTATAATAAGTTATCCCCTAGCCTTTAGGAACTTAAATATCTATTCTTTACCTTTACCAGCCTTTAAAAATTTTATTTTGATATTATATTTGATGAGTGGCTAATCCTTATTGTACAAGCTTTTCAAGCCGACACAACTTGTTTTGGCGTTGCGTGAATTGCGGTAAAATCAAAAATAGTAAGGTTGTAGTTGAGAATTATCGCACGGTAATCTGTATATCCTTAAATATGCACATTAACGCTGAAAAACTTTACGATTTTCGCGGTTTTCATAACAAATTATGTTCGGTTGTCTGTGGGGGGGGGGAGGTAAATAATTTCTTTGGTGGGAGGGGAAAATATTTTTGTTGGGGGGGGGGGGGTAATTATTTTTGATTTAATGTGGGAGGGGTAAATAATTTTTCATTTTTTTGTTGAGCGGGGGGGGGGGAGAAAGAGGGGAGGAAGGGGTATATATGTTGCGATTTTTTGTGGGAGGGGTGAATATTTTCTTATTTTAATGTGTCTGGACGCCAAAAAAAGTCCTGTCGTTTTTATAGTTTGAAGACAATGTAAATTGACGACAAGACTTTTTTCGCTATTTTTAAAAACATTTTTTTTTGCTTGGCATGATAAATGTACGTGTATACCACTACGTACTTTAAAATTAATCGTATTATTTGCAATTTTTTTAATTTTTTAAAATTTTTGATAAAGTACTAATTTTCAGTATAACCATGTCGGTTGGCAACCATAACAGTATGATACGAGAGCTTAACAACCTACATGTAGCTCCATCTAAGAAAGCAAAGCCTAAAACTTTGTATGAACAATTCAAAAATATGGAAGACTTTGAAGCTAAAAAGATATCTGATAACGCCATAGCTAAAGATCCGAAGAAAGTCATCACTCGTGATGAAGCTCAGAAGCTAAGGGATTCTGTAAGTCATATTATATTATAGTAGGGTAGAATAAGGTATATAGGGTAGGGTAGGGTAGGGTAGGGTAGGGTAGGGTAAGGTAGGGTGTGGTAGGGTAGGGTAGGGTAGGGTAAAATAGGGTAGGGTAAAATTAAAAATAAAAATTGATTTTAGGTATTGCGAGCCAATCGACCAGTAAATCCATGGTTTACCACTGAAGATATAAACCGTTATCGTAAAGCGCCAACTTCTCCCACACAGTCATCAAACAGAACAACGACCCTATCTTTAAAAACACCAACATATACTACACCATCAGTGACAAGACAAACAGATTCAAATGCAACATCGCCAGTACCATCAAGTATCAAGACAACGTCATCAGTACCACCACCTGTGAAACCAAAATCATTTGTATCATTAAGTACAAAGACAACACCATCCTTATCATCAAATGCCCTAAGGGAAAAGGTGAATTATTCTTTGCCAGAGAAGAAGTTTCAGTCGAATGAGTATACTATACCGACAGTTGTGGTAAGTATTAGACTGCATGCAAGACAATTGTTTTAGGATGGGAAAAGGTGTAATAAATAGTTTTTTGGGAGCTGGAGAGGAAAGGGCGTGGTAAAATTGTTTTTTGGACTTGAAGAAGAAAGGGCGTGGTAAAATTGTTTTTTGGACTTGAAGAAGAAAGGGCGTGGTAAAACTTTATTTGGAGTGAAAAGTAAAAGGGCGTGTTTATTTTTTTGGAAGGGGGGGGGGGTGAGAATGGGTATGGTAAAAAATGTTATAGGGTGGGGAGGGGGTGCTTTTTGTTTTACCGATTAGACTAAAAACCTTGATGAAGAAAAAGTATTTAAAAAATTTTTTTAGAAAAACGATGAGCACTATTATGAAAATAGTCCCAGAAGAAGTGAACCATTACGCCAAATGTTAAACAATAGGGTAGGTCTTTTACATATTTTACTATACTTTTTAGTTTAATATCATAATTTTAAACTTTAAATTTTTCAAAAAAATTATTTCGAAAAATGATACTCTATAATCTATGTTATTTTAGGTCGAAACCAAAAAACTTGTTGACTTTGTACCAAAAAGAACCGTGACAACAAGAAACATGACCCAAACATTGGAAAACTTGGCCCATTTAAAAGAACTTGAACTGATCGAAGCTGAAACGGCCAAAAGGAAAATGAAACTAGAACAATATGAGAGACAAAGCTCGAACAACAACGATGGACGGTCATCTGCTTCTACTTATTACTTTGTAAGGCATTTTTGGGGGAAGGCAAGGCTAAAAAAGTGGGTGGGGGTGATTATTGTTAGAAGAAGGGGGGGGGGGTCAAAATTTTTTTTAAATTTTGATTTTTTATTGTTCTTAAAATGAGGTTTGGAACTTTTTTTTTTGATTTTGGTGGTGTTAGTGGGGGCTCAGTCGGTGAGCCGTTGTCAGTAATATCAAAGGCTCACTGGCTGAGCCCGCACTATTTATACCGGCCCAAAATATTTAGGTCAGTAGTCGAGTTTTATTATATTAACAACGGTAATACAATTTAGTACAGTAGTAACACAATCTAATACAGTAGTAACACAATCTAATACAGTAGTAATACAATCTAGTGCAATAGTAATACTGTAATTTAAATATAGTAGACAATACAGGCTTGTTTTACTTAACTATAATCTGTCAGACCCTGTTAAGTACAATTTCTAGGGGATTTTATACTCTTTTACAAGTTTCTAGAAATATTTGAAACAACTGATATCGCATGAATAGGGGTTGCAAAGGTGAAATATAAACCATTTTATAAACTTTTGCTTCTTTGCTATCATTATCAATCAAATCGGCGAAAGGGGGGGGGGTGGACGGGGAGGGACCCTCCTTTCCCAGAAAAAAAATTTTGAAAAAAGTTGAACGTGGTCCCCCCTGTGGATTTAAAAAAAAATTATTTATAAATATTTTGCAAATTATGTAGCTACCTGTGCCGATTTTTTTTGACTTTTGCCTCCAGACCAAAAGCCCTCGACCTGCCCTGAACACAACAGTAAAAAATGTTTCTTAAATACAGTGTGCGCCAAAAGTTCTGTTACAAAACTTGTAAACATGGGGACGGATACAAAAAAAGGTACAAATTGATGCTCCAAACCCAAAATATTATTAAAACTGTACAATTATGACATTTTCAGAGTGATGACAGCTTATCAGAAGTCCTTTCAAAGTGTGATGACATTGCTGTATACAGAAGTCAACTATCTAAATGTGCTCAATGCTACAGTATTATTGATGACATTGTAAGTTTTTAGTTTCTACTGATGCCTGATTTATCTTCTTTTATCATTTTTTATCATCTAAAACGTTAATACGACATTTTTAACGCGACAAAAAAAGTCTTGTCGTTTTTTAACTAACAAAACTTAACAAAATGACGACAAGACTTTTTAGCAGCTCAATATGACATTTTTAAACTTTCTTTTGTTATTACAGGTCCTCCAAGCCCTGGACAAGAACTTTCATCCATCATGTTTTCGATGTTATCACTGTGGTATGATTCTAGATGGCATTCCTTTCGCTTCAGACCTAAACAGTCGAGTCTATTGTGTACCTGACTATGAACGGCTGTTTGTTACTCAGTATCAACGACCTGTTACTGTGAGTATTACTAAATATTTTTTTAGTTGGGGCTTAAATTTTACATAGGGCGGGGTAAATTAAAAAAAATATTTTTAAGGGATGTTTTTCAACTTTTTTTTAAATTTTTAATTTAAAAATGAAAAAAAAACTTTTGTAGAAACCAATTCCAAGAAGCTCTAGACCAATGTATGATGATATTATGAAGTCCCAAATGAGGTTGAGAGAACAGACCTACCCAGACACGTCTTTGTGGACCTTTGAACATCGATAGACCGTAACTGATAAGTTTTACCTACATGAAAAGATACCTTAGAAATCTTATTGTGTGAGAAAAATCTAAAAATTAGCCTACGCTGACAATGCTTTATCAAATATGTCTTCTGAGGTTTTTAAAAACTCATGTCGTCAGTTTAAATTGTTTCTTGCATTAAAAAACGACAAGACTTCTGTACCTATTATTTAGTGTTTTTTAATGAAAACCTTATTGTATTCCAATGAAAACTTTCATTTTCTAACTCAGTTTTATCACTAATTGTCATCAAAAACGATTTTTACGAAACGTATACAACGCAATGTCTATCTTATTATTGATCAATGAAAAAAGAACTTTAATTTTAATACCGGTGAAGAATAAATGTCTTATTTTTGTGGTAAAATTATTTTGATAAGGTTCAATTTTAAAGCTTTTCGAAAACGTTTTGGAAATTTTAGTTTTAAAGCGAGTTAAAAAAGTTTTGTCGTTAATTTACATGACTTTGCACAGTAAAAAACGACAATACTTTTGTCACTTTATGAAAAGTAGGGCAAGAGTAAGGCAAGGGTAGGGCAAGTGTAGGACAAGAGTAGGGCATGGGTAATACAAGGGTAGGGCAAGAGTAAGGCAACAGTTGAAGGGTAAGGTATAAGTTACCATGGATAATATAAATTGTTTATTTAAATTCAATTTATTTACTAGCTCTATTTTAAAACATATATAAAAGTAGAATATGACTGGACTGACTTTGTATAGACTAACCTTGAATTATATTTTCATATGTAATGAAGTATGGTAAGCTCATAAGATGTTGTTATTACAATATTACAAAAGGCCTATGTTTTATTTAGTGTACCCGTAGATGGTCAAAAATGCATTAAAACATTATGAAAGACATTAGGCTAAACATTTTAAATTAAAAAACGTAAATTAAAAATGTAAAAAAGTCTTGTCGTCAATTTACATGCGTTTACACAGGCAAAAACGACAAGACTTTTTTATCAGCTTTAAATCAAAAAAAAACCGGCCAAGTTATTTAAAAAAGTTAAAAATAATTAAAATACGAATTAAAAAAGAAAGAACTTTAAAAAATTTAAGAAATTACTTTGAAAAATGACTTTTCATTGTTTTACAAGACGGATAGTATTGTGACTGTGATGAGATTGTTGTGACATTAAGTACATGACGTTGAAGAAGAAATTTCAGTTTTCATTTCTAATTTTAACTATTTTTCAATAAAACCCCCTTATTTTCAAAAAAAAAAACGTTTTTAATACAATTTTTGAAAAGTCTTGTCGTCGATTTACTGTTATTTTCAATAGCAAAAACGACAAGACTTTTTAAAACCATAAGACTTAAAGTTTTTGAAAGATTAAAAAGTTATGGTATCTAAAATTAAAATTTTTGACATCACATTTCAAACTAAAGCACGCCATAGTTTTTGGTTTGTTGTTCATAAGCCGACGAGTCACGTGTCCTTGACTTGGCCAAACGTTGCAGTTCACGTGACAGCTTGTCCACCTCTCTAGGATCGACACGATGACCATGGTCGGAACGTGTGACTGAGCGAATCGACCGTGTTGATTTGGTCTAAAAATTTTTTTGTAAAATACGTGCTTCTTTATGTTTTGAAGAAAAAGTCCTGTCGCCAATTTGCGTGGATTTGCACGGTACAAAACGACAAAACTTTTTTAACAACAAAATTTAAAAAATTTTTTTAAAATTTTTTAATTTTCAAATTTTTTTCAAATTTTAAAAAATGACCCACCCGCTGCATAGAATTGAATTCAGAAGCTGGCCTGGCTTTGATACTGACGTTAAGATGAACTTTGTTTTCACCCAGAATCCAATCGTTTCGTAGGGCATCAATGGCCGATAGTCGAATATCAGGATTCAGCTCTAGTAAAGAGTCCACAAACATTTTAGCGTGCTCACTTCCAGACCAGTACTGTAACAAAACGTATTAATACTATTTTAGGTTTTGTAAATTGAGCCCTACCCTACCCTACCCACATTCAGTGTTTTGCCGGACCGGACCGGACCGGACCGAAAATTTTTCGGACCGAACCGGACCGAAAAAAAAGTTCCGGACCGGCCCGGAAAAAAATTTTTTTTTACTTTAATAAAACTGTTTTAAAAATTGCAAATAAAACATATTTTTAAGAGTTTTTAAACGTAAAGAAAGCAGTTTTAGCGCTCCTGGCTCTTTTTAAAAATAAAAAAAAAAATTTTCCGGACCGGACCGGACCTGAGCGAAAAAAAATAGAGTCGGACCGGACCGAAAATTTTTCGGACCGGACCGGACCGAAAAAATTCTCATCCGGACCGGTCCGGCAAAACACTGCCCACATTACCTTGATCCATCCTGCCCCTCCTTACCCTAACTTATCCTGCCTTGGCCTGTCTTAGCGTGCTTTACCTTCCCCTACCAAACCATACTATACCCCCTTGCGTGCCCTACTCTACCCTACTATATATAAGTAGATATTACCCTACCTGTGGATAATACACATAATTAGCGGTGATGATATGAGTATACAACCGTGACCTCACATCATCATCAAATGGCATGATACCTGACATCAGAATGTAAGCAATAACTCCCACCGCCCACATGTCAACCTTGTTTGTGTACGGTATTCTCAACAAGACTTCGGGTGCTATGTACTCTGGAGTACCACAAGTTTCGCTCATTTTCTCACCAGGCTGCTTGGACTGGTTGGCTAAGCCAAAGTCTGTGATTAGTAGTCTAGCATCAGGCCTGGTGTCGGAATAGAGAAGATTTTCGGGTTTTAGATCCCGATGGGTTATTTTCATGTCGTGGAGGTAGGAGAGACCGTTGAGGAGCATCCGGAGGGCTTGGCTGTAAAGTTAAATTATAATTTTAAAAAATTGCTTTTGAATTTAAAAAAAAACATATTTTAGCTAAGCCAATAATTTTTACAAAACAAATTTTGCGCGTCTAAACGCCCCCCCCCCAAAAAAATTACCACGCCAAAAAATTTTTTTTCCAAAAAACCATTTTTACTTTCTGTATTTACCAAAAAAAAATTTTTTTTTCCACGCTCTCTCCCCCCACCCCCCCCACCCGCTTTTACCACTATTTAAAAGCCATCCCCCACTCACCCCACCCTTCCCTTTTGCTTAAAAAGCCTTACCGCGCCTCAGTCTCAGTGTACCGTCCCTTAGACACCACCCTGTCGTACATTTCCCCGCCCGATGCCATTTCCATAACAATAAACAACTTGTTGGCTCCATGTAACACCTCTTCCAATCGTATCACAAATGGATGTTGTACTCGGCTCAGAATCGACAGCTCGTTGTTCACCGCGTTGATGTCTGAAAAATTTTTTTTGGTTAGTTTTTTATTGAAAATTTTGTTTTTAATTGAGGTAATGATTAAAATGACAAAGGGTTAGTCGAAAATTAGAAAAGAAGGGGGTAGTTTTTTAATAATTTTTTACTTCCTTACCCCCAAAAAAATGTTTTTAAATTTAACACGCCACAAAAAAATTTTTTTTTGAGTTGCCTAGCCCCCTACATCTTTTTAACTTTTCTTTTTAAAAAAAAATTTTTTATCTACCCCCAAAATTTTTTTTGCTAAATTTACCCCGCCCAAAAAATTTTTTTTTCAATTGCTTTTTTAAAGCTAAATATATTTTAGCTGCCCTTTTGGATCTACCCTCCTCTCTCCCCCCCCTCCCCCCTTCTCCGCCAAAAAAACCGTATCGACCCCCCCCTCCCGTCCACTGACCATATAATAGTAATAGTCACTCTCACTGCTAACCACTAAAACTTACCCGAATCGGAACTAACCAGTTTTACCGCGTAAAATTGTTTTGTCAATCGATGTTGAACTCGCAAGACTTGTGAAAAGGACCCCTTGCCAATTATGGAAATTACTTCGTATTTGTTCAGTAATTGGGCGTCCTTGCGAGGCTCTGCCTCACGCCGCGGCTCTTTGTAGAAGGATTCGCCTACTGGCATCTCTCCACCGACCTGTAATCATAAGAGGGTGTGGGGTGAATTTTTAAATTCAAATTAATTTTATTACCCTGCCCAAAAAACAGTAAATTATATCCTAACCTGCCCAAAAAAATTTTTATTTTACCCTGCCCAAAAAAAATATTTTTATCTTACCCTGCCCAAAAAAAAATATTTTTATCTTACCCTGCCCAAAAAAAATTTAACCTCACCCTGCCCAAAAAAAATTTTTTATCTTACTTTGCTTAAAAAAATGTTGTTATATTGCCCTGCCCGCAAAAAAAATATTTTTATTTTACCCTGCCCTGAAAAAATAACGTCTTAAACCCTCCTTTATTAAAAAAATTAAATTTTACCCTGCCATACCTAAAAAACTTGTAAAAAACAAAAAATCGAAACTTACAGGCGGAGGAAAGCCGTGTGCCAACGTCGACGTATCCAGCCGGCTCTTGGCGAATAGTGCGCTGAAAAAGTTTTGCTTCTTGGGCCCATTATTGGCAGCGGGAACCACCCGTTTGGTCGAGTTCTCATGTGAACAACATTTATTCCCCATGGTGCATTTAAAGTTGTCACACCCGTACCTAAAATATGGCTATGTCATTTGTGTCGTTCGAGTATTGTAATGTGACCTTTGGGGGTTTGGAACGTTTGTAGGGTTTTGGGAACGCGAAGGGTACAAAAAATAGTATATCTGCGAAAAAAAGAAACGTTCTTTAATATTTAATAACGTTCTTTTTTTTTCAAAAAAAAATAAAAAACCCCCCCCCCCAAAAATTTTTTAGAAAAATTACCCCGCCCAAACAAATTCTTTTAAAACCAAAAAAACACAAAATTATTTTTTTATAAAGCCCCCCCCTCCCCCCCCTCCCTCCCCCCCCTCTACGAAGAAAAAAAAATTACCACGCCCAAAATTTTTTTTTGAAAAAAAAGGAGAAACGCAAAGTTTTCTCACCCTAAGAATTATCTTAAATAATTTACCACGCCTTGGATATGCCCTTAAAACACAAAAAAAAGTTTCATTTTAACTTTAAATCAAATCAGAGATAACACAAAATATTGCTACCTCTACTTTATATCAAACTTGCTGTTTCCTACAACACACACAAATGAGTAAAGAGAAAACCAAACATTCATTCCGCTAACGTGAAAAAATCAGCTGGAAACAAAATAAAAAAAATCACACAAAAGAACGAATAATTCGCCACGACATAATTGGAATTGAGCTTCGAAATGAGCTGTAATGTATCTGAAGACATATTGGTATTTTTAAAAGTATTATTTGAACAAAACAATTTTAAAGTAAATTATTAAATTTAAAAAAAAATTTTTTTTTATTTATTTTTTTTTTATATAAATCTTAAAAACACTCTTTGTATACCCAAAGTTTTGCTGCAAATATGAACTTGAAGACTCAAGTTACTCGTTTTAACAAAACAAGTTGTCGCAGGAAGTAATAAGGTCAGCTCGCACAACAAGTAACACACCCCAATTTTGAACTTAAACTTACAAAAAGAGGTACAAAACTAATTACCATCGCAATACACAAGTTTTAGCCCTAGGCCTATTTTACTTTTAAATTATTCTAATTTTATCTTAGTCTTGGCCTAGCTTTACTTTAGTTATACATAGCCTAGCTTTAACCATAATACCATGCCCAGCTTCACCATGCCCAGCTTTACCATATCCAAATTTACCATTCCTAGCTTTAATATGCCCAGGTTTACCGTGCCCCGATTTACCATACCTAACATAAATTTAAAAACATCCTCTTTTTTACTTTTTCTTTTACATTTAACACCCCCCCCTTCCTTTCAATTTCAAAGCCCAATACTTTTAAAAATCCTTCATTGTTTGGCGCCCCTCCAAAGGATGCAAGCTGTTAAATTAACCGATTGTTCTCAGAAGATAGACGAAAAGTGTGCAAATAAATTATGTCCATAAAGAACGCAACGCTCTGCTCAAGTGAAAGATCAAGCTGACAAATTAGAAACATCTTTCCGGTAGAACGTTGCTTGATCAATCTGTTTGGAACATGTGGTGCTATCGGTTTTTAAGATCATCATAACGTGGTATAGGGTGCTTGAACTTAAACTTTTAAAAGGTTTCTTGTTTTTCAAAGAATTTTTTGAAAAATGATCTATGACAAGATGATGATAAGGCTGAAATAGTGCATGACGAAGACCGGGTTAGGATAAGGCTTAGGGCAAGAGTGAGGCTAGAGTAGAGCTATGGTAAGGCATAATTAAGGCAAGGTAGAGCTAAGGTAGGGCTAGGACTCTGATAGAACTAGCGTGTTAGAGTAGAGATTGGATCTAGTTATGGTAGAACTAGAGTTAGGCAAAAGTAGAGCGAATGTAAGGCTCAGATAAGAATAAAGTTGGACAAAAGTAAGGCTACAGTAGGGCTAGAGTTACACTAGATTACAATACAAAATAAGCCTAAGGCAAAGCTATGGTAAAGCTAGTGTTAGCCTAGTTTAGAGCAAAGTATGGCTATGCCAATGATAAAACTATGGATGTGACTAGATCTAGAATTAACGTGAGACTAAGATAAGGCCAAAATAAATCAAACAATTGTAAGGTAGACCTAGAATATAACTGGGGTAAATGAGAATAACACGGGGAATGTACATGGTGCGGAAAAAGTTCTGTTACACGGTTTCTTAATAACTCAAAAAATTTTTAAAAACAAAACTTTTACCTCCTCTCTCTCTCACCTCAGCGTATTACCTCTCCTTTTCTATTAATAAATAACTCAAAAATTATATTGTGACAAAAGATCACCCAAATCCCATAAATTGATAGAAAGATAACAAGCAAACGGTAATTACGTTCTGCAATTTCATTTTCATAAAACTTAATGTCCTCGTAAAATCAAAAATGCTTAGAAGAGCAAGTGTTAAAAACCGGCCCCGGGAAACCTAAAGGATATTGCCCATCCATCCTATTGATTCGGCCTGTTTTTTCAAATCTAGTACGCTCTTGACAACTCACGGTCTCTAAATCACCTTTCTAAAACAAGTTGTTTTTCATTAGGGGGCTGATGAATAAGTGTGAGGCGAACTGGTGGGATCATGTATGGGCTTGGGGTTGTGGTGATAGTAATGAAGGGTAAAAAAAATTGTTTGTAACGCTGGAGAGAAAGATAGGAGGGAGAGGCAAGTGGGGGAGAGGGGGGGGAGGATATGGAGGGAGGGGGTGGGGATATGGGGAGGGGGGGGAGATAAAAAATGTAAACCTAAAAAGTCTTTCAAATAATAGTACAAAAAAGCGGGACAAAAAATACCCTACTTTTAAAAAAATATGCACCCCTTTCCCTCTTCCCCCTAACCCACCCTCTCCTCCTTCCACCACTCCCCCTCTCTTTTACTTTCCCACCTAACTTTTTAAATAAAAAAATATTTTTTTAGTTATCTACCCTACCCTAGCCTTCATTTCCTACCCTTACATTACTCCACTACAGTACTTTACTCTACCTTACAATCCTTACAATGTTATACCACCCTCTCTTTTCAAAAAAATTATTTTTTTAAATTCCCCTACACATAACCCCAATACAATTTAAATTAAAATTAAACCCCCTCCCCTTAACAACAAGTTTTAACAATACATTAACCATTGCGATCACAATCAGTGTGCTCATTAAACTAAATGAATCAACAAACTTTTAAAGCAATGACTGATTGCTTCTCTTAAAAACTTTCAAACCACAAGAACATGTCATGAATATACGTGGCCCAGGGATAACAGTTGTCGGTAACAATATCCGTTTAAAAAAGCTATCTTGTCATGTTTTGAAAAATCTACGCGTATATGTCTTAACGTTTTTTTGAACCGAGGAAAGGGGAGAACTTTCACGTTTAAAATTAGAGTTATTAAGCTTAAACTTAAGTGCAAGTTTAGTAAATTAAGAATAAGTACGCTTATTATAACAAGACTAGGCTTAGTATTTCTAAGCGAATTAAGCTTTGGCTTAGTAGGTTTAGGCTTAGTAGACCCAGGTTTAGTAGGCTTGAGCTTAGAAGATTTAAGCTTAATAGGCGTTGCTTCGTAGGCTTATGCATAGTAGGCCCATTCTCGGTGTTTTCATGGACCGCCCGGTCCGGACCAATGCCCTGTCTAGCCATCCGGTCAAGAACAAAAAAATTTTGAACGGACCAGACTGAACGCCAAAATAGCCAAACTAAACCAAAAAAAACATCACCCAAACGATAGGTTCAAAGCACCGCTCATGCTTGCATTAGCATGCTTAAGCATAGTATGTTTAGGCTTCGTAGGTTTATACTTAGTAGGTTTAAGCTTAGTAAAGTGACTTTTAGTATACACAAGCTTACTATGTTTAGGTTTAGTAGGCTTGGCTTAGTAGGCTTAATTATAAATTAGTAAGCTTAGGCATAATAAACTTAAATTAGGCTTAGACCGTTTAGACCTAGTCTTTAAAAAAGCTTAAGGTTATTAAGATCTAGTTTTTCACTTAGTCAACCCCCCCCCCCCTTTACCTTATATCTGAAAACGCTACATCCGTCTACAAATTCAAGTTTGAATAACCTTTGCCAATTTCGCAAAATCAAAAGATCTCAATTTGAAAAATGCCGAAAAATAGCCGCAAGATTTTGATATATCGCTTCTTTTCCACTTCATTCGAAATCAATTGGAGAAAAACAAAAGAGCCTTGATCCGTCGCGATTCGAATAAGTGAGGTTTAATGCCCCCTTAACACCAGTAATCATACGCCTTTCATAAAATGGATTGATATACGGGTTCTACTGGTCATTCCAAAGTTTATCTACGCTTAAATTTCAATTGATAAGCCTAAAATTGGCTTCTGAAGCTTAAAATTGAAAACTGAAAAAAATATCAAGTCACAGGCTTAAACGTTTTTCCTAACCCTAAATATCTTGGCTAAACCTACAATTCTGTCCTAAGACTAAACTTGTAAAACGGCCAAGCTGAGCCGAAGATGGACTTAGTGGTCCTCTTTTAGGTCTACCTAACCCTTAAGTCTTTCACTAAGCCTAACATTTTCTGCCATTCTTTTACAATGATCCTTCTAGCTTAAAAAAAACAAAAAAAGCAACATTTAAAGTTTTTTTTGGCCAAACACCGGATATATAACATAAAACAATTCAAAAGCAAATCGGTTTTAAAAAGGCGGCTTTAAATTACAATGGAAAGAGCCCCTCCCCAGCATAATTTAAAAATGTAACATGATACACTCTTGGTCAATTAGAATGCAACCATTCAACTTTGTCACAATAAGAAGAATTTAGGCTTAACTAAAGTCTACCCTACCCTACCCTACCCTAACCTACTCTACCCTATCCTACCCTAACATGCTCTGCCTTACCTTGCTCTACACTTTTGTACTCTACCCTACCGTCTTCTGCCTTATCTTATTCTATCTTACCTTACTCTAATTTACCTCATTCTATACTACCCTACCCAACCGTATCACATACGCTAGCCTATTCTATCCTCGCACCCTTTACCCTATTCCCCATTACCTTACTCTACTTTACCCACCAAATTCCATGCCCATAACATTACAATCAAATATCCGTCATAAGTTAACAAACAGATTTACACTGTAAATCTTTAAGCCCTGCGGCGCTCCAAACCAAACGAAGCGGCATGAAATTCGAAAACGAGTTTAGATTCTTTGCAAATGCCGGTTATAGCTCAAAATTATCGCAACATATATAGTGTTAACAGTCTTTTATCATATTGTCGACTTGTATTTTTAGTGATAACCTATATTTAAAAAAAAGTTTGAGTATTACCTAAACCACCTCCCCTCCCCCTACTTCCCTACTCTCCTTTCACACCCCCCCCCCCCTCCACTCTTCTAGCCCTTCCGCAAAAATTGACCATCCATCCTTAACTATTACTAATACATTTGGCTGTTCAAAAATCAAATAATATTTGTCTTCCGGAGACATTCGAACGTTCCAATCCCCATAACAGCATTGTGAACAAATTTATGGACTCGTCCCAGCTCCCCAAGGAAACTTTTTCCAAATCATACTTATTTGACCATAAAAATGTAAACGTACAGAGACTGGACTTTGCTTAGTGCTTATAAAATCAAAAAAGCTTATAGAAAAATATATCCTTTTTTTTTTAATTTGACATTTCTTACACATTAATAATTGCATTGTTTTGCCTTTCCTCCCCCCCCTCCCAAGCACCCCCCAAAAAAATTAAAAAATTTTAACGTACTCCCCCTTGTGAACTTTTTTTCAAAAAAATCACCTCAAAACAATTAAAAAATAAAACTCCCGACCACCCCAGTATATATTGAAGTTCATAAAAGATTATAGGAAGATACGCTTTCAAGTTTTGTTTGAGTGCGCGAGGAAAAATATTATATTAGTTGGGGAGGTCGGGGCGGCGATCGCTTTCAAAAGCATGGGTCAGGGAGAGGTTGAAATGCAGTGGCAGGGAACAAATAAAGCAAGGTTGCGAATTCAATTTATTAAAGTGCTCAATTTCAAAGTTTGTTTTGAACTGGCCTTCACTTATTATTATGAATGGCAGAAAAGTCTTGTCGTCATTTTGGAAAGGTTTTAATAGACAAATACGACAAAGCTTTAAAACAGCTTTGTACTACTCTTAACATAAAAAAATTTATCACATTCAATAAAAAAAGACTTGATCATAATACAAAAGCGTTTTATAGTTCAAAGTAAAATATACTTGTGTTTAACACAGTTTATAAGTACTACAAGATAGAAAGTGAAAGGAAACTTAAATCGAGTCGAAACTAGTTATTAATGAGAGGAAAAGCAATTAAATTTGTTCAATAATAAGAAACCACTTCAGTTTTAAACAAACTATAATTTTTACTAACTACAAATATTCTTATGGTTAATAAAATAGACCCAGAATTTTTAGCCTAAGGCTTAGTAGGTCTAAGCTTAGTAAGCTAAGGATTGGTAGGCTTAGGCTTAGTAGGCTTAGGCTTAGTAGGCTTATGCTTAGTAGGCTTAGGTTCAGTAGGCTTAGGCTTAGTAGGTATAGGGTCAGTTGACTTAATCATCTTGTGGCTTATAATTAGTAGGCTGAGGCTTAACGGGCTTAACTTGAGTAGGCTGACACTTTGTAACTTTATCTTTAGTAGACTTAGGCTTAGTAGGCTTAGTCTTAGTAGGCTTAGATTAAATAGACTTAACCTTAGTAAGCTTATAATTGGTAGGCTAAGCCTTATTGGGCTTATTGGACGTAGGCTGACACTTTTTAACTTTATCTTTAGCAACCTTAGGCTTAGTAGTTTTAAGCTTCTTAAGGTATACTCACAAATTTTAGAATTTCCTCTTCTTACGAAAAAAAAACTTACCAGCCTAACCTTAGCGACAAACTGTTTGTGTATAAAACCATTGACATTATACAAAAAATGTACACTCAAGTGAGACGAAAGTTATAACTCAACATCAATTTCCTCTTTAACTCATGACTTTAACCACTTCAGTAGAGCCATATCGTATTAGGTATAGCTAAACTACAATATCCTATATATTAGTAAGCTACAAAAACCTAACTTTTTATAAATATTATATAAATTGTATAAAACTTAGATATATAACAAAGACTAGAGTTCAGCTTTGTTTTACAAGTTTAATTCGAAGCAAGCTTCAGGGAACAAAATTGAAAGTTCTTGTACAAACACAACCTGTATTTTGAACAAATACTAGTTTGTTTACTCTCTTTAGTTTCAAAGTTTTGTCAGCATGTCAAGAACTTTCCATAATACAGCACGGAATGATATTCTACATACAAAATTATTACCTAAAATTTCGAAAAATTCTTTTCAATTCTAGTGTATAAGAAAAATTTAGGTAACAAAATATACTGTATTTGTTTAAAAGTAATGCAAACTCAGTTTTTACACTTTTAAAAGGCAACTTTTCATCTTAATCTTTTAGGTAACAAAAATGGTTTAAACTTATACTTTTACTTTCAAAAGTCTTAAAAGTTGCAACCACTTTTTCATTCTTCCATTCCGTCAGTCACATTGTTATCTTATCACTCAAATTAATCAAAAATTACTTTAAACATGGCTGTGTGGTTTCATATTGTTAGACATAGCAATAGAAGACCCAGTATTTAAGTGGGCTTTCTCACGTAACTGATAAGGATATTGTACTCTGCCAACTAATTTCTACCCTACCCTACTCTACCCTACCCTACCCTACCCTACCCTACCCTACCCTACCCTATTCTACCCTACCCTACCCTACCTTATAAAAATAGATTCCAAAGCCATGTAAATCAAACAAGAAAGGTATTTCTATTCCGCTCTTCTATAGTTATGACACAACTACGATATTTTGTATGCAGTTACGCTCTAATTATTATTCAGTGAAACACTTGACCAAAGTGGTCGGTGATAGATGACCTAACATATTCTTTGAATAGTTTTTTATTTTTGTACCGTATATACGCTGCCTTTTGGCCAAGACAGTGTTTGTAAATTTCTAGGCATCTGTTTGTATAACCTAGGTGTACATTTCCGCAGTTCGCGCAAGCCCGGGCGCAGCTCTCTCTTACTTCTATTCTTTTCTTGAAAAATGCCTTGACCTTTTTGTAGTTTTGGGCAATAAAAAGTGGTTTTTTGGATTGTGTGGTGATGAGTGTACATTGAATTGTTGAATTATATTGTTATTAGACATATTTAGTATTTATAATGCGATTTGTAATGGCAATTTTTGTTTATTTAGTGGTATTAAGCAAAGTTTATTTAATACCTAAACATTTGCAATTTCAATCGTTTCCTGGTATCTTATAGTTGATTTTTTGTTGAAAAAACTTGTACGCGTGTATATACATTAATATATTCTTATTTTTACTATATTTAAAGGTATTCTAGCAGGTTAAACATGAAATTTTATGGAGATCCATCAAGCTGTGCCAATGCTGTTGATCTCACCGTTCGCCACATTCATCTGGATTGGAATGTTAGTTTTGAGAAGAAATTAATTGAAGGAACAGCATTTTTGGACTTGGAGGTGTTGAACAACACTGAGCACATTGTAAGTTTTGTTTTCTTTATATTGCTGTTGGCTTTTAGGTAAAAACGAAGTAAAACGGCTCGAGGAAGGTTTATGATGAAGAAGAAAGGCTTGTTTTAGATTTTTTAAGTATAATATAGTTTTTGGAAGATTGAAAGCTAAATATATGATCTATATTTTAGAATCTCGACTCTCGGGATCTTGAGATTGTCTCCGCCAGCTTGGGAGATGCTTCTTTGAAGCATAACATTGAGAATAATGGTGCTCTTGGTCAAAAATTGGTTGTAAACTTTGGGAAGACCTTGGAGAAGGGATCTAAAGTGTAAGGGCATTTACACCTTGAGTTTTTGTTGCTAAATATCAATTATATTGTTGTAGGGGCGTGAAGATATATAAATATTGTTTTTAAAGTTAAAACATAACTTTTTACACTTTATTTTCAGAAAACTTGCTATTGAATATACAACAGGAAAGAATGGCGCGTCTGCTTTGCAATTTATCGACCGAGAGTGCACTGCTGACAAGTTGAAACCTTACTTGTACAGTCAATGTCAAGCAATTCACGCTCGTTCCATTGTGCCTTGCATGGACACGCCGTCTGTCAAACAAACTTATTCGGCTAATGTAAGGTTTTACATTTTTTTATTGTTTCAGGTACTTAATATGATCAGTGGGTTCTTTTTTTGAAAGTGAGAGTGATATTGTACGTACTATAATATTGTTAAAGTGTCAAAAATCTGTTCTTGTTTTTGGACGAGCAAATAAGTTTAAAAATCTTAATTTTAGGTCAAAGTTCCAAAAGGTCTGACTTGTCTAATGAGCGGTTTAGCCGATGGATCTTCAACAGAAGAGGGAGATCTGGCCTTGTTCAAGTTTCATCAACCAATCGAGATACCTTCTTATCTATTGGCTATTGTTGTTGGAGCTTTGGAGAAGAGAGATATCAGTGAGCGTTGCGCTATCTGGGCCGAGCCTAGCTGGGTAGAGAAAGCACGATGGGAGTTTGAAGATACTGAGAAGATGCTGCAAGCAGCCGAAGAATTGATGGGCAAGTATGAGTGGACTAGGTAAGGAAAATACTAGAAGATAGGAAACAACGGTTTTTTAATTTTAGGTAACAAATATAATTTTTTATGACTTACCGGTATTAAAAATGCTTTTTTTGGAATTTTAGGTAAAAAAATTATTTTTTGGTTATATGTAATAAAATCTATTTTTTTAGCATTTTAGGTAATAAAACATTATTTTTTCTACTTTAGTTATCATAAACGTATTTCAGATACGATCTAGTAGTTCTACCTCCATCCTTCCCATTCGGAGGTATGGAAAACCCCTGCCTAACCTTTGTAACCCCCACTATCATTGCTGGTGATCGTTCTTTATGCAACGTTATTGCTCACGAGATTGCTCATTCATATACAGGCAACTTGGTCACTAATGCCAATTGGGAGCACTTTTGGCTGAACGAAGGCTTCACCGTCTTTGTGGAGCGTAAGATTCTGGGCCGGCTGTACGGTGAAGAAGCACGTCAATTTGACTGCCTATGCGGATGGGAGGATCGTATGTTACCGTGCATTAAGGAAACGTTCAGTCCAGTTCATGAGTATACCAAGTTGATCCCAAGACTGGTCGGGGTGGATCCGGACGATGCTTTTTCGACCATACCTTATGAGAAGGTGAGGTTTTATGTTTTTGAATGAAGTTGGGGAAAATTTTCAAATTTTTAGGAATTTTTCGAAATTTTTTAAAATTTTTAAAACTAGTAAACTATACTTACCTTCAATTTTTTAGGGATCAGCCTTCTTACTCTACCTAGAACAACTCGTGGGTTCAAACCAACGCTTCGAAGAGTTCCTCCGAGCTTACATTCTAAAGTATCGTAGACAATCGATAATCACAGATGATTGGATCTCCTTCCTGAAAGAGTATTTCACAGATAAGAAGAAGGAGCTGGACGAGGTTAACTACGATGGCTGGCTACGTACTCCAGGAGTACCGCCAAACAAGCCAACCTACGATGATCATCTGGTTGAAGAGTGCAAGAATTTGGCTAAGAAATGGGGAACGGCCGAAGTAGAGGAGCTGAACGGACTGAAGTCGGAAGATCTGTTGAAAATGACATCGGATCAACAGGTCAAGGTGCTGGATTGTATTGAAACGGTAGGGGTTTTGATTGAGAAAGGAATTTTATACTAATTGTACTTCTATACTTGAGGTTTAAAAAGTTTTTTCATTTTGATGACTAATATACCATTTCAGGGCTACACACTATCACACGAACGGGTCGCTTTAATGGAGCAAAAGTACAAGTTCTCGTCCTCTGGCAACTCGGAGATTCGTTTTTCATTTTTGTTAATAGCTTTGAAAGCAAAATGGGTACCAATCATCGAAAAGGCACTCGAATTCGTGACTGAAGTTGGTCGGCTTAAATTTGTCAAGCCTATTTACAGGTAATTTGGAAAAAAATATTTTGGTTGTAAAAAATTGAAAAAACCATTTTTTTTATGAAAAAAAATTGAAAAAGTACCCCGCCTGAAAAAAATTGGAATAACACCCTTTCAATGGAAAAGACACTCCTCCTATAAAAAATTGAAAAACCACCCCTCCCATGAAAAAAGTTTTGAATATTTACTCCGCTCGAAAAAAATACTGCCTGCACTCAATTTTAGTATAAAACTTGTATTTCAGAAAGCTATTCGATTGGGCCGAAAGCAAAGACAAAGCCCTTGGAACCTTTGAGAAGAACAAACAGTTTATGCATCCGATCACTGTCATCGTAGTCAAATCCCTCTTAAAGTAACGTCGTCGTGTATATTATCATAGAACTAACCTTATTTCGAAGCGTTTTAAAAACGTAATGTCATTTTGTTTAACTTTGGTTTTAAAATAAATATTGTTTTTATAATTTTATATTATTTTGGTTGGCACAAAAGTCTTGTCGTTTTTTAGTGTTAGAGTCAGTGCAAGTTTACGACAAGACTTTTTTTTGAAGATTTTTTGAAAGATTTTTAGGAAAAAAATTGAATTTTATGTTTATCTAAGATCTAAAGAAAGTCTTGGCACTAAGTTACATTTCTTCATACGATAAAAAACGACAAAACTTAATTTTTTTAAATTTTGAGATTTTATTTAAAATCGGCTTATAATGTTCTTTATGAGTAGATACAGGAAAATAATGAAAGAGTTTAGCAAATAATATGTTATATATTTTTAAAAATGTTATTTTGAATTTTTAAAAACAACAACATGGTTGTAAAGCCGGTTTTACTCATTTTACTGACTTTAACTACTTATGGCGCCATGGAACGTAGGTTAATTTTTTTGATTTTTTATGATTTTGAACGCGGTAGGCAACTTTTAAGTATTTTGCATTTTTTAATTTAGAAAAAGTTGTCTTTTAAACCATTAAAAAAGTTTTGTCGTTTTTTAACATAGAAATGCCTAGAAATTGACGACAAGACTTTTATTGGTCGCTTCAATTTAAAGTTTTTAGAATTTTAAAATATTTTATGATTGAATTGTTTTATTTTTAAAATTTTTTTGAATTTTAGATTGTCCAGACATAAAAAGAGGTGATTTTACTCAGTTTTTCGAAGTTTACGGTAAACATATTGAAGGCAGGAAGTACGAGATCAATGGGTTCTTTACTGGTACGTTTTGTAGCTTCTTTATACTTTACTTTATATGTAAATTTTGTTTATTATTGAAATTTATTTCAAATCTTTATATTTTTTAGTGTTTAAAAAGTCTTGGCGTTTTTCTTCGTGCAAATTAATGTAAATTGACGACAAGACTTTTTAAACAGCCAAATATTGTCATTCTTTGTATAGTGGTCAAAAAATAGAAGCTGAATCAAGTCGTTCTTCTGGATCCACAGTTTGTGAAGCTAGATGGGTAAGTCTTTAGTGTCATTTTGGGTTTGGACTTACTTTTTTCTAAAAAATTTTACCCCCCCCCCCCTCCCTTCCCAAACAAATTTTTTACCCAGCTTTGCTCAAGCAAAAAAGTTTCTAAAATTTGACTTTAGGGTTTATTTGTAAACTGAATTTCAGCCAAACAGTCAAGAAGTTCCCAGAAACCCCCACCAACTGTCTAAGAGAGAACTATGCCTTTACTTCCGGCAACATCTTGGTCCTAAACCACACTCACTTTGCTGATATACTCGAAGTAGATGATCACCGTGTTGATGGACAATCAACCTACTACTTTGAGTCATTATCCAACCTTCGACATCATAATTTCTCGGCTGAAAACATTGATAAGATTCGGGATTGTTTTGATAAGCAAAAGGTAGGTCTAAAATTATATTGTGGTAGGTTTGAACTGTAATTTTAGAAAGATTGCAGTAGTTATTCATAGTAATTGTTCTAATAGGTATTCTGTAAACCATATTTGATTGAAATGACATTAAAGTAAGACTTTAGCTCGAATTCTGCACGTACAATGGAACTCATGTTATTGAAGGACCACGTCGGTTTGTGGGTATCAATGAGGGATAGGCTTTGAACATGTGAGTGATTGATACTGTAGGGTAAAGTAGGATAATATGGAGTAGAGTAGAGTAAAGTGGGCAGGCTAAGGTAGGCTAGGGAAGCGTGGGCATGGCAAAAAATACTTTTCAATTTTAATGTTTCAGGGCTACGTATGAACGCCGCTTTACGTTGTACCAAGTTAACAATACTCAGTAAGTTATATAAATGTTCCTTTGACCAAAATTTGAAAAACGAGAAAAAAAATTGAATTACAGTATCAAAAAAGTCTTGTCATTAATATACCTTGTTTTGCCTTGTAAAAAACGACAAGACTTTTTAGTGATAAAGATTATTATTTCAAAATAACTTTGAAACCATAAAATGATCTTGTAAGCCATAATAAAGCTTTAGGTCTAAAAAAGTCAAGTTAAAATTCACTTTCAGCAACTGCTTCAACATTCCCTGGGACATCGAGAACGCTTCGGACAAGCCGATCAGCTTTGCGCCATTATTCAAGCTACCCTTCCTCAACTCCGATTCTCCATTGATTGAACGCTTTCGGCCGAAGCCAAAACCAAAGCCAGTCCTCAAGTTGCGAGTGGTCGAAGTTCCCATAATTAACACTACTGAATATATACCAGAGACCACGACCAACACGACCGAACTGTTGCGTTCGCCGGTGGCAAGTGGTGCTGGACTGGGAACGTTGATGCCATTTTTGATGTTTGTTGGGCTTTTGTTGATCTTTTGAGTAAATTTACTGATTTTGAGATTTTTTTAATTTTTTGAAAATTGAGTTTGGTCCCCCCTGTTGATTTTTTTTTATTTAAAATTTAAAAAAATTTTTAAAGAAAATATGCCATTCTTTATATCATATACCATTTATTAATTAATATTTTATACAATGTTATTAAAATATAACTCGTCGTTTATTAAAAAAAGACAGATCATCAATTTATCCCCAGTACGAGCCTCCGAATCGGTTGTATCCGCCGCCACCTCCGCCATAGCCTCCGCCGTATCCGTAGCCACCGCCGAATCGTGGTGGTGGAGGTGGTGGTGGTGGGGGTTGTTCAAACACTGGTGGAACTTGTTCTACAACTGTAGTTTCCACGACAGTAGCACCGCCACCATAACCATAGCCTCGGCGAGATCGGAAGCTGAAAAGGTTTTTATTAATAGAGTATTTTGGAAAGTTAGAATAGGGGTGATTTGTAGATCATTTGGCAGGGTATAAAAAGTGGTTTACGATGGGGTAGTTTGGGGTATTGAAATTTCGTATAAAAAAAGTTACAGTACTTTGAAAATGGAAAAAAGTGATTTTTAGGCCAAACATTTAGGTATACCCACGTTTTTTTTAAATTTTTTGCCATTTTTAATTTTCAGATTTGCTCTAAATTTTATAAAAACATACAAAATTGATAAGAGCTTCTATAAATAAAGTAAAAACACAATTTTTTTAATTAAAAATTTTTTAAAAACGAAAAAAAATAAAAAATCATCAAAAATCCTTACATGTCCCGGGTAGCCTTAGGGGCCTGTTCCGTCTGCAGTGCCGCCACCACGCCGACCAATAAACAAATAAAAAGAAAACGGTTCATCGTTGAATGACACTGAACACTGAAAGCCGGCCCGTTAAATACGATGGCTTAGTTTGTGACGACGCATTCATCAACGCTGTTCTCGGAGTTCGGTCGCCCATTACAAATTCATTATTTTTGAAAAAAAACGTGGAGAGATAAGGTTAATAAGAGAGAGAGTGATACCATAGAATGGTAAGATGAAGGTAGTAAGGCAGAATGACAAGGGGAGGGTAAGAAAGACGAAGAAGGATGGTACGATAAGTTTTTTTCAGTAAGATGTTCTGGCTGGAGAGAGAACGAGCCAAAGAAAAGTGATGACAAGATGAAGAAAAAGGTCAACTAGTAGTCAGTTAGCGAACACAACAACTTAGTCAACGTAATCATCGTCGATTTGAAACTTCTTTGACAAATAACTCATTGAAAACGGTTTAAGTGCGAAAACCTACGGTTTCTTTACGAATTCAACTTCCGGGCCATTCAGGGAATTAGGCAAGAGGTTTCATCAAGGCAAAGAATCAAGGTAATGTTTGTGTACTACGATAAGTGTCACAAATGGGTCATAAAAGAAGTATCAATTCATAAAGTTACTAGAAAAAAAAGTTTGCTAAAGAACAGTGATATTTACAACGTTTCTTACATCCTACCCTAAAAAACCTTTCAACATCTTAAGCAATCGTTGAGCGGTTAATATCGTTGTAACTGTTTAGTTAGCTTTAACGCTTCAGGAATTTTTATTAACTAAAAATTTTAAATTTAAAAAATTAAGTTTTGTTGGATTGTAGATACAGGGTGCGCCAAAAGTTTTGTTACACGGTTTTTAAATTAAATATTTATTTTAACAACGAATATAAGAGAAAAGACTACTAGACCTGGCTTGACAGAATTCTAGACTAGTCCAGGCTGAAGCAAATTTGAAACCAACCAGGCGATGCCAAAAAATTAGGCCTCTTTTAGCTCTTTTACAGGTCTACTTGTATAGTAAGGTCATCGTCAATAATTTGTTACAAAAATTTGTACTTTTTCGAGAAAGCATGTTGTAGCTACTTTTTTATAGAATGTCACAAACAAAATTGATGAATGATTGTCTGAAGTGAAAAAGAAATAAGAATGAAAAAGATTGTTTTTCGGAATCACGATTTCGTCTGGATGGAAGCTGTATAGGTATGTAATGTTGTAAAGTGTTTCTTTTTAAAGTCATTAAAGTAATTTTTAAAATAGTATACAATGGAAATAATGCTTATCAGACTAAGATAAAGCTGGGTTAAAAGTTACTTTTTAGCCTGGTTTTATATTTGCTTGACTAGCCATATTATGGGCATACCCTTATCCAAAAAAATAAACAGTGATCACTAATTGAATACGTTTTGATGAGTTATTTATTATCTATGATGACTAATTACTTTTTAAAATTTAAACCAAATTGCAAGTTCATAGTTTTAGTAAAAGATACATTCTTATTCGAATAGTAGATATGTCTTGTCGCTTTTTAAGGCTAGGTAAATTGCCGACAAGGGTTTTTTAAGACGTTTGTATAAAATGGTAGATTATATAAGATAAGGCACAGGTTATATAAGATGGTTATATAAAAGTTATATAATATGGTTATATAAGATCTTACAAACTGTAAAAACTTACTTTAATGTATTGAATAATAAATTAAACTATAAAAATTTTAAATTACGTAAGTATGGGCTTTTGGTTATATTATATTATTAGAATAGGGCGGTGCAAAATTACTTTACCAACGTTAAAATTCTCTAAAAACAATTTTTTTTCGTTTAGGAGACATTACAAGACCAATTCACAAAAAAAATTTAGCTGTCCTATCCCCCCGCCTCCTCCTTTCCCCCCAAAAAATAGCGCTTCCAGCCATAAATATTACCAAAAAAAGGTTTTAAAGACTTTAAAAATGAGTAACAACATCAATTTGAGTACCAGTATAAGTTGAAACTTGTTACTCAAGTAACGGACATTTTATATCATGCATAGTGTTAAGCCACTTCTCCACCAAGCTCTTAGTCTTCGTATTATGCAGAGCAATAGGCCATGGTATTGTGTTATCCTTTGAGCATTTGGTGTAGTCAATTTCATTGGGATTGGAACAAATGCCACTCCAGTTAAGTAGAGGAACCGTCGTCTCACGCCGTACTATACCAGTTATGAAACAGTCGTCCATGTGTACCAAATTGACATTTCTCATCGCTTTGGTTATGGTTTTGATTGTGTCATTAGTGGTTAGAATGAAGTAGCCAAAACAGTAGTCGGGCCATCGGTTTTCACTGAACTCTTCTATTGGAATGTACCTAAAATAAGGTTTTTGGATGTTTAGGTATAAATTTAGATAAGTTTAGGTATGAAAATAAATTTTTTTTTAAAGTCTTAAGATTTTTTAAAATTTTTTGATAAAAAAATTTATTAACGCAAAAAAAAGTTTTTTCGTCGATTTACGTTGATTCCCATACTATAAAACGACAAAACTTTTTTAACGCCATAATAAATCAAATTTTTAAAAATTCCAAAAATAAAAAGCAAATTGCTTACCACCGACTATGTTTATTCCGAATAGGCCAAAAGTTGTACATGCCATGACACAAAAAGTATTCACTTTTGTTACCTATTAACCCATTAAAACCTTCATCGATCCAACTAAACACTCGACCATAATCAGCCGTGACATCATCGTCCATTTTCACAAAATATTTTACATTCGGACAGTATGTCATATGGTAATCATGCATACTGTACCATTTGACATAGTTTTCACGGTAAGTCTCGTTGTGAGTGTAGTAGACAATGTCCTTGAATGCCATTATTTCTGGAACAATCGTTTGCAGATTCATGTCTTCGGAACGACCTAAGAAGAAGCGGAACAGCACGGTGCGGTTTGTCTGGAAATTAAAAATTTTTTTAATTTGATTTTTAAATCTTTTTTGGCCTAAGTGCACATTTTTAGGCTTAGGTACACCTTTATAGGCTTAGAAAAGAACTCTTAGACTTGAGTATACATTTTTAGGCTTAAATTTTTAAAAAAACCCCTACCGTTTTGCTGATAATCTCTCGAATATTCTGTCGCCGTCGAAAGGAATAATTATCGACCATTGTCATAACATAAACCACCATTTCCACATTGTCACATTCGTTCGTATCATAAGGAACAGTCATATCATACGAAAGTTGAGTTTCACCTATCTTCAGCTTGACCGTTTTCATTTGAAACAACTTTTCAAACTCATCAGTGGTTAAGTGTTGAGGTACATAGTTCAACATGTAGATAGTTACATGGTTGTTTATATTGTCTCGGATTAGTAATATGGTTAGAGTGATGATAACTGATAATATGTAATGTATATGAAAGTAAATTGATGAAAAATTTCAAAGATTGCCTCAATTTTTCATTTTTAGGCTTAGGTTTACATTTTTAGGTTTAAGAAGGAACTTTTAGGCTTAGGTACACGTTTTTAAATTAAGGTACACATTTTAAGCATAGGTACATATTCTAGGCTTAGTTACTTTTAGGTCTAGGTACGCATTTTAAGCTTAAGAAGGGACTTTTAGGCTTAGGTACACATTTTTAAACTTTGGAAGGAACTTCTAGGCTTAAGTTCCCATTTTTAGGCCTAGATACACATTTTAGGCCCAGAAAAAAACTTTTAGGCTTAGGTACATATTTTTATGCTTAGGAAAGAGCTTTTAGGCTTAGGTACACCTTGTTAGGCTTATGTACAATTTCTAAGGCTTAGGTACACATTGTCTTTAAGAGCCCGACTAAAAAATGGCTTGGCCCAAGTTTTTTTCTACCCGCCAGTCCTAAAAACTGAAAAACAATTTCTAATTTTAAAATTTTAAAAATTTTTAAAAGAACTTACAAACCACCCCGACGAGAAACTTTTTCTTAGACAATATTCCATTCATAATCAGCCGAACCACTACTAAACCCACATATCACACCAAATAAGTCGAGTTCACTCTGTGGCTATTTGCATAATGTCCAACTGTTTACTATTTAAAAACTGCAGACACGCAATAACAAAGTTTAATCTAAAACAACATAAAGTTAATCTTTACAAACTTAACATATTATAAGTAACCTCGTATATAAGTATGCCTAACTAAATGTTTTGTCATTACAACAATATAATATACAACGATATAATATAATTATTTAAATAGAACCCACTTCTTCTTAGACAATATAATACCAAAGGTGTCTCCTAAGAGTATTACAAAACCACATTAATTGCACGGATTATTCTTATTATTAAACTGCACATACACAGACTGTGCAAACACAAAATGCAAATACAAAAACAACCAAAAAACATTTTAGTTCAACGCCCACAAGTCTTGTATGTTTTTATAAAAACCGTTTTAGAACAGTAATGCATGTGCAACAAACGATTTAACACTTGTAAAACATGTGGCAGACGATAGAAGGAAAAAGTAAAAGAGCGTGGATATAAACCTAAAAAGAGATTGTTCACATTAAAAAATTAGCCCCTTTAGAGGTTTTTAAATAAACATACCCCCTCCTCTCTCTCAAATTTTGTTTTCTAAAATCTACAGGGAAAAACAACTTCAACTTTTTTCAATTTTTTTTTAAATTTTTAATTTTTCAACTCTAAACTCAAAAATCATCGGCATTTATTCAATTAACATAAATGATGACATAACAGTTAACCAAAAGACGCCGCATTTGCGTGCACAGTTGCACTAATTTTTCATTTGCAGCTGTATTGGTATTATATGTTGTTGTGTGCACATGCAAGAGGAGAGAGAAAACAAAAGAGAACAGCAAAAAGAAGAAAAAGAAGAAGAGGAGAGACAAAGAAAAAGAAGAAGAAGAAACAGAGAAAAAAAAAGAAAAAGAACAAAAAGATGAAACAGAAGAAGAAGAGAGAAAAAAAAGAAAAAGAAGAAGAAGAGGAGAGAAAAAAAAGAAGATAAAGAAAAAGAAGATGAAAAGAAAAAAAAACAAAGAAGAAGAAGAAGAAAAGAGAAAAAAAAAGAAGAAGAAGAAGAAGAGGAGAGAAAAAGAAAAGAAGAAGAAGAAGAAAAAAGAAGAAGAAGAAAAGGAAGAAGAAAAAAAAAGAGAGAAAGAAAAGAAGAAGAAGAAGAAAAAGAAGAAGCAGAAAAGGAAGAAGAAAAAAAGAGAGAAAGATAGAAGAAGAGAAAAAAGGAAAAAATTCTTCTGAAGAAAGAAAGAAAGAAAAAAAAGAGAAAAAAGAAAAGAAGAAAAGTTGTGTGCACATGCAAGAGGAGAGAGAAAACGAAAGAGAACAGCAAAAAGAAGAAAAAGAAGGAGAGACAAAGAAAAAGAAGAAGAAGAAAAAAAGAAACAGAGAAAAAAAGAGAAAAAAAAAAAGAAAAAGAAGAAAAAGATGAAACAGAAGAAGAAGAGAGAAAAAAAAGAAAAAAGAAGAAGAAAAAAAGAAAAAAAAGAAGAAGAAAGAAAGAAAAAAAAAGAGAAGAAAAAAGAAAAAAATTCAAAAAGAGAAAAAAAACTTTTTTTCTTTCAGAAAGAAGAAAAAAAAACCTTCTCTTCTTCTTCATCTTCTCCATTCTTCACCTCTTTTTGTTTTTCTTTCTTCTCTTTCCTCTTCTTCTTCTTCATCTTCTCCATCTTCCTTCTCTTCTTCTTCATCTTCTCCATCTCCTTCTCTTCTTCTTCATCTTCTCCATTCTCTTCTTCACCTTCTCATTCACTCTTTTTGTTTTTCTTTTTTTCTCTTTTTCTTTTTCTTCTTCTTCTTCTCTTTCTCTGCTTCTTCTTTTTCTTCTTCTTCTCTTTCCTCTTCTTCTTCATCATCTTCTCCATCTTCCTTCTCTTCTTCACCTTCTCAGCTCCTCTAGGACCTTCCACGTGAAAACGCAGCTTCAAAAATGCACCACCTTGAACTGAACTTACGGTTTGATCGGCAAAAAATACGATCAAACCGAGAGCCCAGCCAAAATAGTACATTTTGGAAAAGAAAGCCCAGTCCTAAAAATGCACCACCTTGAACTGAACTTTCAGTTTGATCGGCAAAAAATACGATCAAACTGAGAGCCCAGCCAAAATAGTACAGTTTGGACTGATCGCGCGCCGCCACCGCCCCAAAAACATATTACGAATCTGACTGTGGTTCACTGCCAATCCCTTTCTACTCATCCGGTTTCAGACGGTGTATTAAGCTGCTTTCTGAAGGCAGCACCAAGGACACCTTTAACCGAGATCAAGACATGGGAATTGGAGATATAGACACATTGGAGACGAAATTTGTTTTTGGAACGCGCACCACCCCACCCCAGGCTTAGCGACTTCAGAATCCTTACTAATATCTAGGCTTTCGGTCGTTTTTCATTGAGACACTCTGTCCTTGGAACAGGGTATACTCAAAGATCGTAGTACTATCTTTTTGGACCAAAAATAAAAGTTTTTGAGCAAAAATCAGTGATAGTCTTACGCCGACCTTATTCTAGACAAAAGTGAGTTTTCTGGTTCCCTAGAGACTTACCTTATTGTTAAGGGGTCTGCGCATTTGATAGCTGGGAGAGGAGAATCCTTCCCTGTTTAAAATTTTCTAAAGGTGGGGGAGGAGAATCCACCCTTGCCCACAATTTTCAAAAGGTGGAGAGTGGAGAATCCACTCTTGCCTAAATAGTGTGATGAGTGAAGGAGGAGAATCCACCCCCGTTTCCAAAAGTTGGGTGTGGAGAATCCACCCCTGATTAAGTACTTTGAAAAAGGATAATCCACCCTTGCCTAAATATTTTTATAAGTGAGGAGGAGAATCCACCCCTATTTAACACTAACTCCTACCCTCTCTTAAGTATTACCTAAACCTTATTCTTAAATGCGTCAATTTAACTTAACTTTGCTATAAAAAGTTTTTAGACTTGCTTATAATTAAAACAAAAACATTTTGATCACTATTATAATTAAATAAATTTATGAGAGAGGAGTATCCTTTCTTGTCTAAAAATCCTACCGTTTTTAAAAAATGTTATAAATTTTTTAAAATTTTAAAATAAAAAAAATGTTTTTTAAAGCTTAAATTTTATGATTAAAAGTAAAAGATTAACTTAAATTTAATAATATAAAGTAACATAAACTAACTTATAACCCAACCTATACTTAACCTATTACTATCATACACTTACCTTGTATTGCTCCATCCATAGTTTGATTGTTCTATTGTAGTCACCTTCCTCTAAGTGCCGCGCAAGTACAAATGAAAGTTTTGCTGACTATCTATTATATTGCATAGTTAAGCGTTGTTTTACTGTATGCACGCTTAAGCGTTGTTACAGTACACAAAAAGATGATTTAAATAATAAAAGCTTTGTGTACGTTGCGTAATTATCTGCGTTAATTATTTTATATCATCATTTTTGTGTTGTGTAGTACTGTACGGTTGTGCTTTTTCGTTTGTCTTACCCTACCCTACCCTACCCTACCCCACCCCACCCCATCCCATCCCACCCTACCCTACCCTACCCTACCCTACCTTACCCTACCTTACCCTACTTTATCTTATCCCACCCTTTCCTAACTTACAACATTTTTGCCCTATTTTGTCCTACTTTACTTTATCTTACCTTACGCTATCCCATCTTATCATATTGTACTTTACTCTACTTTGTCTTACTGTACCTTTTAATTTTTTACTAAATTTTTAAATTTAAATTAAAAAAAAATTAATTACGTTTTCACAAATTAGTCTAATGTAGTCTTAACTTCACATACACACTAAATATACGCAGATTGTTTACAGTACAAGTACCCAAATTACTTTTTGTGTGTGTTATCTTCTGTATAAACAATAAATGTAATCGAAAGCGAATTTCCTTTCGATTGAAGAATTTTCCACTTAACAACATTTTCAGGGTTGTGTTATGAGTTGCCATGGCAATCGCTTTTCTACTTTGCCCAGAATACTTCTCTCGCTGTTTCGTTTTCAGGCTATGTATCGTGTGGTATTTAATTTAGGGGAATAAAAATCATTTTGTTAAATTTGTTAAGCCGGCATGATTTTTAATTATTGTTTATAAGATTCGTACTTGAGGGGAAGAAAGGGTGAAAACCAGGGCCGGGCGGGGACTTTTGGTCTGGGGGCGGGGGTCCAGAAAATCGGCACAGATAGCTGTGCCGATTTTTTGCGAAATTTTTTTTCCGAAAATCCACAGGGGGGGGGGACCACGTTTAACTTTTTTCAAAAAATTTTTTTTCTGGGAGGGGGGGGTACCCTCCTCGTCCCCCCCCTCGCGCCCGGCCCTGGTGAAAACTTTAAAAGTTTTAAAGAGGGAGAGAGAAGAAAGAAAGAAAATGTAAAAAAAAAGGCTTAAAACAATTTTTTTAATTTAATACTTTGGGTTTATAGCATAAATATTAGTTGAGACTGTTTTATTTTTAAAAAAACAATTTTTTTAAGAGAGGCGTGGGATTTTAAAAAACAGTAAAATTTTTTTTCTGTCTTATCAGTTTTTAATTTTTTTTTGTGTTTTTAAATTAAATTTTTACCCTTTCCTTTTTCTTTTCTCTCCTAGCCCGTACAGCTCCCATCTCATCCCTCCGGAACTCCCTATTCCCCCCCCCTCCACCCGTCTCTTTACACCTGCCTATCTTTTACCGCCTAACCCCTATTTATCCCTAAAAAATTCGTTTTTATAAACGTTGTTTAATTAACGGTTTGTATATTTTGCAAATACTACTGATTACCTAGAAGTTAATACCTACTCATTAAGCATTTTTCAGCCTAACCCCTATAATTTTGGTAATCTTTTGTTTTGTGGGCTTAAGCACTATGTATTATTTAAAAAAGTGTATCTACTCAGTTCTGTACTATTTTGAACTTTTATATTATACTATTTGCACTTTACTTTAATCAATTCTACTCTATCCTATTCTACCCTTTCCTACTATATTCTACTTTGCCATACCCTACACTATCTTCCTCTGCCCTACCTTACACTACCTTCTATAACAGGCTTAATTCGTTGTAAAAACGTTATTTTTAGAAATGACTTTTTACTTATTACGTGACAAAAATTTTTTACTTTATTAACATGTCATTTAGATACTTTGAAAAGGAGATTTAACTATATACTTTAATTCTTTTTATGAATATGACAATAACGAGCAATTAGTGTTTTTGATAAAGAATATTTATCCGTCTGGGTAGTTAAAGCTGTCATTTTATAATATTTTTTAATCCTTTTTATTTATTTTTTGCTACAAATTGTTAAAAAGTAAAAGTAAATAAAAAGAAATAAAAAATTTGGAACCAAAAAAGTCTTGACGTTTTTAAGCGTGCAATCTAATCTTAATTGACGACAAGGCTTTTAAAACCTTATTTTTTCAATTTTTTTAAACTTTTTTAGTATTTTATATTGATTGAAGTTAAAATAATTTTTTTTTGATTTCAGGACAATAAAATATTTTGTAATTGCAAACGGGTACACAGCGAAACATGACAACCGGGAGTGCAAAGACCGGCTCAAAGCCGGAGAGTCTGGCCGATCGATACAGAATGACAAGAAAAGTTGGCGATGGCACATTTGGCGAAGTGTCATTGGCCAAAAAACTTGACACAGGAGATATTGTCGCTATTAAAAGGTAAGGAAAAAAATTCTTTAATTTTTTAGTTTGGGATGAAAATCAACAGGGGGGACCACGTTTAATTTTTTTAAAATTTTTTGAAAAAATTTTTTGAAGATATTGATATTAATATACAAAACAAATAGTTTTGAGTATATTTTGACTACTATCAATCCCTTTAATTAATTAAACTCACTTTTTCAGGATGAAAAAGAAATTTTATTCGTGGGACGAAGCCATGGCGTTACGTGAAGTAAAATCCTTGAAAAAGTTAAATCATCCTAATATTATCAAGCTGAAAGAAGTGATAAGAGAGAACGACATACTGTACTTTGTTTTTGAGTTTATGCAGGAAAATTTATACGAATTGATGAAGGACCGGGATCGATATTTTCCGGAGAATACGATTCGAAACATCATATATCAGGTGTTACAAGGATTGGCTTATATGCATCGGAACGGTGAGTTGTGTTAGTTACTCTATTTTTCTTCACCTTATCTTAACGTACCAGGACCACATTTAACTTTTTTCTAAAAACTAAATTTTAAAATTCAGGTTTCTTTCACCGTGACATGAAGCCAGAGAATATAATGTGTAATGGTACAGAGCTAGTCAAGATAGCTGATTTTGGTCTAGCTCGAGAGATCAGGTCACGACCGCCTTTTACAGACTATGTTTCAACTCGATGGTACAGAGCTCCAGAGATACTACTTCGATCTACAAGTTACAATTCACCTATCGATCTATGGGCTTTGGGATGCATCATGGCCGAACTTTACATGTTACGGCCATTGTTTCCTGGGACTAGCGAGTTGGACCAGATTTTTAAGATCATTACTATTATGGGCACTCCTACCAAGGTAAGTGGGATTGTAAATTTGGCTTCTTTTTTGGGTGGGAGGGGTAAAGTGAGAGAAAAGGAGGAGGTGGACAAATTTTTTTAAAATTTTTTTAAAATTTTTTTAAGTTGTTTTAAAAATTATTTTAAATAATTAAATAAAATAATTTAAAAATTTTAAAAAAATAATTTAGGAAGAATGGCCAGAGGGTTACAAGCTAGCAGCAGCAATGAACTTCCGTTTTCAACAATCAAACGGGGTTCCACTTGAATCAATTGTAAATACGATATGTGGTGATGGTATGAAGTTGATGAAAGACATGTTACTATGGAGCCCAGAAAAGCGACCAACTGCCGTTAATGTAAGGCTATTTTTGGTGTTATATTATGAAATGGCAGCATAAGAAATTAAAATTTTAAAATTTAAAATTTTTAAAATAAATTTTTTAAATGTTTTTATTTTCAAAAAATTTTTAATTTTAGTGTTTAAAATACAAGTACTTCCAAGTAGGCCAAAAATTGGGCGCGCCAGTTCAAAGCCAGCCAAACACCGCCGCTTTCCGCAAAAACAGTGCCGGATCAACTCAAAGCGATTCCAAGCTTGTAATGAGTAGTAAAAAGCCCGGAGGCCAAAAAGTTGCACCAAAAGAAGACATCTTTGCACACAACAAAGCTCCTCTGACACATCAGTTAAGCGGTCCAAAAGACGGCTCTGACAGGGTGATCAACCGTAACTTACCGTTGGCTAAGACTCAGGCTCAGATTTTTAGTACTAAGTAAGTTTGTTGTTTGTGAGAAGGTTAGGTAGTAAACGGTAAAATTTTAAATTTGTTTTTAATTTTTAAAAACTTCAGATCAGGCGGATCAAATGCAAGTACAGAGAAACAGGCCTTTGCTGACCGTAGCAATAGGTCCAACAGTGGCAAGAAAGCAGCCAAAGATATTTATCTAGCCAAATCAAGATATGTTCCAGGTAAGTCTTACTCTAGTTTTGAGCTGTTCTACTCCCCCCCCGGACTTTCTCAAAAAAATTTTTTTACAAAAAAATTCGAATTGGTCCCTTAGACATGAAAGGAGGCCTACTAGGCTCAGGCCTAGCCGAATAAAATTTGAAAGGGGTCCGGACTAAAAAGTGGGTCCGACCTCTTTACAGGTTGTGATTTTTCCCTCTGAAATTTTTTTGAAAAAATATAATTATTTCCAACTTTTCCTACTTTCTTTACCCCTTCTTCCTTCTTCAACCCCTTCATCATATAACTATGACAACTCTATAAAGCCATCCTTTTAGGTATGGTAAAAAGTGGCAGTGGAAACAACAACGGAGCTCCAAACATGTCTCGATCTAAAAGTAACTCCAACTCTCAATCACAAGCTCGATCAGCACTACAAGCCAGATTTGAGTATGCGTATGGTTATGTTCCGTCATTTGGTACCAAAAGCAATAACAGTCTTTCGAATTCCACTTCAAACTTGAGTAACGCATCTAATAGTCCGGGCGTGTCACCCAGCTCCAAAATGGTTACTACTGGTGGAAGGACTAATTGGGCGGCCAAGTAAGGCATTTTTTAGTTTAAAATTTGAAATAAATTTTGAAATTTCAAAAGTTAAGGCACTTTAAATTTAAAAATTGAAAAAATTTAAAAAATTTAAAATTTCTTTTTCCGTTTAAAAAGTATGTCTATGAGTAACTATAGTTATATTTTAGGTATGGCAGGTAAAACAACATGCTACATGATCCATATGTGGCAAAACAAACACGATCTTACCTAAACTTTCCTAGGTGCAAAATTTTTTGTTTTTTAATATTGTTTTAATAATAAACTAATAACTTAAAAACTTTTGAATACTTTAAAAATCAATATTTGTGTACTGTAATAACCATTTTACTTTGCATAAAAAAGATTGAGCTACTGAATTCCATAGCTCAAATCTGATTTTTACTTACTGTAGTACTAAACCCATAATGTAACCCCCACTAACCAGTAAGAAACACCTTTACTTCACACTATAATCCAACTGAACATTAAAGAAAGGATACGAAGGGTTGTTGATCACCGGAGCAACAGATTCAAACATGAGAACAATCATCACCATCAGGAACACATATATCACTCCAATGACAATCAACTCATTGTTCGTCATCTTCTCCGACTCGTCGATGGAAATGTCATCGAAATAGGACATTGTATAAGATTTTAGGTAATAAACGTGTAAAGCTTTCAGATAGAAGACGTATAATAAAAGTTATAAAGAATCAAACTACTGTCAGTATAATATAATGAAAACCTTTGCTGAAACATGTTTTATATAACAGATTTTGTTAATACCTTTTGTAAACATACGTTTTTGAAACATGTTTTTTGAGTTTTTGGATGATAAGCTACTATAACATTGAAAAAACGAATAAAGTTTGATAAGCTATACCGATCAACCGTTAGCTATAGTGAAACGTATCTCTTATGCTATCTTAATCATTAATATGAAAATTGACTTCAAAATCCCTTTATGACAAAATCAAATCAGATCCCCATTGTCTTCTGATAACAATAAGCCAATTTCAGCTTTTTATATCAACAACAATTAGTTATTTTTGTATTTTTTAATGTCGAAACCGATTCATTTGAGTAAAGAAAACAGTCTTCGTCTCGAATCTTCCCTTCCATTCAATAAGTGTTTTCAAAAACTAAGTCCGCTCTCCCCCGTCTCGACCCATCTCCCACCCTCCTCTCCCACCCCACTCTCTCCATCCCCAACCACCACACTCCACCTTCGCCCCACTCTCTCCCACCCTCTTCTCTCCCTGCCCGGCCGTGGGGTCGGGGTGTATAGAACATAGAAAATAAAAAGCAACGCGAAAATTTTCTAAGTCCGACTCACCAGTACAGACTCGCACGAACATAGCCGCTGAACGCCTCCAATTCTCCACACTTGTCTTTTTTCGACAAAACCTTCGAATATATTTCGTGGTTTACCCCCAGTTCTCGGGTAATTCGTGGTTAATATTTTATTTATTACTTACTTGTGACGTAAGTTTGTTAAGAAAAGTAGACTTAGATTTTGATATAATTGAGATAAGTTAGGTAGGCTTGATTTTTTAAAACTGAGCAAAGACAGGCTTAGAATTTGGTATGACTAAGATAATATACGTAGGCCTAGATTCTGATATAACTGAACTAATTGTAAGCAAGACAGGTAGGCTTAGATTACGATATAAGTGATCTAGGATAATTAGGCTTAATTTCTGATGTAATTCAGTTTAAATAGGCTTGGTTTCTGGTGTAACAACCAGGGCCGGGCGGGGACTTTTGGTCTGGGGGCAGAGCTCTTTTTATTTTTTGCGAAAATTTTTTTCCAAAAAATCCACAGGGGGGGGCAACGTTCAACTTTTTTTTCGAAAATTTTTTTTCTGGGGGGGGGGTACCCCCCCCCGTCCAAGTAGAGTTAAATTTTAATGTAACTGAGATAAAACATGTAGCCTTAGGTTATGATGCAATATAAATTTGTGTGCAGAACTATGATAGCATACAAAAAAAGAAAAATAAGATTTATTTCGTACTTTGTGAGGGCTAGTAGGTGGTCGTGCATTTATTTTTACCGAGTTTCTTTCAAGCAATATCTAAAACTGACCTTTGTATTGCCATAGGGTTACTATGCCTAGAAATGGGGTAAAGCTTTATGCCGAGTAGAACGTTTGGTTTTCTTGTAATGGTTTAAAATATATAACAAAATTATATTTTAGTAAATCTACTACTGTACTTTTAAATCTACTACTGTAATTTTACTTTTTAAATTTTTTCTGCACTTTTAGCCCCTTAAGCTTTCTTATCTCCCCCCCCCCTCACAATTTGAAAAAAAAATTTGTGCCGTATAAAATATGTACTAGATTTTTGTGCGAGTTTGCGTAAACTTTGTTTACACTATCTACAGATCAACTCTTATTTTTACTTTCAGATTGAACTTGACCGTGTCTACATGGCTGCGGTTGCAATTTCAAACGGAATAAACGGTAACGACGATAAAGTAAGTTTATTAGTAATAATATTGGTTGGAAATATACTTTAGTTACTATATCATTAGACCTTTAGAACGTTTTCTTTTAAGTTTTGGGTCTTTACTTAAATGGAAATTAATAGTTTTAATATTTTTTAAACCTTATACTAACTCATTTTCCCGCCACGAATTTATTTGAGTTTTGGCATTGCGATTTAAGCGAAAGCTCTTCGTAAAAATTTATTTTCTTTTGCTTCAGACCTTGAACGGTGCTATGACACTCGAGAATGGTGTAGTCAAAGAGGAAGACAGTTCATCTGAAGACGAAGTACCTTGGGCCGAACGTGTTTCACACGAAGCGAGCCAAGAGAAGGAGGAGGTCGTGAAACGGCCGGTCAAACGCGAGCTCTCACCCAAGTCCGAGAGTCCGGAGCCTAAAAAACGACGGGGAAAGAAGAAGAGTTATGCTGAAAGCGACAACGAAAGTGAATATCAAGAAAGTGATGAGGATGTGAAGCCTAAGGTAATATTTTTGAGTTTTTGATTTGCTTTTAGGTTTAAATTGGAGGTTTATGGTTAATATAAGTTTTATTAGCTTCTGTAAACTGTATTTTCTTGTAAATTATGTTACGATGAAGACTTTTATTAACTTAGTATTGTTTTTAGAAGAAAGCAAAGAAGAAAGAGGTGAAGAAAGAAGCGAAAACTTCAAAAAAATCTAAAAAGGTTGAGGTTGTGGATGCTCATGTCGAGAAGAAGAAAAGAAAAGTGAAAGACGAGCCATCTTCAGCAACTCCATCGCCGAAAAAGAAGAAGAAACAAGAGGAAGAAGAGGAGGTCTGGAAATGGTAAGTTATTCATTATATTTCTTTTTATTTAGGGTTTTGAAGGGTTTGGCAATATTATTTTAATCAACGGATATTAACATGGATTTTATTTTAATTCTTGGCTGAAAATTGAATAGGGAAAGAGTATTTGCTGGTTTTCAAGAAAACAAAGTAATAATTATGTTATTTTAGGTGGGAAGAGGAAAAGAAGCCCGACGGTATCAAGTGGAACTCTCTGGAGCACAAAGGACCTTTATTTGCTCCTGCTTATGATCCTCTTCCAAAGCATGTTAAGTTCCGTTACAACGGTAAAGAAATGAAGTTGTCACAAGATGCGGAAGAAGTCGCTACCTTCTATGCCAGGATGTTGGACCATGAATATACGGCGAAGAAGGTCTTCAACGACAACTTCTTCAAAGATTGGAGGAAAACAATGACTTCAGAAGAGAAGGAGAAGATCACAGATTTAACTAAATGTGATTTCAAGGAAATTCAAGCGTATTTCTTGGAGGAATCAGAGAAACGAAGAAACTTGAGCAAGGAGGAAAAGCTGAAGATCAAGGAGGAGAAAGAAGCTGAAACGAAAGTTTATGGATTTGCATTTATCGATGGTCACAAGCAGAAGATTGGAAACTTCAGAATTGAGCCTCCAGGCTTGTTTAGAGGTAGAGGTGACCATCCTAAGATGGGAAGACTGAAGAAGAGGATAACACCCAGAGATGTCATTATTAATTGTTCCAAAGGATCCGCTATTCCTGATCCACCACCGGGAACTAAGTGGAAGGAGGTGGGTTTTGATTTTTAGATAGTTTATTACCTAGTTAATATCGTGTTTATGGTTAAGAAATCATTTATGAGACATTGCTTGTTTTACACGACGTAAATCTTTAAATTTAGAGGTTTTTTAAGGTCAATATGAATTAGTATTATATTTTTTAGGTTCGTCACGACAACACTGTGACTTGGCTCTGCTCCTGGACTGAGAACGTTTTGGGTAACAACAAGTATATTATGTTAAATCCATCTTCGAAGATCAAGGGAGAAAAAGATTTTGAAAAGTTCGAAACAGCTCGGAAGTTAAAAAAGTTGGTTGGAGAAATTCGGAAACAATATACTGAAGACTTCAAGAACAGAGAAATGCGAATCCGACAAAGAGCTGTAGCCTTGTATTTCATTGATAAGTTGGCACTGAGAGCTGGTAACGAAAAGGATACGGACGAAGCGGCCGATACTGTTGGTTGTTGTTCATTACGGTGTGAGCATGTCACTTTGAACGAGGAATTGGACGGGAAAAAGTAGGTATTAAAAATATAGATTAATAAAACATTATAAATGGTTTTTTTTGTTATTATTGGATGTATTTCTTATAGATAAGACCTAACTTTATTTTTTTCAGATACGTGGTTGAATTCGACTTTTTGGGTAAAGATTCCATTCGATACTACAACAAGGTTCCAGTTGAGAAGCAAGTATTTAAGAATTTGAAGATTTTCAAAGAAGACAAGGAGCCAGGGGATGATCTCTTTGATCGCTTAGATGTACGTTTATCTTCTTTACGTTTTTCGTATTTTATAAGATTATATTTTTATTATCTTTAAAAGGAAAGTAAAGGTACTGTATTTTTGGACTTTACATTCGAATAAATTACCAAAATTTTTTCAGACGGCCACATTGAACACACATTTGCGTTCCCTGATGCCCGGCCTCACAGCCAAAGTGTTCCGTACCTACAACGCTTCAATTACCCTCCAAAATCAACTCAACGAACTCACTGATCCCAAAGCTTCAGTCAATGAGAAGATGTTGAGTTACAATCGTGCTAATCGTATGGTCGCCGTCCTATGTAACCATCAACGTGCCGTGCCTAAAACGCACGAAAAATCTATGGAGAATCTGGAGAACAAGATCAAGGACAAGAAGAAGGAGCTGAAGGAAGCCAAGGCGGCGTTAGATGGGGCTCGAGGCAAGGAGAAGGAAAAGGCTGAAAAGAAGGTGGACAGAATTAAGGAGCAGCTGAAGAGAATGAAGATTCAGAGGACGGATAAGGTAGGGGTTTAAATGTAAAACAACTGTTGATTAGTTGGGATATACTATTTTTAAATTGATTGGTTTGGCTATGATAAAGAGTTTAAAAAAGTTTCAACTTTTTAATTTTTTTATTTCAGGATGAGAACAAACAAATCGCCCTAGGTACCTCCAAACTCAACTATCTAGACCCTCGCATCTCAGTGGCGTGGTGCAAGAAGTACGACGTGCCGGTGGAGAAGGTGTTCAACAAAACACAACGAGAAAAGTTCCGCTGGGCCATCGACATGGCCACACCAGACTACGAATTCTAAAAAATTTCTTATTATTGTTTTAATCTCATTTGTGTTAGCTATGTTCAATCCTGTTTTTATTTATCAGCTAATTAAATTGTAATTAATCTGACATGATTTTTTAACAAAGAATTTGAGTTTTCTTTTTATTAACTGTGGTGAACATGATTTAGAATTGTTTTTTTGAGGAACCTGACTTTTTTAACTTTAAAGTACTTGCTTGTTTAGTTTTTAACTTTAAAGTACTTGGTTGTTTACTTTATAATTTTAAAGGACATAACCCTTGAATTATATACTTTTAATTTGTACCTTGGACGAAAACGTTAAATTCTTGTCCACGAAAAATCTCTCATAATTTTGTGCGTTCTCTAATTTTTCTCTAATGCCGACGGCAATCAGACAAAAAAAGGGGTCACATAATAAAACTATGAGAATTTTTTCGTGGACACGAATTTAAGGTTTTCGTCCAAGGTACAAATTAAAAGTATATAACTCAAGGGTTACATGATCCTTAAGTTATTTTTTAATTGTTATCCTAGTTATAGTGCAAAGAGTAGGAGAGTACCAGCTTGGTCTACACATGGGTACCTTTTACGTGTCACTCTGAATTCCCATTTTTATTTTCTAACCAAGTTAAATTTATCTGACCTTACTATTATAAAAAGCATTTTTTGAAAAAAATATTCTTTTTTAAATAATCTTTACTTCTTTTTATTCTTTTTTTGATAATCTTGTTTTTTAAAGTTATTAACAATATCTACAAAAGATCATTTTAGTTTTTAATTCCAGTCAAAATAGTAGTAAATTATTTTATTTTATAAATTAATAATATTCATTACGGCTATTGGTTCAGTGCCAGTAATAGTATAAGTCCAAATAAGTCTTGTCGTTAATATTAAGGTTGTAACATTCTAAAGCGACAAGACTTTTTGAGATGTGAATATAGATTGGAAAATATTTTTAAAAAACTTTAACTTTTGTATATAAAAATCTAGACGTTCTATAAAATATTAAATTATTCTATTATCAATACCTAAAACTACAATATTTTTGATTTTAGCTCAAAGCCTAAACTACAAGATAACTGATCCAAGTCTTGAACAAAACAAAGAGTAAAGTCGAAGATATAGTGAGAGAAATGATGTACGAAAAAGAATATTGTTTTTTGCAAAACAGTCCTTCATTCTTCACACTTTGACCCATTCCATTTTGAAGACCTTGTTTCATTCTCTGGTCAACGGTACAGATTGTTTCCCTAGCCTTTCGCCATTTGTGAGGCCCGACCAGTCGATAAGAGTAGGGCAAATCGGGATGAAACACCAGTCGATAAGCAAGGTATGGGTCTTTCAGAACCATTTTCATCGGATTTGCATAACATCCAATCAAGTTGGCTAGATCACGCATGTAATCTATGTATGATACTTTGGTACAACTGGCACGAGCATGAAGGTACTGTGCTTTACGTTTCTCAACTTCTTGGTCGACTTGTTGGGTCATGGAGATTATTGGGGGTAACTTGATGTTACCAGCATTCATTTCGAAGAATACTCGAGCTTGCATTTCCATTGCACACATTATGGCTCCGCTTAGCTAAAAAGTGACTATAAGTTTTGACATTTGTGTAAAAAAAAGTCTTGTCGTCAATTTACATGAATTTAAACGGTCAAAAACGTCAAGTCTTTTTTACGTTTAAAAAAATTTGCTATTTTTAAAAACTTAAACATTATATAAGATATTTCTGCTCACCTGTAACATGCCAATAACGGCCAATGATTGTTTATTCGTCTCCAGCAAGCTCAAAGGGAACATGTTCTTCCACAAGCGAAGCTCTCCTTCATCAGTTGGGATAAGTTTACCATCCTCTAAGTATTCGAATGAATAACTAAACCCAGTACAAAAGACAACATCATCAATTAGTGCTGTAGAACCATCTTGAAAGTTGACTGAAGTTTTTGTAAAAGAAGAAATGGCAGGTTTCAGGACAACTTGGCCTGCTGCTAGTCTTAGTTGGAGCTCGTCACAAATCTGAAAGCAGTTTTTAAAATGATTTGTTAGGGTTCTCGGTTAAGGAATTTTCAACCTTCCTCACCCTACCATAACAAACCAATCTTCACAGCCTTGGGCCGGGCAGGGACTTTTGGTCTGAGAGCAGGGGTCGAAAAAATCCACAGGGGGGACCACGTTCAACTTTTTTTAAAATTTTTTTTGGGGGAGGGAGGCTTACCAAAATTGGATTCTGATTACAAGCACGATGCTGAGGCTTCAACCCAAACACAGTGTGATCAAAGCATCGTGTGAATACCTTCTCCATCATCCAGCTATGAAACTTCTCGCCCAACACCTTCTTAACATAACCCATTATCCGGCGGTTACTGTAGAAATCGTTGGGTTGTCCGTTTATTGTTCTATGCAGAATCCAAGCTCCTCTCCTCGTGCTCAAGTAGCACTTTTTAGCGACTTGCGAAATCTCCGAAGCCGCGTCCGTTCCCGAGTTTCCTAGCCCAACGATTAGGACGTTCTTATTGGCAAATTTGGAAACTTCCTGGAAGTGGATTTTATAATGTTTGTCGTATTTTTAAAATATTAAGGTTTACAAAAGTCTTGTCGTTGGTTTTCATGTATTTCTACGGTCAAAAACGACAAGATTTTTAAAAAGATTTAAAAAATATAATGATAAGGAAATACGAAGATTTTTTTTAAAAATGTTATAAAAGGCAGAAGGTAAGCTCACCTTGAAATTTTTTGAATGAATAATTGTCCCTTCAAACTCATTTTGACCAGGATATTGTTTGGGCATATATGGGATGCTTTGTCTTCCAGTGCAAATTAGAACGGCTTGGAAGGTTTCCATATTTGCATTGTCATTACTGTAAAAATATTGTTACCACAAAAATTATAAAGTTAAATTTAATTTTAAAAATTCTTTTTTAAACTTTTATTTTTATTTTTATTTAAAAAAAAAGTTTTGTCATCAATGTTCACGTTTGCACGGTCAATACCAACAAGCCTTTTGCGTACTTTTAATATAAATGACCCTAGCATAATCTATACATATTATTCCTAAAACTAAAATTACAAAAATTGATTTTGTAAAATACGTCCCACAGAACAAAATTTAGTGTAATAAAAAATATTTACCCATCAATGTATTCAACGTTCCATTCACCAGAGTTGGCATAGTCAGAAGTACGTTCTACCTTAGTAACTTTGTGTTTGAATCTACAGTAATCGAGCAAATTATGGTGTTCTGCGTAGCTGGTTAAGTATGAGTGCATTCCTAAAAAATTTTTTTGAAATTTTCAAAAATTTTTTTTAAATTTTTGTAAATTTTGGAATTTTTGTATAAAAATTACGCTACTTTACCGTAACCTGTCTAACTTTTCCAAAAAAAATCGTAAAATTTTTTAAAGTTGCTTTTTTTCAATAAAATTCAAACAAAAACCTACGACGATTCGTCATGAACCATGGAGTATCAGCAGGTGGAGGAAAGTCGGAAAATGCACTCATTTCCTTCGAAGTGTTCATTATAGTCTTCTTCATCACACAACTAACTATAAAAACCTTTTCAATAAATTAAAATTGAAAAATATTTAAAAACTGAGAACTAATGATAAGTACCGTGCTTAAAACAAAAAGAAAAAGCTTACATTCAGTCTCTTTATCTTGGTAATACCATAAACCACCGACATTGTCACGCACTTCAAAGATGACCGGTTCGTAGCCGTATTCTTTTGCCCAGCTTAAAATTGTGGTTTTTGTATTAAATACAGTTAAGGAACGGTGAAGATCACCTTTCACCCCAAACATCTTTTAAAATAGTTTAAAGTTATCATATCTCCAGTTAAAATTGATTTTTTTTATTTTTAAAGCTTACCGTGCACTCGGCAGACCTGAAACACCAGCACCAATAATGGCACAGCGCTTTTGATTTGATTCACACATTTAGTCACCTTCTTGTAGTTGATACTATCTTTAGACCGATTTATATTAGGTATATTAGGTTATAGTTAAAACTACCTTTTCAAAAATTTTCTAGCCAAAACAATCTCGAAAACCTTCCAAACTGATAGCACCAAGCCTTCCCACCTGCTTATATGCACGTTTTTTTGGATTTTCATTATGTCCTTGACCAAAAACACTTTGAACAATAAATGGGCGGAACTCATCTTATGTTTTAAGTGCAAACAACTATGTCCTAAGGGTCACTTGTTCGTTCCAAAAAAATTTGCAACAATCCTCACATCAACAATTCCATCTATACGGTTTTACAACTTGCATATACAGTACAACAGAAGCGAATCTCTTTTTTGACATCAATATTTCATAAGTGGCCGAAAAAAGTTTGAAGACATTACGAATAATATTGTGGTCACTTCTAGTGTCCATGGAAATGTTCAAATTGTAAAAAAGCAAAAAGTGTACTCGCTATGAAAAAATAACAAAAAAAGTTTTAAATTTAGCATTTTTATATTGTTTTAGAGTATTCTGTAGTAAAGATTTTTAAAAGTGTTTTAGAGATAGTATTTTACGCGGTATTGTACTTCGTACTAAAGTCTAAAAAAACTGTATTTTGAAAGAAGGAAGGATAAGGGGTAAGGATAGAAAATGCTTTACTGTGCCTACCTTTCTCTAATTTAGCTTTATTGTATCCAGAGCCTGACAGGGACTTTTGGTCTGAGGGCGAGGGTCAAAAAAACGGCACAGGTAGCTAGCTATCTACAGGGGAAACCAAGTTCAACTTTCTTCGAAGTTTTTTTCTGAAGAACATCAAATATTGAAGGGAATCGTTAAGTTACACTTGAAGTCACGACGAAGAAATACATAGTAAAGAACAGTATTTTAAAGTAAATTAAGTCTTGAGTACTATCCAGGCTGAGCCTGGCCCACTATGGTTACAAGCCGGACGTGCGACTCTGGATGCTTAATCAAACGTGCTACTGGCATCGTAGATATAAAGTTCAGACCATTTTCAATTATTTATTTAATCTCAGGTCTTTCCTATCTCAAAACTTCTATAGTTGAAGCTAACAAAAAATTACTCACATTATCTAACAATAAGACCTAACGTATTTTTAAATAAAACGCGGAGATGAATACTATAAGCCGTGTTTTGTTGTTTGTTACAAGATCAAACCGAATGTAACTTCCTACACAGCTATTTGTTTAGCTGTCTTCTATAACAAGAGACAACTACGTTTATATAACAAAAACTCACGTTTATCTGAAATTTGGAGTTCAAAATTTTGTTGTATGTGCTAGCCACATTTGTATTTATAAGTTTTTAAATTAAACTTACGAAGTTAGTTGTTACTTATACCTAAACTAATGATTTGGCTTAAAAGACACCGATTTTTCGGTCAATTTGACGGTTTTTCAAAATTTTTGTTGATTATATTAATATCCACAAATCTCTTCTTCTGGTATATCTTCGTATGTAAAGCTAATAGTCATTGTTTTTGGTCAAACAGCCTATCGACTGCGATTAAAAGTTACAGCGACAATTTCTACAATAACAGTGAATTAGGAACGACTGTACCACCTAGACTAGTTCTCCAATATGAGACCTACAACATGAGTTTGGCCAACTTACATATGCCTTATGCTATGTCAGTGCCTAAAGTAAAGAGTTGCGAAAACGTGACAATCTTTGTCGCTATTATGAGTACTGGTGACAAAGCAGCATATCTACAGCGAAGGGCTTTGAGAAACACGTACTTAAAACAAGTAGGTTTTTTATTTTTAAACTTGATATTAAAGTAGAGTAAGGTAGGATAAGGTAGGGTAAGATAGGGTAAAGTAGGATAAAGTAGGGTAAGATAGGGTAAGTTAGGGTAAGGTAAGGCAGAGTAGGATAGTTCTTAAAATCTAGTTATTTCTATACCAACCGCCCTTTAGGCCAAACAACTCAACATTCTCCACAAGTTTTTCATTGGTACGAGTAACACCTCTCGCAAGGATCTACTGACAAAAGAGATGTATGCTCATGATGACTTAGTTTTCATAAATACTGTTGACACTTACGCCAATAATACTTTAAAATGGAATGCTATGCACCAGTACCATCAGAGCTTCTGCAAAGAAGCCTTCTTCTTCATGAAGCTGGACGATGATGTTGTTGTTCATTTCGAACGTTTAATCTTATGGCTAGAACGTGATTTTGGTGGACTAACAACTAACAAGACTGACTGGTTGGTGTGCTATCGGATTCATGGGGTTAAGCCTAATCGAGATCCTCATAACAAGTGGTAGATACTTAAGTTATATATTATAGAAAAGTTTATCTTTTACAAGTCGTGTTTTAATTTTTGAATATTTTTTACAAAAAAGTCTTGTCGCCAATTTATATTCTGTTTCTGTTATAAAAACGACAAGCCTTTTTCTCTTCACTCACATATATAAAAAAAATAAAAATCAGTAATCAAAAGCCAAAGAAGACCTTTTAAGGTTTGTGCCAGTAACTCAGTTCCCAAAAGAATGGTACCCTCCCTACTGTAACGGTTATTTTGTCTTAATGCCTAGCGAAACTGCAACCAAAGTGTTTACAAAAGCTTCAGAGCATAACTTTGTCAAAATGGATGACGTTTTTTACACTGGAATTGTGACACAAAGCTTGAATATCACTGTGAATGGGTTTGGCGGGGTTGGAGATGTAAGTTATCAATTATTTTTTTTATTTATAAATAATTTTCGTACTTTTTTTTAAAAGAAGAGTGCGTTTAAAAAGTAATGTCGTTTTTTAACATGCTGAACAGTTTAACTAAGCGACAAGATTTTTTGCACACAAATATTCAATATTTTAGTCAACAAAAAAGTGTTTTAAAATTTTAAGCCAAATAATTAAAAAATTTTGTTAAATTTTTATAAAATTTTAGTTTGAAATAGACATGTGTCACGGTGAACTCCCTCTACCCACCGTTGTTCACACTGATCGACGGCCTAAAACTCTATATGCCAAGTGGTACAAATTACAGTTTTGTGCTAAACTTGCAGCTGAACTAAAGAACTCTACCATCGTACCTCATATTGATTATGATGTATAGTTTTTTTGGGGCTCAGGTAATATAGTACCCCGTGATATTATAATACCCCCAGCAATATTATAGTACCCCAACTTGAATTTATTTATTTTAAAGTATATTTCGTGGACAAAGCGGTCCGAAAACTCTTTGTGTCTACTTAGTGGGGTACTCAACTACTTAGTATAGTACCCCACTAAGTAGATGAGTACCCTACCACAGAGTTTGGTACTATACGAAGTAGTTGAGTACCCCCCTAAGTAGTCGAGTACCCCACTATGTAGATGAGTACCCCACTAAGTAGATGAGTACCCTACCACAGAGTTTGGTACTATACTAAGTAGTCGAGTACCCCACTATGTAGATGAGTACCCTACCACAAAGTTTGGTACAACACTAGGTAGTAATATGTCCAAACGAATTTAACTTACCTAGAAAATTCGTACTTGTTAGCAACGGTGCAGTGATCAGAATTTGATCCAAACCATTGTACCCACGCCTGCTCTGTATTGATAGTTCTTCCTGGAATGCCATGGGAATTTTGGAGGCATCATGCGGTCTAGATCCGAAAGTGCCCGACCGTCCATGACCGAAATGGAAACGAAACAATAAATAAAATGAATCGGATTTCCGATTACGCAACTTTTAAAAAAATGAAATAAAAAATCGTCAGAAAATTTATTTTTTTGGAGTACTATAATGCAGTAAGTTTGTGGGGTACTATATTACAACTTTTGGGGGTACTATAACTCTTGAGCGCCGTTTTTTTATATACTGTGAAGAGCTCTTGTATAACGAATCGCTTAGAAAAAAATGTTTGTTGATACGTTTTGGTCTTTGGATGTAGAAGAGTTCATCACAGCGGTGTTCGTTACAGAAGATTTGTTATACATGAGTTTTACTGTGCTTAACTTTTTATTATTTGTTTCACCAGTTGTCTGTTATTCTAAAAACGCTTCTTTCACAGCTCTTCTTACAGTAATATTAACTTACAGTACGCCTTTTCTTTCTTTTTACAGTTTTTTTTTGAAATTCTTCCCAATTTGAATACGAATTATAACAAAATGTTTAGTTTATGTTAATGTATGTAACATTATGTAAATCACTCTTCTCATTGACAAATTTTATGGTTTTTATTCTTAATGACACACAGAATAAATTTTAAAATTATTTTCTAAAACTTGTCATGTTTTATGTGTTTTTAATATTTTTTGTCATCAAAAGCATCAAATGTCAACAGTTCATTGACAGGGACTTTTACGTATGTTTAAAATTTTTAAAAAATTGTTTTTATGGTTTTTGTTAGTAAATAAAGTAAGTATATTGTAGTAGGAGGGATAGTACAGTGCCATAAATAAGAATAAAAATTAATTTTTTAGGTAATTGAATTTGATGGTTATTACGATCCATTTGTTCATAATAAAGAATGTCGAAAACAAAACGCGAAGTGGACGGCCGCTGCCATTGCTAATCCTTCTGATTACGAAAAAGTAAACGGTAAGCTATCATTTTACAGTAAGCTATATTGTTACAGGAAGCTATAATTTTAAATCTTTGTCCCTGACCAGTTGGTATAATATATTTAAGTTTGAGCTAATTTTGATTTTAAAACTGAATTTAAATATAATTTAACGCTAAAAATTCAAAATTAAAAAATTTTTTTTTTGAAAAACGTAATTTAAAAATTGAAAAACAGAATTAATTTTTTTTCAATTTAGCGCTCTCATCAGCGAACGAGTTTGTGGTGATTGGAATGTACACCTACAACGGCAACACCTATTGGATAGATCGAAGAAGCTCCAAAAATGTCAATTACTTTCTTCAGGTAAGCAGGGGAGAAGCTTGTAAGTAGGCCGGTCTTAGTGACCTGTCAAAGAACCGAGCCTAATGGGTCTTCTTTTATGTGAGAACAAGGCCTAATGGGTCTTCTTTCGGGTCTAAGAGACGATGAGGGGAGGGGCAGCAAGGAGAGTATGTTCAAATTTTAAAAAAACTCAGAGGCTAAAGAGAATTGAAATTTTTTAATTTCTTAACATTTTTAAAGCATCTTATATCTAATCCTAATCAATTTACCTTTAGACAGCAGAAATACCACAATCTCGATACTTGCCAAACGAAATGTACCTTCACTACATGCATGACAGTGTGGTGGGTTATTTCAGGGCAAAAGCTGTTGGGGATGACTATCCTTATAATCCAAAAAGAAAATATCTATGCCAGCAACTAAAACAGGACGTCTTCCTCCTGAACTATCATAGTGTTGTAGGTTTAATCTCACTTTATATTGTTGTTATTAAAACGAAGTTTACAAGTTTATAAAGCTTGTTTGGTCAAGATTTTTTTGAATTTTTTTGTTACTGCAACATGTTGTAGAGTATTATTTTTCATTACTGCAATATGTTGTAGAGTATATCCAATCTGCTCAGCACAGAGATATTAAACTTCAAAGACATCTGTAGCAGAAAAAAAGCTGAAACATCATATTATGAAGACTACGCGACGCTGGACGAAGCTATACGTAAGGAATAATTAAAATTTTTTAACTTAAAAAATTTTTAATATGAGAAAAACGAGAAAAAACTCTACCCTGTTTTATTATTATTTCATTTTTCAACCGTATTTTATTAAATTTCTAAAAAATTTCAGAAGAAGCCTTGTACATGTCGATTAAAGATCCTCTCCGTACGGAATTCGCAATGATCAGTTTGGTCACAACTAATGGAGTGACAACATGGGCCGAGCCTTTTGCTAATAAGCCTGTTAGTCAAGATATTATAAATCAAATCGAAAACTACGATGATATTGTCAAACAAGAAGGGACCTTCTACTACTTTGTTCATCTTCGCTACCCGTCGATTGGTGTGATTCACGGCGAACAATGGAACCAAATGCCTCGAGCCAACACGCTTCTTTGTAGCATCAAAAATTGACTTTAAATTTAAAAATTTTTAATTGTTAGTGAATTATGCTTGCTTTTGAGTTTTTGAACATTTTTATGGCTTTTTGCCAAAGTATTTTAAAATTAAATTTATAATACAGGGTGGCCAAAAGTTCTGTTACACGGTTTTTGTAAAAATAGCAAATGAACTAAAACTTAATATTGATGAAGAACTTTTGTCCTCAGTCTACATTATTTTACACGGTCAAAAACGACAAGACTTTTTTTTATTTTTGCAAAACCTTATAAACAAAAAATTTCATTTTTCAAAACATTTGCTCTATAATAAAATTATGCATAAAACAGTTTAGAAAAAATATATACGGTCATTAACAGTAGTTTGACAAATTTGAAAATTTCACATAAAATTCATTTGATTGACTTTATTCAAAACACAATTTTGTGAATTTTAAACTCTTACTTTTAATGCGATATAATGTTACGTGCTTTACATCGTATACTTGTTTTACTTTTGCTTCATAATTGTCATTGTGATGAACGTTATTATGTAAGTTAAAGTTAAGTCAACTAAGCTTTAAATTAAGTAAACTTGGCTTTTACTGTTAAATACAAGTTTATATTAACATTTATTTTAGTTGCAAGGGAACAAACTTAAAAACCTAGCTAATATTCACCATGCTCTTTTTAATTAATTGCTATAAATCACCCTGCCCTACATTAAACATGCTGATTTCAGACGATAAAACTAGACGGATTAACGGATCCATGGGTTTACAATCACGAATGCCAAAAGCAGAATAAGTTAGGATCGGCCGCTGCCATAGGAGACGATGATAACTACGATGAAGTGATGTGTATGTTACCGTGTTTAATATCTTTTTATACATATAAACTTACTTTTTAAAAATGTTTTAAAAAATTACAGTAGCAAAAGCCTTTTTTCAAAATTTTTCAAGCTTCAGATTTTTTCATATCTCCCCCCCCTGTTTAACAAAAATTTTTTCAATTTCAGATAAGAACTACCCCGATGAAATATTTATTGGAATGTACACCTACCGTCAGAAATCTCGCTGGTTCGACACTCAACAGGCATTTAACGTCAACTACATGCTGGCTGCTGTAACAAATCTTTATGGTCCCCCTCCGATTGGAGACATATTACTGTATTACTTTTCGAGCGACGGTAGCAATGCTTACACTCTGAAGTCAATTGATATTTTTTCAAACGGCGAACACACCTATCTCTGTCAAGTTTTACAAAATCGAGTTCCTGAGTTCAAAACAAGCACAGTCGTAAGTATTTTTGAAGTAAAATAAACTTTTTTATTACTGTACCATACAAATATTTTTATTAAGGTATTTATTTAAAACTTGGCGTTTTTTAACTTGCAAAACAATGCAAATTGACGCCAAAACTTTTGTTTAGTAATATCCCTTTTATAGAGCAAAGGCAACCTTGAGTCAATTAAAGTCGACTCTACAGAAGCTTGTGGCGCATTCAGCTTGGATTCTTCGTATTTTGAAAACGAAAGGGCTTTCGATCACATGATCAGTAAGATACTATCACACATATACCTAGAGTTTTAAAATATCTTTAAAAATCACTTTTATCTGAATTCAAAGCTATAATAACTAGATTTACTATAATATTAAGCTGATACAAAAGTCTTGTCGTCAATTTGCACGGTTTTTGAGGATAAAAAGCGACAGAACTTTATCATTTCATAATAACACAAGTTATATGTCTTAAAACTTCAGGCGAGGCCTTATATGGAACAAAAGACAAGATGCGCACTAAAGCCGCCATGATAGGACTGGTAACCGTGGACGGTGTAACCCGATGGTCGGCGCCCTTCCAAGACAAGCCTGTCGATCCCTACATTATCAGCCGAATCGTTAATTATGACGATATTGTCAGTCAACAAGGCACCTTCTACTATTATGTATGGCTCAGATACCCGGCCGTTGGGGACATACACGGTAGCAGGGAAAGATACCTTCCAAGAATCAGTACCATCATTTGTAACGAAATACAGTAAATTTGCATAAAAGGTAAAAAATATGGATGATACAATAAAATTTCTAAATAAATATATAATTTTTTATACTATAATTTAAAAAAATAATTTTTACTAGTTTTATTCAATTTTGTCGTTTTAAAATTAAATTCGAACTCAAAACAAAGCAAAAAAGAAAGATATGACACAAAAAAATGAAATTTGCGTCAAGTCTCTCGCTTTTCGGCTTGAAAGCGGAAAAAGGTTTTTCAAATTATTTTTCCGGAAAAAATGAGGAAATCCCTTTGGGTAATATCGTTAACTTTGAAAATATGAAAGAGTGTGATACTATTTATATTTTTACACATTTTTTTTTTGATTTATTATTTTTTTTCGTTATTTTATTCAACTGTTTATTTATTGTTTTTGTTCTATGGCTAGATATTACCTATTTTAATATTCTCTCTTATTTTTAGATGGCCACAACTCCGTCCAGACGAACACCAAAGTCTCTTACACCTAAAGGTAAGTGTTTTCTTTATGTTTATTCTGTTTTTAGGTAACAATAGTGTTTTACAAAGGAAAACGGTGGAGATTGCCAACAGATTGGTGTGCATGCGAGATGAGGCCTGGAATCTAGTTAACTTATGGAAAGAGGTTCAGCAAAATGTAATTAAGTTTTGTTTTATGATTATGTTGAATAATATTTGGTAAAATAAGCGAAAGGTTGATTAAAACGATTTAAAATTATATTGTTTTAGATGTTGGACTACTTTACCGAGCAAAATATGGTGTGTTGGGGACTGGTTGAAGTAAAACATCTTGAGAGAACGGAGAAACATTTTAAGAAGTTTACAAACTTACTTAGTTTGGACAATTTGACTGAATTTGATGTAAGTTAGTCTGTTAAAGTTTTATATAGTCTATTATAATATCTACTTTAATATTTTTGACTTTTTGTAGAATAAGTTTTTTTTATTAGTTCTTGACATTGTTGAAACATCTTAGGTACATTTGCTTGTACTAATATCTATCTTTATTATTTTAGAGGCTTTTCAAGTTTTTTATGGATCAATATATGCCAGCGATACGAGTAATATGTGGTGATAATCGAGAGACACGTGATACATTTTTGGAAACTGGTCAACTTTTAACATCGTTATGCTTAGTTAATGGAGAGGTAAGGGTTTAACTTATCTTGTTATGCTTTTAAATATGTATTCTTTCTTTGTGTATAATTGGGCAACAATTGATGCCAGAAGCTGGTTAAGATTTATTTATACGTTCGGCTAGAAAATTTGACTTTTTAATCAGCTTTGAGAACATGCATGAAGTTAAGTTAATTTTTTTAGCAATACAACGCGATAAGAATTCTATTACGAATGGTGCAGATGGACAGTAGTTACTCGCATGTATTTATCAATATGGCTTGTTACGTAGCGTTGAATTTGGGTGATGTACAAATGTACAAACTAATACGATTGAAAGTGAAACAGTCAAAGGATGTGTTGGTTAAATGGCTATCTGCCATGGACTTGTGGGCTCAGTCATTAGAGAAGGATTCGTATGATGTGAGTTTTAATTGTTTTATTTATGATCATATTAGGTGGTTCGTTTAATGATGCGTCCCCCCCCATTTATTTTTTATTTACTTTTATGATGTTTTCAGGCAGGACTAGTGAAGAAAGCGCTAAAACTTCAGTACGAGTACTCAAAAGATTGCCAATTCACATATTTTCTAAGCTTGGCAACTGTATCCTTGAGGCATGTTCTGATCAACGAGTCCAAGAAACCGAATGCTGACATGACACAAACTAAAGATACGTTGATGCATCAACATTGCATATACGATCAGTGCTTTGGATGTGTATGCGGGAATCTGGAGTCGGTGGTGGACTCTAATGGATTCTTTCAGTTGTTTTCAAAGAAAAAGGACAGGTTTTTTGGGATACGTAAGTTGGGGGTAGAGTTGGGTTCTTGATTTTGGTTATGTATTGAAGGAAAGGGCTGAACGACATTTTTTTCGGGTTTTAATTAACATTGCAGACCACATTGAAATTAAAAAAATAAAATTTTCAGTTGACACGACATTTTACGTGTATACCTACATTGAAGCCACAAAGGACTTAATATTTGGTATGATAGACGCTGGACTTATGCGTGAAGCCGAATCCAGATCTATTGCTAATTTGGGTGTAACAATTTCTTTAATGTCCCCATTCCGAACATACGAAGCCTTGAATCTGTATTATTATGTGAGGAGCGAAGTTACAGTAGAACATCACAATTTATCAACTGTTCTGAAGTGGTACAATGCGTTGATTTATCCACAAAATGATGCTGATGACCAACTTGGAGACTTGACGGAAAAAATGTAAAATTTTTGATTTTGAATTGACATTTTTCGAAAAACGACATAATTTTGGACCTAAAAAATAATCTTCTTTCTTTAAGCATTTACAAGATCTACTACAATATTTTTTGAATGTATTATGATCAATGCTATTTTAGTGCCAAAATTCAACTAAACTGTCAAAAGTACCAATACCATGAAATACCAGTTCTACCAATGTCACGACATCCACGGTCTTGTAAATGTTTGAATTGTCTTATCGATTCGTACAGCCTAAATCATACCTACACAGTGATGAGAAATGAATTGAGTGTGGCGAAGGTAATGTGTAAAGGATTGAAAGGCATCAAACCAGAATTGGACTTGGTTTTCGATACTTTATTGGACTATTATACTATGGAGAGGAAGGCTGCTGAAGTGGAACTTGAACAAAAGGTATGATTTTCATATAATAGTAAAGATATAGTAGAAGGTATTATTTTGAACTTGATATTGTAGTAAGGTCACGTAGATGTTAACGTTTTTTAAATTAGGCTTTGAAAACCATAATAAATATGGTTTTAAAACATGTCCTTCAAATATGTTGAGGTATAATATAATATACTGTTTTAGGTCGAAAGCTACACACCGTTGAAAGCGTTTCGTTTGACCATTTACATTGCCAAAGGCTTTATAAAATCACTGAAGAATGTGAAGAACGACGACTTGAGAAATGGTTTGATCGCCAAGGTTTTAAAGGTAAAAGAACCGTTTACTGTTAGTAATAAGATGGTATTAATGAAGCCTGTTCTTCCACTATTTCTTAAACCTTTAGTAACTAGTAATAAAATTATTTTGTTTTACTAATTCTAAATTTTTATTTTCAGTTATTCCAAAGAAGCAAAGACTCAAGGAATCGAAATATCCTCAGAGCACCGTACTTACTATTACTCCACTATACTCGACCAAATCCCGAGCTTTTTCCTTACCCATGGCTTCATCCCAACAAACCAGCCAATGCTGTGGTAGCGATGACAAAGGACTACTTGAGTGCCATATTGTTCGAAAGGGATGGTAAAGTGTTTGAAGCCTACAGTGAAATGAAGGAATATCGACATTTACTATACCGAGAATGGAGATACGAAGTGGCTACGTACTTGGCCGCGAACTGTGAGTGCTTGTTGAAGGCGCTACGTGCATCTCATGTAGCTTTGTACTTTACAGAGAGTATGGCAGTCTCGGTTAGGGCGTCGATTCGCCGGAAATTGCATCGGAAGATTGAGCACGAAAATTTAAAGGTAAAATTTTTAAAATTGGGTATGGTGTTGAGCCGGAATGAGTGATACTAGTTTGAGGAAGAACAATTTTGTAATTTGACTTTAATCATTAACAAAGCAAATTTTTAGACAAATTCCGAAGAAACCTTGAAGCCATATCCTCTCGGATTCATCAACGACTCAAATGACATTTCAAATCGAAATGCCAACCTACCTGACGATACGACCATCCTACAGCTTGTCTTCGATGCTAACGACATCTTATGGTTGGTACGATACAACAAGCATCAAGATATTCTCTTTTCAATCCCATTGACTTACGTAGCTGGTGGAGGATCGTTAGAGGTACCGGAAGCTGAATCAAATACCTATTTGCGAGATATCAGACGTCTCTTGATAAGAGCGGATGAAAGCATCACCGACCAGTCGAGTGATGGAAAGGTCTTTTGGAAGGTTCGGACTGGACTGGAAAAGGAGTATCAGGTAGGCTAATCTATTTATTTTGATATGGGATGGGTAGTGCTTGGTTAAAGAAAGGGCTAATTTAGCTTTTATGGGGGAGATTGGAGGGGAGTTCAAAATAATAATAACATTTTCAGGAACTTCTACAACGCCTTGAAAACGCATGGATAACACCATGGGCGCCATTGTTCAAGCCATTGTCAAGTAATACATTGAAGAATACTTACTTCAGAAGAGCTATGAAGGATATTAATGAACTGTGTAGTCTTTCTACTGTTGCTATAGTAAGTTTTGAATGGTTGGGTGGGCTGTGATTAGTTTTTCCTTATTGTTAGTTTTATGTTTTGTGAACTTTTTGTTAAGTTTTTTAAAAATTTTATTGTTTAGCTAACAACCATGGCCTTGATGTACACAACAACGAAAAAAGAATTTATGGATTTGGCCAAAAATCTACAAGGTCGTTTGGCTCCGTTTATGAGCATTAAACTAAGTACTACTGCTCTCGAAAAGTTCTACAGTACCCACGCTGAGAAAGTACGAGGAATCGACAAGAACGTTGAACAAGATTCCTTTTTGTTTCTGTCGTTGCCTGGAGTAAGTTGTTATAGTGCTAAAACTGGCTGTTGATAGGTTTTGTTGAGGAAAAGTAAGGTTTTCTAGGGTTTTTGATATCTAAAGGTTAAAGTAAGTTGTAATTTGGTATTAATATTGGCTTTCGGATATTTGTTTTTGGTTTGTAAGTGTCTTTTATATGCGTTATTACAATTTTTATTTTTTTTTTCTTCTCCTTCATTTAACCTTATCTTTTTAGTCAATGAGCTTTCTCCCCTGGGAAGCCTTCACCGTCTTCGAAGGAACTCTCGTCTCGAGAGTAGCTTCAATCCAAATTTTTGAAATGTTGAAATCCCGCCACAAAACTCTGCCAAAACCAGTGGACCTACGACAAACCTACTACGTTCTCAATCCATCTGGAGATTTGAAGAAGACGGAGAAACGTCTGGGAGAAGTGCTACAGGTTTCGACGTGGGACGGCGTCAAAGGGATTCAACCTCAGAAAGGCCAGGTCTTGGACGCTTTGACCAACCAAGACGTCTTTATCTACATTGGGCATGGGAATGGGATCAAGTATATCGGGTCGACGAATGCACTTCAGAAGAGCGAATGTAGGGCAGCTTGTATTCTGATGGGATGCTCAAGGTAAATTTTTTGTGTAGTTTGCCTTATGGTCAAGTAACTTTTTGTACAGTATACATCAATATGGTGTAAGAATGCCATTTTCGGCCTAACTTAAAAAATGGCAAAAAAATATTTTTTGGGATTTACAAGCAGGCCTGGACGTAGGGCAGGGCAGGGGCTCAATTTGCGGCCCCCCCCTGGGGCCGGGTCGGGCATTTGTAAATTAAGTTTATAAAGCTTATAACAAGTGAAATAAACTGCTTTATATCTATCCGGCCTCACCCCTGACCCCTTTTCGTAAATTACAAGACATTGTAACGTGTTTTAGTGTGGAGATAGCGGACGAAGGCAAAGGCTACGATGGAAGGTCGGTCCTGCACGAGTTTGTGGTTTCACATTGCCCATGTTTGGTAGGATGTTTGTATACTGTAACCGATGGCGAGATCGACGGAGTCTTCATGGAATTGTTACGGTATCTGAACGAAAAAGGAAGAAAGCCGAGTTCAGGGTAGGGCATTTTTATTTTAACTTTAAAAAGGTCACTTTAAGGGTGTGAAAATTTTAAAGGGATGTTCATTTTTATGTTGAGCATGAGAATCGACTTTTTATGGAAGGCGATGGGGGGGGTGAATCCTCCTTTAGGCGATGGCACCTGATCCGCTAGATTAAAATGTTGCTTTCTAAAATGAATTCTAATTTTCAGAGCCGAAACCTACCGTCTTCTTCTCCGAGGCGTGATCCAAGCCCGGAAAAAGTGTCGTCTGAAGTTGCTGACCGGTCACGCTGTTGTATGTTACGGAATACCGACCAGAACCGAGAATCCCATCATCGAAATGGCATCGGAAATCGAAAAAAGATCCAAATATTGAACATTAAACTACTACTTTGAATGTTGTTTCTTTGAGCTGGTCAGATTGTACAAGTATCATCCTCAACATCACTTTTTCAAGTTTTATTTCAGATTTTCAGTTTTTAACGGGTTAATAAACATATTTAATTATAGGTAATGGACCTTTAAACTTATTAATTTGAATTTTCGTTTTGAAATTTAGAAGTTTTTGGAAACATTATTTATTAGTATGAAATAACATAAGTATAGTATAACATGAACAATAACATTAAAAAACAATAACAGAAAGGTCAACATGCAACAAAATGAAAAAATTATTAGCAAAAACATAAGAAAATTATATCAAATGTCATTTTTGAGATCAAACTTGAGCAGTTCAACGTTACCCATTTATAATATTAAAACAAAAGAAAAATAAGCGAACAATTTAAAGAAATATAAGTTTTCAATTTGAAAAATTAAAAATTCTGAGGAGAGATCAGATTACCTTAAAATATTATCCATGACATAAAACAAAAAATATTAGAATGAAACATAGTAATCCTTACTTCATTTCCCACCAATCTTCTTCACGTGTCGCACAGCCTTCCACAAGACTTCAACCTCCAATTTATACGGCAATAACTTCAACTTCCATAAGTCTGGTCGCTCCAAATCTTCTGGCTTCTTATCTTTAGGCAAAAACGAAGACGTATCCACAATGTCAATCTTCTCATAAATTCTACATCCACAAAGGTTGTTGACTGCCCCCAATCGTCCATAGAAATGCCAATCCTGCGGGTTGGTTGGGTATCCAAAGATGTAAACATGAATCCACTTCAGCCGTCGAAGGACTAGGTTCAGTTTCTTTAGCTGTTTTTTGAAATCTTTGTGCCAATGACTAGTAAACGACTTTGTCTCGGAATAAAACCATTCTGGGGGCAAAGCAATCATGACGTGCGTCTCCTTGCTCTTATGTTCCAGCATACTCATAAGGTATGTGAAAAAATGAGGCGGACTCATTTCATTGAACCGAAAGGAATTTTTTGAACAAATTTCAATAAAAAATAACTTTGCCATGTAGTTTTCGACTATTAATCCATAATCATCCAAAAAATCAGCAAAAGATGCTTAAACAGTAATCTTCAAACAATAAACTCACTACAAAAGTATAGACATCGTCCACTTTGGGCAAGACTACTGGATTCATCGTCAACAAGAAGTACTTCACTTCTTGTTAGCCTTCAGCCAACATTCGCTCGCTTTTTGGATCTGATTATCAACAAAAATGGTATCGTTTTCATTGTTTATCAATCTCCTTACTTCTCTATAAGCAATATTAACAATAAGACCGCAAAAGCTCCTTCAATACAGCAAATATTAATCAATAAACTTACACCGGGTGCCACTCTATCTCAACATCTTCTTCTGGTAAATCTTCCTCTTCGGCAGCTTTGGCATTGTTGTCCCCGGCCTTTTGAATATTTTCACCTTCTACATCAATATCTTTTTCAGTAAGTCGATTGACGCTCGCACCTGAAGGAATATTGGCTTTCTCAATAATCACAATACAATCCTGAAGAGTTCGGGTGATGGTATCCACAAGATCATTTGAAAGCCGTCTATAGGCGCTGAGCTCGCGGAATTGGCCACCAAAAAGATACTTCTCTTCCAACTTGCAAACTTCTTTTTTCAACTCTAAACACAAAAATATTACCTTACCGTTTCGCAAATGACCTTATTATGTTACACAAGGCGATATTCTGACACAAAACAAGCTCAAAAAGTGACATTTAGGTAAAACATTAGCTAAACCAACAAAAATAGACTTGTTTTTAAGAAAAGTTCAGAAAAATTACCTAAAACAGCATCAGAAACAAACACAAAAGAAAGAAAAACGTATGATCCGATGTGTAGTCAGCAACGAACGCAGCCAATGCTTTGCTATTTGCAGAGAACATTACTGATTCTGTCAGCGGGTCCATCTTTCGCTATAATTACACAACATTACCAATAAGTTACAACACACAAAGTAAATTCTAAAACACAAAAAGATTCAATTCTATAGTTGAAATCAACCTATCAAACACGTAAAACAATATAATTTTCCATTTATCACAAACTTTCAACAAAAACCTTATCTTACACCTGAAATCCTCTGAAAATAAACTTACACGGCCAAGTATATCCAAAGTGATAGTCAACTCTTCGTTAGCAGATACCTTAACAGTCGGTTTCACTTCCACAAGCGTTCCATTCCGCAAAACTTCCGCTTTGACAACATCCTCGTTGCCAAGTTTCATCCTGTTTGCAGCTTCCTTGCAGATATCGACCATCCTCCTCCCAGCTTTTGCAACAAAAGAACCCACATGATCGCCCTTATATTCCACAATATTCACTGGAACCTTCACAGGTTGAGTTTTCTGCATCTTCGTCCGAGAAACACAAAATTCTGCAGTTTTTTCTGAAAAAATAATATTTGTCCCTAAAAGGGACACTTGACCCCAGCTTCCTTTTGAGTCGACCTTTTCCCTAAGTTAACTTTTGATTGTATCGATGAAAAATAGTGAGCATGTTATATTCAAACATTAGCATTTCATTTCAAAATAATTCGGATTTTTCAAAAACCATTTATTAATAACAAATATACCGATTTTAGTTCCAAACAACATGAATAAACCCAATATTAAGACAATAAAAATAATATTAGCATTAACAATATAACAAAATTAAAAAATTTTCAATTTGTGAGATTAAAAAATATAAAAAAAGATAAACAATCAACGGATATTATCAATATTATAATATGAAGAACAAGATGGATCTCAATTCAACTTCCCTCAACCAAATCCTTGATGTTGTCAACAGCCTTGCACAAGACTTCAGCCTCTAATTCATCCGGCAACAACATTGGGTTCCCCAACTCTGGTCGGTCCGAAGCTGACGACTTCAGTTCTTTTGGCAAAAACAGTGAGGTATCCACGAAACCATAATAGTGGGCCTTACGTTCACAAATTCTGTTGAATTTTCCCAGTCGTCCATTGAATTGCCCATCTAAAGGGTCAGTTGGAAATCCAAGAAGATACATATAGATATTTGGTCGCGTTTCAAGAGTTTCGTTTAATATCTTAAGCTGCGTTTTGAGCAGGCTATCCCAATATGTTTTGCATTTTTTAGAGAAGAGCCATTGTGAAGATGGAACCAGGATCATACATGTATCCTTTACTCTGTGAGCAACCATAGCCTTGGCGTAATCGATAAAATTAGGAATACCCGATTGAAACTAAAAGTGAGTTTATAATTGCGAAAGCAGTAATTTAAAGTAAAAACTCAATAAAAAGTGATTAAACAGTAAAATCATCAAAATAATCTTACAACAAAAGTGTACACGCCGTCCAAAACAGGTAAGAAATTTGAATTCGTGGTCATCAAGAAGTAGTTAAATTTCTCCGTTTTCTTCGACCATACAAAATCCGCTTTTGGCTGTACATTTGGTTTATAAAATACAATGTTGTCCTTCTTCAGATTTCGTTGTTCTCTATAATTAAAAATAAATTTCGAAAAGCTGACTTTTTCGAAAACAGCGTTAGAACACAATAACTTCTATAATAAAACAAAAAATCACTAATAAACTTACGTGGCCAATCGTTTCCGACTCTCGCGCCCTGAAGTTCTGTTCTCAACAGCACGATTTTCATCAAAATGACTACCACCTACATCAATATTTCCTTCCCCAACTTCATTGACACTCTTCTGAAGTTGCCTCAACTTCCTTAACCTTCTGAAGGCAATCCAGAAGTGCTCGGTTAATAGTACCAACAAAATCATCTGAGATTAGGCTGTAGGCTCTGAGCTTCTGATTATCATTTAGGTATTTGTCCTCCAACTTCCAAACTTGACCCCTGAGCTCTGAAAACAGCAATTTTACTTTATTGTTTCATAAAGAACAAAATAATCTTACATCATTTAATATTCAAACAAAAAACACAACCTAAGACAAATTTTTAGGTAGCAAATTATCAAAATTGCAAAAAAAACGTGTTTTAGAGGTAATTTACAGAAGAAAAAAACCTAAAATACCTTCAGAAACAAGCTCAAAAACATACCATCACCTGCGTACTTCAAAACAGTTTCCGTCAACTGCTTGTTATCCTTTGAAAAAAGCACAGCTTCAACCAACGGGTCCATCCTAACCTAAAACAATATCAATCGTTAGTCAAATCACAAAACAACTGAATTCCGTAACATAAATTAAACACATAAAACAATATAATACCTCATTCAACCAAAATATTTACAATAAAAGCTTTTTCAACATAACATACCTAAAAAATATGATTTTAGAAGAAAAAACCAGATTATGCAAGCCAAATCAACTGTAGAGCAAACTTACACGACATTAGGAGCTATCTTATCAGTCGGATTCAATTTTACAAGCGTTCCGTTCCGCAGAACTTCACTTTTGACCAGACTGTCAAGGCCAGCATTCAGCTTACTCAGCGCATCCTTGACGATATCCACCACCACTGGTCCAGATCTACTAATTATCGTTCCCATCTTGACGCCATTGTGTTCAAATACATCCACTTTACGCATCAAAAGCTGTCCCTTCTGCATTTTCATCCAGCAACTTGGAGAATTCTGCGATGTTTGTTCGAAATATATATTTTCTCCTAAAAAGAACACTTGACGCAAAACATTTTTGAGTCAACCTTCTCCCTTTGCTAACTTTTGATTAGACATGAGAAATGGGCCGGGCCGGCCTTAAGCAAAATTACGATCGATTTTCAGGCCCGGCCCGTTTCTCATGTCTACTTTTGATTATATCAATGGAAAATACTGAGCATGTTATATTCAAACATTAGCATCTCATTTAAAAATACACAGCCTTGCACAAGACTTCAGCCTCCAAGTCATCAGGCAACAACTTTGGGTCCCTGAATTTTGTTCGTTCGAAGGATGACGGCCCCAGACTTTTTGGCAAAAACCGTGAGGTATCCACAAATCCATAATAGTGGGCATTAAGTTCGCAAATTCTGTTGAATTTTCCCAATCGTCCATTAAAGTACACATCTAATGGGTCAGTTGGAAATCCGAGAAAGTACAATTTGATATTCGGCAGAGTTTCAAGAGTTTCGTTCAAATCCTTAAGCTTCGTTTTGAGCATACTATCCCAATCAACTTTGCATCGCTTCGAGTAGAGCCATTGTGAAGGTGGGACGATAATCATGCATGTATCTTTTCCTCTGTGTCCGATCATAGACTTGACGCGATCGAGAAAATTAGACATATGCAAGTTAAACTAAAAAAAAACAAAAAATAACTTTATAATTGAAAAAAAGTAAAAAACTTCATTGAAGAGTGATAAAGCAGTAAAATCAACAAAATAATCTTACAACAAAAGTGTACACGCCGTCCAAAACGGGCAAGACTTCTGGATTCATAGTCATCAAGAAGTAGTTAAAATTCTCCGTTTTTTCCGACCATGTTGCCCTTGCTTTTATTGCTAACAATTCACAGTATGGATTGTCATACTTATTCAGCCGTTCTTTTCTATAATTTAAAATTAAATTTAGTTCAAAAGCATCGCTACAACAAGACAATTCCTATAACAAAACAAGAAACTTACAGCGAGGCCAATTGTTGCGAAATCTCGTGCCCTGAAGTTCTGTTCTCAACAGCACGATTTTCTTCAAAATGACTACCACCTATGTCAATATTCCTTCCCCAACTTCATTGACACTCTCTTCTGAAGTTACCTCAACTTCCTTGATCTTCTGAAGGCAATACAGAAGTGCTTGATTAATAGTACCAACAAAATCATCTGAGATTTGGCCGTAAGCTCTGAGCTTCTGATTATCATTAAGGTATTTGTCCTCCAACTTCCAAACCTGTCCCCTTATCTCTGAAAACAGCAATTTTACTTTATTGTTTCATCAAGAACAAAATCATCTTACATAATTTAATATTCAAACATAAAACGCAATCAAAAACAAATTTTTAGGTATAAAATTATCAAAATAGCAAAAAAAACGTGTTTAAACCTAAAATACATTCAGAAACAAACTCAAAAACATTAAAAACATACCATCACCTGCGTACTTCAAAACAGTTTCCGTCAACTGCTTGTTATCCTTTGAAAAAAGCACAGCTTCAACAAACGGGTCCATCCTAACCTAAAACAATATCAATCATTAGTCAAATCCCAAAGTAACTGAAATCCATAACAAAAATCAAACACTTAAAGCAATATATTACCTCATTCCACCCAAATATTTACAATAAAAGCTTTTTTTCCACAAAACATACCTAAAAATGTTTTTATAGAAGAAAAAACCTGATATTACACGTCAAATCAGCTGTAGAGCAAACTTACACGACGATACAAGTCCAAAGTAATAATCAGCTCTTCATTAGGAGCTATCTTATCAGTCGGATTCACTTCCACAAGAGTTCCACTCCGCAAGACTTCAGCTTTGACCAGACTGTCAAGGCCAGCATTCAGCTTACTCAGCGCATCCTTGACGATATCCACCACCACTGGTCCAGATCTACTAATTATTGTGCCCATCTTGACGCCATTGTATTCAAATACATCCACTTTACGGATCAATAGCTGTTCTTTCTGCATTTTCCTCGAGAAATTCAGAAAATTCAGCGATTTTTGTTGAAAAAATAGTATTTGTCCTAAAAAGAACACTTGACGCAAAAGATTTTTGAGTCAATCTTTCCTTTGTGATATTCAGAATAGTACTTCATTTTGAAACTTCAAGATAATGTGGTTATTTTCACTACCATTTGTTAATAAATAATTAAATATTAACTAATTATCAATAACAATATAAGTTCAAGACAAAAGTTTATTTTAGAGATCAAACATGATGGAAAAGATCAAAATAGTCACAAGATATCACCCATATCACAACAGGCAACTAGATTTAAACAAGATGCTTCTCGATTCAACGTCCAACCAAATCCTTGATGTGGTCAACGGCCTTCCACAAGATTTGAGCGTTCAATTCATTGGGCAACAGCTTCGGCAGCTGTGGTTTCAAGGCTGGTGGATTTTTAGGTACAAAGAGTGTTGTATTGACGAATTCAAAGTTTTGGGCGCTATTCTTACAAATCCGGTTGAATTTTCCGAGTCGTCCATTGAAGTGTGTACACAATGGGTCAGTTGGGAATCCGAGAATGTAAATATGCACCTTTGGCAGGTTTTCAAGGATTCTGTCCATTTTTTTGAGCTTTTTTTCAGCTTAGAAAACGATTTCCTTGGAAAGTTGTTCGTCTCGGAGTAAAGCCATTTTGAAGATGGAACAATGATAACGTAGGTATCCTTTCTTCTGTGTTCCACCATAGCCATGACATAATCGAAAAACTGATAGACACTCAAGTTAAACTGAAAGGTAATTTTTAAAACAACTTTATGACGTGAAAATATAGAAAAAAGAACAGATTACATGTTCAAACAATAAAATCATATATGTATACTTACAACGAAAGTGTAGACATCGTCCAGAACGGGCAAGATTTCTGGATTTGTCGTCAGAAAGAAGTAGTCACAATTCTCGGTTTTCTTCTTCCATGCTTCATATGGTTTTGGTAGCTTATCATAAAACAAAGTCATGCTATTTCTCTTCTCCCTTCTTTCTTGGCTAAAATAAAAAAATATTAACAATAACTTGCCAAATGCTAATAACTTCAAAGGCTTCGTAACAATAAGGAACTTACACCGTGTCCCAGTGTATCTGAATCTCTTGTCCTGAGGTTCTGTTCTCAACAACACGATTTTCTTCAGAATGGCCAAAACGAGCTACATCAAGATTTCCTTTCCGAAGTTTATTGACACTCATTTTTGAAGTTCCGTAGCTTCATTTACATTTTCTTCTGAATTTACCCCAACTTCCTTGACCTTCTGAAGGCAATTTAGAAGCGCTTGGTTAATAGTACCAACTACATCATTTGAGATTTGGCTGTAGGCTCTAAGCTTCTGTTCATCATATAAGTATCTGTCCTCCAACTTCCAAACCTGTCCCTTTATCTCTAAAAACAGCAATTTTATTTTATTGTTTCATAAATAACAACAAGATGTAACATAATTTAATCTTCGAACATAAAACGCAACGAAAGACAATTTTTTAGGTATCAAATTATCAAATTTGCAAAAAAATGTTTTACAGGTGGGGTGATTTGCACAAAAAAATACCTGAAATACCTTCAAAAACAAACTCAGAAACATTGAAAACATACCATCACCTGCGTACTTCAAAACAGTTTCCGTCAACTGCTTGTTATCCTTTGAAAAAAGCACAGATTCAACCAACGGGTCCATCCTAACCTAAAACAATATCAATCATTAGTCAAATCCCAAAGTAACTGAAATCCATAACAAAAATCAAACACTTAAAGCAATATATTACCTCATTCCACCCAAATATTTACAATAAAAGCTTTTTTTCAACAAAACATACCTAAAAATGTTGTTATAGAAGAAAAAACCTGATATTACACGTCAAATCAGCTGTAGAGCAAACTTACACGACAATACAAGTCCAAAGTAATAATCAGCTCTTCATTAGGAGCTATCTTATCAGTCGGATTCACTTTCACAAGCGTTCCACTTCGCAGAACTTCAGCTTTGACCAGACTGTCGAGGCCAGCATTCAGCTTACTCAGCGCATCCTTGACGATATCCACCACCACTAGTCCAGATCTACTAATTATCGTTCCCATCTTGACGCCATTGTATTCAAATACATCCACTTTACGCATCAAAAGTTGTTCCTTCTGCATTTTTATCCAGCAACTTTGAAAATTCTGCGATTTTTGTTCAAAATATATTTTTACCTAAAAATGACACTTGACGCAAAAATGTTTTTGAGTCAACTTTTTTTCTGGTAATTTTTATTTTTTCGGATTTTTCTGTGAAATTCTTTGTTTTTACTGGAAGTTGTTGCAAGTTATAAGGCTTCATTTGGGGATATAATTTGTTATTTTAGTTTTATTTATGTTTAGATGGAAGTAGACATCGATTCTGGATGTAATTCTCCAGCGAATAACTTTACCTTGATAAACAGTTCTCTTTACGGAGGAAAGGTGCCAGTCCAAATCTACACATGTCCAGAAAATGGATTGCACTTGGCTTTGGTCAAAACGAGTTCTAAAACAGTCAACGTGGATATTACTTTAGGTAAATATTTTTTAGTAGGTAATAAGTGGAGGAATTGTTGTCGATGGCACTTCAAGGATAATATAATGGATATTTTTAAACTATTCTTGTATTTTAAAATTTTTTGTTTGGCTTTTTATGAAAAGTTTTTTAAAAGTTGTTTCAATATTTCTAAATATAAAACAACATTATTATAACTCAGTTTCTAAATATAAAACAACATTATTATAACTGAGAGAGAAAAAATATTGTTTTAGCCACAGAACCCGGGCATGGCGATGGAGTAGCATTAGCGACGGCTAAAATGGCATTGTTAGGAAATCCCTTAACATCAGCTGTGAATTATCTTGCTCAAACGGCAGCTCATTGTTTCTGCACCGACATTGAAGACATTGTTAGCGTTGGGCAGGTATTGTTATTGTTTTAGTTCAAATTTTGTGTTTTAGGTTTTTCATGGAGATGTTACTTGCTTGAAAGGAGATTTTGGTTGTTTTGCTTTGAATAACGGAGGTTTTTAATTTGAAATAAGTTTTAAATTTTTTAATTTAACTAAAACAATATTATTTTAGACTCACACTTCATTTACATTTAAAAGTTTGAGCGATTCGGCATTTTTTCACTTTTTAACTACCTTATACTCTTCACTGTTGACGGCACCATTAACAACTACTAACTTCTTGAACGAGATCTACAAGGTTTCTGAATTTGCTCACGAATCTGGTTGTTTATACGAGGAAGCGCTGTGTAATGATACCAAGCTGGACAAACTTGTTGATGAGAAGGTCACCAAGCTATTGTTCAACAATGCTACTATGTTTAAAGAGAGTATGTTCTCATTATGTTTGTTGTTAACTTTAATCTAGAGTTTTTATTAGGTATACTACATTCTGATAACAGTAATGTCAATAATAATGTAGTTTTTTAATAATTTTACTATTTTTGCAGCTCCCAAAGCTTCATGCTCATCTCTAAGGGCTTTCCTGTCACTGGAAGATATAAAAGCGTTCCATCAGAAGTACTACAGGCCTTCAAACATGTTCATTACTGTTGTTGGTAACATTAATGACTACGACATTCCATTGTTCAATAACTTGGGTTACTACATGGACGCAAGTCCTATTGAACGTCCATTCTACAACTTGGAGATACCGGCTTCTATTTGTCATTTTCAGAATCTAACTAAAGTTGTAGGACTGTCAGCTACTGGTGAATCTGTCGTTTCTATTGGATTTTTGGGTGGAAATGCTAGGGTAAGGGTTAAAATATGGTTGAAATGGCAAGGTTTTAAATTATTGGGTTTTAAAATGACTTTTTTAAGTTTCTGATAAGAAAAAATTTGTTTAAAATTTAAAAATGTCCTTTTTTATTTAAAATTAAATTTCAGGACCTGGGATCATTGATGGCAGCCGAATTGTTTGTCAACTATCTCAACACACTCTCTGTTTTCAAAGACCATTATGTACCTGAATTAGCATCTCATTGTGAAGCGAAGCTTACAGTTTTACCGAGATGGCACATTACTGTACGATTCGAAGGAGTAAGATCTGAAAACACCGACAAGATTGCACAAGAGTGAGTTTATTGAGTAGTATGAGTGAGTACTGGTTGATTTTTTGAGATTCTAAATTTAAATTTTTATTTTTAACTAGAATTCGCATAACATTTATCTTGAATATGATAAATTTGATTTTCAGCTTGCTGTTTCTGTTCCGTGGCTTATTAGTTTACGAGGGGGAGATCATCCAACAATGCATTCAACAATCTCTACAAAAATTGGAAACGGGCATCATTAACAACAACTTCCATCAAGATTTGTTCGAAAGAATGCGACAGTTTCAACAATTCTCGTTGTCATTGGAAGATTCTTTTGCTCTGAAACGAATTCTGAATCCGCAAAAGTTTTATCACTATTACAAGGGGAATATTCCGCTTTTTAAGGATTTTGTTCAAAGATATCTTGTTGATGAATGTGTTGTTGTGGTGGGTCTGCCGAGCAACGCTAATGATAAAAGACAGGATCCGTGCTTTCAGGTAGGGTTTTTACTGCTGCTACAAATATAACAAGCTATTATAGAAGGCTGTGCATTTGTAGTATCAGGCAAATGAAGTTTAGAAGCTCTATGTGCGGGTTGCAAAAAGGTCATTTAAAGCTTTTCAAACGCTTTTTAGGCTTATTTTTTGTTTAAAATTTGTTGTATTTTGATCAAAAATCTTATGCATGCAACCATAATTAAATTGTAATGAACTTATATTTAAAGGATCATGTTAAAATGTCGTGTGAAATGGAAAAGTTGGCCAACCAACAAGAGCTGTTTCAAGCCGCCAAAGAAGCTGAAGAAGATCTTCTGGAGAATCAGACCAAAACTGACGATGGGAATTTAACTCAGGTTATCACATTCCCCACTGATCTGCCTTTCAAATGCCCAAAGATTCATTTCTTCGATTCAATGGCAAAGAAACTACCGGGCGAAATGGAAAAGTGGAAATCTTTTTTGAATTTCGATAGAATGCCAACGGTTTTTCATGAAATTTCTGATTCTACCAGTGGCTTGGAGGTAGGGAAATTTTCACGGAAAGTTTTTTATAAGATGTTGCTTATAGTGTTTTATAAGACATTGCTAATACAATTTTTTTCAGACCTTCTTCACCATATCCTTGAGCAAATTAAGCCTAGATTCGATGAGGTTGTTGCCACTTTTCATCGAATTGATTGATTATTGTGGAATTGCTGAGCAAAGAGAACGAAAGATCGCTAGAAAGGTAATGGAGGAGAAACTACAGGAGTTACAACAGTGGTCAATTCAAATCAACGAAGGAAGTGTGCTGGTGCTCAACTTTAAACCAAAGAACAACAATTTGAACGCAGTGGCCAAATGGTTCACTAGAGCACTTGTTCATAGCGCTATCGGCCAACGTGAGGTAATTAAGAGTTGTTTTGCGTTACACTGCTTCTTTTGTGACAAGTTTTATGTTTTGGTGGTGGTTATTTTTATTTAAAATGGCATAAAAATGATGTTATATTTATATTTAAAGTTGTTTTTAAATTTTTGTTATCTGGATATTCAGAAATGTTGAATTAATGGTATTTTCAGGTTAAAAAATGCCTTAACATCCTACTGTACAAAACGGTATCACCAAAGAATGAAATATCAAAACTAGCAAAGACAGCCATCGATTGTTGTCATGTAGATGCGGAAAGTGCAACAAGAAACACTGACATGATTTCATTGGAAAGATTTTACGCCAATCTACAAAATGAATTCACAGAACGGCCGGAAGAGACACTAGAGCGATTGGAGACGCTGAGAAAAGATCTCATTAACTGCAATGTCAATTTACATATCATTGGAGCTGTGAAGGAAGTTCAGTTTGATGAAAAACTGGATTTTACTGCGTATTTCAAGAGGAAGAGTAGTGAAGATGCGGGTGTTTTGTTTACGGTAAGTTGTATTGTGTTGAATTTGAAGGTTTGTGTTGATATGGTTATTAAAAGTGTTGTGGGCGGGGTGATATTGGAATAGAGTTGTATCTGGGAGAGAGGGAGGGGTTGAAAAAATTACATACGTGACAATTTTAAACTCTTCAGGCCTTACCACTTGCCACTAAATTCCACTGGAACCTCACGTCCGAGACTAAAGTCTTATCACTAGACAATCTACCCCCACGATCTTCATTAATTGAACGTGTCCATTACAAAACAGAAAGATTCTCAGATGTACATGCTGCGATCCTAACGTTATGTGAGTATATGACAATGGCCGGCGGAGTATTGTGGACTACCTGCGTGAAGACAAGTCGGGCCAGAGTGATAAACATGGAATATTTTGTTGACAAACAGATGATCGAGCTGAGGATGAGAGACTGTTACGAATTGAGAGAGGCCAGAGAAGCGGTTTCTGATTTGGTGGTGAGTTAATTTTAGAATTATTGGTATTATCAAAGTGTTTTAGTACTGTATTGGTATTACGGCAATTTTTTGAATTTTTGGTACCGTTTTGATTTTTTTGGTACTTTTTTGATTTTTTGGTACAGTTTGCCTTTTATCTCTACTTTATTTGTGTAATCTTCAGAAATGGGTATGCGAAGGAAAGATGTTTGACCCGACGTTATTTGAAGCCAGCAAGAAGGCCGCGGCTACGAAAATTTTGCAAAAATATTACGAAAAATACAACGAGGAACTGATTCACAACTTTTTACGTGGCATCAAGGAACACGAAGTCATGTAGGTTTGACTATTATTCTAATAGTTTATGTAACTTAATTTTAGTATAAAATTAATCTTTTTTGTTACCTAAAATATAAAATTTTATTTTTTAATGATCTAAGTCATTTGACGAATATTATTTTCAGTGGATTCGTAGCAAAAGTTGTATCACTGGACTGGTCCAAAACGGTACGATCAGGACTACAACCAATGTACAAAGTTGTTATGGCGGACAATCTTCGAGTTGTCATCTGCGCCGAATGGAATCTGAGTAACGAAGATTGGACCTCGAGAGGAACGTTCCGAACATCCGTAAGCAAACTGGAGCTTCCTCAATTGTTATGCTCATGATCTTGTTGAATAAAGTGTTATCTATTGTAATATAACTATAATATTATATAAGTCAGGACATTTTCTTACTATTGTATTATGAAAGACGTTATGGGGGTTTTTCTATAGCAATGTTCTTTTATTCCTCCCCCCCCTCCCTCTAAAACGTCACTTCTAATGCCCTAAAGGGGTTTTTTTCGGTCCGAAATTCCTCTCTCTTCTGTTTTTTTCGGCCGCCAGGATGCTATTCAGCACGAAACGCCAACCAATTTCTCGACCACCCACCGCGAAATGTTTGTATTGAACGTGCTCAACGTGCCGTCGAGTTTTTGGTGTCCGCGCGCCATTCATGTGCTCGGTGTAACAACTACATCTCGATGTACCACGCCTCAGTACGACGAACAGCACATGCACGAAAAAACGACTCTGTTAGGGTGCGTGTGGTCGAAAAATGCGTGTAAATTATGGGGGTGCAGTGGGTTTTTGACGGTCGAAAATAGGCATTTCTCTTGTTGATGTCTGGAGGGGAAGCCTTTTTTGGCACAACGAGACGTTTTTAGCACTAATTTTAAATTCTGCGGCGTTTTTGCAAGGGAATAAAATTTTGGCCGCTGTGTCTAAAAACGCAAGACGGCCGCTTTCACTCTGTTTTTGTTTCGTACTCTCGATGGCTTAAAAAAACACGCCTTGAGGAGAAACTAGCTCTCTCTCATCTTCTCTCTCCCCTCCTCCTCTAGGTCTCCAGAAGCCGGCACTCGAATTGCCGTTTAAAGGAATGAAATTCGGGGCCACACGCGTAGACGTGCGGACCCGTAGCCGGCGTCTGTAGCATGCCAAAAATTCCATTCTTTGTGTGCGGCCTCTAATATTCGGGTTTCGGCCGCTTCAAATGCGCCGGAAGAAAAAAAGAAAAAACTTGAAAAGGAAGGGCATTTTTAGATTCGTAAGGCTTGCATAGTTAAAGGTATAATTATAAATTTTAGGTAGGGTGTTATTAAAAATAATATTTTTATAATGTAAATTGGTGTTTATTGATGTTTACATGACAAAATAAGGTAGGATATTATAGAAAAATGGTTGCGGTTTAAAATCTTGCTTGGAGGGGGATTTGGTTTTTTAGGGGGGGGGGTGAAATATTTAAAAAAAAATTTTTTTTTGAAAATTAAAAAAAAATGGAACATTACTACCCTTGTAAACATTGAAAAAGAAAGTTTTAAAAAAATTATAACTACCAGCGGCCAAAAATTTTTACTTAGTTTGTTGCTTCTAGGCTAAAATCGGCTGCTCAACCCTAATATTATAATAATAATCATATAAATACCCATTGAATAAAACAAAAATGAATCAACTTCTATTATCTAAACCACAAAACATTACCATTTCCTTATCAAAAGCATCAAATATTATATTCAAAGAGCACATAACGCCATAACAATATCAGAAAACCCGATAATTACCAGCCCATCACAATCACTAACATAGCTAATTTTAAAACAACACTTTGTTACTACAAGTCTACAATTCCAAGTTGCAGACTGTTCTTTGCGGTTTGTGTGGTATGTTATAAGACTATAGATTTTGTGTTTTGGTTAAAAACCTCGCGACGAAAAATGATTTTAGTTTACTTAATTTCGCGAGCTGTTTTGTGTTTGTTAATTATATTTGGCTTTATATACAACATTCTTCTCGACACGGTAAGTAGGGGGTTTCTGAAGGCTTGGTTTTGTATCTTATACATATAGTTTTACGTTGTGGAGGCTATGAAATATTAAAAATGAAAAAAAAATTTTTTAGTTAATCTACTTTATTTTAGGTACAAACCACACAAAATATAAATAAATATATTGACGGTAAGGCTCTACTTTACGCATAATAACATAGTATAACAAAGAGAAGATAAGATGTCCAAACAACTACCGACCATCAAAGAGGTTATTCGAGTATTGTCCACTTACAACGGAAGAGACAAGGTCATTCGGTACGCTTTTTATCGTTTTTACACTTTTTAAACAATGATTTTTAAAGTTCATTTTGGCTTTATTAACAAGAATTTCAAGGAAAAAATTTCAGATGCCTCTATTTCTCATTAATAATAATGTCGACCAAAGTGGCTAGTCCAGAAATCGCAAAACAGCTTTTTGCATTGGCCAAAGAATTGTCCAAATCACGGCTGATCTTCCGTCAACTCAACATACCATCATTGTTCCACTCCGCCTCCAAAGTGCCAGAAGACATGGAGCACACCAAAGACCCTATTGACAGTACCTTAGCTGGTGCTGTTACCTACATCTTCAGTGTCCAAAATGTGATCGAGTTGTTGGCCTACCTATCTGACCATAAGTTGGTCAATGTAGATACTGGCAAATGGTTTAGATGGGCCTTGTACTTGTGGGTATTCGCCATGTTCAACGGCCTCATCAGGCTAGCATGGAAGCTGCACCAGACAAATAAACGAAGGGAACGGAACGAAATCTCCGAGAAAACATACGAAGACATCACAAAGAATGATAGGATTGCCATTTTGGGATTGGGGTCCGACTTTATTGCTGGTGTTGGCACCTTACCCATCAACTTCTTATGGGCCGGAAAGTTGAGTAAAGGGCAACATGCTGCATTTTCGTTGATTGCTTCGGTTGTTGGACTTTACAAGTGCTTTCAGTAAAATGAATTTTGCTATACTATATATTTTGGGCTTACAAGGAAAGTGCCCGACCTGCCCCGTTCTAATTGACTTCAAACTTTTTATATAGAAAGATCATGTAAATATAAGATCTTCAGCAAAGTACTAAATTGCGCTTTCCAGGAAATCTCGAGAAAATCGAGATTAAAAAATGACATTTTGAATTTCCCGTCAACTTGGCATTGTGTTTCAAGCTTGTAGCTTTATCATTTTTTGACTTTTAATAATTTTTCTTTGATATACTAGTAGAAAACCTTTAAACGAATCTACATTTTTAAAATGGTAAGCGTAGCTTGTCTGGAAAGCTGAAAAAAGTGCTTGGAACACAATGCCAAATTTGCCAAATTGGCGGGAAACCCAAATAATTTAAATTTAAAACTCAAAAGCGCGAGCTAAAATTTTTTATGTGTACTATTAGTGGTACAAGGAATTCATATAAAGATTTTGAGCTGATACTGAGCGGGGCAGGTAGGGTACTTTCATTGTTAATTTTTAGCTTTATACCTAAAATGTGAAAAAGAAAATTTATTTTTAAAATTAAAAAAAAATTTTAATTGTAAAAAACGTATAAGCTTAAAAGACGTAAATTATATCATATAAAAGAGAAATTTTATTTGCACCGCGCGCGCCGAAAAATCGACCAAAAAGAGAGCCAAAAGACCGCGTACGCGCATGGCGCAGTGATTAAAAAATAATAACCCAAAAATGGTTGCGTTGCATTAATCTGAGAGTTCGGATCCTTTTGGTTTTTTTGCGTCTACTATTTATTTTTTGAAGTTTTTACACATTTTTCAATAATAAAAAACATTTTAAAACATCAAACTAATCTTAAAAAATGGTTTTATAAGTTTTGTCACAAATTTATGGCACTTTTCAGGTAAAAAAATTGTTTTGAACTTAACTTTGCCGAAAAAGAATCTAAAGCTAGCCGATGAAAGTATAGAAATTCATAATGAGACCTGTACCATCTTAAAAAGGATTAAAAGTTACGCCAAAATATGTTTTATTGATTTGAATTTTTTTATATACGACCAAGATACCAGTGGTTTTAATTTTTTCACCTTATGTTTGCACACCATAGTACTGAGAGTTCGAATCTTTTTGGTTTTTTTTGCCTGTACTATTTATTTTTTGAAGTTTTTTCACATTGTAAAATAATAAAAACCATTTTAAAACATCAAACTAATCTTAAAAATGGTTTTGTAAGAAACATCACAATTAATGTTAAAACTTTTTTTTGTTTTTATATAATTTTTCATAATTTTATGGTTTTTTTTTCGGTGAACATAACATTTAAAACGCTTAAAACAAATCCAAAAAAGCACGGAAATAAAAAATGAGATTCGTGCCATCTTAAAGAAGACAAAAAGTAACACCAAAATATTTTTTTTTTGATTTGAATCTATTCATATACGACCAAGTTACAGTGATTTTAATTTTTTTAACGAGAAATTTCATTTGCACCGCGCGCGCCGAATAATCGACCAAAAAGATTGACAAAAGACCGCGTGCGCGCATGGCTCAGTGACGAAGAAGTAGAAAACCGGACGATGGTTTAGACTAGCTCTCTCTGAGAGTTCGAATCCTTTTGCGGTCGCTGTGTTAGTACATCATTGTTTTATGAAAATTTGACGTTTTAGTTGTACTTTTGAACATTTAAAAAAATGTAAAAATCTGTTTTTATAAGTTTTGTCACAATTTTGTCGTTTTTATTGAAAAAATGTTACAATTAAATTTGCAAATTTTAAGTTTTTTGAATCAAAACATTATAAAACTAACGTTCTGTAAAATAAAAGTAAATTAAAAGTTTATTAAAATTTATTTTCATTTTAAAACTTCTTATTGAATCTGTCAGATATTACACATAATGTATAACGTTAAGGCAATGTTTGGAGAGTAGGAAAAGTATTTTCATAAAATTATAGCACCATAGGTAGCGAGAAATGTAGACGACAATAATAAACAATGTTTGGACTAGAACTTTGATCGAAGATTGAAGAAATAAAAATTATAAAAACATTTGTAAAATACCATGGTTGAAATAAAAAGTTATTAAAACTATAAAAAATATATATAATTTTTAAAAATAGACTAAATAGTAATTTAGGATTGATAATATAATAGGGACAAAACAGCATTTAAACACAAAAAATTGAAATAAATTCAAAAAAGTATCGAATTTAAAAATGAAAACTATATCATCGTAAAGAGGACAAAAAGTTATGCTAATATAATTTTTTTAGTTGCGATTTTTCATATATAACAGAGTTACAGTAACTTTAAGTTTTGTGAAACGAAAAATGTTATTTGCACCGCGCCCGCCGAATAATCGACCAAAAAGAGAGCCAAAACTCCGCGTGCGCGCATGGCTCAGTGATTAAAAATTAATAACCCAAAAATGGTTGCTTAATGTGCATCTGAGAGTTCGATCCCGCCGTCGCAATTTTGCAAGTTTTTATATTTTTTGAAATTTAAAGACTTTTCCAAATATTTTTGTCCTATTTAAGGTTGTATAATATCTATGCTAGGTCCGATACTTAACTTTCTGCCAAATCTTTTGAGAATTACAACATAAAAAAGCAAAAATACTGTAAAACATTTACATGTAGTCCAAATGGCTCAATTTACAAGGATTCTTCTTAAATAGCTCGTGATATAGCAGCTTGTTGTGCTCTGGCTTGTACCATCATGACGTTGGTGATAAACCTAACCACGGCCGAAGCTGGTTGTTCCGGATCCAGCTCAGCAAAGATGTGACAAGTATTTTCGACCGAATTTGGAGCCTTTCTAGCTACAAAGCCAAAAACTGGAGCTTGTCGCACATAAGTTGTGGGGAGTTGCTGTGTGTTGTTGTTGTCGAACGTCCGACTGTCAGGGTCGATTCCAGCGAATGTAACCGAGTTTACTGGGTAATGGCGTCGGAAGAATAGGGTTCGAGTGTTGTCGGTTAAAGTGATGCCTTGGGCCGACACTTTGAAGTGAACTGGAACGGCACAGAGTTGTCGGCGTGCCAGGAGGTCAATTCCAAAGTTAGTGGCACGTCGTACAGCTTCAGGCCCGGTTAGAGATTCGGTGTCGAGGGAACAGATATAGGTCACGTTGCAGGCTGAAACTTTTAATTAAATTTTTTGAAACTGAAAAAAAATTTTTAATATTTGTCGCCTTAGTATAGTATATAATTTTTATCGTATCCATGACATCATACTAGACTAATAACAATAAAGAACATAACATACCAGCTCCTCTTTCCAACAAAGCTTGATTAGCATTCACATGCTCTGCACTCTGTGCCGGATCGTACTCTGGCAGTATCAGTTTTTCGGGTAGTGCCAATGCTGTGATTGAATGTTGGTAGATAAGAGCGGCCAGCGTTCCAAAGACTGGTTCATTATTACATCCTTTCAGCTTAACACCTTTGGCCGAAGGCTCTATTAGGAAGTGGCGTACCAGTTCAGTACCATCAGCACGTTCAACGCCAGCTGGAGGTTGTGCCACTTTTAAGGCTAGGCCAAAAGCACCGGGGAAGGAGTTTGAGTCTCGTACTACGAAGGTACCTGGCTCTTTGTCTTTTAGCATGTTAATGGCTGAAAGTAGGAAAATTTTAAATTAAATAAATTAAAAATTTTGAAATATAGTTTTAAAAAATTTTAAAAAAATTAAAGTTTTAAAATTTTATTTATGAAATGCTGTTCATTTTTAAAAACGTACCTTCTTCTCTTGTTATACCCGGTTTGTACCAATACTTTGAGGTATCTCGCATGAAGACAGGGTGATGTGTTATGACTTCTCCATTATCTAAAGAAAACCTTTATTAAAATGTTATTTTGAAATAAATTTTTACTGGCTAACTTACTAATAAATTATTTAATGGTCTACTAAAACTTAATTTTAAAAAAAAAAAGTTTAAATTTTAATTTTTTTTATTTTAAATCATAATGCTAAAGCTTTACTTTTTGGCAACTTTACAAGAAATCGCGCAGTTGCTGGCAAGTTCTGGCACTTTTCCAGCAGTTCTTTATTACGTTCTATCTGATCATTCATTGTGAGGTATTATATTTCTTAGACTGGTCAGTACGAATATCTTTTTAGCCCGTACTAATAAATAAAAGGTAGAGATGAGTGGTTTTAGCTCATTTGTTCAATTGGCCTTTTTTTCGAATTCTTTTCAAAATAGCCAAATGGCAATTTTATTTCTTGAAAATAGCCTAATTGGTTGGCGACAAAGTCAAGAATTTAAGATTTTTTACTGGCGTCTTTTACAATTACAAAACCGCGTAACAGAACTTTTGGCGCATCTTGTAATACCTTTTCAAAAACAATTTTAAAATTTAAAATTCAAAAATAAGCAGTAGCGTTCTATATTAAAATAGGTAGAAAAGCAAACTCTTCAGCTAGCCAATACAAATTAATTAAAAAAATAAAAGAGTAGCGATGGTTTAAATCAATTAAGGCGCCCTTTCTCTCGCAAATACCCTATGTAGGTAGTAAAAGCGCGGTGCAACTACACCATCTTGCCTTCGGGTTTTTTCTTTTTCCTCTAAAACCGATCGGAATTCGGTTTGCTTGCCTTTGAAATCGGATTTCGGATGTGTGATTCACCACACCTTTGCGCAGTTTTATTAAAATTACCGCTATAAAAATCTCGCGCGGTAATGTAATCACTTTTTGTCATCGATTTACGTTAAACTGGCCTTCATCTAGCCCTACGTTTTGGAAGGGGGGGGTACTAAAAAAGTACACCCCTAAAATCCTAAAAAATTTTTTTAAAAGTTGATGTTATTATTGAAAATTGCTTTTGAAAAAATTTTTTAAAAAATTTTGACCCTCTTCCCCCCCTCCTCAACAAAAATTACCCCTGCCAAAAAATTAAAACTGACAAAATAATTTAAATTGTTATCAAATACAAAATTTTTTCTTTTATAACAAAATGTCCAAAATTGCACCTGTAGCCGTGTCCTTGTAATCGTCGTTATCATGAATACTCTCCATTACGATGTTAAAGTTGTTGATCCTAGTCAAAGTCCGAGGTGAAAAACTAAAGTCGCTAGTATGACTTGGTGCCGGACTCTGAGCTCCAATTCGTGGTGCTGGTGCCAGAATCGGAGACTGAGGCCTCCTGCGTGGCCGGCTACTGGCTTCACTATTCGGTCGATACGTTCCGTTAATCTCATGTGGATATCCATTTTCTTTACCTTCTCCTGGGCTTGATATGTTTAGTGGTACTTGTCGTAACTCAGCCTTTCTTTTTATGCTACTGTAGTTACTTTCCTTGTCATTGATTACGTTGTTCTCGTCTTGATTACTGTAGGCTTTCCTTTGTTCTTTGGCCGCTTCAAACTTGTCCTGATCTTTTTTCATTTCATTGTAAAGATCATCGTCCTCATCGTGCATAGCTAGTGGCACATTAACCTCTTCATTGAAGCTGGCTTGTTTGCTGAAGCCTTTTATCTTCTGGTTGTTGGAGTTTTCTTCAATTTGTGTAATGTTAACTATCTTTGGAGAGTACACAACGTCAGCTGAGTTAGTACTAGACTCAAAAGCACTGTTACGGTTTCTGGGAACACTAGACTCTTTCCACTCATTCTGACGTGGAGTTGTAGCATCCAACATGTTAAGCTCAAGTGCTTGTCGCATTACCTCGTCGGATAAAGAATCCAGCCTCTGCTCTTCATGCTTTAGGTCTTCATCCAACTTTGGGCTTCTACTGTAGACTATAGTATGTTTTTCTGTTTTCACTTCTCTCTGATATTGTTCTGGCTGATCAATATTTTGTAAAATGTCCTCTGCTATTGCTTTCGGCCGTGGTGATATGATATTGTTCTTGTGGTTTCTTAAAATCTCTCGCTCTTCTGGAGATACTGGCGAGATTAACGGCCGTCTTTTACCCTTCTTATCATCGTCTACTGTAACTTTTACTGGTTGTAGCGGGACATCAGCGTGCTGTTCAATTGGGACTTTGCCACCTTGAAGAGGTATTTCTTCGTGTTTTTGGATTTCAATTGACTTCGGCCGCTCAATTGTGTTGACTGGGAAAGGCGGTGCTTCGTTCTTTGATTCAAAGTTCTTATCTTCTGCCTTACTGGCCTTTGCATCTTCATTTTCTACCCTATCACTGCCTGACGGTCTATCTCCACTTTGCTTTGTCACATCTGGTGCAAATGAAGCACTATCAGTTATAGGTAATATCGGAGCTTCTGAAAAACGTTCACGGTAAACTCTGACTTCTGCTGTACCATTTTGTCCAACTTTTTCCTCATTTATGTCTACTGATATTTCTTCCTCAGGTACTGGTGGCGGAGACTCTACTCTAATTGACATATCCATAAAGGTTTTTCCAGGTTCTACTGACGCTTCTTTCATTGGTGATAAGCGAATCTCAACATTGGGGTCAGGCTGATACGACATTTCGGATACCTTGTCAAGATCGTCGTATCTTTCTTCTGCCGGGTCTATCTTTGGTTTTGTTTCGAAGTCCAAGCTTTCTTTATGAACTTCTAGAACCAACTTGTGTTTGTTCACTTCTATGCCCTCAGGTATTTCCTTTTCAATTTCGATCTTTCGTTCAATCACAAGTTCATTTTCATCTTCATAAACGTTAACATCTACTGTCTTCATGCCCTTATCACCTTTGTCTATGCTGTCAAACCTAAGTACACTTCGGTTCTTACGAATAAAGTTTTCTTCTTGGACTTCTGAAGTTTTTGCTAATGATACAGTAGTACTTTTGAAGAAATCGTCATCTTTTGAGAACTCTTTAGATACTGTCAATGGATCCAAAGGACCTTCGTAGACATTTCTACTGAATCCATAGTTCTCTTTAGGTCCTGGAAAAATAATTTTTTCTGGACTTTTTTTTGGACTTGGCGACCGTGGCGGAGTACTGTGAACCGACCTTGCCGTTGGACTAGCTGGTTCTTGGAATAAAGTTTGAATTGTTTGTAGCTTACCAATAGCCTCAGTAGGAGTTGTTGGTTCTGGAGTTTTGTTTTCAGTAGTTTTTGGCGATACCTTTGTTGAAGAAGGCTTATCTTGGTGTTGTTCATCTTCTTTGTTTGCCTTTTCATCTTGAACATTAATTGTTTGATTCTTATTATCCAATACTAAAGTAGACGATGGACTAGTCGTTTCTTCGTGTTTTAGGTCTTCATTCACAACTTCGATATGTTTATGTGGACTCATAGATCTTGACACCAGCCTTTTGATCGAAGTTTTGAAATCTCTGGCTGGACTAGCTGATTTCGTTCGTTTAGGCGTTTCTTCTACAATTATTTCTAGAGGGGGTTCAGCTCTTTTTTCCTTCCTTAGTACCATAACCTCTTCATCGTCATTACCTCGTAACACTAACTGGTCGTTAGAGGCCAAACTAACCGTATCGTAGTTACCTCCATCAGTTCGCCTTAGTACAATTATGTCATCAGTGGTTTTGTTTCTCAAAATCATAACATCTTCTTTCGGTTCTTCATCTTCATTTGTTGCTTTAGGCGATGCTGACTTATGACGTTTTAAAGCGAAGTCAAAGTCTTCAGGTTGAGCTACGACGTACTTTGGAGATTCATGAATAATCTCATCACTATCTTGATAATGAATCGGATTACTTTTGTTGAGATCAAGCCTTATCAGCTTTGGCTTCTGCTTCTTTTCCTTCACATTTTCCCCAGAAGCCAAGTTTTCTCGACTGTTCGGTGCCTTCAGGTGCGCAGTAGTCGAAGGTCCAAAATCGGTCGTAATTTCCCGTTTAACTTCGATTTCGATGTCGGACGCGGACCGGATGTTGTGATCCTTATCCATCACAATTCTGGTCGAAATTTCAGCCGTTTCGGAACAGTTTTCGTGGACACTAATGGTCACGTCCGTATCTTCGCCGTTGCTTACGGTAATTGGCGGGTTCTGACGGAAAGCGATAGAAGTTAAAGGATTCAGCTTTACCTCGGTGTTCCTTGGCGACACTGATCGTATGTTGTGTTGAGGGCTTACCACGGTAAAATTTGGAGTTTTTGTAGAGCTTTTGGTTACAGGTGGATTCTGGTAGGCCTGTTGAAGTTCAAGATGCCTGTTGTCGTCAAAGTTTTTGTTGTGGTCGTCTTCAGCTTCTACGTTAAAAGCGGTTTGGACCGAGTCGCGACGTGTGTCATCTTCAAACAACTTCAAGTTTTCATTAGTGTCAGACGATCTTTGGCCGCCCTCTGAAGGTATCGTTGGGTTCAACAAGTCGTAGTTTACCTTTTTGTCCTCACGTGACTTGGTTTTAGCTAGCGGAATCTTGGAACGGCCTTCTTTGGAGTCGGATTTGGACAGGCTTCGGCTTTTCTCTCTCAGTTTGTCCAAAGAAGCACGGAAAATGTTGTGTTTTTTCTCTTTGGCTTCGGCGTCAGTTGTGGGGGGCGGAACGGACGTGAGGTGTGTTGAGGTTGTGGGTAATATATCCTCCTGAACCTCTTCCTCGACCGCCAATGTTACTGGCACGTCCTTTTGGTTCATTTGGATCGAAATGGCGCACGGAATTCGATGGGTTTCAAACTCGGAATGAACTGGCTTGGGTTGGTCATTTTGGTCGATTTTTAGCTGAACCTGATGATCAGGACTGACTAGAGTTCGATTAGATGGTTGAAGGGAGAAATTAACGTTTTGTTCATCAGTGGTATCCTTGCCAACATCAGTGTTAACGTAGGTATTGGGTGAGTTCATGTTAGAGTCGGTTAGTACATTGGAATTCTCATAATCTGGATCTGAATCCACGTTGAAGCCCTGAATTCGGACGGTAGAGACGTTGGGTGAGGTTGTAGATATCTGACGTGCTGGAACGATAGTCTGTATCGTTATTGGAATGTGACGAGGCCTTTGGACACGAGATGTGTGTCCTGAGCTGGAGCTAGACGAAGTGGTGGTTGTGTCATCCATACCCAACTTTTTGGTTTACAGTATTGGTTTGTAATGTATTCGTAGTACTTTGTAATTGTAGCAAATGCAGTAATTTGTAATTTTAGAACTATTATCTACTCTAGGGTTGAAAAACTTGGCAGGTGTCCAACCCAGTTTTGATAGAGAGCAACATACGGTATCGTGACTGCAATCATACGTTTTCAAAATATCAAAACATGTCAAACGCGTGAAAAAAGCAATAGGTGTGAGGAGAAAGAGAGTATTGTTGATGCACTAGTCAAAAATTATTATTAGACAAAAAACGGATAAAAAGACATCTGATTTTTACTATTTTAAGTCAAATTCAAGCTATGCCATTTTTTATAACATTTTTTTTTAATTTTAAAAGGGCACATTTACTTTATTTTTACTTTTACACGTTGTTTTTAGATATAAGTGTGTTTATTAAAATGCAAAAAAGTTTTGTCGTTTTAGAACATGAAAACCTTAATAAATTGACGACAAGACTTTTTTAACCTTTTAATGTTGACTCAAACATAACGTTCATCTCAAAAAACAGTGTATAATGCCAAAATAAGCCCACCTCCAAAAACACTGCCAATATTAGATGACCTTCTCAATTTCGTATTTTTGGACAAACATTTCAGGAAAGCGAGATTTATTTTTTTTGAGTATAAGTTGGTATAGTTGGCAGTTGTTCAGTTCGAAAAAACATAAAAATATACGTTTCTACGGTTTTTTAGAAAGTGGCAAGAATTGAAGGTAAATCATTAATAATATAATAATAAATAAGGCATATTAATAATACAATAATTGCAAAATGACTAAAAAAAGTCTTGTCGCTTTTTGCCATGCAAAGCAGTATAAATTAACGACAGAACTTTTTTTCATGCCTTAATATGACAAATGCTTTAAAAGTTTTTATGTAAAAGCATCAGCAGCAAAAAGTATGACAAAAATTTTTAACGCTTCAGGAAATTAAAAATTATTCGATTTTTATAAAAAGTTTGAAGTTTTTTTATTATAAACGAAGGAAGGACAAACCCAAAAGACCATAACTTAATACAATATGTAGATAAAATATTTTTGAAAAAAGATGTTTCAGTTTTTAATAATTTTAAAAAAATTCTTTTTTTAAATTTTTTAATGTTTAATAGTAAAAAAAAGTTTTGTCGCTTTTTAACATGCAAATATGTACAAATTGACGACAAGACTTTTTTAAAAGACTTGTTAATCTCAAAATTAGGTAGAAAATGCCAAAAATAATAAAAATTTCTTTCATTGCCATAAATTAAAACCCAAACGTCCCCAGAACGTCCTCATTTCCAGATAAACAACCTAAAAAACGCATTTAATGGTATAAAACATCAGGACCGGATCTCGAATTTCCGGATATAAAAAGGTGCCTCTAAAAGCCCGGAGGCATCTGCCAAAAGGATTCCCGTTTGTCTTTCGAACCTTATGTTTTGATCAAGATGCGTTTAAACTCCTTCGCCGTCCCAAAAGCTCCGGAAAATGTTGTTTTGAGCATCGGCTAGCATAAAAATTGTTTTAGCATGTTGGGTTGGAGGAACCAGGAAAAAATAATATAAAGTGAACGCTAGTTTTTAGAAATTTAATAAGTTTAAGTCATGTTTTACGGTCACCGAAAAGTATTGTCGCCAATTTAAAGGGATTTGCAGGTTAAAAAACGACAAGAATATTTTTAAAGCTCTAATAGCATTAGAACTGTGTTGACTGTGAACTAAAATTTAAGATTAAAAAAAAGAAAAAATATTGCACCTCCCAACTTAAAAATTTTTTTTAAATTTGATCGGTCTTCTTTTATTAAGGTTAACCAAAATACTTAAAAAATGCCCTTAAGACAGAAAATTTACCACGCCCAAACAGAAATCAACTACACTTTAAAAAGATGCCTCAATATATAATGACATAAAACAGTATAAAACATATATAATATTTTACTAATATAACATACCCAAACTTTCCAAGCCAGCCTATCCTATCTCTTATTCCATATCCTCCCTCTCCAAAACAACACTATTTCTCCCTCCACCCAAATCCCAATCCCTTTAAACAAAACTACTCTTTTCTTCTTTCTGACCCTACTTAACCTTATGCTCGGGAACTGCCTGGCGGTCCACATTGACCTCAAAAATGATAGCAACTGTCTTCGGAGGAAACAATGTGCAAGAGGGATCAATGCCAAAATTGATAAATTAACTCAAAAAAGTGATGTGATCCCGGTTTTTCATAATGAAAAAATTGGACCTTGTAATTAGAGAATTTTAGGTAATAAATAAATGCCTCAGGGTTTAAGGTTAAAGAAAAACAGCACGAGGCGTGTAATAAAGATAAAAATAAAAAAGGTTAAAACTTTCAAAAATTTTTTTTGCATAGGGGAAAACCACAAAAGTTGAAAAAACGAAAAATTTTCCCCCCCCCCCTTTTCTAGAAATAACCTGTATCAAAGTACCTGCCCATAAAGAATCCTATCCTTTTTTCTCCGAAAGAATATATATAAAGAAAATATATAAAGAACATTCGTATTCAAATTCGCAGCTTCGAGATTGTGCGTCGTAAACGACGTTAAACAAAGATGTTTTATGCCCATCGGTCATTATGCGGATGTCGAGCGGAAACAAAGTTTTACGACAAATTCTCCCGCATTCTGTTTATGCTAATTTCAGGCGTCATTTTCATGATTTATGCCCGCAAGTGTTTTGGCATTCTGGTTTTTAACACCTTATTTTCAAAATTTATTTTTTTGTTTTAATTACTTTTAAATATAATTTAAATTTACATAAAATGCTATTTTTAGTTAAATTTTTCAAAATTATTTTAAATTTTAAAATTTTTTTACTTTTGTGATGCCTAAAAAAGCCTTGTCGCCGATTTACATGGTATTTCAAGTCAAAAAACGACAAGACTTTTTTGCAATTTTCAAATTACTATAAAGGACTATGCTTTGTTTAAAACTTCCCTAGCCTTAAACTAAATTTAAAAATCCAATATAAATTGACATACCTGACACTGATGACCTTCGGCTTTGATTCGCTCCATGGTACATAGATCTCGGTGAGCCAGAACTGAAATATTTTTTGTTACTATGGTATAACATATTATATATTAACCAAAAATTTAAAACTTTGCTGTCTTTACCCCCAAGCCTAGTAAAACTTTGTTTTGTTTAGCCCCAAGCCCAGTCTAATGAATAAAACGTGGTATATAGCATTTAAAACCAAAAATTAGCAAAAGGGCCTTATTAAAACGTCACTTCAAACGTCAAAATGAAAAATCAGAAAAAGCCTTTGGGCTAATTTCCTCCACGATTGGAAGAAAAAATACAAAACAAACAAAAACTACACCAAACACTAAAACATTTTTGAGCAAACAAGCCACAACTCTTTTGACTAATTTAAGCATGATAGTGGGTAGAAGTTGGTTTGAAATGGCACTGAACCCTGAGGAAAAATGTGTTTTAAATAGAAAACTGCTATCTTAGTTTATATACAAATAAATAAAAAGTAAAGTTTTTAAAAAAATAAAAATAAACAAAATTTTTACCCCGCCCTCTCCCCCTCTCAATTTTTTCCAAATTGTATGTAAAAAAATTTTACTCCTCCACACCGTTTCAAACCACACACAGCTTAGAATTTGTAAATTTAAAAAAAGTTTTTCAAAAAAAATTTTAAAAAATCAAAAACGTCCCCAAAGAGCAGCAAAAGACAAAACACCTTACTGCTCACTGGAAGACAACTCGGCCGACTCTACCGATCCATTGTAAGGTTGAGCTGATGTGACTGTGAGCGCCTCAAGCGGCTTCAACAAAGCCGATTCCCGGAAGACACGACGATCGTACGCGTTTGTCATAACTACACAATGAGTAAATTTTAATGTTTTTAATACACGTTTTGCACGGAAACAAATTTTGTCATTTTTTATATACAGTATGCGCCAAAAGTTCTGTTACAAAACTTTACCGGTCGTTTTCTCTATGTATCATTTTAAAACTGTCAAAGTTCAAAACGTTTTCTAAGATGAGTGAGCTTGGAAGACAAAATAAGGAGTTGTGGGTGGTAAAATTTTAGTTCATTCCAAAAAAAATTTTGATAATGATAAAATAATTTAAAAAACCTGCCCCTCCCCCTATTTTAAACCGTATATATACATATAGCATAAACAATCACCTGCAAGCTGCTAATAATAAAGTTTAAAAATTGGAAGTATCTACAACATAAATAACAATATTGCCATGGAATATCCTATAAACAAGCTCAAAAACCCCAGTTCCAAACAAAACCGTTTGTGGATTTGCCCAGAATGGCCAAAGCCCAAGACCAAATTTCCCGCGTAAATCATTTCCAATGCAAAATAAATAAACAGCTTTCTCCCAGCTAAGTATATTCTCTGAAGTACATCATAGTTAAGTTACTGTTAGACATTTTTTAATATTGGACATAACTATTAAGCTTTATAAAGGCTTGGCGCTAATTTACATTGTTTTTCCTGTTTAAAAACGCCAAGAGTTTTGTTTTGTCCTAGTACTTTTTAAAATACTAATTTAGAATGATAGAGTAACAAGAAACAGAAATATAAAACGTCAAAAAAAGCCTTGTCGTTTTTACAAGAAAAACTCTTATTTAGTTAGCGACAAAACTTTTTTAAACCCCTATTATCAAAAAATGGTCTTAACTACAAAAAGACCATTTTTAATGTCAAAAACAGAATCAAATTAAAAAGTTCAATTTTAAATTCTGTTCGAAATTCTAATTGTTTTTTAGATTTACAAAAAACAGCCCAAAGGCTCCATAAAATGAAAAAAAACGAAACATTTGGTGAAGAACTTCCGGCCGAAACTATAGAGCTTTCAGTGAACTTGCCTATTCAAAGATAATTTTGAGTTCAAAAGACAAACTATTTATAGTACAAGTTTTGAAACACGAAAAAAAAAACTTTTTAACTTTAAAATGTTTTTGTAACTAACCTTTTAAATTAAAAAATTTGAAAAGGGATAAAAATGAAAAAAGGAAGAAAAACCACACCCTATGCCAAGCTTAAGCCAACCCCAGCAAAATCAGTAAATAAAAAATGCTAAAAAAAAGTTTTGTCGTCAATTTACATTGATTTGTATGTTAAAAAACGACAAGACTTTTTTGTCAACTATAATGGTATTATAGAACACGGGTCAGACCAAACCAAACTAATAAAAAAAACCAGACATACCAGGCCGATCCCAAACCATCAAGCCCACCACTCGCAAGATATAAAACACTATTTTGAATTAATCATTTACATTTTTGTTTGTCGAACACACCCATAAACATTTAGATTATAAAACCAACAAATAATATTTTTGCTGATCTAATGATTCATATATACAATCTGTCATATTTTCGCTATAAAATAAGAGAATAATTGCTGGATTGAACTTTGAACTTAATTTTTTGCTAAAATATTATACTAAAATCAAAAAAATTTTTTTTTTCTATTTTAGATATGGCTTCAAAAAACTGTCAAAAAAATTAAATTCAAAGGTGAGAAGACTATAAGTCAATTTTAAAAAAGCATTAAAATACTAGAGCCTTTAAGAACCCCTCACTTCTTCAACCAGCTCGAATTTCATTTTTTTGCTTATTAAATTAACGCACTTTCTTTTATCCCCCCCCACCCCCCCCTTCAATTTTTTAAACAAAATTTTATTTTTACCTCCAACAGACATAAAATTACCCACTTTGCATATGTCCACAAGTACTATCTATAAAAAAGGTTTTGACCTCCCCAATACTTATAACATAAAGTTACCCCTCCCTATAAGAACACAAAATTACCCCTCCCACCTTCCCTCTACTACAACATAAAACTTATTTACCCAAATTAAAGAGTGCATCTTACTGACCACTAAAAGAACAAAGGATGGGGGAGCGACTGTTTTAAACACTACAACAAAAACCTAAAGGCGATCTGGCCGGCCAGCGTTTCGAAGGGACAAATGGCCAAGTTTATTCGGATCCGACTGATTTTGAGTTGGAATGGGTTGAGTAAAAGACAGAGGGTATAAAGGCTCAATATTATGTCAGGTTTAAGCTGGATTTGATAGGTTGTATAGTACAACATAAAAATTGAAAACTCAAAAAGGCCTGGCTATACCATGCAATGTTAAATACCTAAAACCTGTACTAAACCAAATTAAAAAAATTTTAAATTAACGTTTTTCAATGTGAAAGATTATGTAAATTTACGACATGACTTCGTTGGCAAATTAAGATCTCTGAACCCTCCCCCCCCTCCCAAAATTTTAAAATCTTCATCCCCAATCCAAAAACAACTACCCAAACCCAACTAACGTTTCAACCATTAAACGAAACAAATCCCCCAGCTATTCCCCAACGTCCCGCCGTGAGGACAAAATATAGCATACCCACCCCTGCCCCTATTTATCACAAAAGAGTGCGCTTCTTTTTTTGGTCGCAGATGTTCTGAAGTACCCAAAACATAAATCCAGTCGTAAACAGCGACACGGCATATGGCTTGACGAAAGTGCAAATTATGCGAATTGCGGTAAAATGCGCTTTAGCCGATTCGAAACGGACATACAAAGGTCACATACCTCAATTATGGTTTAATAGTTTTGGGCGCGGTGGCAAATAGGGTTAGCTTATGGGGTGGGGTTCTAACTTTGAATAACTGCTGGTACAGATTTTATTTTGAAAATTTTAATGTGAAAACCTTAATGTTAAAAAATTTTTTGTCGTTTTTGGCTGTACAAATCAATATAAATATACATGTAAAATAACGACAAAACTTTTTTGAGCCACTAAAATGAAAGTTTTGAGACTATAATCGTATTTAAAATGAAAAAAGTTTATGAGTAATAGTATAGCAGTAAGGAATTCTAATAGCCCTCTACTGTTGAGTAATGTTTTCCAACGTAATAATCCTCCCCCACGTAATAATAAAAATAATACAAATCTAACCCGTTTTCCGCTCTACCCTACCCTACCATGCGCTTCAATACTCTACAATACCATGCCCTCCCTTATATTCCAAAAATATTAAGCCAAAGTTACTAGCCCCAAATAAACATCTGTAGCCAAAATCCCCACCACTATAAGCTCTTCATTTCTTTGCTTTTTATGCCTTTACAAAATGATTTCCCTGAGGGGTTGGCCAGGATATGAAAATATTCAGCTACAAGAACAAAACGAGCGAATGACACTCGGTAGAGTTGTAAAAGCATTCGTATCACTCAATTTGAAATTTATAGCTTTTGCGAGGGCAGTAAGTTGGCAGGAGAAACTATGGGGCTACACTTTGAGGTAAACTTTGCGGTGATTGAAAACAATTATTAGTTTTTAAAAACTTAATGTTAATATACTATCAAAAAACTTTTTTCAAAATTTTGAAATTGGTCCCCCCTGTTAAAATAAAAAAAAATATATCCCCCTTTCAACTCACATACCCCACCCCCACTGCAACTTATAATACTCTCATATATAGCCAAGATTTATTGCTTTTAGTAGACAAATTTCACCAAAAGTAAAAATATTTTTAAATATAAAAATTAACATTTTGATTGAAGAATAGAGTTGGACAACGATATTTTGATAAAGAAACTCTCAAAGATTCAAATAAGATAAAGACTTTAAATATACTTTGATATAACATAGTAAATACTCTATGTTTCTTTATAAGTTGAAACTTGAACTAGCAATGTTCATATCATCAAAGAGAAGTTAAAAATTAATAGTGTGACTAAAAAAGTAAACTTTTCCCTTAATTTTTAAAAATTTTCAAAAATTTTAAAAAAATTGATTATTTAAAAAAATATGTCGCGTTATCATTCAAACTTAACATGGTAACACTAGTATAATAAACGTTTTTGTATAGACTCACCAATACAAAAACAAAATAACCTTAAAAGACTGTAGTAATTTCTTTCATATGAAAGTACAGTAAAACTCCAGTATCGTACATGAAGTCCTACTGTAAAGCCAAAGCCGAAACATCTAATAGTGCGTATAAAACCGAAAGGAATGCAGTATGTACACAGTGCAATAGGAAAAGGTCAACGGAACAATAGCGGGAGAGAGATTCGGTGATTCGTGGTGGGTGCACGAGGAACAGTGGGAATCACGTAGGAGAGTGCAAGAAGAACGGTGGAAGTCACGTTGGGTTGGCACAACGTCAAGCAACACGAGAAGCTTCACAATACAACATCCATAAGAAAGCGCGTGATTTAGCACCGTTATTGATGTCCACCGTGAACTTTATCATTCAACGTAAACTTTGTCAGCACCGTAACAAGACCGTGCCGGCTGGTGTAGCATTAAAACGATATAGTGCGACGTGTGCAAGGTGAAAATGCTACCAAGATCATGGTAAAATGAATACCAAGATCATGGTGAATATGCTGTTGATTCCACAGTAAAAGTGGTATCAATACCACGGTAAAACGCTACCAACACCGTACTACAGATTCGCTCACCGTCCGTTTTGATACTGTTGCTGCTGAGCGTTCTGGTACAATAATGGATGATATGGTAAAGGTGTCTGATTGCCCGATTGCTGATGAGTCGGGAACGCCGGCGTTTCGGAACGACCTGTCGTGCTACCGTAGTCAGGGTCCTGCAAATATTTTTTTAAAAATTTATTTGAAATTTATTATGTTAAGCTTAGAAGTAAAGTGTCATTCACCTTACCCTACCGTACCCTACATTACCTTATCCTACCCCCTATCAAACTTACAGCTACAGGCGTTTCGTCACCGTATCGATAAGGAGAAGCGTAGATTTCAGGAGCCGAAAATCCAGAATGAGCACTTGAACCCATTGAATCGGCCGAACTCGTACCATAATAGTTGTTATAGTTGCCTGACCCAACGCTACCGTAGTTATTGTAGGCGTAATTACTGTCCGAACCACTGCCAGATCGTTTTAGAATCGATTTTGTCGCGTATTGTGGCGTTTGGTTCATTCTGGCTCGATTTTCCTGCAATTCCAAAAACTGTAAAATGTTTTTAAAATGTTTTTTAAATTTAAATTGTAAAAACATACGTTGTTGACCATGCTGTTCAAGTACCTAAAGTCAGTACTACTTTGCTCATCTTCATCTGAAGTCGCGTTCTGTCTGAATCTCTGTTTCAGTTCACTATCAAAAGGTCTAGCCGGCGCTTGTTTTGATTTTTTCGGTTTCTGATAATCGCCTTCGGCAGCTCGCGTCCTTGCTGCTTCCCGTTCCAATCGTTCCTGATACTTTCGTTCCGAGTCCAGCACGACTTGAGGTTTTTTCCCGAAAATCGGTGAAATGGCACCCTCTCCAGGACTGCGTGACCGCTGTGGTTGTGGCGGTGGAGTCGGCGGCTTCTGGCGGACAATCTGATTCGTTGGCGTAGCTCCGCGCGGACGACGCTGATAGTCCGAAGCTTTAATGAACTGTGGCGTCGCGTTCTTGTCTCGCTGATAAGAAGCGATTGAACCGTAGTTTGACTGTGAGCGATCGTACTGCTGCCGTGAAGCATAGTCGGACCGTGGAGCATAATGAGATTCTGGAGTTTGTTGACGGTAGGCGTAGTCACGCTGAGATGGCTGACCATATCTAAATAGATTAGTGTTATAAAAATAGTCAAAAATTCCTAAATAAAACAAAATTTTTAAGACAGTATATTACCGTAAATTTACTAAAAACAACCCCCATTCTATTAAAAACTAAACACCCACCCAAATTCAGCCATAGGATCCACAACTTGACTAGTTGGAGTAGCTCTGGACCTGCTCTCCGGCCTCGTAGTTCCGTAGTCGCTCGACCTAGATGGGAACAGAATTGTAGGCGTAGCGGAACGTTGTCGAACCAACGTCGCTCGGTCCTGATCGTACTGATATGATGGTGTTTTGGAGCGGGTGGCACGTTCCATCGCTTGACGATTCGCAATCCGAAGCTCATCACGAGTCGGAGGAGTAGGTTGCGAATGCTTCAGAATCGAATGTGGAGCCGGCTCTGGTTTAGTGCTTTGAGGTGCTATAAAATTCGAGTAATATTTGAGTACAAAGTTTGAATTTTTTAATTTTTCTGACAGGATTTGCTGATTTTGTAAACTTTTTTCAAACTATTTTTCAAAACTTTCAATTTATGTGTCTAGACAACTTGCCATTTTTAGTTATGCCAAAAATGAAAAAAATGCAAAACTTATACACCGCGGATATAAGAAGCGAAGCTTTTTAGGTATACCGGTTTGAACAAATTCTTAGCATGAATCCACTTCGAATGTGCATGACCAGTGCAGCATAAGTAGTTACTTCATAACTATGGTTTCGAACAGGTCAGTCGATCGGCAGGTACGGGTCTCCGAACTTGACCGCTTTGGCACCTGAGAATTTATTCTGCTCCCCTGCGCTATGCAGGGAGCGGTGGTTTTCGGCTTATTTTCGCTCCAACAGGAAACGCAGCGAATAAATTGGGATTTTTTAGAGAGTTTTGAACTATTTTAGGCAATCTTAAATGTTTTACTGGTCGAGAAAGTTTTAGAAATGCTTTTTATAGTTACAAAAATAAATATTACATCTTTTTTCTATATATTTCCCGCTTTTTTTCATTAAAAACAGAAAAATCAACGTCTATAAATGATTTGAATAAAAATGAAGATCCTATAATTATTCTCATGACTAAATTTTAACTATGGACTAAAAGTTTAGAGAAAACTTTATATAAAGGTTTTATATGTCAAAAAAATTAATTCTTACCTTATTTTAGGTTAAATTTTAGAAAAATAAACAATTTTTAATTTTGCCTTGTTTGAAACAATAACAACATAAAGTAGCATTTTTGTTACCTTTGATAAATTGAATTTTTTAATAATATGTATAAACCAAGTTTTGTCGAAAAAAGACTTTTTAAACGTAAACCATCTAAAACAACAACGAACCTTGTCCATAACTTCCACTTTTAAAACCAAAATCTTCACTTTGAGGTCTTGATACTGGCTGTCTAACATCTTCTTGATTGTAGCCATAAGTGTCACGACGAGATTGATGTTCGGAAGGAGTGTTTTGCAGAATTGGAGCACGTTGTTGTAGGTTATGTTGTTGTGGCACTTCAACGTCCGATTGGTAACTATTTCGATTTTCGCGGTATATTGTCGATGTGTTTTTGAGTTGCTGAAATGGAGTTTTAGAGGGCTGACAGTGCTCGAGGAGTACTTTTTAGGCGAAATAATCAATTTTTTGAAAATTTTATTTAATTTTTGACGAGCAACGAAAAACCTTTCAAAAAGATAATTATCATTTCTAGAAGAAAAACTAATAAACTCACTTCAAGCAACAACCTCTCGGCCTGCTTCCTCTGATGTCCATCTGGATCATGTAGCCTTTTGTTCTTCAATGCTGCCAACTTATCTCGTAGCCATTCGTCGGCTTCGCCTTCCGGCTCTTGGAATGACAACTTTCTTTGCGTTGGGAGGGCATTCACGGAACGACTGTTTCGTTGACGGTAAGAGTCACGTTCTGGCCAATATTGATTTTCTGAATATGTAGCCGTGGGTTTTGGGGTGTAGGAACGTTGTTGTGGGCGGGGTGGGAGTTGGGCCGATGAGTAGATCATGTCGTTTAGGCCGTCTAGGTCTCTGAAAACACATTTTGTTACCTAAATATTTGTGAAACAGGTTCTGAGAATGTAAAAAAGTTTTGTCGTTTATTAACGTACAAAAAAATACAAATAAACGACATTTGAACTATTCCGGCGTCTAACCCAAGTCTCTATAATGCCTTTGAGATATACTAACATCAAAACTTACTTTTGAGATATAGCTCTTAACGGTTCTCGTCGCTTCTCGTAACTATAGGTCTGTTCATAAGCTGGAGCCATCGACCGGCTTCGACGTTGGTTTGGGCCGTCGAGAGTGGGAGTAGCGTTGTTCGAGTATGTCATGTAAAACTCTGGATCACACAAGTCGTCCATGCCACCTCTAAAAACGATTTTTTAGACTAAAATTAACTTTTTTTTAAAATTTTTTATGTTTTAAAGATTTAGGTATATACGTTTATCACAAGGTTGTAGCCATAAGAAAGAACGTTAAACTCAAATTTAGAACTTTTAATTTGAGTTTTGCCATTTTAATCAAAAAAGCGGCCCAAGAACGTCATTTCTTAAAACAATACTTTATATTATCCATATTGAGGATATTGTTGTCCCAAAAAAATAATTCATTTCAAGCTTTGTCGTTTTTTGAATAAATTTCCATACCAAACAATCCAAATTGCCAACCAGTGGTTTGGCAAAAAAAAACTCTATTTTGTTCCTTTTAATTATAGTGGCATTTTTTGTATTGGAAATTTTTAAATTTTTAAAATAGCAACAATATTAACCATGACTTACGGATTGTCTCCATTTTCCAGTTTTTTCTGCTCGAACAGATCTTTTTGTTGAGGTGGCGAGTGAGGTCGAGGGGTTTGCAATCGAGCCGGTTCGTAATTCAAGTTGGTGTCCAGCAAGTTCTCGAACGGATCAGGCTGTAGGCTACGTTGTCGCTGATTCCGTCGACGCTCTTCTTCGGCCTTGCGACGAAAATCGGATTCCGTTGGTAGATCACCGGCCAACTGAAAGTCAATTTTTTATACAAAGTTAGAAAATTTAAAATTTTATGGACTTCAATTTTTGAGCACGTTATCAATTAACTGTTTATTTTTTGTAATATTTAAATTTCAAAAAGCTGTAAAATAAAATATTGATTTAGAATAGGCTTTTCTTTTACAAAGCATAGTCTTTTTTTTTAAATAAGATCCGTTTTTGCAAACAAATATGCCAAATAAATTGCCATTTTTATTTAAAATGTGCCACAAAATGAAACCAAAAACCTTTAAAAACATGTTATAAAAATATTTTTGACATTAGAACATAATTTTCATTGTCTTAAACTGTAAAAAACATCAAAACACAAACCAATATCGTTAATCCGACCATAAGGAATCGAACTCTCAGATAAACCATGTGCAACCATTTCTCGGTTATTTATTTTTTATCACTGAGCTATGCGCGTACGCGGGCTTTTGGCTCTCTTGGTGCTCTTTTATTCAACGCGCGCGGTGCAAATGAAATTCCTCGTTAAAAAAACTTTAAATTACTGTAACTTTGTCGATATAGGGACATATTCAATTAAATAAAAACTATTTTGGCGTAACTTTTAGTCGTCTTTAAGATGGTATAGGTCTCATTGTCAATTTCTACGCTTTATGACTAGCTTTAGCTTAATTTTCGTCTCAAACCTTAACTTCAAAAAAAACTTCGTTTTCATCGATAAAGTGCCATAAAATGACGAAAAACCGTAAAAAATATTTTTAAACATTATTTTGATGTTTTAAAATAATTTCTCTTATTCTATAATGTTGAAAACCTCAAAAAATAAGTTATTACCGGCAATGCGACCAAAAGAATTCGAACTCTCAGATGATTGAGAATGAACCATTTCTCGGTTATTTATTTTTTAATCACTGAGCCATGCGCGCACGCAGACTTTTGGCTCTCTTTTTGCTCTTTTATTCGACCCGCCCGGTGCAAAAAGGATTTCTGGTACAAAAAGAACTTAAAATCACTGTAACTTCGTCATATATGAAGCAACGCGACTAAAAAAAATTATTCTAACATAACTTTTTCTCCTCTTTAAATGATATAGGTATGACTCTTAAGTTCAATACTTCTTATTTTTTATTTTAAACCGCTAAAATAAAAATTTTATCCTAAAACCCACCCCCAAACAAATAAGCTCTAAAAACCACCGCCCAAAATTTCTGATTATTCCAACCGCGAAATTTGCAAAAAATCCGGCCAAAAAGAATAGGGACAAATTTGGCATATTTCTTTCCAAAAAAATAATAAGCCGAGCCAAGCGAAAGAGAAAAGACGGCCTAAGACCAGTGGATTATTATTTCAACAAAATTCCGACGGTCAGTTATTTGACAATTCCAACTTGGTTTTCTTGATTTACAGCTAGATTTTCAAAAATTAAAACCTTTTTTATTTTTAGCTCTGGTAATCATTCAATAATATTATTACATTATAATATATTGAATACAATCTTCTGGATTATAACAATAAACAACTTTTTCGAAAAACATAACCGCTTTACAAATTTAAAGCCATTTCCTCCCAAAACCGCCACAATTATGACATGATTCAATGTCATTTAAAACATTAAATTGCCGACAGGTGTCGCTTAGTAGCATAAAATTTAGTCTTTCTTGTCTTTGGCATATTTACAAGTGCATGATTAAGCTTTAAAACATGAAAAATATGTTGTTTATAAGGAATAGTACGGTAACGCGCACAAAGCATAACATTATGCAAAAATATTCCTACCGAAAAGTACTATCCTACCCTAGCCTATCCTATCCTAGGCGTACACTACACTCACTTAAAATTTTAAAATCTTGAATCCCCTCCCAATTTTTCAAAAACTAATCAAAATGCCCACGCTTGCATGCTACTATCTTGCATCCACGCCAACATACCTTGTTGATTTCGTCTTCCCATTTGGGCGTCTCGGCCCGCTTCTGTAATTCCACACCGTGAAGCGGGAGGTCGCGTAGCTGTTCGGGATCTACCCGATCCGGCACCTCGATAACGGCGGGCTCAATGCTCGAACGTCGTGCACTCGTGGGCGGCTTCTTCGGCGCTCTGTAGTGTTCTTTCAGTGACTTGGCCGGCACATACGAAAAGCATTTCGAATTCGGGTCGTATCTGCAGAAAAAAAATAAAGAAAGAAATTGAGACTTTTTTCAATAATAATGATTTTTTTAATTGTTGATCAAAAGAATATTAATATTGGAGATGTACAGTAAGTCCTGTCGCCAGTTAAATAGATTTTAATATTCAAAAACGACAAGCCTTCCTTCGATACCTTATAAAATATTTCAACAAAAAGATAAATTTTCAAAAAATTTCAAAAAAATCTTACCGCCCCTTTGCCACCAAGGAAGGTTCAATTTTACTAGTAGAATCTACATCACGGTGCTTGGTGACCCTCGGATTCTCACTGTCCGGAGACTGTCCTCTCAACAACGCTGGCAATACTTTACGCTCTCGACCAATAGTACCATCTATATGACCATAAGGGTCGTCATTCTCGTCGTCATCATCTTCCTCGTCTTCTTGTCGTGATGTAGATTCATTGGCATCATCGTCTTCAAACTGAACTGGCGTGTAGCCGCGCGGTTTTGGCGGCACCGCCGGAGGAATGGGCATCTGCGCCGGGGGTTCAAACTGAAATTTGATATTTAAATTTAAAAAATATTTTTTGAAATTCAAATATTAATTAGCAAAGATATCAAAATATGATGTATATAACCGGTGATTAGCGAGAAATTTTGGGTTGAAGAAAGTGGTAAAAAATTCATTTTTGTAAACGAAACATGATTATTAAAAATGGTAAAAAAAGGTATTATAATATAAAGTAAACCCCAAGATAATACGAAAAATTATTATACGTAAAGGGCGGCGTAATATTCTTTTCTAAACATGAGTAATATAGGGTTTGTCTTATTACTTAAACGTAACGCATAAAATTTGTCATAAATCACGATTAAGGGGATTCATACTGCGCCTCGTTTTTACGTGTAAATTTACCACAGTAATTTTTGTTCACAAAATTTGAAAAAATTTCTTAGTGGAAATTAAAAAGCCTTAAAAAACTCCCCCAAAAATCTCACCTCCCCCTTTCAAAAAAATTTTTTTATTTGAATGAAGACATACGCTCTTGTCGAAAAATTAAAATTTTTACTTTTGAATTTTTGGGTGAATCGGATCCAATGCCAGAGTCGGCTCCGTCGGTGTTCAAGCTGTTCTGTTGCTTAATCCCACCAACAGGCGCTTCGATGTGGACTGGCGATGAACTCTTGGCTGGTGTAGCCGGCGCAGTCGGCTGTGGAGTCAGATTCAGCGACTGGGACTGAGACCGGTCGTCTGAAATTATAAAACGTTCATAGAAGAGAACTAAAATGCTGTTTTTTCAAATTTCGGTTAATTAATAACATCAAAAATTTTTTTAATTTAAAAAATAAAGTTAAAAATTCCAAAATAAAAAAATTTCATAAAGCTACAAGCAAGAAAACGTAAGAATCGAATGTTTTTTGCTACTTTCTAATGACTAATTTAGTTTTTTTTATAAAAACGATACACATGCAATATTTTAGGGATTGTGAATAATGTTTACACAACACGTGTTGCACATTCTTATAGAAGTAATCCGTTTTCCATATTAATTCAATATTAAATTATTTGAAAAGCCCCATGTCATTAAAAAAGTAAATATTTAAATTTTACAAAAATGTAAAACGATGTGAGTCCAATCCATTGTTTTCTCCCCCTACGCTCGCGTTTACTTACAAAATAATAAAAATAGTTAAATTTTCTATTGAAATTCTTTCAAAATAAATTTTTCTCTCCATGCATGAAAAAAATCACCCTCTTACAGGTTACCTCACTCCTAATTGCTTTGCCATCCCTTACCCTTTCCTTACACCTGACGCTCTATTCAAAAAACAAGAATATTTTCCAATTTTCCTGTTCCAAAAATATTGATAATCTTATTGATTATCATAACAACATCTTATGATAAAACAAAAATTTGCAAAAGATTTCAAAAAACGAGAAAAGTATATTAAACAAAGATTGAAAACCACTTGATAATAAGAACCGTGTTATAAGTTTAATTACAACTAACTCAAACAAAATTCGGAACCTCGTGTGCATCTGTCGGATCCGATGCCAAGGTTGATTTAAGTCTCGAAAAGACGGCCAGTTTGATTTTTTAAGCCCCGAAGGGTTCCGAATCGAATAGCCACTTTCGAACCTCGAAAAAAATATATCCCGACTTTTAGCTTTCGCTTTATCAAATTTGATCAACTGTGTACCTTGGCTATAAATTGATATTGAAAATTGTTTTAAAAGCAAAAGTGAAAAGTGAAAACGGCAGCGATAATTTGTAGGGTTTCATTAAAACTAGTAAAATTTTTTAAAATTTAAAAACTTTTTTAACTGTTTAAAACTCTTTAGGCTTTGAAATTACCAAATTTTGCGTAAATGAACAACTTTTCCTATTTTATTCATAATCTATTTATAAGCATGCTACTATCTTGCAAACTTTGATTTTTGTATCTTAATATGTCTACCTCTATAGCGTCTCTGTCTTTTCCAACCGTCTCTCTATTCAGAAGCCTTCGAGCCAAATCTTATAGGCCCTTCCCAACCCTAAGGCTATTAAAATAAATTCCTTCAAAGCTTCTTCGATCGTCCCCTTTCAAGCTTCTCTCAATCGTCCCCCTATCGATCCCATCCCCCCCCTCTTCGCACTAAATTTTATTCCCCGTAATATTTTCGGCCGACATTGTCATTCTTTCTCGACAACTATAGTGGCACAGCTAAAACAATGTCATCCCCGTCAAGACTTTTACTTTCGAATCAGCACCTGTCCAAAACTTGCAATCGCCCAAAAGCAAAAAAAAACGTTTGGTGCCAAAAATTGGAATGTTCCTGCCCCCTTTTCCGCCCACCCGACACAGAACGCAAAGACCATTAATGTCATGGAAATCAATAAATATCAACAAGGATCGGCCTGATTCGTATATTGGAATAAAAACTTAATAAATTAGGGAAGGCATTGAATTTTAATAAAAAATTAGTTTTGAAAATAGTATTAAAAATAGTGGACTTAACTGTTATAAAACTAGTCCTCCAATAACTTCTAGTAAAGTTCAGAGATCTCGTCGTCAATTTATGTTATCCTGCACACTCAAAAATGAAAAAAAAAATTTCCACCGTAATAGTAAAGTAAAAGTTTTAAAAACACCGTTAAGTTTTAAAAAACTACTTTTTCACAAATGAAAAAGCAAGAACAATCCGTGTTAAGCGAAATTCTACTTTTGTTTTGAGTAAGAAATTACTACTCTTGGCCGTAAAACCTAAACCCCTAATTTTTTTTATTTTAACCACTAATTTAAACTGTTAGTTCGTTTGAAAACAAAAGGTAACACACCAAAACCCAATAAATTTTAAAAATCGTCGTTTTTAAAAGGTGTTATTATAAGATCGAACCAACTGTTTTAGCATTCCTGGCTTATTTTTTCAATTTTCGTAAAGGTTGTTGGGCAGTTTTATAAAAACTTTTTGAAAAAAATCATTTTTTCATGTTTTTAAAACTAAAATTTTTCAAAAAGTTGCACTAGTCGCCCATTAAATTTTAAAACTTTCAAAAATTTACCTTGTAAAAATAAAAATAAACCTACCCTCCGGCCGATCAAAGTTCTCGTAACTGTCCACACGGCTAAAGTTGCCACTGTTTCTGTTCTGTTCAGCACCAACTGACTGAGCTCGTTGTTCTGACCGACAAACCAGGTTCTGTCCAGAATTCTGACGCTTCAAAGAGCTGGAACGACTTCTGGACGGCTCCATGACAAAGTTGAATTCGATCTTTGCTTCTGGGCTAATTGAGGCATCTAAAATTAAATTACTAATTAAAAAAGAGTTAACAAAACAAACAACCACTGTTCCAAAAAAACCAAAAAAATGAACCTCCCACCCGCCCTTCTCCACTTTCCAACCTTATTAACGCCATAATGTCACTAAAAATTCCCTGACTTACCAACCAAATCCAGATCATTACCGTAGAAAGCAAGCTGTGGTAACCTTGGATCCAACTCTAGTGCGCAAGTGTTAAACTGGCATTGGAAAAGAAGTTGGCGATCGTCTGTTTCTTGAGTCTTATCGTTTGGTTTGGCAAAGCATTTGACCAAAAAGTCGCCTCGAAGCGACAAGCCTTCTTCTCCAAAATTCACTATCGTATTTGATGATGTGATCAAACTATATTGTCATAAAGTTATTATTAAATATATCTGTTTATAAAAAGAAAAATTCTTTATATTGAACCCTTCAGTACATTGTGAAACTCTGTAACCTTATTTTAATAAGCTTAAGTTTATTAGGCTTAAAAAAACTTGGTAGATTTAGGCTTAGTAAACTTAAACTTATTGGTGTAAGTATAGTAAATTTAACCTAGTAATCCACAATCCCTAAGGCAAATGCCAGTAGATAATAATAGATCCCTCGCAGAAATCTTAAGCTACATTGTCATACTCGCAGAAACTTGTTGGGTCGCTTTACATCGAAGCAAATATTATATAAAACAATCAATATTAAATACGAAAAGTTGCACAACTAAAATTCTTGCAATTTCACTAAGGCTACCTCGTTGTATCAGAATCTTAGGTAATACTGTACAAACTGTTTCCAAACTATTTTTCAAAACTTTCAATTTGTGTTAAGTTCCCATTTTTAGTTATCCAAAAATGCAAAACTTATACACCGCGGATATAAGAAGCGAAGCTTTTTAGGTATACCGGTTTGAACAAATTCTTAGCATGAATCCACTTCGAATGTGCATGACCAGTGCAGCATAAGTAGTTACTTCATAACTATGGTTTCGAACAGGTCAGTCGATCGGCAGGTACGCGTCTTCGAACTGGACCCCTTTGGTACCAGAGAATTTATTCTGCTCTACTGCGCTATGCAGGTAGCGGTGGTCCTTGGCTTATTTTCGCTCCAAAAGGAAACGCGGCGAATAAATTGGGATTTTTATAAAATTTTGAACTATTTTGAACAATCTCTAATGTTTTACTCTTCAAAAAGTTTTTAGAAATGCTTTTTAAATTTATAAAAATAAATATTACATCTTTTTTCTGTATATTTAACATTTTTTTCTTTAGCGCAAGCCTTCTTCATCAAAATTCACTGTCGTATTTGATGATGTAATCAAACTATATTGTTATAATATTATTATTAAAAATATTTTTTATAGAAAAAAATTCTCTATACTCAACCCATCGAGTATTCTGTGAAATTCTGTAATCCTATTTGAATGTTCTTACGTATAGTAAGCTTTCTATACTTAATCCTGATAAATTTAAGCTTAGTATACTTAGGCTTAGTAAGTTAAAAGTTTAGTAAGTTTAACCTAGTAAGCCACAATCCCTAAGGCAAATGCCAGTGGATAAAATAGATCCCTCGCAGAAAACTTAAGCTACATTTCCGTACTCGCAGTAATTTGTTGGGTCGTCTTGCACCGAGGCAAATATTATGCAAAACCATCAATATTACATAAGAAAAGTTGCACAAATAAATTTCTTGCAATTTCTCTAAGGTATGTTGTTGTATCAGAATCATAGGTAATACTGAATTTTACAAAATACTATTCTTGTCTTTGCCATTCCGTAAGCTCTTATAACCTGAATTTAACCGCTTCTATCGTACCCTACCCTACCCTACCATACTCTACCCTACTCTACCCCACTCTAATCCGCTCTCCTATCCTAACCATCCCTACCAATACATATCCTTAAAATCCTTACATTTTCTCAGTATTGTAAACCGGTTTCATCCGTTCGTAGATCTTCAAAAGTATGTTAATACTTTCAGGGAATTCAGCAAAACTAATTGAAGTTAAATGAATTGGCTGAGGATTCACTTTGGTGGCTCCACTGATCAAGTTGGCAAAATATCTGACATATCTTTTGTGCGATGGTTGGCCATCGAATTGAAGAAACTTTTCACTGAATAACTGCATCGAGTAACGATCGGCCACTGATTCTTCGCTAAAATACAGAGGCCTGATTACACTTTCGATAAAAAGCAAATATATTGTTAAAATAACTTATATTTTTACACCCCTCTCCCCTCCAACACCAACATCCCTTAATATATGGCCTAAAATCCATACCTCGAACACACATTAGCATAGTGCATATAAGAAGCAATGACAATAGCTGCGCGACTCCTCCATCCTTTGCAGTGAATAACAACCAAGTTCTTTGGATTGGCATTCAGCCAATTTTCAAATTGCTTACAAATCGAGCACAGCTTGTCCAAAGGCGGTGCCAATTGGTCTGGCCACCCTAACTCAACTACAGCACCAGAATTAGAACGGCCGAGGTCAGATCGCTTTTGGGATACATTGAAAATCTAAAGGTTTAGCATTGGAATTGATTAATACATCAAAATATTACCTAAAATTGTTTTATCACTTTAAAATCTCCTTTAAAATTTCACACATCAAAATATTCCTTAAAGCTTCAGTTATCATAAATCGCTTAAAAACTCACCTTATAGTTCTCCCCATAAGTCTTTCTCAACTTCTCACTGACTTCTTTAATACTGTTCCGGTATAAGTTGTCAGAACCGCCGGTGGGAAACGTCAAAGCAGCAATTCGGTCAGTGATACGGCTGAATTCAACTCCACCGGCATGAATTTGAATTTCGGCCGCCATTCTTTGTGGCTGAGACCTCGACCTCGGAGACTTTTTATTGGTCAACGGCACAACCGAACGATACTGATTACGGTGATTGCGGTCCTAAAATATTGCTACATTTAACACATCAACCATTAATGTAAGGCAGTTGAAAGTAAAAGAATAGATGAAAAAGAAGAAAATAGCTGTTATCAAAAAAATTCAACTTGATATACAAAATAAAAAAATACATAAAATTATCGTCAATTTGATTTTAATTCTAAAAATCCTTGGACAATATTGTCAAGTTAAAAAAATGTTTTTTGAGTTCAGTCTGCTCCTTCTCCCCTCTTACAAGTTTACCCAAATTTAATTGAAAAATGACATATGGAAAGCGTTAAATCTGATAAAACCAGGACTTGCTTACAAATGGTTTTAAAAATATATTCATTTTCAAAATCTTTAAAAAAAATTAAAATTTAATAAAAAATACTTTTATCATAATTGGGCGGGGTATTTTGATCTGAAAAAATAACAAATATATATTTTTTTTCAAAATAAGAAAAAAGAAAATCCGTCAAAAAAAATTTTTTTACACCGTTATTCCCCCCGACCAAGATTACCCTGCCTGAAATATTTCATCTGTAACCTATTAGAAGTACTGTTTTTGCACCATGCAGTTTTGAGGTTCGGGCACTATACTCAAAAGATAAATTTTTATATTTTTTCGAAAGAACCGGTAAATTATTAAGAGCAAAAGTCAATATTAAATAAACTAGTTCAGCACCCCAAAACTTTAAAGAATTTCAGCAATCCTCCCTTAAAACCAAAATAATCTTTAAAACCAGTAACGCAATAAATAAATGCCGTTTAACCGGGAGAACATGTGAACGGCTAAAAGTCAAATGAAACAATCAAATAAAAAAATAAATTCCTAAAATCCCTTTGCTTTTTCGCTCCGTTCGAAAATTTGAATCAGAAAAAAAGGTTTATTGATTAGCAAGTACCTGTTCTTGAGTGTAAAAATGACCCTGAAACGGCTCTTGGCCGACGAAACAGAACAGTTGGCTCCGGGACCGAAATAACCGAAACAAAAAAGGTGTCGGTTTTAAAGGATTGTTTTTGGCTAAAAAATGGTGGGGGTGATTTTTGTTGGGGAAAGTAATATAAGTAAAGGGGGGGGGGGTTTTAATTCACCTAAATCAATTTTCAAAAAAATAATAATCCAAGTAAATTTGTAGACAAAATACCTCCCCTCCCTCTCCCCCCCCACCACAATAATAAAAATTTTAAAGAGCACTACCACAACCAATTATAAAAACAAATTTTTGCTTTACCTAACAAGTAGAATTACTTTTTGATCTAGAATTGTTTATCTCGAAACTGACAAGCTGTAACATGACACCATGTAATCCTTTCTATCTACCAATATCAGTGTCTGCGTTTTGTAATTTTCACTTTTTTAGTAATAAAATACGAAAAATTTGCCTTATATATGTTTATCGTTCAGATGAAAAAACCTGACTTACCGTTCTAGAAGTGAGTGGACCATTAGGACCATAGTTGTCGGCCTGTAAGTAATACTTTTACATACGTAATATATATATTTTTTATTATTTAAAAAAAATTAGTTTTAAGTTGAATCTAGGTTAACTTTAGTAAAAAGCTACAAAAACATTTCTGATCTGAAAATTTTTGCTGAAAACGTCTTACAACCTTAGATTTTTTGTCGGTTACCGCAGAGCCATTACATCCAAAACACAGCATATTTTTAAACTTAAAGTATTATCTGTAAAAACTACGTTACAACGTGTTGTGTTTTGGCATCTTTGTGAAGTGTGCTGAAATAATCACCATCCTATATAAGCATTTACTTTAAACGAGCATTTTTAACCATCGTATACAAAACCATAGTACTGCAGATGTGTTAAAAGTAAAATACAAGCTGCGTATTTTTCAAAACTACAAAATAATTTCAAATTTCGAAATTTACAAAAATCAAATATTGATTGAACTTAAAAATAATTTTATAAAAAAGCATTAAACGAGAGATTAAAATAGCCGTTCCGCTGGCTATTGTATCCTCCCTTTTTGTTCTTTTTAAAGCGAATAAAATTAGCACAAAGAAACTTTTTTGGTTTCAGAAAAAAGTAAATGTCGAGAAAGTCAGATTTTATCATCGTACAGTTCAACACCATGATGTGTCTGTCAGTAAAGCCGGGTGGTTATAACAAGAACAAGAGAATCGTCTCTACAAAAGAATATGAAAAAGTAAATTTCTTAATAATTTAAAAACTTCAAAGCTTCACAACGAATAAAAAACCTCAGTCTAACAGTATAAAAGTATTTTTTTTATAAAATATAAACATAGTTTTAAATTTTCAAACAATAATTTTTAAAAATACTGCGCGAAAATGTTTGTTTGACCATTTTAATTAAAAATACCTTTCATTTGTTTAAACGTCCTAGTTACACAAGACCTTTCCCAAATGTGAGTGAGCTACCTTTCAGAAATTTTTAGAAAAGTTCCCTTCTTTACTCCTACAAAAAAAACATGCCCTCCTATTTTCTATAAAACCGTAATTGCTACTAAACTATTGTATTACTATATTAAAATATCAAAAGTCATCCCAAAAGGTTTGGTTCGCTTGAAAAAAAACTGACGTTAAAATAATTTGCGTAAGTGACCCACTCGAAAGTTATTAGGTAAATAGATTCATATTCCTCTTTCTTTAACTTTACGACGGACAAACAAATAAAAAGTTGGTTAGTGTACAGATTCCTCACAATTTCATGCTATTTTAGCTAGGATCGGTGGTGAATCAAACTTCCCTCCTCATCCCCAACTTTTTTTCAAAAAAATTAAAAGTAATATTCCTGTGAATTGCTACAACAATCATAAAAAAACTGTTACAAAACATTATTCCTTTCTCTTTTAGACAAGGCCAAAATTGCCATCATTGCACTGATACTATATGTAATATATTTAAAAATATGAAAAAGTAGTAAAAAATAAAAAAATAAATAAAAATGTGTTGTTATAAGATACGCAATAACAAAAACAAAGTTAAATAGATATTAAAGCTGTAATTTTTCGACCGAAATTTAATCCAAAGTCCACTTAAACCTGTTGCGCAGCGATCGAGTATCCTATCAAGCTTTGTCTTGTTTTTTACTTTTAATTACTAATTAATGTAAACAAGAAACAATTAAAATTTATAAATACGGCTTATAATTTTGAATAAGAGTTAATCACTTATGAAAACCTCCACCCAAAATAATTTTTTCCTAGAAATAGAACATGGTACCCCCTGATAACAAAACCTGGTACCCCTTGATGACTTTCGCCAAAAATTGCGAGGCCAAATAACAGCACTTCGAAAAAAATGCAACATATGCGGTATGATTTTCTAGACATGGTCCAAAAATATTCTTTTATAAAAGACAACCGCGCGCAAATTTAAAAAAGATTTCGGCCCAAAGAATACGTTCTTTTGAATGCGTTAAGCATTGTTTTCGCGCAAGCGAAACATAACATATTGCCACAATATGTCCCCAAAAATCAAATAAACCACATTTTGTGACAAGCGAAGGAATAGATAGTGCCAGAAAAGCAATTTCAATTTTGAAAAAATTATTTGGGATACCTGGAAAATTAACAAAAATTTTTAACACAAGAAAGATAACATGTTAAATAATGTTGTTGTAACAAGAGTAATAGTTTTTAAAATAACAAAGCTCCCTGCTTCATATTATAAAAAAACTGATCCCCTCAATACTAGGCCAAAAAATTTATAGAAATCTGGCGAAAATAACTTAAACTTACATTTGTGTGATGGTAAAAATAATCGTTATTATTTGCCATTATTTAACACAATATTACTTATTTATAAAAATACGTCATTTTATAGACACATCTCAAATATATTACTGTTTAGGTTTTAATAATATGATAGTACAGCTCTGTTAAAAGTACGAAAGCAAATGACAAAAGTCAGAGTAACGGTGTAAAGTCCCTGCTGCGATAAATGGTCAGCACTTTATGACACAGCTAGCTATAATAAATTATAAATTGTTTGTCCTCATGAAAAGAAAATTTTTAGTCTTAATATAGCCCTCCCATTAACTTTCAAGTTACACTTATCGTTCCCCTCCTAACAAACCGAAATTTACCATCCATCCCATCTTATAATACCAACCTTGTCAAACATACTAAATAACAACCCAGTTTCCTCAAAGACATACCCAATCATAATTGTCAATTCCTTGCAAACGATCTCTGTAATAGCCAACATCAGATTCGAAGTTCAAGTGAGGTGTGTACGTTGGTTCCACAAAATGTCCATAAAAGTTGTCATTTTCCGTTTTGTCAGGCGATGCTCGTGGTCGATTTACTGGGCGATGAGGTCGATGAGCAACGCCAGAAGTAACACTAAAATTGTGCCAAATTATTTTTGAATACATGTTATGTATAAAAATGAATCTAAAAAATTTGATTTTAATTTTACAAATTTGATACTGAAAAAATGAAAAATAAATTTTTAACAAAATTTGAAAAAAACAATTACTTTATTTGAGGTGGTGTTCTAGAAGGAGTGACCGGTCGGCTGAGATCAGGAAGGTCGAACTTGACTCGTTTCATACACTGAAATTTAAGAGTTATTTAATCTCGAATATTATTGATTAAAATGATTTTAAAACGCCTTGGTTAGACAATGAAAGACTATATTTTACTAGCAACAGGTCACCTAATTACAAATAATCAAAATCTTTTCTGATAGTGCACTAAACTATATCACTCAACTATTGAAGAGCGAGCTTTAAAAAGAAAGGAATTTCCAAAAAATATTGTTTTTACTTTAAACAAAGTAAAGAAATTGAGTTTGAATTCAATTTCCACCTTTATGTAACGTGTTTTTGCACCATTATCTTCACTCGCCTTTTCTCAATTGCAAAAAAGCGAGCAGAGAGAATGGTACAACATAATAGTCAATAAATGAATAACATTAGGTTTGTAATAGAAAACAGTTACAAAACAAAGATGGGTGATCAGTTTTTATTTAATGACATAAATTTCAATTTATAATTTTGCACTACTTTAAGAAGGTAAAACTATAAAAATCTTGAAAAGTCTACTACATAATACTCACCGCTACATATAACAAACAAAAATTGGCTCAAACCCCCTTTTTAAACAGTTTATAAATTCACATTGTTTTGAAGAAATGCCAAAAACGTTCGAACAAAGAATGTTTAAACGCCTTGGAATAACAACCTAATATGATTTTGTCTTCTTACACATAGTTAAAGTGTAAACGGTATTCTAAGAAATTCAATTTACTAATATTTTTTAATAAATTAAAATTATTTGAGTTTAAAAACATTTGTCGCTTTTAAACGAGCAACTAGACATAAATTAGCGACACGAATTCTTTGAAACGATTATTAAAAACATATATTTAAAAAATCAGTTTTAACTTAAAAGTGTCGCTTATTGTGATGTCAACCACCTTACAAAAACACCCTTCCCTTACTATTATGTCATATCAGTCAGCGAGAATCTTTTTTATAATAATCTGACGCAAAATCCACAACTTTTGGTTTCGGCCAGCTAGCGAATGATGATGGATCACGTCCGAAACCCAATTGCGCTTACTTCTTTTACTGCGATAAAATTAGTCGACGCCACTTAAGGAATTAACCCTTCACGGTGATGAAAACGTTCACAAAAAACAAATTCAATGTCTAATGAAGCTTAAAATCTTGGCTTTAAGGACCTTTAAAATAGAAACAGAAAGTTACCCTTCACATTGACTTTTTTAAGACTGGAAAGATATATAAGACTTACCTTTCAATCCTTGATCTACAAATCCAGCAATTACACTTTTCGTCGTTCATAAAATATATTGTTAAAGACGTATTATTTTTAAAAAACTTTTCACAAACTATAATATATTTAATTAGAACATAAAAAGCAATAAATTAACATAAAAAACAATGCAGTAATTTCTCCATCTGATATGAGTACTTAGCTTGGGAGTGGAAAGCTACGTTTAATAGAATTTGGCCTTGTCTGGTTTGCTTCTGAAATAAAAATCAATAACACATTAAAAAGACAAATTTTCCCTTATAACCTAATCCTCAACAGAACGTAACCTACCTCACAAACACAAATGCCAATATAATACCAGTTTGAACTAAAACTATGGCAACAAGCAGAGTTGGAGTTGCACATGTCACTTCTGGACAGACGGCTTGAGTACCACCAGCTTGATACGAGGCTGGTCCTCCTTGATTTGTACCCAATCGTTGAACAATGGAATGAATGTTATCCAACGACTGCTTTACATATGGATCCAAACCTTGTTGTACAGCTTGCTGGTTCCCTTGTTGTACAGGAATACCTCCTCCTAATTTTTGCTCAATATTGTAGGTACGAGTGAAGATCTCGTTGATGTAGTTTTTAGAGTCACGATTTTGATTTGTCAGATCACGAAGAGCTTGAATCACTTCGTTCTTCTCATGCTGTTGAAAACCTAAAATTATACAACTATAAAACAGAACAAAAAGGTTTCATGCACTAGATAAACACAATTAAACAATAACATCAAATAGGTACAGGTCTTGTCGTCCGATCACGAAGCTTTGCATGTCAAAAAATCACAATACCTTAACACTTTACAAAACCAACATACCATCCCCAACTGATACTCCAGAAACAGCACCACCACCGCCACCAGAACGCTTCTGAACATCAGCAAGTTGTACCTCCATTTGTTGCAGGATTTTGTAAATTGCACTTTGGCCTTCGTGAATCATTCTCAGCTCTCGCGTCTCCGCATCTTCGTAGTATTTTCCTGGATCTTCCTCTTCTTCCTTCACTTTATCTGGATGTTGTTCCTTGTACTTCTTTTTTTCTTCTTCGAATTCATGCATCTGTTTCTCAAATTCTGCATCGTACTTCTGACGTTCGTCTTGAGGAATGGCACGGCTAGCTTCACGTTGAGCTTGTGTAGCCAAAGAATAGACACTAAAGTCGACGACGTCGTGATCGTCAGCCAAACCACCAGTAGCTGCGGAAACTCCGAAGAAACCTCGAGAAGGAAGGAAGACGTTCTCAGCACGGAGACAGGTTTCATACCTTGGCTGTGGAGTTAAACCATCAGAAATATCAACCGTCAAAACGTTATTCAAGTATTGGAGTCGGACTTTTACTGGGTATGGCTTGTTACGGAAGTCGCGTTGGCATCCTTAATGAGAAATATTAGAAATGAATTGACTCATTTTTACCAAAAACCTCATTTTTTCATTAAAATATATGCATAAAAACCAAAAAGTTACGTTAATACCTAAGCAGAAGCATTCACTTTAATAATACATATCTCTTGAATGTAAAGCTTACCCCCAAGGATTTGATCAGCCCCATCACTCTGATGATTGTAGGCTTTAGTACCATCGTTGACCATGACCGACACGTACGGATTATTTCTGCGACCATCATTATCAAACGAATCGAACATCAAAGCCAAACCGTTCCAATGATCGTTAGCACCAAACACTGGGCCTAACGTTCCTTGATTGGCTGTGTACCTGAAATCATAACGTTTTCTAACAAAAAAATAAAATTCTAGAACCTTTTGGAGCGATATTAACATGAAAACTATAGTAAATTTCAAAAGTTTATAGTTAGAACGTTCTGTGCGAAGAATAGGTTTACACACAGTAGATTACCACATAAAAATATCATCTTTCGACTAATTTAAAACCTATAAACAAAAAAAAGACAAAAGAAAAACCTTACCAAATACCCAAGCCGTCAGCACCAATCCTCTGACCAGTAATCTTAAAAGCCACTTCAACCTCAAAGTTCTCGGCTTCAGTGTAAGGTCGTTTGTTCCAGGCAATGCCCTTCCTCGATCTCATTGACGGCGCCAACCTCAACTGCTCCGACGAAGCTATGGCATCTCCGGTTACCACCCAGAACGGAATCGTGCCATCACGTTGAGCCAGGTTAGGAGCACGGAATGAGTGTTTGTACTCAAAACGACGGTACATCTGATTCGGATTGGGAACATGTTGTTGTGAACTACCCAGTTGTACTAGAAGTAACAAGAAGCAAAACGGCAGTGAAGCCATCTAAAACAATATTTTTAAATCCCAGATTAATAAATTGTCAAAAACTTCAAAGTTAACATTATCTAAACACACTTCATTCACGAAAAAGAATAAAAAATTATTTTTCTCTAAACTATATTAAAAAAGAACTAAAACACGTCTTGTTTTAGTTCGTTCTCTCGCTCCCCCACTTCCACGTCAGCTTAAAATGACCACCGCGCAGAAAAGAACAATACCTATATTATAAAATAAAATTGTACACATTTAAAAATACTTTAGATATATTACTCCATATAAAAAGAGCAATGAACAGGATAATAAGGTTGAGAATCTAATAAAATTCTCTAAATTTTTAGGAGAAAAGAATATGTTCAAGACTATTTCACACTCAAAAAATAGATAAATCTTCAGCATCAAGCTGTAAACCAATATAAAATAAAGTAAATAGAATGCTAAAAACTAAAACAACATCAAAACCTTCCACGCGTACATTTGCAGTTCAGTCGCTTTCCCTAAAGTATTATAAAGACAAGACTAGCAGCAAGATAATATTCAAAATACAGCAAAAAATAAAATTAAAGAATAATAATATTATAAACAACATTTTTAACAGAAAATTTACAAAAAAAACACTTTTTAAAACAATATTGTTCTTCAAAAACTGAATTCAAGGCACGAAAACGAAACGAAAAGAATAAAAAATTAGAAAAGGAAAAGACAAGTTATACGCTCAAACATATATCCACATACCACTTCTAGCCACTTTTTTTAGTTTAAAAATTAAAAACCATAGGCTTACGCAATAAAATAGTTTTCAAAAACCTAACACAATAAAATATTTATAAAACCCAAACAATTCGTCGAATTCACAATTACCCATCTTTGCACGTCTCCGACCAAATGCTGGAGCATATACTAGACCCAGAACTAACGGCTGAAGTGTCACAATCTCAGTACCACAAGGAAGAAAGTGTGGTACTGAGATCTCAAACAATCCGCTCCAACAACAAGAACTTTCCAGCGTTCTAAAACAATTTATATTATTTTAGGTAACAAAATATCAAAATTTCGTAAACTTTCAAACATTTTTAAAAATTTTAATTAAAATAGAAAACAATAAAAAAATATACAACAATTTACAAAAAGCATAGTAAAAATATTAGAAAAAAATATATTACTTTAGGTATGAAAAACAAAAATTAATAAAACTCAAGGTAAGGAAGGTTTTCAGCTTTACAAAAAAATATGTAAAAGAAAATTGCACATATTAGAAAAAATATTTTATAATCAAAACCACGTTAAACTTTCGAAAAATTCGAAAACTCACACCTGATCCCCAACAACCACATCATGAGGTAGATCTATATCATTCGACGCTGATTCTACGGCTGCAAACACGTTCAGTGGCTTTAAGAAATCAGCTGAATCAACTTGTCCATGACCTTCAAAACTTTAGGCATCTCCAGAGTCGCCAACATACTCGGTTTTCTAGGTCTAAAAAAATTTCCATAAACCGGAAAAGTTGACTCAAAAATATTCTGCTTTGCGTCAAGTGTTCTTTTTAGGAGAAATAATATTTTTTCAACAAAAAAATCGCTGAATTTCCTGCATTTCCCGAAGAAAATGCAGAAAGAACAGATTTCGATTCGTAAAGTGAACGTTGTTGAATACAAGATGGGAACGATAATTAGTAGATCTGGATCTGTGGTAGTGGATATCGTCAAGGAGGCGCTGAAGAAGCTGAATGCTGGTCTCGAAAGTGTGGTCAAAGCTGAAGTTCTGCGGAGTGGAACTCTTGTGGAAGTGGATTCGGCTGATAAGATAGATCCTAATGAAGAGTTGGTTATCACTTTGGACTTGTATCGTCGTGTAAGTTTGCTTTGCAGCTGATTTGTGATGCATGATCAGGTTTTTCCTTCTAAAACAATATTTTTAGGTATATTTTGTTGAAAAAAAGCATTTATTGTAAATATTTGGATTGAATGAGGTATTATATTGTTTTATGTGTTTTATTTATGTTATGGAATTCAAATATTATTTGATTTGATTAATGATTGATATTGTTTTAGGTTAGGATGGACCCGTTGGTTGAAGCTGTGCTTTTTTCAAAGGATAACAAGCAGTTGACGGAAACTGTTTTGAAGTACGCAGATGATGGTATGTTTTTAATGTATTTTAGGTATTTTTTTGTGCAAATTACCTCTAAAACATTTTTTTTGCAATTTTGACAATTTGGTACCTAAAAATTTGTCTTTCATTGCTTTTAAGGTTGAAGATTAAATTATGTAAGATTATTTTGTTCTTGATGAAACAATAAAGTAAAATGCTGTTTTTAGAGATAAGGGGACAGGTTTGGAAGTTGGAGGACAAATACCTTAATGATAATCTGAAGGGTAGAGCTTACAGCCAAATCTCAGATGATGTTGTTGGTACTATTAACCGAGCGCTTCTGGATTGCCTTCAGAAGGTCAAGGAAGTTGATGTAGCTTCAGAAGTGAGTGGACACGGCGCTATGGAGGGACATAGTGATGTAGCTGGTATCCATTTTGAAAAAAATCGTGCTGTTGAGAACAGCTTCAGGGCACGAGATTTCGCAACAATTGGCTCCGCTGTAAGTTTCTTAGTGATTTTTTGTTTTCTTATAGGAATTATCTTGTATTAGGGATGCTTTGGAAGGAAAACTTTATTTTAAATTATAGAAAACAAGGTCTGAATAAGAATGACAACAAATTTTGTGAAGTGTTAGCAACAAAAGCAAGTGAAGCATGGTCGGAAACAACGAGGAATTTTAACTACTTCTTGATGACCATGAATTCAAAAGTCTTGCCCGTTTCGGACGGCGTCTACACTTTCATTGTGAGTTCATTTTGTTGATTTTACTACTTTATAACTCTTCAGTGAAGTTTTTTACTTCTTAAAAGCTTTTTTCAATTATAAAATTATTTTTTAACTTTTTTTAGTATAAAACGGATATGTCTAATGTTCTCGCTCGCGTCAATTCTATGATCGTACGCAGAGGAAAGGATACATGTATGATTATCTTCCCATCTTCACAATGGCTCTTTTCGCGAAGCTACATTAAGTGGGATAATATTCTCAAAAAAGGGCTTAAGAAGTTGAACGAAACTCTTAAAACGCTGTCAAATATCTACTTGTACATTTTCGGATTTCCAACTGACCCATTAGATGTGCACTTTATTGGACGATTGGGAAAATTCAACAGAATTTGTGAACATAACGCCCACAACTTTGGATTCGTGGATACCTCAATGTTTTTGCCAAAACATCTGAAGGCATCATCATTGAAACGGCGAGATTTGACGGACCCAAAGTTGTTACCTGATGATTTGGAGACTGAAGTCTTGGGCAAGGCTGTTGATCACATCAAGGGCTTGGTTGAGGGAAGTTGAATTGAGATCCATCTTATTTTATAATATTGATAATATTCGTTGATTGTTTATCTGTTTTTATATTTTTTAATCTCACAAATTGAAAATTTTTTAATTTTGTTATATTGTTGGTGCTAATATTATTTTCATTGTCTTAATATTGGGTTTATTCATGTTGTTTGGAACTAAAATCGGTATGTTTGTTATTAATAAATGGTTTTGAAAAATTGGAGTATTTTGAAATGAGGTGTTAATGTTTGTATATAACATGCTTACTATTTTCTATTGATATAATCAAAAGTTAGCAAAGGAAAGAGGTTGACTTAAAAGGAAACTGGCGATCGAATGAAATTAGCTTGTCCATGACCTTCGAAAGTTAGGAATTTCCAGCGTCGTCAAATTAATTTTTTGGTACCATCTACAATATAAAGTTTTAAATTAATATATCTCTTTTTAATTCAGAAGCCGGATATAAGGTACTGCGTTGTAAGAAAAATACTGGGTTTTTAGGTCTAAAAAATTCTCTAAACTGAAAAGTTGATTCAAAAGTATTTCTGCGTCAAGTGTTCTTTTTAGGAGAAATAATATTTTTTCAACAAAAATCGCTGAATTTTCTGAATTTCTGGAAGAAAATGCAGAAACAACAGCTTTTGATCCATAAAGTGAATGTAGTTGAACACAATGGCGTCAAAATGGGCACGATATTTATTAAATCGGGATCCGTGGTGTTGGATATTGTCAAGGATGCGCTGAAGAAGCTGAATGCTGGCTTCGACTGTCTGGTCAAAACTGAAGTTCTGCGGAATGGAAAGCGTGTAAAAGTGAATCCGACTGTTAGGGTAAAGGAGAACGAAGACTTGACTATTACTTTGGACTTTCATCGTTGGGTAGGTTGCTTTACAATTTATTTTTTAAATATTTGGGTTGAATGAGGTATTATATAGTAATGTGTTTGATTTTTGCTCTTCAATTCAGCTATTTTGTGCTTAACCAAATGATTGATATTGTTTTAGCTTAGGATGGACTCGCTGGTTGAAGCTGTAGTTTTTTCAAAGGATAACAAGCAATTGACGGAAACTGTTTTGAATTATGCGGGTTATGGTACGTTTTCTTTGCTTTTGAGTTGCTTTTTGATGGTATTTTAGGTATTTTTCTTTAGTAAATTACCTTTAAAACACGTGTTTTGTGAATTTTTATAATTTTATACCTAAAATTTTTTCTTTGATTGTCTTTCACGTTTAAATATGACTTTATGCATTGTTTTGTTTTTATTAACAATAAGGTAAAATTAATGTTTTCAGAGATAAGGGAACAGATTCGGAATTTGGAGGACAATTACCTCTATGATGATGGGAAACTCAGAGCCTACAGCCAAATCTCAGACGATGTAGTTGGCACTATTAAGCGAGCGCTTTTGGATTGCCTTCAGAAGGTCAAGCAAGGTGAGGCAACTTCGAGTGTCAATGGAGTTAGGAAAGGAAATATTGATGTAAGGGGCAGTCGTTTTGAAGAAAATGGTGTTGGTAAGGGAGAAACTTCAGGACTAGAGATTCAGATACAGAGGGACACGGCGTAAGTTTCTTTTATAGTTTTGCTTTGGTGTATCAATTATATTGCTGTAGCGATGCTTTTTAATGAAACAATTTTTATTTTTAATTGTAGACAACAACGGAAGCTGAAGAAGGGCGACACTGTATTTTATAATTCAAATGCACAGCCAAAAGCGGTCTATGTGGTCCAAAAAACGGAGAAATTTAACTCCTTCTTGATGACCATGAACCCAGACGTATTGCCTGTTTTAGCCGGTGTCTTCACTTTCGTTGTAAGATTATTTATTGAAGTTTTCACTTTTTTATGAAGCTTTTATTTTCCACTTTTTACATTATAAATTTATTTTTAGTTTAATTTGCCTATGCTTAATGTTCTCGAATTTGTCAACTCTATGATCGGATACAGAGGAAAGGATACATGTTTGATTATCGTCCCATCTTCACAATGGTTCTTCTCGAAGCGATGCAACATTAAGTTGGATAGTATTTTCAAAAAAGGGCTTATGGACTTGAACGAAACTTTTGAAACTCTGCCAAATATCTACGTGTACTTTCTCGGATTTCCAACTGACCCATTAGATGTGCACTTTAATGGACGATTGGGAGAATTCAACAGGATTTGTGAACAAAATGCTTATCACTTTGGATACCTCAATGTTTTTGCCGAAACTTCTGAAGTTATCAGCGTTGGAACGCCCAAAATTGAACAGTCCAAAGTTGTTGCCTGATGAATTGGAGGCTCAAGTCCTGTGGAAGGCTGTCGACCACATCAAGGATTTGGTTGGGGAACGTTGAGTTTAGAATTATTTAATATTATAATACGTTATTCGTTGAATTTTTGATTATTTTTCACCTTCTTTTCTCTCACAAGTTGGAAATTTTATAATTTTGTTATATTGTTAAGGTTCACCTCGATGAAGACCCGACACTGATGAAGACCCGATTTTGATGAAGACCCGAAATTTTTGTTTTTTTAATTGGGTTCTGAAAAGTGCCAATTCCGACCAATTTTGGTACGGGAAGTTTAAAAAAAATATAATTTTTAACTTTCGGCTACTGCTTAAGGGTTTAGTTGTTAAAACTTACAATATATTACTATTATTTTAAAAATTGTTCAAATTAGTCATATGAAGGGTCGATTCCTACTAACTTAGGCATGGGAAGTTCAAAAAAAATATAATTTTTAACTTTTAGTTACTGCTTAAGGGTTTAATTACAATATATTACTACCAAATTAAAAATTGTTCAAATTAGTCATATGAAGGGTCGATTCCTACTAAATTAGGCATGGGAAATTAAAAAAAAATATAATTTTTAAATTTTGGTTACTGCCTAAGGGTTTAATTGTTAAAACTTACAAAACATTACTGCTAAATAATTTTTGGTTACTGCTTATGAAAGCTTATAACAGTACGTTAGTACTGTTTTCAAAATTTGTAAAGTATTTGAAGTGTCGTGTAATTAGAGTATGAAAAATTTGAATAAAGTACAATAATAATGTATTTGAATATTTTGATTAATACTATTTGTACGTACGAATATAATAAATTTTAACTTATTCTTGTGAGATTTCAAATTGAATTGCCTTATAAGGGTTTAGCCCATAATTCTCAAGTATGATATAAATACTTTAATGTAAATTTTATATTGTGATGTTTATTAATAAAAATTTTTTTATATAAAGCGATAATGTGTGCCGTAAAATCAATTTAAGTATAAAAGACTTAAAAAAGTTATAGATTGATAATAAAATATAAATATATATTACTATGTGATATAAAAATAGAAATTTAAAAAACTGGGGTAATAAAAAACCGTAGAATTTCAAAAAACCGGTTAAAAGAAGACTATCACCGTTTTTGTTCTAATTGTGGATGGGACTACGTATCTATTAGTTGTCGTCTTCGTCGTTTTCATCAAACTTCGGTAAAGGCGGCCTTTCTTTAGACGTGCTAACTACTTTAGTGGTAGTAGCTTGGCTACCAACATCAATTTCGTTGTCAGCTCCGACTTGGTTTACAACTTCTTTAATATATTCTTCCCTTTGATCGCGAATGTCTGGATCCTCAATCTTTTTAAATGGATTTGTTCTGCAAGCGCATGCTGCGGCATAACTAAATAAAATTTTTTTAGTTTTTTAAGATTTAAAATTATTTTGCACCAATCTTCTCCCTATTATTAGCTTTATTTTTTTAAACCTACCGTAGCCAAGCGTCTAATCTGACATCTACATCATTCTTTTCACATTCCTTTACAAACGCTTCTTGTCCTTCTCTCCATTTTTTCAACAAAAGATCTTTTTTTACTTCAGCAGGCAATCTTTTTCCGATACGTTCCTTGTTGACCATAATTCCTTGCTTGGGATGTGTGTACAAAACGCCAGCTCTTTCTAATATTTGTCTGTATTGCTCGTACCCCATGCGTGTCGGTGGATGTTTAGGCATTCCAATCTTCTTCAAACCGCTGTTAAAACCTTCACAATAATTTGTTGTTTTTGGTTTAAGAGGGTCGTCGTAAAAGTTGAAATGTCTACCGTGCTTACTATGCCATGTGCTGAAGTAATAAGCACGGAACGCAGCAAGGTCCTTGTACGTCTTGTGATTTGTAATTCCTGCAGTTGTAGAATACTGTGACAACAGGTGATTTCCAGCTTCTACTGCTACAGATTCTGGCAAAAACGACAACCCGATGAGGCGATTGAACCAACTCTTAACCTCATCATCAAGCAGCAAGTTCTTTTCACTAGTAACCTTTTGTTTGAAGTTCAGTAACATATTCTTCGCCTTATGGAATTGACAATTACTGATTTTCCAATCGGGAATCTCTTCTAGTAGCGCTGCCATAGAAGCCATCTCACGATCAGTAATTACAGTTTTGCTGTCACTTTTAGAAATTGATCCAAATTCCTCTAGTAGCCGTCTTTTCACTTCTTTCCACATTATCGAGTATGTTGAGTTTGGCGGAGACTTGTTTTTCCGTTTTGATTTACATAGGAAAAACCCTAGAAAGACAAGTAGGTAAATAAATTATATTAGAATTTATAAAAATGTTAAAAATTAAATAGTTTTAAAATTTTTAGATTTTATTTACCTGAAGGTATGGCAGAAGCTCGTTCAATTCCGTCTTGAAACACGGCCATAATAACATAAAGCTGATCAAAAGGTTGCGGGCAGTATGCAAAAGTACCGTCGCAAACCAAATAATCAGCGTCATGTATACAACGCATGTTGTTCACATCTCCAATAAATACCATTGGGTCTTCTAGGTCTTCTTTTAATACTGTGAACATCACATTTTCTTTAGACCTTCCCAAACCATCTCCAACACGACGTGAAACCTGAATATAAAATTATAAGTTTACGTTGTTTCATATCAAAATTAAATTAAAAGCAAGACGTTCTTAATTGTGTTACATAACTTAAAAAAATTTCTATTGATACCTTCATTTGCTGAGCCAATTGTATGCAGTCCGCTCCAGTATTGCCAGCTGTGTTGTACCTTATAGTATTGCCCGCGCTAAGTTTAACCAACTTCAACAAAAAATCTGATTGCGATGCAGCAGGCATTAACTTTAGAAGCAAATCGTGCTGTTTTTTTTAGCAGTTCGTAGGTTGGACCATGATCAATACGGGCACTTTGGCTTACCAACCTATTTTCAAAAAAGAATATTATACATCATTATTGGAACCTACCGCCTAATTTGGTCATACAAACACTGTTCACTTGTCTTTTTATTATCAACAGTTAACGTGCACAAGTGGCTGTACTCATCTGGATCATCAATAAGTTGCTTTTCGTCCGCATTTGCATCTGTAAGCTTGTACGCTTTTAGCGCTTGCGGAGCTGCTCTCATTAATACAGCATCTTTTTTATGTCTATTGTAGAGCGTTTTGCAGTTTGAACAGATGTATGAAGACGCCGTTCCACTTTTTTTGTGGAATTTGTAGACATGTTCATTGTAGATCTTACTCTTGCATGCGTATGCTTCATTTCCATTTTGTGTTATGATCATGCCGCTTAGCTTCGGAGCTACCGGATAAACAGTAACTATATTGTTGGTTGCTTTCACTGTATCCTTTTTGGGCTTTTTGATCTTTCGAAGAGTCTGCAAACAAAAAGTTTAAAAAATTGTATTAAGAATGATATAGCAACGCAACCTTCAATATTTCGTAGTTCAACGTGTTAAAAAGTAAGGAACGTGCTATATCGTCTTAGAAAACAAGGTCTTTAAACTGCGTTAGCGTTAGAACGGGTCTATGTAACACCACCATATGAAAAATAAATCATGTTGATTAGTATTTTGTTATCATTTTCTGCTTAAGCTTATCGTAATTTCTTGTTTCTGCATCCCCTTTTTAAAATAAAAAAAATAAACAAACCTTTGCCTTAGTGTATTTTTCAGAAAACGCGTCCGCACTTTCAGTCGTCTTATTATCGTTAGAATCTTTTTCTTTTTGCGCAGTTGTAGAAGAATTCTCTGGCAATTTGTAATCTATAGGAAGTTCGTGTGTTTCAAGTTCGTCTTCATTCAACGATTCCGCTCTTTTTCGTTTTTGAGCCTTTTTTTTCTCCTGGACTTTCTTTTTTTCATCTTTTTTCTTTTGCTTTTCCAGTGTTAAAAAAATAATTTCAAAAAATTAATAGAAACGATTTTACAACAATTGAGTTAGGGGGTGCTTTGGGCAGGGCAAAAAATTACCACGCCCATTCAAAAGGTGTTTTGGGCAGTTTAAAGAATTACCACGCCCATTGGGGAGTGTTTTGAGCAGAATGAGAAATTACCACGCCCATTTGGGAGTGTTTTGGGCAGGGTAAGAAATTACCACGCCTATTAGGGGGTGTTTCGGCGCGGGGAACAATTACCACGCCCATTAGGGGGTGTTTTGGGCAGGGTAAGGAATTACTACACCCATTCGGGGGGGGGGGGGGGGGGGGGCAATACATTTTTTTTAATTAAAATGAGGGGACGTGTTCGTGCCGGCGACAAATAATAATCCTATATAATGCTTTTGTATCAAAAGCATTTTATAGTATTATTGGATTTGAAAATACGTTATAATTAAATATAATAAAACTTACGAGTTGGTATCTTTATTTTGACTGTTTCCACACTTTCCTTCAGTTCATCAGCCATTGATTTTAATTTTTTTTGCTCTTGAGTTGTACCTTCTTTTTCCAATTTATTGCTACTTTGCTTTGTATCAATGCTGACTGCGTCTTTTTGCACAACTTCAGGAATCATCTGTGTACTAACTTCATCAACTTCTACTGGTACAAATGTATCATCCAGTTCAGATACACGAGCCAAACTTTTTTCGTTTGTAACAACATAATAATATTTTTCCACAATGTATTTCATGCGGCAACGTAGCTGTTCAAAGTTTGTGTCTAAAAATTACAAAATTGAAATTAAATGGTATTATTTAGTTGTTTGTTTTATTATTAAAACCTGTTTTAGACTATTTCAAGCCAATTTAAAACCGTTCTTTTTTTCACATGAGAGTACTTAGTTTTAAATGGCACACATTACTTTATATAAAATACGTCTCTTCTAATCCGATCAAATTAAAACACGTTTTTTGTAAGACTCGATCAGGGGCTGACTCCCTGTCGACACCAAAAATTTTATTGCTTTGGTTTTGCCCAAACTTACTATTGTGTACTAACAAGGGAAGTTGTTAATGCTAATGCCACAGAAATTTAATGCTAATGTTATAGTAAGTCAATGTTTTACTATTGGGTTTGGTAGTTTTGTATAATAGTAAACTCAATAGATTTGTTATTAATAAATATTTGTTGAAGAATGGCGGTATTTCTAAATGCCAATATCTGAGATGGTTTTATATCCACTGTTATCCAGAATTATTATAGGCAAAGTAGGCTTCTTTGAAAATTTTCAAAAAATAAAATTCAAATACTTGCTTCTGAACAGAAACTTTGCTGTAGTATCGAATGGAATCTTTACCCAACAAGTAGAATTCAACCACATAACTAAAAAAATATAATTAGTTCTTATCTGTAAGACACGCGTCTAACGCTAACAATTTCTATAAAAGTTTTATACTTTTTTGTTAAACTATTTTTTAAACTTACTTTTCCCGTCTAATTCCTTGTTAAAAGTGACGTGATCACAGCGGAGTGAACAACAAATAACAGTATCGGCCACTTCATTTGTACCTTTTTGGATTGTAAAGTCGGGTAGAGTAGAAGCAGTCTGGTAAAAAAGAATTTTATTTATTTTTCATTTACGTAACAACATTTTGTGGGCTTACGAATTACTTGTGAATTCGCCTCGTCGGAGAACATTCTCTTTCCCATAAGCGAAATCTTATTTTCATGGTCCTGGAGAGTCTTCTTCAGTGATTCCACATCGGCGTGTAGACTCTGGTCGCCTGGCTTGAGCTTGTTACAGTACTTGCTAGCCATCTGGAACAGCTGCTCTTCCATCTTCTCAGACGATTTGATGCTCCAAAGTCCTATGAGGATTTTTATGTCGGCGTCAATGGCGTGGCTGGAGTTGGATGTAGAGGTTGAAGAACTCAACTTCAACTTCAGGGCCTTCCTCTCTTTTCTGACTTGCTGAGAGGGCTTCTTTTTCGCCATTACGGGATTCTGAAAGAATCATGATTAGTCGGAGTCTGCAGCTCGTTCCACGAACTCGGCCCGTTTCGCGCACGAGTCCGACCCACTAACCACTCGGCCATGCGGGCCGGCACGATTGCTTCATTATTTCCGAGAGACACGCAACCTTTAACAATTTTGCACGGTGCAGCGAATTTTTAGTGGTAAAAGTCCATCGAAAATGACATATTCAGGAGGTTTGGGAAGCCTAACTTATATTGAGGCTTTTTGTGGTAAACAACCGTATATTCACTCTATATAATATAGTAATATATGATTTTGTAGCACTGTAACTCGCAAAGTATTGGAGCTACAGTAACAGTCGATACAGGTTCTTAAAGCCCATCACAAATGACATATTCAGCAGGTTTAGGAAGCCTTGATAACCAAAAAAAAGTTTTTTGTTATTTAAGCCTTAAACTTGTGTTCAGGGTTATAGCTCCCAGAAGCTGTTGGAAAAAAGGTTAACCACCCGGGGCTAATCGGGAATTACGTTCTCAAGGAAAGAGGAAACTCAATTCACCAAAATACAAGACTAAACGTCGAATAAAAGCTGTTGCTTATTCAAAGACTATCCAAAGCCGTTCTTCTTATCAAATAACACAGAAACTAATAAGTTAATCACAAATAACTGTTAACAAATCAAAACCAACCAATAACTTATAAACTTTATAATTCAACAACACAAATGATTCAAACGAACAAACTTTCAGAATCTGTGTCGGCTGTAGTTGTAACTATGGTATTCGTCGAGTTACAGTATTGTAAATATTTCCATGCTCTATTATACATGATGAATATACGATCGAGTACCACAAAAAATCTCTTTATAAGATAGCGTCGAAAAACCAGCATAAAATGTCATTTTTTATGGGCTTTCAGAATCTGTGTCGGCTGTTGATGTAACTATGGTAGTCGTCGAGTTACAGTATTGTAAGTATTTCCATGCTATATTATACATGATGAATATACGATCGAGTACCACAAAAAAATCTCTTTATAAGATATTATTGTAAAACCATAGCAAGATGTCGTTTTTTATGGGCTTTCAAAATCTGTGTCGGCTGTTGTTGTAACTCCATTATTCGTCGAGTTACAGTATTGTAAGTATTTCCATGCTATATTATACATGATGAATATACGATCGAGTACCACAAAAAATCTCTTTATAAGATAGCGTCGAAAAACCAGCATAAGATGTCATTTTTTATGGACTTTCAGAATCTGTGTCGGCTGTTGTTGTAACTCCATTATTCGTCGAGTTACAGTAATGTCAATATTTCCATGCTATATTATACATGATGAATATACGATCGAGTACCACAAAAAAATCTCTTTATAAGATATTATTGTAAAACCATAGCAAGATGTCGTTTTTTATGGGCTTTCAGAATCTGTGTCGGCTGTTGTTGTAACTCCATTATTTGTTGAGTTACAGTATTGTAAGTATTTCTATGCTATATTATACATGATGAATATACGATCGAGTACCACAAAAAAACTCTGTATAAGATAGCGTCGAAAAACTAGCGTAAGATGTCATTTTTTAAAAGCTTTCAGAATCTGTATCGACTGCTATTGTAGCTCTACTATTCGTCGAGTTACAGTAATGTAAATATTTCCATGCCATGTTATACATGATGAGTAGTATAAAAGTACGAGCAGCCCACCCCACCCACATCCCGCAACACAAAATTTATCAGTTTTCAACATTTTATCATAACTTACAGCATTGTTTAAGTTAAAGTAAAATTATAATTATCAATTTTTAAGATATCATTTTCTATGTCTCAAACTTTATTTCCAATACTAAAAATATTATTAGTAGCAAAATGTTAAAACAGCAGAGAAATGACTGACTTCAATAACAAAGAGAAAAGCAAGATATTGTTTTATGAAAGTTTATTTGTCGAAAACTCTTCAAAAATATGTGATGGGGCGGCGATATTTCAGCCAAAACAATAAATTGGACCAGACCGGTGTGATCACTGATGTTGTTTGGCTTTGAGGCCTGCTTCTTTTGCTGCTTGGTCTTCTTCTCACCCTCAGGATCCGCCAAACAGCGATTGCGGGATGGTCCGGGTTTGTCGACGTCCATGGTGCCTTGACCAATGGTCAGCGAGGGAGTATCAAGACGGGTGGAGCGATTTTGATCACCGGCGATAGCGGAGGAATCAGGTTCACCATCGCCAAACGCGGGTCGGTTGAGTGCTTGACGAAGACGCTTGAGAACATTGTGAATGGTCTTCAGCTGCTTGTCCACGTGCTCGTACCTCTTGTCGTGTTCATACTTACCATCCATTAGAACCGACATCCTAAAAACAAGCGCATTAGCGTCAAAAGACTAGGAGCAATACATAGGTCTAGTTAAAATTCTAAAACGTGTAAACGGAAAACTCACTGAGAGTGTTGATGGCCCATACGATCAGACAGGTCGTTTATGCCTGTAGGGGTCGTTGATGCGGATGAAGTAGGCATAGGCCCAGCAGTTGAACTTGTTGGTTCGGCTATGACCGGACTTGAACCCACGTTCAAAAGACATCACTTGGACCAAATTTCTTGAAGCACACTTGTTGTGTATGAGGAATGAGGCCAAGAAGAGCTCCTTATATACTAGCTGGCCAGCCGATGGACGGTGCCTAATAACTTGCACTTCGATCGTCTCGAAAATTCTGGAAGGCGGGGGGCCCTGCCCCCAAAGACCAGAATTTTCTGGAAGCACCCGGCAAGCCGTCCTCGAACTTGGTTCTAGAACACTGACGAATATTCGGAAACAGTCTTTTGAGTTCTCGAAAGTTCTAGAACTGACGTCAAGACTAGAAACTTCAGGAAATCTCTAGAAAATTCTAAAATTCTGGAAAATTCCAGAAAATTTCAGAACAGAATATTCTCAAAAACAAGAGATGGCCACTTCTAGGGATGAGGATGACGTTTGAGCTAGTGCAAGTGCTCCTTGCCGACTGGGCTATGCTAACGCGAACTACAAGGATACGCGTTATAAAAGAACAAACCAACGGAGGCCCTGCGGGTTTCCTATGGTCTGGAGAGGGCTCTTCGGGCCCTCCACTTTTACTTCTATTTTACTTTTTTTCTAAGATTATTGTATTTCAAATGTGCCAATTTTAATACAGTTTATAATATTCAAAATTATCGGCTCGGGCCTGCGGCCCTCGCACCTCATTTTCATTTAAATATTGTAAATAGCTGACCCACATTCGTACTCACGCCCGTACCCATTCCACACCCAAACCGATACCCCCTACCCACCATACCCATGCCAATATCTAGACCCATACCGTGACCCATGCCCATATCCTGACTCGTACCCATACCGAACCCATAGCCGTACCCATTTCATATCTACACCCATATTTGAAACCCGACCGCTCTCTGTCAAAAATTTTGGTGAGACTGACCGATTTCTTTTTTCAAAATTTCATAAAATTTTCATTTTCAAGTGATTTTTCCCACAAATTTGCATGACTCTCTCACTCAGTACAGATGTATTAGGTACCTGCAAAAGTTTTAGGCCAACTTTTATTTTTGGCGAAATCTAATATTTAAAAAAAACAACAACAACTAATTAACAAATATATGTACCATAATAAACGAAGACTTTTTGCCATTCCTTCAGCAGCATTTGGATTCAACTTCTGTAGAAACCTGGAGTTTTTAAATTGAAAAAGTTAGCCCACCATCGCTTGAGGTACTCTCGAATGTCAAAGCGTGTTGCGTGCAGGTGGTTTTAAAGAGAGTGGAATACATTATAATCTGTAGGAGCAACATCAATTGAGTACAGTGTGGCATCTCAACCCAGCCGAGGTTTTTCAGCTTGTGTTGGGTCAACTTTGTCACATGGGCGCGAGCAGTATCATGAATGAAGAAGACCCGATCCTGTTTACTATGCAATGCCGCCGCAACAGATTTAATTTGTCTACAGTAGACATCCACAAAGATCGTAGTTCCATGTGGTACTATTTCCCAGTACACAGTACCTGTTGAGTTCTAGCTAACGTTGATCACTTTTTCCAGTAGGTGAAGATCAGGTTTCGGAGTTAATACACCCTGTTCTCCACGTTCAAGCTATATTTTCTTCTTGTTGTAATTAACATACAGTACTCACTTCTCATCCCCAGTAACCAAATTGCCAAGCCATGCAAAGGTCCTTGGGAACATCAACAAATAAGTGCAACGCCCACTTAGCGTTTCAGCTGGTCGCTGTTAAATCATGTGGAACCCCTTGACCATATTTCCATGATCTTCCAAGGTCGTGAATTCTAGTTAATATGGTAGAAAGATCACACTAAAGCTCTACAGTCAAATGAGTACAAGTTTGTCTGGTGAATTCTTCTATCAGTTTCAGAAGATAGAGTTTCTTCAACACTGATGGTCTACCAGATCGAACTTTTCGGACATGTCAAATTCACCGTTTTTGAACTTGTAGAACCAAACTTCGTCGCTCTTGTTGCGTTGCCGTGCTCACGGAAGTTGCGAAGCAACATTGCCCTAACATGACCATGTTTTACCTTGATTCCTTGAGCCATTGTAAACAACAGAAAGCTTGAACATGCAATAGTTTTTAATCCTTTGACACCTCTTTATATAAGTCATCAACAGAAAGTTCTAGAACTGTCTATATTTTTTGGTGAATTTTTGAAAAGTTGGCCTAAAACTTTTGCAGGCACCTAATACTCTTATTTTGGCTTTCCCGATCTGTCACACCAAATTCGAGGGTAGAAACAAACCTGAACCTAAGAAGTCTACGCTTTAATCTTCCTTGTAGCATAACGAAACGTGCGTTATCTCAGAGTGTTGTTTACTATCTGGAGGGCTTTCGACTATGCCGACTACAAAGGCGATGGCCCGTCGAAAAATATGTAAGCTACTTTTAGTCGATCACCAAGAGCTCTGGTATCATGTAAACCTGCTTATTTATTATAATCGACGTCTCGGGAAAAATGGGCAGCTAGGCTCAGCGCTAGCGGGCGACGGCAAGTGCGATTAGGCAGTGGACGGCCAACCTGACATAATGATGGCGCACACTAATACTCTCACTCAAACAACCTGCAGCAATGCAAAACCAGCGGGTACTCGAAACACGTAAAATACATTAGTAAGCCGTGTTTCAACCGCAAACAATTTGTCACTTGATGTGGCAAAACCCAAACGTTGGTATTGGACTGTTACTGAATATAACGATCTAATAACAACATATACCCAATATAAAGCCGGTTGCACTTGAAAAGTAGGGTACAACTGGCAACATTTCGTTGATAATGTATGGAAGGAAAAGCGCAAACAATGCAATTACCCGCCCCGATTGGCCAAAGTCATCGCTATGCATTATCAACAATAAAAGTACCGAGTAACCCGAGAACGTAAAGATAACAACGAAATCCCGGCTCCGGAAATTGAACATAGGCGCGATGATCATATCGTAGTGGATAAGGATCAGTTAGATGCCTTTTTCCACGAAGCATATGAACAATTCCTGGACCGCTCAGTTAGTCAATGGCCTCAAATAGTGGTCAAACCAACTTGCCCAAAACATACCACCAAATGGGCTGATATAAAAGTTTCGGAATACTTAAGGAATCGGCCAAATGTCAAGATTGACAAAGTAACCAGAACTCTTTATTGTGTCGGATATGCCATAGACGCGCTCTTCAACTCAAGAAAAACGTTGGCTTGGTGGAATCTAGCATAATGGCAAAGCAAAAGACAATCCGAAATGAATAGCCTACGGCGTAATATTTCACACATAGTGGATAAAATGGAACGACGGAAAAGGCGGCTTGTGCTCTCCCGTAAGCAACGAGTAAACCTACAAGAACTAGAGAAGACCTACAAGTGTAAGTTTGCAACGATGCGAAGTCTCGAGGAAAAGAGACTACGGCTCACTGAACCTCTTACCTTCCTCAAACAAGCTGTTTTCCAAAAGGAAAATGATGCTAACCGAGTAAAGGCAAAGAGAAAATCAGTCAAAAGTATCCTCAACGGTGAAAAGCATGAGGATACGAATATGGCAGTAAGTGCGATTTGTAAGTTCTGGAAACAAATAATAGGGATAGAAACAAACTATGAACCGGACTACCATACTGAGAGATGGGCAAATGAGTGTGAAACACGCATTGAACCCCAAACCATTGAGGCTGCTTAAGTAGGCGAGTTCTTTGACCAAGTGCTGAAGAAATTACGCCCATCGAAACCTGCAGGACCGGACGGGGTCCCTCCAGCCCTGTGGAAACAATATCCGGCCGCTACATCGTGGTTGAAGCAATGGGTTATCAAGTCAGTCACTGACGGTAACTTGAATATCCCAAAATGGTTCTCTTTCGGACGGGTTGTTACCATCTATAAAAGTGGCGACAAACCCAACACAAGCGACTACTGACCTATTGCTTGCCTGAACATTAGCTATAAGCTTGTGACAGGAGTAATAGAAAAGTGCTTGCGTGATCAGCTTACCAAATATGATGTATTGTCTAAAGAGCAGGTCGCCAATAGACCTTGGCTCATCTTTAGACAGGGGAATCATAGATGATCACAGACGGTACAGCGACCGTCATGCAAGACAATGAGCAGGCCTTCGAGCGAGCGATGCGTAAAGCATATGACTCTTACTGCGGAACCCCGATTTTACGCATTTCGTGAAAGAAGAAGAAAGCGGAGAGCGCGATTGAAGGAAATGAAATCGTCTCGCCGACTTGCAAAGGCTCGCTGCGTTCGTGAAAACGTTCGTAGAGAGCGCGTTTCTATTCGCATCTGTTTTTTCGGAAGGTGGTGTACGCAGTTTGTGCTGCTTATGTCGACTCGAAGTCAATGCAAGTATACGTTTTTCGTATATGATGTTATGGACGAGTGTGTTTTAACTGTATTATATTTACATCGTGACAACTTGTGTCTATTTTAAATAGTAATCTGGTTGATCCTGGCTGAACTGATATGTTTCTTTCAAAGATTTAGCCATGCATGTCTAAGTGGAGTATTATATAGCGAAACTGCGAACGGCTCATTACAACATATATAATTTACTAGTTCTTGTATCTATATGGATAACTGCGGTAATTCTGGAGCCAATACATGCATCAAGCCTTGGCCTTCGGGTTAGGGTGCAATTATTGGAGCAAAACCAGTCTCGTACTGTTTGCTAACTCAGGATAATTCTGCATATCGCATGGTCTTGTACCGGCGAAGTTTCTTTCAAGTATCTGCTTTATCAACTATCGTTGGTAGTTTATTGGTCTACCATGGTGTTGACGGGTAACGGAGAATCAGGGTTTGACTCCGGAGAGGGAGCCTTAGAAACGGCTACCATGTCTAAGGATAGCAGCAGGCGCGAAAATTACCCAATATCAAAACGATGAGGTAGTGACGAGAAATAACAAGATCGTTCCCTATGGGATCGATTATTGGAATGAGTACAATCCAGAAATTTTAACGAGTATCTACGAGAGGGCAAGTCTGGTGCCAGCAGCCGCGGTAATTCCAGCTCTCGTAATGTATAGAATTATTGTTGCGATTAAAAAGTTCGTAGTTGGATTGCAACGCAGACATGGGTCCACTCTCTGAGTGCGTACTCAATGTTTGCATTTTGTATGTTTTTGCGGCGTTGCTTCGGTAGCGTCGTGATGCATGCAGGATTACTTTGAACGGCTCAAGTGCTTAAAGCAAGTCTTATGACTGAATACCGGTGCATGGAATAATGGAACAAGGTTTTGGCTGAGTTTTATTGGTTTTGTCGGCTAAAACAATGGTTAACAGGAACAGCCGGGGGCATTCGTATCGCTGCGCGAGAGGTGAAATTCGTGGACCGTAGCGAGACGACCGACAGCGAAGGCATTTGCCAAGAGTGTTTTCATTAATCAAGAACGAAAGTCAGAGGTTCGAAGGCGATTAGATACCGCTCTAGTTCTGACCGTAAACGATGCCAACTGTCGATCCGCTTGTGGATTTCATTCATGAGCGGGGAGATTTCCGGAAACGAAAGTTTTTCGGTTTCGGGGGAAGTATGGTTGCAAAGCTGAAACTTAAAGGAATTGACGGAAGGGCACCACCAGGAGTGGAGCTTGCGGCTTAATTTGACTCAACACGGGAAATCTCACCCGGCCAGTATATCGTAAGGATTGACAGACTGACAGCTCTTTCATGATTCGGTAAATGGTGGTGCATGGCCGTTCTTAGTTCGTGGATTGATTTGTCTGGTTTATTCCGATAACGAACGAGACTTTAACTATTAAATAGTGCGCATGTTGCTTCGGCTGCGTGTGATCACTTCTTAAAGGAATTTGTGGTTTTCAACCTCAAGAAATTGAGCAATAACAGGTCTGTGATGCCCTTAGATGTTCGGGGCCGCACGCGTGCTACAATGGTGGTAACAGCGTGATTGTCCTTTTCCGACAGGAATTGGCAAACAGTTGAGATATTATTATGGCTGGAATTGAGTGTTGAAATTTTCTCTCATGAACGAGGAATTCCAAGTAAATGTGAGTCATTAACTTGCATTGATTACGTCCCTGCCCTTTGTACACACCGCCCGTCGCTGCCCGGGACTGAGTTACTTCGAGAAAACTAGGGATCGCTAGAGTTTGATGTTTCGGCATTGGCTTTGGTGAGAACTAGTTTAATCGCAGTGGCTTGAACCGGGCAAAAGTCGTAACAAGGTAGCCGTAGGTGAACCTTCGGCTGGATCATTAACGATCTCTTGTTTCATTTATTCGTTTTTCAAAACGATGACGGCAATGTTTGCTGTTCTTTTTGTGTATCGATTGTCGTTCTACGGAGTCAGTGCCGAAACAGAATAGTGGACTGCCGTGCGGTGTTGCGTATTTTCGGATGCGCAACGCCGAATACAGCGTTTTAACGGTGAGGTCTGGGTTTCTATGCGCTATGTTTGAGCCGACGTTTTACCGTGTCGTGCGTATGATGCTAGCCGGCTGTTTGCACTCGTTTGCGAACGTAGGATTGAAGAGCCCGAGTGGCCGCCCTGACAAAACATTCATTTTTAATTTATTTTCTTGTGAAATTATATTATAAGTTACTACGGTGGATCACTTGGCTCACGGGTCGATTAAAAACGCAGTGAATTGCGATAATAAGTACGAATTACAGATATTATGAGTACCATGTTTTTGAATGCATATTGCGCTCTTGGGCTTTGCTCTTGGGCATATACGATTCAGGGTATTTTCTTGCAAACTAACAGAATCTTGTGTAATAATTTGTTCTGTTGTGTTGTGGATAGAGTTTGCGGCGACCGTATAGTTGCCGCAAACTGTATAATCGTTGTTCCGTTGAGGAACATGGAAATCGTTGGCTGTGAGACGTTTTTCGGAGCGTTGTTAAACTGTCAAGCGTGACGTTATGTTTATTGTCGCCGCGAAAGGTTGTCTGTATGTTTTTGGAAACCTGGCTTCAGTGTAGCGTAGTGTCGTTTTGGCCGTGTGTCGAAAACGTTTGGCGGGCAGCCTACGGGTTTTTACTTGAAACTACCTGAATTGTGTATGATTACCTGCTGAACTTAAGCATATCAGTAAGCAGTGGAAAAGAAACAAACATGGATTCCCTGAGTAACTGCGAGTGAAACGGGATTAGCCCAGCGCTAAAGGTTGTTGGTTTTGGCTGATGACCGGTGTAGCGTATAGAGCTTTTGTTCGCCATGTCCTGGCTGGTTTAAGTCTCGTTGGAACGCGGCGGCTTAGACGGTTTTACCCCGGTATAGCTGGCTGGACTTGGTGAGTGTTGGTTCTGGGAGTCGGGTTGTTTGGAAACGCAGCCCAAAGTTGGTGGTAAACTTCACCTAAGGCTAAATACGACCGTGAGACCGATAGAAAACAAGTACCGTGAGGGAAAGTTGAAAAGTACTTTGAAAAGAGAGTGCAAGAGAACGTGAAACCGTTGTAATGGAAGCGAATGGAGCCGACGTATCTAGTGCGTATTCAACTTTCGGGCTGTTCAATTGAGCGTTTAGCATTTCAGCAATGTGTGCTTCGTTTATTGTTGGGCGGTTCGTTGGTGCATTTGCGTACGGAGTGCGCCGAGTTGTGTGGTGTTGCTAAACAAACCTTGTTTAGAGGACCGGGCCTTCGGGCTCCGGAACCCTGGGCTTGTCGAGTTTGGTTGACGCTGCGCAGCTTCGTAGAGACATGGGTTTTTCGCATATCGTTGCGTCGATGTGTTCGGTTCGTGTTGTACACATGTGTGCGGCGCTTCTCGGGCCTATCGGCGTGGTGGTTTGCTCTATGTTCTTCTCGGTGTATAGTCGGTGACCCATTCGACCCGTCTTGAAACACGGACCAAGGAGTTTATGGTATGCGCGAGTCATTGGATTCGAAAATCTAAAGGCGAAATGAAAGTGAGACTTTACTAGTTTTAACGTGAATGGGTGCGGCATTCGTGCGGCCCAAGCAACGTTGCCCCGTTTCGAAGACTTGTCTTGTTGCGGAGGTTGAGCGTATGCTATGAGACCCGAAAGATGGTGAACTATGCCTGAACAGGACGAAGCCAGAGGAAACTCTGGTGGAAGTCCGAAGCGGTTCTGACGTGCAAATCGATCGTCTGATTTTGGTATAGGGGCGCAAGACTAATCGAACCATCTGGTAGCTGGTTTCCTCCGAAGTTTCCCTCAGGATAGCTGGTGCACATATATAACAGATATACTCGGTAAAGCGAACGATTAGAGTTCTTGGGATGTATTATTCTCAGACTATTCTCAAACTCTAAATGGTTATGATGTTGGTGTTGCTTAATTGAACATTGACTTTGATTGTTGTGCTCCAAGTGGGCCATTTTTGGTAAGCAGAACTGGCGATGTGGGATGAACCAAACGCGGAGTTACGGTGCCTAACTATTCGCTCATGAGACCCCATGAAAGGTGTTGGTTGATATAGACAGCAGGACGGTGGCCATGGAAGTCGGAATCCGCTAAGGAGTGTGTAACAACTCACCTGCCGAATCAACTAGCCCTGAAAATGGATGGCGCTCGAGCGAATGACCTATACTCTGCCGTCGTTGAGCATTGCGAAATCTCTCGACGAGTAGGAGGTACGTCGTAATGGCGTTGAAGTTGTTGAGCGTGAGCTCGAATGGAGCCGTTATGAGTGCAGATCTTGGTTGTAGTAGCAAATATTCAAGTGAGATCCTTGAAGACTGAAGTGGAGAAGGGTTCCGCGTGCACAGTGATTGTACGTGGGTTAACCGATCCTAAGGCACAGGCTAATGCTGGATTTGAAGTTGTGGCGTTAAAATTCACTTGTGGATTGCGCTGCATTCGCCGAAAGGGAAGTGGGTTAATATTCCCACGTCATGACGAGGAGATTGATGGCACTTCGGTGTTGTTGAAGCGCGGTAACGCAAACGAACTTGCTGACACTGCTTAGAGTCCGAGCTAGAGAT